CAAATCGAATTTAATTGCCAGAAGACGCATGTATCAAATCAAAGTACGGAATTTACATTTCTTAGAAATTTAACAATAAATTGCGCGCAGATGAGTACGCGTTTATACAGCTAGTCTCCCCCAAAATAGTCCAACAAAGAAATTAGGATGTAAGATATCATTATTTATGCATCCTCTGTAACTTTTCTAATCAGCTGATCGTATATTTGTCGTTGTATGTATAATGGGCCCTCATCCATGATCTATTCCAAAATTAAGGTTCTCTTCATGTTTATAAATGTAATGTAATGTATATATATATATATATATATATATATATATATATATATATATATATATATTTCTGTTGTCATGGTGAACTTAAATATGTTTTCTTGTACTGTAATTTATTTTGAAATAAAAATTGCCTTCAAGTTAAATATATGGTATGTACGGTGCCATATTAAAAGAAAATAAGTATCGGCACTTGGGTACATTCATCTCAATGATTTTGTAATTCCAGAGCAGCGTTTTTTCAACTGGGGTGCCGCAAGAGAATGTTAGTTACATGACAATTTTTTTTGGCAAACGTTGATTTTGTGAAAAACAAATATCAGAAACGGGTAGAGTATTTATTTTCATGAGAAAATAAAATGTAAACAAATAATAAAATGTCTTTCTTCCTCGCTCGCTGACGATATTTTGCGAATATATATCTTTTATTTCGACATTACATTGTTACCACACTTATCACAATTATAAACATGATGAATCAAGGCAACGAGAGGCCCGAATATTCTCATATTCGTGTATCAAGGTCATGACCGAATATTTCACTTTATATTCGTGTACATTCGGCGGTGAGGCGCCCGCATACCTTAAATCTGTGCTAGTGTGTTGATTACAACATTATGTTTTACCATTTTGAAAATGTCTTGTCCTTGTTTTTCTTGCTCCTTCACTAAATCAAGAAACAAATGTGCCCATACGTGTGTACATAGCACTTGACGAGTGCCAGAGTGATGCAAAATAAATAGTTTGTGAAGAATTTAAGATTGGGCGAAACTTTTCATTTCTTAAGAGGGCATCGTGTCGAACAAAAAGTTGAAATAACGCTGCACAAGAGAAATCCTTCGTAGAAAACAGTAACCACAGTGTTGTTGCATACATTATAGCTAAAGAAAAATGTGTAGTAATGAGGAAGATCACGCGCAAGTATTTGAACGAATGTGGGTTCATGCACGGGATTTTATGGGCTCGTAGCCTTCACAGCATCTCTCAACGTGTCAGATCGTCTTTTGCTATTGAATCCTGATTGTCTCCGGGGGGGGGGGGGGAATTGTAGTCGGGGGCGGGTAATTGTCCTCGTGGGGTAATTCCTCAATGGGTAGTTTTCCGGGGGGTAATTGTCCTTGGGGGGGGGGGGGGTAATTGTCCTCGGGGGTAGTTGTCCTCGGGGGGGGGGGGTAATTCTCCGGGGGGGGGGGGGGTAATTTTCCGGGGGGTAATTGTCCTTGGGGGGTAATTGTCCTCGGGGGGTAATTGTCCTCGGGGGGTAATTGTCCTCGGGGGGTAATTCTCCGGGGGGTAATTATCCGGGGGGTAATTGTCCTTGGGGGGTAATTGTCCTCGGGGGGTAATTCTCCGGGGGGTAATTTCCCGGGGGGTAATTGTCCTTAGGGGGTTATTGTCCTCGGGGGGTAATTCTCCGGGGGGTAATACTCCGGGGGGTAATTGTCCTTGGGGGGTAGTTTTCCGGTGGGTAACTTTCCGGGGGGTGATTGCCCAGGGGGTAATTGTCCTAGAACCGTTTTATTCATCAATTTAAAGTAGGTCTTTATATCAGTTAGGATATCCATTTTTTTTTCTTCTTCAAAATAAAGGAGGATGAAGAAGAAGAAGAAAAATAAGGAGGAGGAGGAGAAGAGAAGAGAAGAAGAAGAAGAAGAAGAAGAAGAAGAAGAAGAAGAAGAAGAAGAAGAAGAAGAAAAAGAAGAAGAAGAAGAAGAAGAAGAAGAAAAAAGAAGAAGAAGAAGAAGAAGAAGAAGAAGAAGAAGAAGAAGAAGAAGAAGAAGAAGAAGAAGAAGCAGAAGAAGATGGCAAAGAAGGGGAGGAGGAGAAGAAGAAGAAGGCTAATTAGAGAATATTGGAAGTATGCAACAAAATAGATGACGCCTATCACGAAATGGTGAGATGTTTTTGTCGCTTTGATTCAATGACATCATTATAATAATATTTCTCTTCATCAAGAAATAAGATAGTTTACAGGCGGTGCTCGATGAATCATTTAACTTGTTTGACCCAGTTTCGTCGGGATTGAAACCTCGCTTACAAGTTAGTAAGCTTTTACCTGTCATCACATTGCAGATTAGGCCTTAATAGAGAATATTGAGTACTCAACAGTTGCCTTCACTTTCAATTTGATATTATCACTAAGATAAAGATTTCAATAACCTTGAAGTAAAATGATGCACAGACAAAGTCTTGAAATGGGCTGTAACCTTATAAAGCACTTTCTTTTTGCGAAAATACGCATTCAACTTCCGTGTTACCACGACAACGGACGTGGCTATCAATTGCATCGTCTGTGTGAATTAGAGACAATCGGATTCATGTGTAAATTATTTGTTCTACGATTGAAACAAGCTAATGAGGTGCATCTTTGTAAACTTTCGAAGGGTGAAGAAGAGGCATTGACATCATCGGCCGAGGGATGCTTCCTTTCTCAATTTGCAAGTTTTGTGAAAGGTCACGGTTGTATATTATTCGACGCAAGAGGGCAATATATACATTTTAGAGTGGACCTCATGGACCGTGGTTGATTCTTGTTTTCAGGAAGATGGCTAGAATTACGAATCAGAAAATGGTTGTGTTTTCTTTAGCTTCTGTGATAGTTCGAAAGGTATGCAGCCCTACTTTAAGGGATACAATAAAAGTATTTCGTGATGTACATCATTTGGGCCATAAAGTAACGTGGCATATTAATTGAGCTGTTCTGTTATAAATAAATGAGAATTTGGTTTGAAGGATTATAAATATGATTACGTAATTGAAATGAGACAAAATCAGCATAGCAAATCTTGGTGGATCACATCAATGCAACAAAATTACACTATTTATTATTTAAGACAAAATTTATTCGTTCAAGGTTATATCATTTAAAGGTTAATTGTGCTTTTAAGTGGGAAGGGCTCCTGAGGGAGAGGGGTTATGTTTTGAGCTGCGCTTACAAACCAAATACAATAGCTGGGGAACTAATTGAGAAAATATCATTTTAGTTTGATATTGCCATATATGGAATTGAAGTAGACGATGTAAACATTGGCAGAATTTTGATATCTACTGCGTGGGAGCTGCTTGTGTTAGAGTATGACAATATGACAAGACTTCTCTCACGTCTAGACGGTAGACCTATGCTTGTTATAAGCTACGGAGATGCCGGTTCAGTTTCTCACCCTCTCTTTCTCGTGAAAAATGCGTATATAGTCGAGAAGCCAAGTTTTGTTTCATTCTTCATTCATAGAGGGTGACGTTAAAAGCTACCAGTAAGTGACGGATTTCATAGTCACGGCGCTGGGGATGTTTTGTTAAAAGCTACGATTGAAAGGTATCTTCCGCCCATTCACATTGGTGACACCTGTGTTGGTGTTTTTGTTATAAGCTACGGAAGAACGGTGGATTTTAAAGACTGTATTCGCATAGGTGTGGTAAAGTTTTTGTTACTTACATTTCCCGAGGAATATCTTTCATATTGGCCCTTTTGTCTTCAAGCACTTGGATTTGTGTAAACTGTGACTTCAATAGAAAATTAAATGTTTCTTTGTCTTTTTATGCAGATTATTGATTATCATAAACATAGGTCTCCTATTTGAACATAATTTACAAGGAGGTTATTACTGTTTTATGTAGATTGATAAATGTCCTAATGTTCAGCTGAACTCTTTGAGAGGAATCTTTAAAAACAAAATTGATTACTCATAATTATGCTATGACTTGCAAGAAATGAATATAGATAGAAACAAAATAAACAAACTTGTTCGTCTTTCATCTTATGTATACTCTAAGGAAAATCCATCCATACAGCCGCCCTAAAAAAAAACTATAAAAAAAACGCAGGAGCAGACTGGTGGAAGTTTGAACGAACTTGGAACAAAAAGTTATGAATGAGAAAGGGGCGGGCTCATCGGTTGATTTGTTCCCGCATAGTGGAAGATAACGAGAGGCATACAATAAAAGCGTGGGAGTCGGCAGAATGTTTTCATTTCTCGGGGATTCCTTGTATGTATTGTTGTGGTGCAGTGAGCTCGGGTAGGGAACCAAACCTGTGATATAATAGAGACGAAGGGCGCACTCTCGACTCATTCTCCGCCTCTCAACTAATCAGGACACCGTCTTTTTCGAATCACTTACGACTACACTTTTTGACTACTTGTTTCATCTCGTTGTTCATCGACCGCCTATTTCACCGTAAGTTAAAATTTCTCACTATTTTAGGGAATGCCATTTTAGTTTTTCTACTCGATTTTCTTGAATTAATGTATTTGATTCGTAGCGACGAGTTGTGGTTTTACTCGTCTGACAAAATGGTTAGAAATGTATTAGAGACGCCACTCTCTAGATCTTGAAATCTTATTATAGAACTAGATTTCGGGAGAATATGACTTTAAAGAAACTAACGTAAACTTGCTAAGCACTCAATAAGCACTTATGGGAGACCATTTTGTTTATTTACATTTGTAGGGGCGACCAGCAATATTTTGTTGAAGCTGCCGTTGTTCTTGTTTTTGTTGCTGTTGCTGCTTCTGCTCATAATCATAACCAAAATCTTTTTTGGGGGAAAATGATTATTTTATAGTTTAATCAACAGTTTAAGTTTCATTAGATCATGATAGAATATTCTTTTTGTATTAAGCCTACACGGACTCGAGATCACCTTTAAAATCTACTGCTGACATCGTAACATCATCTGTTTATCAATACTAATTTAACATGTAATCGTTTTTATATGTTACCATCGACAGATGAGTTATGCAAAGAAGTCGAGCCATTCGGACAAGGAGCCGACGATCGTGGTCAAGAACGCCGACATGGACGACGACCTCCAAGAAGAGGCCATCGATTTAGCCAAGGATGCCTTCCAGAAATTCACCGTCGAGAAGGACATCGCCTCCTACATCAAGAAAGAATTCGACGCCAAGTTTCAACCGACCTGGCACTGCATCGTCGGCCGCAACTACGGAAGCTACGTGACGCACGAGACCAAACATTTCATCTATTTCTATCATGACCAGAAAGCAATCCTACTCTTCAAGTCAGGGTAGGCATTTGACGTTCAAATTCGATCTCCTAGATAATTTTAAAACTCTAAGATAGACTCAGAGACATCGGGAAGTTCAATGCCAGTCTGACATCGACATCGACATGGTACGCCGTTTCGTCACATGGTTATCGAACACACAGCTACACCAGGCGCCAGACAACTTTTCAATGACCGATGCACAAGAGTTTATGGATGTTCACGTGCCATTGTTTATCTTGATATCAAAAGAGACTAAAAGTGATCTAAGTTTCGAAGTACATTCAATCTCTCATGTCTACTACGAGGAGAGATATAGTAATTATACAATTAGGGTGATGGTGACATTTTTTTGTTTTGAGCCTGTGATCCAATTCAAGATTTGATAAGGTGAATTAAATTGATGTACTATCTTTCTACTATCGCCTAGTATCGATAACTAAGTCACACGGTGCTTTAAGATGATAATCCCAAAATTAAAGAAGATTTAAAAATGACATATACATTGTATGCTAGTTACAAGAAACGCCTTTTGCAGAATGACTATCATATTTCATGGGAATTTGTCTTTTAAAATCTATTTTCATGAAGGAATTATGTTTTACGAATTATATTCATTTGATTTCATTCGAATGTGTCTTGTTGATGTAATGCAATTTTTTTTATACAACCATTCGACTGTTTGGTGTAGTCATGATAGTAGTAAAATTCACAAACATAACTTATTCATGGGGTACCTATTTTAACTTAATTCTGTCTTGGATAAATTGTGGAGCACCAGGGGTGTTCCAATCTGACAGACATGAGCGCTATACAAGGACCCATTATTATTATTGTTATTATTATTATCATTATTATTATTACTATTATAATTATTTTTTATTATTATTATCATCATCATTATTATTTGTGATGGTGATTATTTGTGACTGTGAAGAGATTTTATTTGTGCATTCAAAGAAGAAATACCAGAAGATCTTTGTTGATTTGGAAACTTGTGCATGCATGAAACATTTCTCTATAGACTTGTTAATGTGTTGGCAGATAAACCTTGATCTTTCAAACGAAACTTGTCTCTGAAGAGTTACATATTTAGTGAGGAATCGATTGGCGTGGGTAGATGACTGATAATGTGATTTGTGAAGTACTTTGATGTTTGATGAATTAGTCAATAAATCATTGATTGATTGATTGACTGACTGATGGTTGGTGTGTTTATTGATCGATTGATTGGTTGGTTGATTGGTTTTTGGTTGGTTAATTGATTGGTTGACGGTTAGTTGGTTATTTTAGTGTTTGGTTGATAAATTGATTGACTGATGTTTGGTGGGTTTATTGATTGATTGGTTGATTGGTTGGTTGATTGGCTATTTGATTGATTGATTGATTAATTTATTGGTTGATTGGTTGGTTGGCTATTAGATTTATTGGTTGTTTGGTGGGTTAATTGATTGATTGATGGTTGGTGGGTATAGATTGATTACTTTTGATTGGTTGGTTGACCATTTTGATTGATTGATGGATTGATTGCATGGTTGATTAATTGTGGTTGGTAAAGTTAGTTGGTGAATTGTGTGCTTTAGTGATCAGATGGTTGATGATCTACTTACTAATTAAGTGATTGATTGATTGATTGACTGACTGACTGAATCATTCATGTATTGATCGCTTACTTGATGGATGGATTGATTGATTGATTGATTCATTGTTTGTTTTTTCGATTGATTGGTTGATTGGCTGCTTATAATTTATGATTGATCGGAGGATTATTTAGTTATTTGTTAAACTGGTTGATAATCATATTATAACGTGATCTGTTGTTTTATTGATTGATGAAATATTGATCGATACCTTGATTAGCGAGTTGATTAATTAGTAGACTGGCCAGTTGATTTAATGATTGATTAATTATTGATCCTTTTGACGAGCGGTTGAGTGAATGATTGGTTGACCTAGGACTTATTTATTGATCGGTTCGTCAATTTTTCAAATTTTGACTCTCTTGTTAATTCAATAAGTGAGTTAAAATAAGGAGGTCTCAACTAATTCGGTCTCACGATCTTCAATCTGGTTTCGATTGGTCAACTATATAATTGACAAATAGAAAAATATATACCAGAAATAAAACGAAATTGAAAAGCAATATATAGGAGGTTGTAGAAAGAGCCAGATGGATGGATGTCAAAAGGGGAGAGGGTGAACTGTCTGAAAACGTTTAAAGTACAGTGAACATGGGTATTTTTTGTCCACTGTGGGGATATATCACAATATACATACACACTTCTGTCGAAATATAATAAATGAATACATAACTCATTTTCCCAATATATGATTTTCAAACACGGGGAAAAGGGGGCTCCCCCCCCCCCCTCCCGACCTGATCCAAGAAATCTAATCATCCCAAAGGGAGGCTGGAGTCCATTTGACATCACCCCTCCATTCTTCGCTGATGCCAGTACCCTGTAAAATCTTTGATTGTGTTACATTCCTAAAAATGAACGATGAGATATGAGCAGGACAGTAAATACATCGATATTGTTATTCAGTACTTTATGCAGTCTCATTTAGTCAGGGTGCTCTCGTCAGTCGTTATCAATTATTTGACATTAGGTGTTCCCAATTAATACATCATATGGGTATTATAATCATTAGAAGATGTTGCTAATTGCTAATATTGGTTCTATAATGAAGAAATTACAATTTCAAAATAGCATTATGTTTGGCACAAGCAATTATTACTAGCAAAGTGGCAATTTGCCCTCCTGGCTAATTTCCGACAAGAAAATATAACGGCTATTCATATACTAGTTGTATGATTTTAATACTGTAGTATAGAGACATTCGCAAAAGGCTTAATTTCCTCTAAATCATTTTCAGTTGGGATGACCCCCTTCCCCCGGAAAGCAAACTAGGGCCCTCAAACAGTGGTTTGCTCAATACAGATCAATGGATCACAGAAAGCCGAAATATTTTGCCTCGCTGAGGCCAGTCTTCATACGCCTCTTGTTATCATTTTTAGTATTTGTTTGACTTTTTGAATCTTCAAGTTGGAGTGCAAGTAAATTTGGTGATGCAAAATAGTATTCTCACGTTCTATCTGTGTTGACGCTTCTTTGTTACGTTATAAGCTATAGAGTCTGTAGAAAAACGAAAAATGAAAATTGTATTTAAAAAAAGAAAAGACTATTATTGTGTCAAGAAAATCAAACGTTTCGCGTCTTTGTAGTCAAGAAGCCAAGGTCCTTTATTACTCGGCTTTATCACAATAAATTCTATTGAATATATAACTATTGTATGTTTTGTTAAAAGCTACCGAGTGAGAGGCAGGTTCCATAGACAAGATAGATTCATAACAATGGTGATCTTTACTTACAAGGTGCAAGACCAGTGAAAGGTAGTAAAATTTTACACTCATATGACAGGAGTGATATTTTGTTAAAAGCTACGGAGTGAATGCTTATGATACAGAGACTAAACGCTCCTAACAATGGTGATATTTTGTTAAAAAATACGAGTGAATAGTATTACGGTACAGAGTCTAAACACTCGTAACAATAGTGATATTTTGTTAAAAGCTACGGAGTGAATGCTTACGATACAGAGACTAAACGCTCCTAACAATAGTGATATTTTGTTAAAAGCTACGGAGTGAATGCTTACGATACAGAAACTAAACGCTCCTTACAATAGTGATATTTTGTTAAAAGCTACGGAGAAAGGTAGTTTCATAGACTATTCATTCATCGTAAACACTATGATATCGAAGAGTGAATCCCAACCACCTCCAATACCAACACAAAATCTAGAGTATGGTTATATAAGAAAGGGATCTTTAAAGGAACAAACTGATTTTTAAAAGTTAAGTTGATCACCTTGGACTCTTCCAATGGGCAACACGTATATTTCATTTTGTTTGTAAACTTTTCTGAAAAAAAAGTATTTGTATCTGAAAAGTAAAAACACTTGCAGCTTATGTGTCTCACATTCTAAACTAGTGCCAATTTCTAGAGTAAAGCGATGATTCTAACCCTTTAAATGTGCAAAGACTTTCATATTTATTTTTATTTTTAGAATTATTGGTGTCAAACGACAAAATGCAAGGCTACGAGTTAATTTCAGCCCTTCCTCCTTTGCATTCGGTCTATTGTTTAGGACTCAGAATAAAAATCATTAAGACAAAATGGTAAAAAATTAGTAAAACAGCATTCTTTTCTTCTCTATTCCCATACATGTATAACCTCTTGCACGCTAAATGTGTACCAGTTTATACATGCCAAGTCAAATGCATTGTCCGTGTGTGTTCTTGCGATTTACTTTTATGGGAGCGATACACTGGATACGGCGTAGGGCGTCACCAGAATGTTTTCATTTCTCGCAGTTTTTCTTGTTTGGCATGGAGGGGGGCGGGGGGGGGGGGGTGGCAACCTATGCGATAGACGAGTGCCACTCGATATAATGGAGACGGTGGGCGTATCAGGTCTCATTTTACGATTAAAACTCGTCAGAATAACATCTGCGAATCGTCTTTCGCGACTGTTTATTTCATCTTTTGGTTCGTCGTCAGTTCAAACAAATCAATCGTAAGTTCGTTTTTTGTTTTCATCAATAATCTCAAAAGTTAAATTCAAAATCAATTTTGATTACATAGTTTCAAAATTTGTTATTTTGAATGCAAGAGCGCCGTATCAGTATAGCCTGGCTTAACACTGTGTAATAATAGTATTCCTTGCTTTGTAACCTTAGCAAAGTTTGCTTTTAAATGCATCTTTTATTGTTTTTATGTATTGTTTTAGAGAGTTTGAAATTGCTCTTTCATGAGGCATGTGGTGATTTATGGCGGAAATTACATGTCACTGACATTTTTCTTTCAGGATTTAACCAGCTGATAGTGGTTCCCAAATCAAAATCACCTAATCAAGACTTCACAATTCTTCTGCAGATTTCTCAATAAATTATTCACAGTATTGTGCTATCAATTACATTTTGTTTTAATGTCAATATTTCTATTATTATTTTAATTATTATATACACGTTCAAATTTTCTTGTTGATATTTAGCTTTTATGTTGTATTTAATTTGATTTGCATGTTGCAGAAGAAAATATATTCGATTCAATTCAATTAACCATTTGTATCTTTCTTCACAATGCTAGATGAATCGCAGTGGAGGTTCGTCCTACTCGGGCAAGTCGGGTACTGAAAAGAACAAAATCGAAGTCAAGAACGCCGACATGGACGACGACATGCAAGAACTCGCCATCGACCTGGCAAAACAAATGCTCGAGGACGGCGATAAAACGAAGAAGGTCGTCGAGAAGGACGTTGCGGCCTTTATCAAGAAGGAGTTCGACAAAAACTACGATCCGACCTGGCATTGCATCGTCGGCCGCAACTACGGCAGCTACGTGACGCACGAGACCAAACATTTCATCTACTTCTATCACGGGCAGACGGCTATCCTTCTCTTCAAGTCGGGTTAGATATATATAAGCCAATCAAATGATCTCCAAGATGCAGTTTAGACTCTTAGATAGAATTTATAGACAATGAGAAGTCAGAAGTCTACTACGACGTCGATGTCAACGTAGTTCGTCATTGTAATGTCGTCACATGGTCATTGAGCACGTCCTTCAACTCGACGGCAGGCGCCATTAAATTTGCTTACTTTGACATGTATAAGGCTACAATTTCTCGCAAGCAAAACAATAGGCGCTATCAATTGTTTTCGAGATGCCCGTTGAGATAAGTTATGTCATATTGGTTTTCAATGGACCAGGGGCCTTCCCCCCCCCCCCCTCTCAACAGCCATTGGTTAGATAATTTCTTCTCTGATTCGGTATCGATGGCATTGCTGTCTCCGTAATTTATAGAAGAATTAATAGTACAGGAGATATAGCAAATTATGTTTGCTGCAGAAAGAGTTCACGAAGGATTTTATATCTGAATAAGTTTTAAAGTTGTAATGAGTATGTTAAGTATATAATTATAGATAATATATTTATAGATATGAATATATATGGAAGCTTTAAGTATATTTAAGATAGTTTAAATAACGCTTAGCTCAAATCTATCTCACTCATGTCTTCTAAACTGAGACGTTAGATTTCTGCCAAATATTTATTATTATGTTTATTCATTTATTACGAGGTAGACAGAAATGAGTGATGCAGAACGGTCAATTATTTTTGATGGTATCCACAAGGAATCATTTCATAAGCAATTTTCAAAATGGGTTTTCTGCTAAGTGACCCCCAATACAAATATAATTTTATTAATTGGGAGTATCAACCGAACGTTATACTCTTAAGAAATATTGATGCATTATTTGTAATAGTGGGTCTAATGAATGGTCAATTGGTTAATCGGTTTAATAAACATTTAATACAATAATTCTTATCAACGTCAGTGGCGTTTATTTTATGTATTTGTTTAGCTGACTGGATGAGGTATGGTATGGTTTATTTATTGATTTTTTGAATGATTGCTTTGTTGATTGCTTGTTTAATAGGATAGAACATTTATTAGTTGTTTCATTGATTGATTGATGTTATTGATTAACTGATTGAATAACTAATTAACAGATTGGTTGATTGATTGGTTTGGTAGTTTGATTGGTTGATTGGTGGGTGAGTTGGTTAGTTGATTTGATGAATGACTTCGTGATTGATTGACTGGTTCATTGATTGATTGAGTGAGTGAGTGAGTAAGTAAGTGATTGATTAATTAATTGATATTATTGATAAATATTGGAAATTCACCATCATAATGATCATCGTCATCATCATCATCATCATCAGTTCAACCATTATCATCACCGTTAACATCATCATCATCATTATCATCATCACAATCATGATCGCAGTTTTTATTGTTCATCATCATCACCATTATCATCATCATAATCATCAGCATCATCATCTCCATCACCACCACCATCATAATTACGACGATCATCATCATCACCATTATCATCATCATCATCACAATTATCATCAATATCATTAGCGATTTCTTGTTACTGTTATCACTAATGTTTTTGATACTTTCACTATCATTATGATAATCATCATCATCATTGCCACCATTATCATCACCGTTATTCATCATCACCATTATAACTATAGCTTTTGATACTATCACTATCATTATGATCATAATCATTATCACCATCACCATCACCATTATCATCATTCTCATCATCATCATTACCACCACCATCATCATCATCATCATCGTCATCATCATCATCATCTCCATCACCACCATCATCATCATCATTACGGCGATCATCATCGCCATCGTCATCATCGACATCATTAGCAATTTCTTGATACTGTCACTATACATTCATTTTTACCATCTAAATCACCACCACCACCATTACTACCAACGTCATCATCCTCATCATCATCATCATCATCACCACCGCCACATGATTATCATCATTGGCATCATCATCATCATCATCATCTCCATCACTACCATCATCCTTATATATTACGGCGATCATCATCATCATCGTCATCATCATCATCATCGTCATCACCGCCGCCACGTGATTATCATCATTAGCATCATCATTGACATCCTCAGCATCATCATCATCATCATCATCATCATCATCTCCATCACTACCATCATCACCATCATCATCATCATCATCATCACTATCACCACCATCATCATCATTACGGCGATCATCATCGTCATCGTCATCATCAACATCATTAGCAGTTTCTTGTTTATCCCTATTGCTTTTGATACTGTCACTATACATTCATTTCACCATCTAAATCACCTCCACCACCATTACTACCAACGTCATCATCATCATCATCATCATTATCATCATCATCATCATCATCATCATCATTAGCATCCCCATCATCATTATCATCATCATCATCATCATCATCATTAGCATCCCCATCATCATTATCATCATCATCATCATCATCATCCTCATCATCATCATTAGCATCCCCATCATCATTATCATCATCATCATCATCATCATCATTAGCATCCCCATCATCATTATCATCATCATCATCATCATCATCATTAGCATCCCCATCATCATTATCATCATCATCATCATCATCATCATCATCATCATTAGCATCCCCATCATCATTATCATCATCATCATCATCATCATCATCATTAGCATCCCCATCATCATTATCATCATCATCATCATCATCATCATCATTAGCATCCCCATCATCATTATCATCATCATCATCATCATCATCATCATTAGCATCCCCATCATCATTATCATCATCATCATCATCATCATCATTAGCATCGCCATCATCATCATCATCATCATCATCATTAGCATCGCCATCATCACAATAGATAACTGACGCCCCATATTTTGCCAATCCGTCAACACTGTAGCCTCTCCGATTCTCGAGTTAACAAAATCAGATTTTTAAAGACAAAAAAAAAAACGGGTTTTACTTGTAGCTTTTTCAAATATTATTAGTGGACAAAACAGCACGGGTTTGACATTAAAAACATGAAAGGGGTCAGTGGAGGGCGCACAGTTCTTTACATGACAATTAAACAAAATTGAAATGACTGGCTGAATGAGGTACATCGTAAATAGAAGTAATATCTTGAATAAATAACCGAGTTGACAAAATCGATAATATACAGTGTTTCATAGTACTATCATGGACAATCGTAACTTGTTTCAAAGTATCAAAACTCTTCTTTTTCTTTTTTTATAAGCAAGTGTATATACTTGAAGCAGTGTTCTATTTATACTTTAGTTAAACTTCAGATAGCTATATACATCTTTGTTATTTTCCTACTCATTTTCACATGACTGGATTATGAAAAGCGCGAAGCCTTTCACAGATTTAAAGAGGACCGACCGTTATAAATGACAAATATAAGGTCACATTTAAACATCATACATAACTGATGAAATACAAAAAAAATATCCAGAGGATGACATAACAATCTTTGGATGAGGAAATAAGAAAGACAATATGTGGTAGAAAGAGATAGGTGAACGAAAAAAAGATGGTTGAATAAAGAATGAAAAGGGATGAAAATATGAAAAGAAATAAGAAATTTGAAGGATAAATTCAAAGGATGGAAGAAATGAATATAATTAATGACAGAATAAAGGATAATTGATAAAATTAATTAATTTAAATGATGAGATGATGAGAATGAATTATTACATAACAGGTGATAGAAATTAGTTAAGATTGTAAAAACTAAGAAAGTAAAGAAAGAATAAGTCGATAAACAAAAGAATTAATTAATTAATGAATGAAAGAAATGATGAAAGAGAAAGAAAACGGCTTGATGAATCTAGTATATGATAACTAAATGAATAACACTAAAATGATAAAAGAATGATAACAGAATGAGAGAAAGATGAAACAAAAACGAACGAATGACAAGAAATCAATTAATGAAGGAAAGTTAATGACTTTGAGAAAGAACATATGAAAATTAACAAATTGTCTTTTAAGAATGCAGAGTAAATGAAGAGAAGAATCAATAAAGTGAATAACATAATAAATCGATGAATGGAATAATAAATTAATGGAAAAAATGAGAATCATACAGAGGAGAAAAACAGACTAATGAAATAAAAAAGGAGATTTATGAATTGAAAATCTAGTAGATTATTGAAAAGATAACACACTACAAGTAAAAATTCTAAGAAATACTGAATCATTTGAAAAACAAATGAAGAGGTAGCGAATTTACAATTTTTTTATGAATTGCAGATGAGTGAGTGTTAAAAAAGAGAACGAATCAACAAAATAAATAAATCCTGTTGATCGACAAAAGAAACACAAAAGACGAAAGGAAGAATATGAAAATAACCTTTTCATATGGTGTGATGCTAAACTATATAAAATACTTCTTAGATGTTGTAATATATAATTTTAAAAATAACAAAGTTGATATAATTTTTGTTAGAACTAACAATACAAATCAGCACCATTGAAATGTAAACAACTTCTCGTCTCGATACTAACAAATATTCCTCATCGGATGCATTTTCCAATCGAAACACTTCATCCACTTTAACGAATTTTATCTTATAATTATATTTATAATAACATCATCTAAAATAAACTCAGAAAGACATTCGGTAGTGTAGAATGATTAATATTTTTAATTAATCATTTTGAAGGATTTCTTGGATACACAATTTTTTCGATCTACTGTTACTTAAAATATTAATACAGGTTGTCCCAATATTATCATTAGTTTTGTCGAAAATAACTATTAATATACTATTGAAAAGGTGCACCATGGTACCAGGGTACATAGTGCGAAAACTACAACAGAAATTTGAAGATAAATATGCAGAAGAAAAAATAAACAAAAACAAAACAAATAAATAAAGTAATTGAGAAGTTAGCTATAGAAAGTATGAAAATAATAATTCGGTCGAAACAGTATAACACACATATTTATGATGACTGTATAGGTGTAGAACTACATCTCTAACGATATTACAAGAACTATATTATGACTATACTGGTTCGAAACACAGTTTTTGAAAATATCTGTTAAACTGATTATGATATCGGAGAGGTGCAGATGGTACAAACACGACACAAGGTCGAAACAAAGTATATAGGACATAGTACATGGATTGTAAGATAAGTCATTTTAAACAAATGATACAAAAAGATATGTAAATGCTACGAGAACTATAATATTTGGGTTCGAAACATAGTAATCAATACATAACACAGATAATTAAGAATATCTCTAAATATAACTATGATGTTGGAGAGATGGAAAAGGTTTGAAACATAGTAAGTACAACATAGTACATAGGTTTTGAAACTATTTGTCTCTAAAAACAAATAAGATTTTAAAAAGATGCAGATGGTACAAGAACTATACTATACCGGGTCGAAAGATAGTCCGAAGTTTTAAATACATACAGGACAAACATCTGGCAACGGATGGACGAAAACTACTCAACCTGACTTCCAGATCAAGAAGGCCATCGGACCGATGTAGAAATAGATGAAACACTTCGATTCGTGCGTGACGAAACTGGCGAAATGCTTTCCGACCACGACGTGCCACGTGGTGTCGAACTCGACGTCGAAAGCCTTTTTGATGTAGGCACCGCGATCCTTCTCAGTGTTGAACTTCTCATAGGCTTCCATTCCGAGGTCGAGGGCCCGTTCTTGCATGTCTTCGGTCATATCCACATTTTTGATGATGGGTTCTTTGTCCTTCTTCGACTTTGACGATGACGTTGACGATGATAATGGTGACGATGTACCGATCAGCTTGATGAGAAGGGGAAGATTGATAAGGGAATATATCAATCTATCATATCTCTGTCTTTCAATATAAACCTCCATTACATTTTTTCTGAATACTACCTCTCTTATTAAAAAGGACCCAGATCTATTCAATTATAAATGTATGAAATAATAAGTTCAAACAATTAAGGGATATTTGAATGCATTGACCTATTGATAGGGTCTAAAGATTGCTACCCTTGAACATAATTTTTTTAAAGAGTTTAAAAAAATAATTTATAGGCAAAAAATACTATTGATTAAATTACCAATATTCAATTAGTACAAACTCCCCCTTACAAACACGATACTGATAGATGGTATAATGCTACAATGTTATCATTATTATGCTAAAACTGTTATAAGTTTTATGCTTAGTTTTCCGATACACAAATAGCCCCAATACATAATCCACCCAAAATAAATGAATACAAATACATCTAAAAGCATCTGTATTTCGTTGTTTTTTTAATACAATATACATCCAACCTGTGCATAATTATACATTCCGTTGAGAACCAGAAGGGCCTTAACTCTATGTAAACGTACAAACGGTAAAGCCCTTATGGTTCTCAACAGACTTAATATCACATTTACCAAAAAGAAATCCATATCATGAGGACTTACCGGTGTTTTGCTCATGAAACCTCCACCACCGCTGGTTTTCGCACTGGTTGAGAAACTATACGTTGATTGACTGGTTTTCGACATCCTGTAAACAAAAAAGGTGTTATTATACAGATCATATCAACCAGAAGAATATGATTTGCGAGTTGTTTGCTCACATTAGTCAAGGATAATAGTGTTCAACGAATAGAATTCGTTATAATAATTGCACAGGTATATGTGTAAAATATGTTTTCTACCGTTCTCTCAGCAATAAGGTCAAGTAACATACAGTATTTAAATCTTGTACTTTTATTATTAATACGAAGCCCTCCTTCTTATGATTTACTATTGCAAATCTATCTGCAATTACTATCGAATCTGTGTTCTTTTTCACTGGATGTATCGATTAAAATATGTTCACAAAGTTGTCTCGACTTATCCGTTTTTCACTCTACCTCACTTTGTGCATAGTGTATATAGATGGTAAGAGGAAATGTAAGTAGTTCAATGAAAATAAAAATGATTATAAAATCGTTTTTTACCTGAATGGATGGCGAAGCTGTGTCTTGCTAGGTGAATATTAAAAAAACTACTCTGGATCAGAACAACTTCTAGCTCAAATGAATGATAAAGACATCCTCAGAAGTCACTACTTCTACTCTGACGTTGCACTGAAAATATTTCTTTTTCTCTTTCATCTGTTGTATACGACCTTCATGAAACATAACAAAAGCTTTTGAGAATTTCACACAACAGTGGGTGGAAGAAAAGGTTGAAAGAAAAGAAAAGAGAATTGGTTTTTCGAGTGTTCCCACGGCTTGCGGCCAAGACACCTCCCTCATTCACAAGGCCAGCCTCACACCCGCGTCTAGCTCACTACTACATGGCTTGACTTTTGGTGGTTGTCTGACGTCGCCCCCGTTTACTCACCTGGAAAATAATTCCCATTGTCTGAGAAAATTGGCAGAAAAGTAGATAAAACGTGTTTCACACGCCTCTACTTTGCCCAAAAGAAACTAAGATACAACTTGAATAATACAAACACTAATTGTTCTTTCTCTCTTTTCTTTTTTCTGTTGTATTACGTTTACCGTTTGTCATCATTTCACAAATTATTTTGATTGAAAAAAACAAAAAACAAATTGTATTTCAGAGTCGGAAAGAGAACTGAGTCACTGTAACTTTCGGGTCTCTCCTCTCGGTATAATTGAGTAAAATCAATCAATCAATCAATCAATCGACCACTCAACCAACCAATCACTCACTCAATCAATCACTCACCCACTCAATCAACCAATCAAGCAACCAACCAATCAATCAATCAATCAATCAATAAGCCAATCAATCACTCAATCATTCAATCAATCAATCAACCATTCAACCAATCACTCACTCACTCACTCACTCACTCACCCAATCAATCAACCAATCAAGCAACCAACCAATCAATCAATCAATAAATCAATAAGCCAATCAATCACTAAATCATTCAATCAATCAATCAACCACTCAACCAACCAATCACTCACTCACTCACTCACCCAATCAATCAACCAATCAAGCAACCAACCAATCAATCAATCAGTCAATCAATCAATCAAATAATCAATTAATTAACCAACTAATCAATCAATCCACCAATCCATCAATCAATCATTCATCCAACCAATCACTCACTCACTCAATCAATCAATCAATCAATCAATCAATCAATCAATCAATCAATCAATCACTCAATCAATCAACAAGTCAGGCAATTATGCAGCTATAAAATCACTTTATGAGCATGTTATAATATCATATAAATTTAATCTTGCAAATATTATAATCCGACATACATAAGCAAACAAACCCAAAGTACTTTCTCTTGATTCATTAAATGTCTGTAAGTAAAATGTCTAAATACTAACACCATCAAATTGAAACAAAATGTTGTCAGAAGAAAAAGATAAAAACATAAATTTGAGGGAGGGAATATAGGGATGAAATTTACGATTGACAGCTACTTTATTTAAATTAAATGAAATCACATAACATGTCTTTAGAAGACATTTTGTGTTGACAAATTAACAAATGAAACTGCATGTTTTAGTGCAAATTTAGTTTTAAAGTAAGAAACCGTTACATAATGAATAATTATTTTGAAGGTGGAAAATAACAATGTTGATGACAATTTACAGAAATACGTTAAATACGCGCATCCACATATACATCTCCAGAACACATTTTATGAATTACCAGGTGCAGATATTTATACAAAAGGTGTCATTACCTGACTTTAAAAATAGTTCTATTACAGTACAAAATTGGAATTAACTACTTTAAAACTTAATCCTGTGCTATACATGATTGTGTGATGATGTCATTGACGTCCCCATAACTGGACAGGTCCACTGTTTTCCGTTGTAGTCACCATGCTCAAATGTTTTCTAGGGAAGGAGGGAGTGGGGGAAAAAGCCCCCCCCCCAAAAAAAAAAGGGGGGGGGGGGCTCGTCTGTATTTCGTTTGGATAGAGATCCAGTTGATCGAGAAAGATAATTGTAGATTAGGCCGCTGCATCGAAAATACCGGTCCAAATTTAAGCTCGTGCTTGTCAGTTTATTTCCAGGAGGATATTGAATTTTAATAGAGCTCCACATCTACCCCGATTTGAAGAGGAGTACTAGCTTCGTATCTATCCCGATTTAAAGAGGAGCACTGAAACCTGGTCCACGTACAGGTAGACAAAGTGCTTGGTCTCGTGCGTCACGTAGCTTCCAAATTTTCTCCCGACGATGCAGTGCCATGTCGGATTGTATTCCCTGTCGAAATCTTTCTTGATGTACGAAGCGATGTCCTTCTCGACGGTGAACTTTTCGAAGGCGTCCCCGGCGAGCTGCTGCACATATTCTTGCATTTCGTCAGACATATCGGCATTCTTAATGACAATCTTCCTCTCCTTTTTACCTGCCTTTCCTAGCAACATCTGGATACAAAAGTAATGGAAGAAGATATACGGAAATATCAGAGTCTTTTGAATTCTTTCTTTTTCTTTCTCTCTTTCTTCTCTTCTCATTTAGATACAGATTAAATGATACATTAATCTTATTCTGTCAGGACGTCTTCAGAAAACAAAGTACGACCTGGAACCTAATTAGACCGAGCTCCTGTAATAAGTTCATCATGCATAATTATAAACTAACAATTGTTTCTTCTTGAATGAGTGACATATTACAGCAAATTTACCCTTGCAAATATGGCTTAATTTCTTCTTTCCACAGAAAACAACATTGTCAGTATAAACGTTCTTAGTCTTATATTTGTCCATGATTGTTTACAAACATACCTTGAACCCCACGTTGTTCTATGATGTTAATTTGTAAGGATTACAACACATGGTGCCAAACAAAATAATGATGATTAAAACAATTATTCATGCTTATTGAACATCTCACTTAATTTTTGTTTAAATGTTAATAATGTATGATGAAATTCCCTTTTCGATAAAGCACATATTAGAAGGTAGATTTAAATTAGTATTAAACATACAACTTTAACCTATTCGATTCAAACGAATTGCACTGGCTCTCCACCGATGCTGTACATGAATATAAAACTTAGGCACAACTATATAATCAGAAAAGATCGACTTACGATAGCGATTGTAATTTGCTTGTGAAGTCAAATCGAGAAACGAGGACCAAACTGTGGTTGATGGAGGTTCCTGGATAAACCCAACCGAGATTGATGAAATGAAATATTTGATGTGATTTGACTAACGAATCTTTTTTCTCATACCACCATTTCATAACTGCAAGATCAAATAACAAAACAAAAATTGATATAATCGCCTTCTTTTCATATGCAAAAGAGGCCGCTGTGACATTGTTGATCTTAACACGGTATCCATGGTTGCACACAGAATCGTTGCCTGTCAAACATATTTGCTTTCAAACTGATGAGTATGGGGACGACTACCCCCGGACCACTTCCTCCTGGAAAATTAACCCGGACTACCCGTCCGGACAACTATCCCTAAATAACTGCCTCTATAGGACAATAATCCCAAGATATTCCTGAACAAGTACAACATACTGAGGAACTCATAGACAATGGCTTAGGTAGGGGATTATTAAATTGGGAGGAGGGAGGGGGCAATGGTCCAAGGGGTAATTGTCCAAAGAAGTGGTTTTCCAAGAGGTATAGTTTAACGGGGGTAGTTCGGGGAATATAATCTAGGAGTAATATCAATTGTGCTTTTACTGAACAGTACTGTACTGTGTGACATAGCTTTCGGGGGTCCTTATTATACCTCTTATATCTTTCATACAGTTAAGGAGTAAATTAAAGTTTCCATTGGGTGTTACTTATTTCAAACATAATTTTACTCCGATAACGATGTTGAAAAGATGTTTGATAGTAGTGCTTATTATCATAATCACGTATCAGTTCCTTTTATCATGCACCTTCTCTTCCTCAGCACCTTACCATCATCATTAACCTTCTCTTCCTCCTTCTCATCCTCCTCCTCCTCATCATAATCATCCTTATCAGTACAAACATCGTCATTGTCATCATCATCATCATCACCATAATTTCCATCATCATTACCATCATCATATTAAATGCATACTTCGTAGGAACCTTCAGAATTCCTTTCGAATGGATTATGTGAGCAATATATACGTAGCTATTATTTGTGTTATTATTATTATTACTATCATCATCTTCTTCATCGTCATCATCATCACTTTGTAGCAAGATATCACTCATTATATTAATTGGTTTTATTCATCCCAGCTTTTAACAAATAATATTTCATTTCATCACTGTTGCATATAGTCTATGAAAACTTCCACTCACCCGTATTCTTAAACAAAATAACACTGTGTTTATGTAAGTCTACACAATCTACAATGCACTCGAAAGCTTTAAAAAAAGCATCACCATTTGTTTTAGTGTGGGGCTATGAAATTCATATATACAATTATAACATATACAATTGATAACCCGCACATTAAAAACAAAGACTACGATTTCCTCGTAGCTTTTAACAAAACATCACCATCGTTATAGAGTCTATAAAATTTACTCTTTCACCGTAGCTTTTAACAAACCGTCAATGAATCGCCTATGAAAGGTACCTGTCATTCGTAGCTTGTAACACGATGTAATGAATAAAGAACCTTGACATCTTGACAATGCTGACGCGAAAGGCTGGTTTGTTTTAACACCATTTGCATATCGGTATTTCAGTCGACTCGGTAGCTTATAACAAAGTTTGTGTGATGGGCGTTAACTAACCCATGTGTATCGTGAGAATTTTTTTCTTACCACTCCAGTATTTAATTTTCTGGAAAATTCAAGAAGACCAAAACTCCAAAATCACGATATATTTATGAAAAAATTAAAAACGGCTTGGAGCAAATAAGTCATTTCTTTTTAATTAAGTTTCGTAAGATAGAAAGGATATCATTATCATTTTAACATAATGAACTTGCGCTTAATTATGCACATGTAGAAAGATAAATTGCTTAATAACGTGACCCATTATCTCCTTTTCTTTTTTTTGTATTCTGTCCGTATTCTATTTTATCCTTTATCTGGGATAAATTAGGGGTTTTCGACAAACTCTAGTGACATCTTACATTCTAATAATCAATCCGTTTTTCTTTAAAGCCATATCATTATATTGATCAATAGAGCAAACATCGAACCCATCCATTAACGAACCACTGGTTTCATCTCAATCATTCACTTAAAGGATCAATCGATCAATCATCAATCAATCAATCGATCAACCAAACAACCAAAGGCATTTCTGGTAAAGATCTCCCTCCGTCCGTGATATTTAATTACTCATACTTATTCATCCTTCTCAACATAATTTCTCATTCAATCAAACGAACAAATCATGCTACAAATTCAGACTCACCTACTCACGCAACCAATTGACGAATCGAACAAATCAACCAACCAATCAACTAACCAACCTCTCAGCCAACCAGCCAATGATCCAATGAACCCATCAATCAATCAACTAATCAACTAACCAACCAACCAATCATCGACCCAACCAATCAATCAATCAATCAATCAATCAACCAACTAAAAAAACAATCAATCAACTAATCAACTAACCAACCAACCAATCATCGACCCAACCAATCAATCAATGATATCAATCAATCAATCAACCAATCAATCAACTAACCAACTAAACAATCATCGACCCAACCAACAAATCAATCAATCAATCAACCAACCAACCAAACAACCAATCAATTAATCAATCACCCATCCAACCAATCAATCAATCAATCAATCAATCACCCATCCATCTAATCAATCAATCAATCACCCATCCAACCAATCAATCAACCAACCAACGAAACAACCAATCAATCAACTAATCAACTAACCAACCAACCAATCATCGACCCAAAAAATCAATCAACCAATCAAATAATCAACCAACCAGCCAAACAACCAATCAATCAACCAACCAAACAACCAATCAATCAACTAATCAACCAACGAACCAACCGATCATCGACCCAACCAACCAATAAATCAATCAACCAACCAACCAACCAACCAATCTCATCGACCCAAACAATCAATCAACCAATCAACTAATCAACGAACCAGCCAAACAACCGATCAATCAACCAACCAACCAACCAAACAACCAATCAATCACTCAATCAACCAATCAACTAATCAACTAATCAACCAACCAACCAAACAACCAATCAATCAATCAATCAATCAACCAACCAACCAACCAAACAACCAATCAATCACTCAATCAACCAATCAACCAACCAAACAACCAATGAATCAACTAATCAACCAATCAATGAAACCAATCAAACAACGAACCAAGCAATCAGCCAACTGACTAATCAACCAATCAATGAAACCAATCAAACAACGAACCAAGCAATCAGCCAACTGACTAACCAACCAATAAACCAACCAACCAACCAATCATCGATCCAAACAATCAATCAACCAATCAACAACACTAATCAACCAACCAGCCAAACAACCAATCAATCAACCAATCAATCAACGAACCAACCATACAACCAATCAATTACTCAATCAACCAATCAACCAATCAACTAATCAACCAACCAACCAAACAACCTATCAATCAACCAATCAACCAACCAACCAACCAAACAACCATTCAATCACTCAATCAACCAATCAACCAATCAACTAATCAACCAACCGACCAAACAACCAATGAATCAACTAATCAACTAATCAACCAATCAATCAATCAACCAATCAACCAACCAACCAAACAACCAATCAATCACTTAATCAACCACTCAACCAATCAACTAATCAACCAACCATTCAATCAACCAATGAATCAACTAATCAACCAATCAATGAAACCATTCAAACAACGAACCAAGCAAACAGCCAACTAACTAACCAACCAACAAACCAAACAACCAACCAACCAACCAATCAACCACCCATTCAATCAGCCAATCAATCAGCCAATCAATCAATCAACTAACCAGCACTCAATCAATCAGTCGGTCATTATAATCATTTACTCTGTTGACTATTTCTCAGCCATCAACCAATCAGATCATCTATAATTCAATATACAGGTAAAAATCAACTCCGTCATTAAGGTATAAAGAAATACCATTTTAATAAGGTATATAAACTTAACTTGACAATTGAAACAACTAATCTGTCAACGTGTTGAATATATATGATAGAGAAGACGTGAATACTTCATGCAAGCACAAATCAATTACGTAACCTATATTAACAAGATATTTTAACATGTCAACTTAAAAGTGATTATGTTCATTACATTCATGAAACGGTGTTGATGAGGATATTAATAGTAATAATAGCGTCGACAGTAATAATAAGAATAAGTTAATAATTAGAATAAGAAAAATCATTATAATGATGATATTAATGAAGCTAATAGTAATAATGATAATAATGATAATAATAAGGAGAATAAGAAGAATAATAATGACAATAAAAATAATAATAACAATAATAATGATAGATATTGTGATAATTATAGTACATGTAATAGCTATTATAATACGTCAAACTCATCGATTCACCATTATATTCATCTTAAGTGTAGACTCACTCATCATGGCCGTGAACATATCTACTTTACAGATGTGGTTACTAATTATGTAGACCTTCGATAGAACTATTTCGACGATATCTTTTTGAAATATGTATATATTTGTGAATTTCCTCTTCTGCACTGCTTTAGGAAAAATAAATAAAAGAGCACCATGAGATATACTTCTTTAAATAATTATTAAACTTCTATGCCGGATCATACAGCCTCAACAATATATATATTTAGCTATTATAATGATCTAGTACAATATAACGAATGAAAAAAGTGCTTGAAGACTAAAGGAGATCGTATAACACCGCCATCAGATTACTATTATTAACTCTGGAGTTAAAAGGAAACATATTACTTTTACATTCCGAAGAGAAAAAAGTATTAAATCTTTGGTAATGTCGTCTTTTTGGACAATGGTTCGAAAAATTTGATAGAAATGACTGAAAGTTAGTACTGAAAAACGATTTACAGCTATAATGACTAGTTTGATCTAACCATCACTGGGTCGATTCTGAATTGGTCTGCAACTGAAGCTCCGATGACCGTGTGCCGACATTAAGAACCATGTTGACATCGATGTCGCATTGGACGTTGAACTTCCCGATGATTCTCAGCTCTATCTACATTTCGATGATAATAAGGAGTCTGTAAAACGTAGTCTTGAAGATCAGGGTTTGATTTCTATCCAGATTTGAAGAGCAGAAACGCTTTTTGGCCGATGTAGAAATAGATGAAGTGCTTAGACTCGTGCGTCACGTAGCTGCCGAAGTTGCGGCCGACGATGCAATGCCAAGTCGGTTCATGTTCCTCGTCGAACCTCTTCTTGATGGCAGCGGCGACGTCCTTCTCGACGGTACTCTTTGTCATGGCGTCCTGGGCTGCCTGAATGGCATCTTCCTGCAAGTCTTCTGCCATGTCGACGTTCTTGACGACGACTTCATCCTGTTTCTTGCTGCCTTCGGACATGAAGGAAGTGCCACCACGACCACTGCGACTCATCTGGAAAGTGGAAAAACAAGGAAAGGGTTAAAACTACACAACATGAATCATAACGATGTGAAATATTTTGGGATATATTATTATGAAAGTTTTAAAGGGAGCATAATCAGTAATTCATTTTCGAAAACATTGCCGTTTTTTAAAAATTTATTTTATTGTAACCATAGGTTTAGGTTGGAGTACAATTCTCGATATAATCTACAAAAAAGGGGAAAAAGACTTAGCACGCAGCGTCACTTATCACGTTTATGTTACGAAAACGACATCTCGTCTAAATGTGTTTGTGATCGTGTTGGAGAAATCCACAACTGTGCAGATTTTTTTTTATTCCAACACAAAAATCAAAAGCCCTTTGTTGCAACATAACAAAACAAACTTTCTATCTTTAAAGTAAGTACATGTATATAATTACAAACTAAAAGTAATAAAGAATGAAGTCTAACTTACGATGAATATAGAGTTGTTAATGATCCACGAGATGTAGCACGAGACAATCGTGAGCTGCGGCTCTTAGCAGACGTTGTATTGACGAGTAAAGGGCAGAGAATGATCTGCGAATGCATCCATCTGTCTCTTTTATGTCATAGAGCAAGACCTCACCACACTCACAACCAAACACACACACACACGCGCGCGCGCACACACACACACACACGTACATGCACACCCACACACGCACATAAACAAAGTGAAAATATTCGGCTGTGGTCACCCAGTCACTCAAACATCCTTTCAGTGTTTCGTTTCTCTTGGCTCTCAGTCAAGGACTAAAAAGAAGATAAATTATTTTGTGTATTTTCTGGACTTACATAGGTGTCAATATTGCAATGTTTACGTTGTTACTAATGAATAAGAATATAATGAATACTGACAAAATGTTAAAACGTCATTCTATTAAGTATTCATATACCCGAGGCTTTTAATTTAAAAAAATTAATATCATCATGGTAGTGTAAAGTCTATAAATTTTCAATTAATATAATCGGGTTTATGCCTTTGTATAAGTCTAAGAAATCTAAAATTCACACAAAGCTTTTAAAAATCATCACCACTGATTTGAGTGTGGGGCCATAACATTCATATACACAATTATAACATAAATTATTCATACAATTGATAACCCGCACATTTAAAACAAAGCATCAGTGAATAGACTAAAGAATTCGCCATTTGCTCGTAGCTTTTAACAAAACATCATCATCGTTATAAATGTAGAGTCTATAAAATGTACTCTCAACCGTAGCTTTTAACGAACCGTCAATGAATCGTCTATGAAAGGTACCTGTCATTCGTAGCTTGTAACACGATGTAATGAATAAAGAACCTTGATATCCTGACAATGCTGACGCGAAAGGCTGGTTTGTTTTAACACCATTTGCATTTCGGTATTTCAGTAGACTCGGTAGCTTATAACGTATTCTGGTGGTGGGCGTTAACTAACACATGTGTATCGTGAGAATTTTTTTCCCACTCCAAAATTGAATTTTCTGAAAAATTCAAGAAGACCAAAAGTACGATACACAGAATACAGAAATAATGACTTGGAGCAAATAAGTCATTTTAATTTAGCTATGTTTCACAATTTAGAACGGATATCATTATAATTTAACTTAATGAACTTTCTGCATAAACTCATTTAAAAGTTGTTATAGCAAATGTAGAAAAATAAATGATTTAATAACATGAAAAACTTATGTCCTTCCCTTTTCCCTTTTGTCTTTCTCTTTTTTTTTTATTTCTTCTACTAAGTCTTTTAATATCTAGGACGTTGCGAATGAATTAGGGGGTTTCTAAAAAAACTCTAGCGACATCTTACATTAAAAAGAGAAATCAGTTTTGATTTTAAAGCTATGTCATTTAATACATCACTCTTGCAGGATGAATCATAAGTTAAATTGATACGAAATTGAAAGAAATTGACTTTATTATTCTCAAATATTTGATTCTAACACCTTTTGGGATTTTCTTTAATGTCAAATGAGATCAATATCATGACGCAATCTTCTTGATCTCTCAAAGACAACAAAATTCTTAGAACAAATTTGGTTGAAAAGTTTAACAAAGCTTGAATCGGATTACGCTGAAAATTTAAATGAATCTTTATTAAATAAAATAAAATCATTTAGGAAAGATTTAGATATTTTATTTAAAAAAAAAATTATGGTGCTTTTATAGGATCCAGATCAAATTGGATTAAAAATACACGTTATTTTTTTAATTTAGAAAAAAATAAATCATAGTTTAAAAATCATTACAAAAATATACGATGAAAATTGACAAATTAAACAGCCTAATAAAGATATCCTTTAAAAAAGCTAAAGAGTAAAAATGAAAATATGTATACTTCCAATAACCCTTAAACAGCTAAATTTGTACAAATTTTACCTAAAGACTGTCAGAATGTTGAATTGTCATTAAACTCTGAAGAAAAGTGTGAAAGTTTGTTTACGCTTAAAAATATGATAAATAATAAAAGACGTGGGCCCCGTCGCATACAACTTTTACCATTGATGGTAACTTTGCCATCAATGGCAACTACCATGGTAACAGGGATCCAAGGCCAATCAAAATCAAGGTTTCCATGGTAGTTACCATTGATGGCAAAGTTACCACCAATCGTAAATTTTGTGCAACGGGGCCCAGGTATTGATTGGTTTACTTGTGAGTTGTATAAATAATATTTTAAAGATTTGGGCGTCTTATTATTACAAACTTTTAATTATTCATTGCATAGGGGTAGAATGCCTCTTGATCAAAGAAGAACCATAATAAATCTAATTCCAAAGAAAAATCAAGACCCCTTTGGAGACCCATATCTGTTTTAAAAACTGATTATAAATTAATAGCTTAATGCTGAGCACATAGGCTCAGAAATGTATCATCCGAAATTTTAAGTTGAGACCTTGGGGTGTTTCACAAAACGTGTCATTAGTGACAAATAATAGATGTTGTTATAAGCTACTGAAATCCTTGCTTCTGATTAGTTATCAGCAGATATGTCACTGATATTTGTCATTGAAAAAAGACTTTTTGAAACGGGTCCCAGACTGGGTTAATAAAAGATTGTTATATTGGAGAAAATATTCGTTCGCCTTTAGATATGATTGATTATACACATTTTGTATCTATCAATTTATTAACCGATCAACCAATAAATTAACCATTCAACCAACCAATCACCCAATGAACTAGTCAAACTAATCAACCCAAAGCAACCAGCCAACCACCCAATCAATTAAACCGATCAATCAATAAACTAATCATTCAACCAACAAATCAACCGACTAACCAACCAACCAGCCAAGCATCCTATCAATCAATCTATCAATCTATCACCAACTAACATATCAATTTATCAATCTATCAACAAATCAACCAATCAATCAACCAACAACTAACCAACCAACAAGCCAATCGGTCTATCAATCAATCAATCAATCAATCAATCTTACAATCTATCACCAAATAATCAATTAAATGTATCAATCTATCAATCAATCAACCCCAACTAATCAATCAATTTATCAATCGAACAATCTATCACCAACTAGTCAATCAATCTATCAATCAATCAATCAACTGATCAACTAACCAACCACCCAACCAATCAACCAATCAATCAATCTAGCAGTATATCAATCAATCAACCAACTAACCAACTAACCAACTAACCCTACCAATCAACCAATCAACCAATCAACCAATTAACCAATCAATCAACGAATCAACCAAAACAGAAAAAAATCTTTCACCCAATCAACCAACTAACCAACCAACCAACCAACCAACCAACCAACCAATCAACCAACTAACTAATACCAACAAAAAAGGGACCAACCTACCAATAAATCAGCCTACAAATCAATAAGCCAACAAGTCAACCAATCAATCAATCAACCAATCATTCAATCAACCAACAAACAAACCAATCAATCAGACGGCCATTAAAATCATTCACTCCATTGACTAATTCTCAGCCATCAACTAATCAGATTATCTGTTATTCAATATACAGGTATAACTCGGTTATTTAAGTATGAAAACATTTTCATTTTAATAAGGTATATTAGGTTAACTTGACAATTGCATCAACTAATCAGTCAAAGTGTTAAACAGACATGATAGAGAAGACGTAAATACTTCATGCTAGCACAAACCAACTACGTAACATTATTAATAAGATAATTTAACAGTTTGACTTCAAAGTTAGTTATGTTCATTCATTCATGAAACGGAGATGATGATGATGATTTTTTTTTATATTAATCGCATTAATAATAATAATAATAATAATAATAATAATAATAATAATGATAATAATAGTACATAATAGCTATTATAATTATATGTAAAAGTCATCAATACACCATCATATTCATCTTAAATTTATTGGACTCACTCATCATGACAATGAACATATTTACTTTACAGATAGGGTTACTGATTATGTAAACATTCTATCAAATTATTTCCACGATAATTTTTAGATACATATATTTGAGAATTTCCTTTTTTCACTCTTTCAAGAATCATTTTTAAGAGCACCATGATATATATTTCTTTAAATAAATGTTTAAACTTCTATGCCAGATCATAGAGCATCAACAAGCCATTTTGCTGTGATGGTCTAGTAAATGATACGTAAAAGATGGAAAGTGCCTAAAGACTAAAGGGAAATGTATGACACCGCAATCAAATAACCATTATTTATAAACTCCTCCAGAGTAAAACAAATCATATCTTACTTTTACACAACGGAGAAAGTGTTATGTCTCCTTTTGAGGCAACGGTTCGAAAACTTTGAATATAAATGACTGAAGATTAGTACTGGAAAATGATTTACAGTTGTATCGACTATAGTTTGATCTAACCATCACTAGGGTCGATTCTGACTTCGACTGCAACTGAAATTTGATGACCGTGTGCCGACATTAAGAACCATGTTGACATCGATGTCGCATTGGACGTTGAACTTCCCGATGACTCTCAGCTCTATCTAAATTTCGATGATAGTTAGGAGTTTCTAGAACGTAGTCTTGGAGATCAGGGTTTGATTTCTATCCAGACTTGAAGAGCAGAAACGCTTTTTGGCCGATGTAGAAATAGATGAAGTGCTTAGACTCGTGCGTCACGTAGCTGCCATAGTTGCGGCCGACGATGCAATGCCAAGTCGGTTCATGTTCCTCGTCGAACCTCTTCTTGATGGCAGCGGCGACGTCCTTCTCGACGGTACTCTTTGTCATGGCGTCCTGGGCTGCCTGTATGGCATCTTCCTGCAAGTCTTCGGCCATGTCGACGTTCTTGACGACGACTTCATCCTGTTTCTTGCTGCCTTCGGACATGAAGGAAGTGCCACCTCGACCACTGCGACTCATCTGGGAAGTGGAGAAACAAGGAAATGGTTAAAACTTTTAAATATGAATCATAATTGAGATATATGAAAGTTTTAAAGGGAGCGCAATCAGTAATTCATTTTCGAAAAAATTGTTGGTTTGTTTTATTTTTTTTTATTGTAACTATAGGTTTAGGTTGGAGTACAATTGTAGATATAATCATTACTATAATATATTGCTTTTAGAATTGCAACCTAAGTAGAGAAAAAAAAGGGGGAAAAGTAGTTAGCATGTCATTCATCAGGTTTATGTTACGAAAATGACATCTCGTCTAAAAAAAATTAGATCTTCTTTGAGAAAAGCCCTTTGTTGAAACAAATAATGCATAAATTCTATCTTTAAAGTAGGTTAAATGTACATATAAGCTAAAAGTAATGAAGAATGAAGTCTAACTTACGATGAATATAAAGTTGTTGATGATCCAAAAGATGGAGCAAGAAACAATTGTTAGCGACTCTTAGCAGACGTTGTCCTGACGAGTAAAGGGCAGAGAATGAGCTGCGAATGCATCCATCTGTCTCTTTTATGTTACAGAGCAAGACCTCACCAGACCACAACCAAACACACACACACGTACACACACGCGCGCGCACACACACCCACGTACACAACCACCCACACACGCACATAAACAAAGTGAAAATATTCGGCTGTGGTCACCCAGTCACCCAAACATTCTTTCAGTGTTTCGTTTCTCTTGGCTCTCAGTCAAGGACTAAAAAGAAGATAAATTATTGTGTGTGTTTTCTGGGCTTACATAGGTGCCAATATGGCAATGTTTGCTTTGTTACTAATAAATACGAATAGTTTTTGGAGGACGACACTACCCCGGACTGCTATCCCCGGTTTAATATCACTCAATAACTGCCACTAGGACAATTATCCCAAGACATGCACTCCTTAGAATTACCTGTGGTGCCCATATGCAATTACCTGGTTATTAAGTTTGGGAGTAATGGTCCAAGGGGTAATTGTCCACAAAAGTGGTTATCACATGGGTTAGTTTAACGGGAGTTTTCCGGGGAATATAATCGAGAGGAATAATTGTCCTATATAATATCGAACAGGAACGTATGGCAGGAAATCCTGGTCCTTATTATATCTCTTTATCTTTCACACAGCCATTTTGCAAGTAAACTGAAGTAATTACAATTGTTTTTTTTTATTTGCAACTTAATTTAATTCCGATAATGATGCTGAAAAGATGTTTGGTAGTGGTGCTTGTTATCACAATCTCGCATCAGAGGCCCGTTTCTCAAAGCCTTTTTCAAAGACAAATGACACAACTTGGTGACAATCTGCTGATAACCAATCAGAAGCAAGGATTTCAGTAGCTTATAACAAAAACTGTTATTTGTCACTGATGAACATTTTTGTCAAACGCCCCCAGATCTTATGCTGCACCTTCTCTTCCTCAGCCCCTTACCATCAACCTGCCTCCTTACCCTCACTGATAATTTTAAGTGTTTATTACCCGAGGCTTTCAACAAACAATTTTTCATATCATTGAAAATCTATGAATCCAGCTCAATTCATCTGTATTCTTTGACAAAATATCGGGTTTATGAGTGTATAAGTCTAAGAAATCTACAATTCACACGAAGCTTTAAAAAAATCATCACCACTGATTTTGAGTTTGGGCCCATAAAATTCATATACACAATTATAACATATATTATATACAATTGATAACCCGCACGTTTAAAACAAAGCATCCGAGAATAGACTAAAGAATTCGTCATTCGCTCGTAGCTTTTAACAAAACATCACCATCGATATAAATGTAGAATCTATAACATATTTACTCTAACAGTAGCTTTTAACGAACCATCAATGAATCTTTTATGAAAAGTGCTGTCATTCGTAGCTTGTAACGTGGTACCTTGATATCTTTACAATGCTGACGCGAAAGGCAGGTTTATTTTAACACCATTTCTACCATCAATAGCATTTCGGTTTCTCAGTCGACTCGGTAGCTTATAACGTACTATGTGAGATGGTCGTTAACCAATACAGGTATATCGTGAGAATACTATTTTTTACTACAAAATTTAGTTTCCGGAAAAATTCAAGAAGACCAAATTTACGATACACAAAATAATAAATAACGACTTGGAGCAAATAAGTCATTTCCATTTAATTTTGTTTCATAAGTAATAACGGATATCATTATCATTTTAACTGAATGGACTTTCTGCATTAAGATCATTTATAAGTTGTTACAGCAAATGTAGAAAAATAAATTACTTAATATTTAATAACATGAGAAACTTATATCCTTCCCTTTTCTCTTTCTCTTATTTTATTCTGTTTGTCTTCTTCTTCGTCTTTTAATATCTAGGACGTTGCAGGTGAATAATTAGGGGGTTTCGACAAACTCTAGTGAGATCTTACATTTAAAAGAGAAATCTGTTTTTATTTTAAAGCTCTGTCATTTAATACATCACTCTTGCAGGATAAAACATAATTTGAATTGAAACGAAATTGTACAAAAGAAATTGACTATATTATTCTCAAATATCGATCCTAACATCTTTTGGAATCTTCTAAAATGTCAAATGAGATCAATATCAAGACGAAATCTTATTGATCTACCAGAGACAACAAAATTGTTAGAAAACATTCGGTTGAAAAGTTAAGCAAAGTTGAAACAGATTACGCTGAAATTTTAAATGAATCTTTATTAAATAAAATAAAATCATGTAGGAAAGATTTAGATATTTTATATAAAAAGAAATTTGATGGCGCTTTCATAGGATCCAGAAATTTATATGTCAGTTTTGATATTCCTATAATTAGTATCATTATTATTGTTGTATTTTCTTTGTATCCTCGAATGCATTTATATATTGTTTATGTTGTGTGTATATGTCACTCCCCAATGGAGGACGAATTTCTGTATTTCTTCTAATCAGACAATAAATTATCTTAAATCTGAAATGAAATTGGATTGAATATGGCGAAAAAATACACGTTATTTTTTTAAATTTAGAATTAATTATAAAAATATACGATGAAAATTCACAAATTAAAGAGCCTAATAAAGATTCCCTAAAAACAGCTAAAGAGTATAATAAAAAAAATGTATACTTCCAATAACCCCATAACAGCTAATTTTTTACAAATTTTACCTTAAGACTGTCAGAATGTTGAACTGTCATTAAACTAAAGAAAAGTGTGAAAGTTTGTTAACATTGAACTAATGTTTGAATATGCTTAAAACTATGAAAAAAATAAACACCTGGTATCGATGGGCTTACTTGTGAATTTCATAATTTTCTTTCTTTTTAAGATTTGGGTTTCTTGTTGTTTAAAACTTGTAATTATTAATTTCATTGGGATAGAATGTCTCTTGATCAAAGAAGCACCGTAATAAATCTAATTCCAAAGAAAAAATACACTTTATTTTTGAAAAAGTTGGAGACCCTTAGGGCTATCTGTTTTGAATACTGATTATAAAGTAATAGCTAAATGCTTAGCACATGCAATCTCAGCTCAGAAATATATCATTCGAATTATAAATTGAGACCAGACTGGGATTATGAAAGATTGTTATATTGAAGAAAATATTCGTTTGCTTTAATATATGATTGATTATACCCATGCTTTATCAATCCAATTATTAACCGATCAACCAATAAATCAACCAATCAACCAACCAATCAATTAACCAACCAATTACTCAGTCTACCAATCTAACTAATCAACCCAAACCAACCAGCCAACCACCCAATTCATTAAACCGGACAACACATCAACTAATCAATCAACCAAGAAATCATGCTACCAATCAATCAATATATCACCAACTAACCAATCAATTTATCGATCTATCAATCAATCAACAACTAACCAACAAACCAACCACCCAATCGATCAACAAATCAACCAATCAACCAACAAATCAACTAACTAACCAATCAACCCCCCAATCATGCCTTCAAATTTCAATCAATCAATCTATCACCAACTAACCAATCAATTTATCAATCTATCAATCAATCAACCAACTAACCAATAAATCAGCCCACAAATCAATCAACCAATCATTCATTCAATCAATCAACCAACCAATCAATCAATCAGGCAGTCATTAAAATCATTCACTCTATTGACTATTTCTCAGCCATCAACTAATCACATAATCATTCTGTAATTGAATATACAGGTATTTATTAACTCCGTTATTAAAGTATGAAAACACTCTCATTTTAATCAGGTATGTAAAGTTAACTTGACAATTGCATCAACTAATCAGTCATAGACATGATAGAAAAGACGTAAATATTTCATCCTAGCACAAATCAATTACGTAACATATTAATAAGATAATTTGACAGTTCAACTTTAAATTGATTATGTTCATACATACATGAAACTGAGATGATGGCATTAATAATAATAATAATAATAATAACAATAGTGATAGGTATTGTTTTAATTATAGTTTATAATAGCTATTATGATAATACGTAAAACTCATCTATTCACCATCATATTCATCTTATATGTAGACTCACTCATCATGACCATGAACATAATTATCTACTTTACATATTGGGTTACTGATTATTTAAACCTTTGATAGAATTATTTCAACGAAAATGTTTTATACATATATTTGTGAATTTCCTTTTTCACTCTATAAAGAATTATGTTTAAGAGCACCATGAGATATACTTCTTTTAATAAATGTTTAAACTTCTATGTCAGATCATACAGCATCAACAATCTATTTTGCTATAATAATGATCTAGTAATAATAATAATAATAATATTTAATTTTTATATAGCGCTTTTCTAAGCGCTTTACAAATATACTATTACCCCGGTCATTGGATTCAGTGCTTGCCCGCACACGCACAATATAACAAATTGAAAGTGCTTAAAGACTAAAGGAGACCGTATGACACCGTCATCAAATTAACATTAGGGCCTATTTATAAACTTCTCCAGAAATAAAAAGAAACATATTACTTTTACATTCCGAAAGAAAAAAAAGGTATCAACTCTTTGCAACGTCGTCTTTTGCACAATGGTTTGCAAGCTTTAAATAGAAATGACTGAAAATTTGTACTGGAAAATGATTTACAGTTTTGTTTTACTAGTTTGATCTAACCATCACTAGGGTCGATTCTGCCTTAGAATGTAACTGAAGCTCGATGACCGTGTACCGACATTAAGAACCATGTTGACATCGATGTCGCTATATGGACGTTGAAACTCCACATGATTCTCAGACCTTTCTAAGTTTCGATGATAAATATGAGTTTGTAGAACGTAGTCTTGAAGATCAGGGTTTGATTTCTATCCAGACTTGAAGAGCAGAAACGCTTTTTGGCCGATGTAGAAATAGATGAAGTGCTTAGACTCGTGAGTCACGTAGCTGCCGAAATTGCGGCCGACGATGCAATGCCAAGTCGGTTGGTGTTCATCATCGAACTTCTTCTTGATGGCAGCGGCGACGTCCTTCTCGACTTTACTCTTTGTCATGGCGTCCTGGGCTGCTTGAATGGCCTCTTCTTGCAAGTCTTCTGCCATGTCGACGTTCTTCACGACGACCTCGTCTTGTTTCTTGTTACCTTCGGACATGAAGGAACTGCCACTTCGACCACTGCGACTCATCTGGGAAGTAGAAAAACAAGGAAATGGTTAAAACTTTAAAATAGGAATCATTTGGAATATATTACAGTTTTTAAAGGGAGCATTTAACCAGTAAAGGCTAATTAATTTTCGAAAACATTGCCGGTTTCTATTAATTTGTGACGATAGGTTTAATTTAGTTTGGAGAACAGTCTGTAATGACGTATCATGTATTTCCTTTCACGATTTAGCACTTCATCTATAAGGTTAAAATATTGCAAAAACGACATATCTTGTCTAAATGTACTAGCGGCCAATTTGGAGAAATCCACCTAGGAGCTCTTTATTCCGACACAATAATCAAAATCCCTTTGTTGCAACATAACAGTTCATAACTTCTATCTGTAAAATAAAAAAAATATCAACTAAACGAAATGAAGAATGAAGTCTAACTTACGATGAGTATAAAGTTGTTGACAATCCACGAGATGTTGTAAGAAATTAGTCGAGAGCGACTCTTAGCAGACCTTGTCCTTACGAGGAAAGGGCAGTGAATGAACATAAAATACATCCATCTGTCTCTATTATATCACAGAGCAAGATCTCACTGAACTTAACAAATTCACACCCCCAAAACCACAACAACAAAAAACACAAACAAGAAAACCCCCGATAAATGAAAATATTCGGCTGACACCAGTCATCCAAACATCCATTCATTGTTTCGGTTCTCGTTACTCTCAGTCAAATACAAATTTATATATATTTTGTGGGTTTCTGAAAATATTGACGATTGAGGAAGAGAGCGAGAGAGAAAGAGAGAGAGAGAGAGAGACTGTCTCACGATAAAAAAAATTTAGCAAGGCTTAAATAAAATTCGTGTTGGTGGTATTGGTGGAGATAGGGACTCTCACCCTGTCTATAGCTTTTAACAAAATACATGTATATCACCAATGACGAATGACAAGCACCTACAGTGTTGTAGCTTTTAACAAAATATATCACCAATGACAAATGACAAGAACCAACAGTATTGTAGCTTTTAACAAACCGTGTCCTTTTCAAGGCTCTCAACAGTAGCTTGTAACGTGATGGTGTTGAGTAAAGAACCTTGGTTTTCTGACAATTGTTTTTATTTTCACGCGAGGGATGACACTGGAAATATTTGTGAGAATAAAAGATATTTCGAATTTGTTTTGGTAGCATGGTCAGACTTTAGCTTGTACCTACTGTGAGATTGAATAGTGTCAAATAAAAAAAATATTTAATAAAAAACCTGTGAGAATGATATTGGCCTTTTAAAGAATTCCTTACCCTCTAAACGAAATGAAACCGAAACTACTTAAGTCAAACGAAATTGAAAGGGATGTAAGACCAAATATGTCCAGGGTTAAAAGAAAATTATAATGATATGCCCCGCCCCAACCCTCAGGTTACGAAGCATGATTCTATGGCCGAAGGCAATTTTATGAGTTTTGAAAAAAGCTCCTGTGATTATCTTTGATTGTATAAGTACTGAAAACCCGGTACAAAGATGATTATTTCATTTCTCTTCAATATTTCGGGGTGTATAACGCTGGGGTCCGCTCGCTATTTGTATTGACCGTTATTCGTAAGGACCGCTATTCATAATCGAAGAAGAGGGTCGCTGTTCATAATCGAAGACGAGGGACACTATTCATATTACAAAATCGGACCCTATTCATAATACGAGAAGAGGGTAGTTATTCATAATAGGAGAAGTATTATACGTATACGTATTACACGCATTTTGAATAGCGACCCTCATTTCGTATTATGTATAGGGGTCCTTATGAGCAGTGACCCCCAATGTAAATTATATATAGCGCCCCTTCTTAATGGTTATGGATAGCAACCCTCATTTCGTATTGTGAATAGCTGTTCTTATGAGTAATGACCCTCCATGTGAATTATAAATAGCGACCCTCAACTCACGTTGTGATGAACAGTCCTATGAATAGTGACCCCCCTTTGCATTTTAAGTTACACGTTAAGAATAGCAGTCCTTATGACTAGCAAGGTGACCCCTTTAACGCTTACGTGTCCGAACAAAATTATTCAGACCAACAATTCTACTTTTTTTCACAACCATGTCAATTAAAAACAAAAATAGCCTTCACAGCATTCTCTCCGTCTCTCTTCTTCTTCTCCTCCTCTTTCTCTCTCCCGCTCTCTCATTCCCTCGCCCTCCCTCTTTCACACTTCAAAGCCTGTTCAAATGGCATACATGTACTTACAATGGCATAGAAAATCATAATGCAATTTCTGTGATGCAAAATTTTATTTATTTTCTGTCAAAACTTTTGACAACTCAACACGTTTAAGAATAGAGAATATAAGGGGAAAATCGGGATAAAATCGGGGAAAATGGAATGGATAGGTGATCAACTAATACACACTAAGGTAAAGAATAAATGACTATCTCGTGAGCAGACTTTACTAGCAAACATCACTTTTCATTTCCTACCAAAATCATCCTTCTCCACGACCAATCTTAGGTAACCAGAGTGCTTCAACTTGAATGCACAACTTTCACGCATGTCCATTAAGGACGCATAATTCACACACGGTTCAGATGGAAAATCCATCACCACAGGATTCTAGTACTTCTTGCCCATCTATTTGAATTCTTCCATACCGTATTAACTGGAAGAATTTCCACCACTAAAACCTCTACCCCTCCATACCCACTTTCCATTGGTTAGACAAGGAGTATGAAGGAGTCCAAGGGTAAACACAGGACCGTCCGATGTATGCCGCCTTTTAATACTAATGCTTCCTCGTCACAGACCCGTCTTCTTGACAGGTCAAGTGACTGCTTCGTTTCATCTCAACCTTTAGCTCACCCTTCCGAAATGTAAACATACTTCCTGAGTGAAGTCATGCCTACCTGCCACACATCATCAGCCTGAGTGATCCTCCGACAAAGCGACTTTCAAGTCTGTCCATGATTAAATGGATGTGGGAAGGTTCAGGAAGACCAAGACAACAACCAAGGATGAACAACTCCCATCGGTAACAAAACACACTAGCCATTCTACGAAGATCCTGTTCTTTGAAAGGCATTATTTCCTGCAATATTCCCCAAATCAGAAGACATGCATCCAAGAATCATGTCATCTAGAGTTTAGAGAATGAACTGAAATTTCAGCACCCATCAGCGAAACCAAACTTAATGGAGCCATTCAACAAGGCCTACTATCGTGTATTCGATTTTTATTCGAAAAGCACATGCTGGACACATCTCGATACTCCTCTAAAATGTCAAAACACACTTCTTCTCTACAATCCCCTGCAGTGTTCCGATGTTGGGGCCGAGACCTTGAAAGGTTTAAGTGGAGATTGATCTAATGGATAACATGCACCTTCAACCAAGGGTCATGTTATACATCAAATCTTCCAAACCAAAGGCTACATTAAACAATGGTCTTCAATTCTGGGGCACACACCTATGTCATGCCTAATTAGTATGTTGAACTTTTGATTATAATTTGTTCAGTTGTTTTCAAATGACAGAGCAATCCATTCAGAATCACTGTATAAACAGCATTGCAAAAACTAAATGGAAACTCAAAGATCAATTTTAAGAACTCTATAAATATATTCCATTCGATTTAGAAAAGGTGGAGAATACCCTTCCCTTTTTCAAAGCCTTTCATTTTAGATGCTACCAAGGCAAAGAATTATTAAACCCCCAACTACCTGGAGAATGGAGATGCTGTCATTATAAAACATCCTTGAATCTCCTTTCTAAAAGATGTGAGGAGCAGACGCATACAAAATAAGTCTGTGCATAGTTTACATTAACTTTGTTTTTAAAAAATATATAAATTTGGCACTTGGTAAGGAAAACAACAAATGGAATGACTAATTTCAGCCTAAAATCCCATAAAGGCAAGTAATGTTAAAATAACAAGATAACACAACATTTTCTTTGGTAATGGCGAGGACCCTGTAAAAAGGAACAAATCCACAAGGTCCCAATTCTCTCTTGGCCTACCATGGTAAACAAACATTCAGTATCCACAAAACCCCTAAAGGGTAAGTGGAAGTACAAACAAAACAAAAACAATGTGAAAGAACAGGGACGGATTAATTGAAAGCCCGCATCTGGGGTGCAGACTGTCCCATAGATAAAGAGCCGAACTTCTTGGTCTACATTTAGAGACCAATCAAAATACCCCTTAACATAAGACAGGGTCCCAGGACTTAGCAATTGTACCGAGACTGCTGGATTCCCAACAAAAACCTTGCCGACGTGAAACTATTGCATAATGAATACTTTGGTTTGTTGTATATGTACAAAAAAAAAAATCAATGCTTGACACCCTGAGAAAATTACAAATACGGAATGAGTTGTACTTAAACTGTATCCATTATACGCCAAGAAAAGCTTTGCCAAGAATGGCATAATGGCCCTCGATTATCTCACAATTAAAGGAACATGAAAGCTCTCATGGTACCAACCATACTTCCAAGTAGTTGCTACTTGAACAAGTCTGTAACCAACCCAAACTAGAATCAAGTTGTGTTACTCACTTACACTCTAAGTAACAAAACTTTATTTCAGACTGGATTATGATGAATAAGAAGTCTTGGTGTCGACACAAACACGGCCTCCAAAAACAACTCTAACGATGCACGATCTTCCATAGACCTGTCCTATGGCTTACACAGGGCTCCAAATACAGCCGAAGAACCCGATATCAAACACACTCCCAGAAACCAAACCATTCCCGAGTGGAGAAGAGGACATTACTGATTCTGCTTAACACTATCAGCCGATGGCACACAAAGAGAAACACATTTGGCAAGGTACAATAAAGTCTTTGATGAACACACACACTGTAGATTCCAGAGGAACTAGCACTGAAGAAGACAAGGCTTTGGCATTTCTTGTTGCTCCAGTACGTTCGAGTAGAACTACTGGACACTGGGCAACCTAAGAAAGTATTTGATGTGCACCTCACATGAAGACATTTCCTGAGTGGCAGAAGGGCGTTAACTTGCAGACTTCAACAGAGTTAATGCCCTTCTAGCTCTCAGCACGACTATGTAGTAAACAGGTGCAGAGGCGTGACAAAGCTACTGTGTCCCTTCTTACACATCTAGGGAATGTGTCTTTGCAACATGTCACCCAAGTTCCTTCCTTGCCCCTTTCGAAATGAACAGGGGCTACACAGGAACTGCTTATTCCAAAGGTAGGAGAACATCACCAAGATGCTCTCCAACCAAGACATGTGAGGATACCCATTCTGGCTACCAAAGTAGCACTATCATACTTTCTAGGTTTGGACGGATTTGATGTTAATACTGTCGTGGTGTTTTGGGCGTTTTTTCTCTACCGCTTCCGCTTTTAGTCATCGCTTATTCCATCTTTCTTTTTCCACCCCTTTTTATCGGCCCGTATTCCGGCCATCTTGCATAACTTCTCTGCATAACATTCAAGGAAATTTTCCCTCCTTTGGTTCTATCCGTTTGTATAACTATCGCTGACGGATTGTCAGCTCAAAATACCACATAATGGCAACAAACAAACAACTTAACAATAAGAACATTAAAATAGAAACAGTATTGATTTGAACCTAGCTACGTATAAAAAAATAGTTGAACATGATTTAAAAGCATAAAAAGTAAATGGATAGGAAAAGATTATACTTGATGATATATGATTAAATCTATTCTAATGGAATTGTTAGAGTAGATCAAAGATGATACTTATCAAACAAATTATGAAACTAACCTCATGTCATGAAATAAAATGAATATGTAGGTCAGGAATGACTATCTAGGCTTACATTCTAGTAATCAGAAGAAAGATATAAAGTATGCATTATCGGATGTGGCATGCCTACTCTAAAGAGTTAAGAAATGCAATTAATACCGATCAGAGACAGCTTCTCTTTCTTTTTAGAACGTTTGTCTAAATATCAAGTAGATTCTACTTCTTACTACTGCAGTTGCTAGCAACGACTTTTGCCAATTTTAACGATTATGAAAGAAGAATTTTTTTTCTTCATTTTGTTCCATGCATTTATCTACTAAGATATGTCATTTTCTGCCAATCATAGCAGGTTAAATGCTTAAATCTGTACATTGTGTCTCATTCCAACCTACGCTTTTTTCAGACAACTGCTCTATAATGTTACAACATTAACCTCTTTTAAAACAAAAGCATCAAAGCTGGAATATTTCCTTTATCACTTCCAAAACAAGAGTGCTCACACAAAACAAAACTGCGGTGAACATGACAAAACTGTCAACAATGAAATGATAATCACTTAACTCGCAGTGCTGAGGCACTAATACATCATGAAAGCACAAACCATTTACAAGAAGGTTGATTCATGTATTCGTAATATATATAGAAAGGTCTGATGGAATATTCTTGAACAATATTCTCAACAAAAGCTCAACTCCTTCCTCTTTCTTCATACTTTGATTTCTCACTGCCGTCTTCCGCTGGAGATGTGCAAATGAATTTTTCTTCATTGATTCAAATGTTTATGGATCGATGTCCTTCTCAAAGACGAATCTCATTTGTGTTTCTTCTCCAGGAAAGTGCAGATATCATACGGGTGGAAGCTTGCTTTGATTGCAATGGCAACCTAATCCCATGATTCATCATCAGCAGCTCCTCCTCCGCCGCCGCCGCCGCCGCCACCGCCTCCTCCTCCAGATCCCCACTCGTCTCCACCACCACCGCCACTTCCTCCTCCCCTTCCTCCTCCTCGACCACCGAACTGAAGGCAAAGAGATGAAAATGAGATTACTATCATGTAAACACTGTGACTTACACAACATGGACACTTTGTGATTCTGTGACATCTCACAAACATCCATTAACATGTATCCATGAGTACAGATTTGAGCCGATGCAAATTTTAATTTCTTTCTTACCTATCAAAATCATTCCCACTACAGGATATTTTTCAAGGGCTTTGGATGATTGTACCCATTCTCTAGTTCAATATGTTTTTAGTGCCTGTCTGCTGTAGGTCACAGGGAAAATACCCCTCCTACGTTTCGGTGACAGAAGGATTCTTGCAAGTACGTAACACATGTTGACTTCAAACCTGGTGCGGGGACCCCAGAAAAAAGAAATACCTAGCGGCAATTTCTCCACGATATGGATTAGAATAATTGTCAATAAGAAGGTGTAACCTGCAAGAACAGGTTATGACTACATCCCTTCCCCTTTCTCCATCTTCCTCCTCCTTCTTTTCCCTCCCTTCCAGTCATGCAATGCAATTCCATTTTTGGGACAGGTATTGAAGTCTTCCTCCTTCTTCTCCTCCCCTCCTTGTCCTTCTCTTTCTCCTTGTCCTTCTCCCCTCTCCCTACCTCTTCTCCTCCCCCTCCTCGTCCATACTTCTTCTCCTCCCCTCCTCGTCCATACTTCTTCTCCCTATCTTCCAGTGGGGCAACACAATTCCATTCATTTTTAAACAGGTATGAAGAAAGGTCTAACAGGGACCCATTTCACAAAGCTTTTTTTCAAAAGCCCTGACTTTTTGCTTCTGGAAAAAATATTTTTAAATTCCCTGACCCGTACAAGCCTTGTTTCAATGACAAATCAGCTGATAACCAATCAGAAGCAAGGATTTCAGTAGCTTATAACAAAAACTGTCATTTGTCACCGGAGACAAGTTTTGTGAAATGGGGCCCAGAACTGCCGCAGGGCATACATACCTTCCTGGTGTCCCTGCCTCCAAAGCTTCCTCCAGCGTTGCCATGGTACGTTCCAATGGCCGAATCAGCAGCCTCCTCTAAGAACTCTGGTACTTCCTGCTGTGCCTACATCATCAATACAAACATTATACATCAATTACATGAACAATTCCATCAATCAATTTTGATTTACTTCCATTGAAATGTACAGTCAAACCTGCTTTAGTGACCACCTTTCTACAAAAACCGCATTTTTTGTTTCCATTGAAAATGGATTCTCATTGAAACATATACTAAAGTAACCCGTCTACAAAAACCACTTTTTGTGTTTTGTGTTTGACTGTATTTGGCATTGTTGAATACTGTTTAAAAAGTCAAGGTAGGATAATGTTTCTTTCCTCCCTATGAAGCATTTAGAAGGAAAGTCGCAAAACTCGGCTCATACAAAGTTCGTTATCACAGACATGAATGAAAAGAGAATAAAATGTGGCTTGTACTGTGTAGTATAGACATTATTAATAAACATGTAATATACTTGTAAGAACATATGTTCACCTGAGCTGTCTCCTTATGTGGAGTATAGCACTCAATCTCTCATATCAAATTTATTGATTTATGATGGAACATAAATATATGAAATAATTCTACATGTTGCGCTCTATTATATGAAGACCCAATGACTCTGATTATCTAAGCATATTAGTTTTATCCAAGTGTCTTCTTGAATGTGTACCAGTTATCAAAATATGATTTACTCTTGATCTGAGGGGTTTTACGTGGATATACTGCATTCAAGATAAGAGCTTTAAATAGTATTATCAAAAGAGACATGGCAGTTTGAATACACCCTCAGCATATTACTTAATAACGACTTGTTGAGTAGGTGATTGGTGTTCTTTAAAAAGACTTACATCAGCCAAGATTTTAATGAGAGCTCTCGCGATGTTAGCATCCTTTTCTGCATCATAGAAGCTAGTTGATCGTCCAAGGTTTCCAACACGTCCGGTACGCCCGATGCGATGCACGTACTCGTCGATGTCGCTTGGAAGGTCGTAGTTGACCACGTGCTTGACCCCTGGGATGTCCAGACCTCTGGCGGCTACAGACGTGGCAACGAGGATTGGTGCCTTGCCGGTCTTGAAGTCACGCAGGGCTTCTTCACGCTCCTGCTGCTGACGGTCACTGGTTGACAAAAAAATTTAAACAAATAAAAAGTTGTTCTTCTTAATTTGATCTCCTTCGGACTTGTGGTAAACTGCAAATTCTTGCAACATTAAATTAACAAATCTGTAAGAAAGATACTATGAAAAAGCAGAAGACCATTGACCCATGAAAAGCCAGAGCTCAAAACACTACTGGTGGGGAATTCAGATCGACCGAGACAAATGTAAGTACCTAATTTCTTTGGAGGACTGCTGAAATTTCCTGGGGTTTTTTCTTCCCAATTTTTATGATCCCCCCCCCCCCCAAAAAAAAAAAAAAAAAAATTCTGACCTTTCTCTGTCTGGCAAAAAAAGGTAAATAATTTTCGAGGATAGCTGGGAACCGTGCAAGAAGTCATAGAAGACTCTGTCATGTGGGGGAGAACCTAGCTCATGTCTCAAAACTTCGACCTGAATAGAAAACTGAGAATCCCTATTCAGTCTAAAGAAGAGATTTTTGATCTGCCTCTTTTAGATTGTCAGATGAAGAACAGTAGTCGGCTTCTCTGAATTCAAACAAAGAGGCTTGATTCTAACATCACCCATGTCAATTCCTTGTTAGTCCATTAATTGCAGCAGAAGAAACAAATATATCCACAAGAGAAATTATTGACCCTCTAAAAGTAAGCACTTAACTCCTTATATGCTTGGAGAAAACTGAATCTCTCTAGCCGTAACTGAGCAGATGAGATTAGTACAGAATTATGGAGAGCCAAATGTCACCTTCTTTATATCAAAAGATTACCATAATTCTGTACAAACTTGGTACTTAAATAGACTAATATCATGTCATCATGGAGAAAAAAAAAGTGCCTTCAACAAAACTTGAAGCTCATCTGTACTAGTTTACAGGAGGTATTAGACCCCACTGCAAGGTCACTGGACAGGTGGTTATCTCATCAAATCAGCTCTCAGTTAACATAAGAAAAAGATGATCATGGGGGACCAACAGGCACCGCTTAGGCATTGTTTGATATATAGAGGGAGCAAGTAGCTACAAGTAGTACAGTGGGTCTTTAAACCAATATTGAGATTGATGTAAACTTGAAGAAAGTGATGGTTTACCCATGGATGCTGGTGGTGGGGAATTCAGATTGACTGAGAAGAGAGGCCAAGAAATCAGCATTCCTCTTTGTCGAAACAAACACCAGAGTACGGTCATCATCTGAAAATGAAAAAGAATCAAAAGAAAGAAACAGAATGAACACTTGTACCACGAAAGCGATCAAGAAAAATGGTATCCAATACCTTTGGTCAGTTTCATTTGACCAATGAAAGCAAATATTTTGACATAACTATTACTTGAAAGCACGTCATTCATAGTCCCTCCCCCCCCCCCCCCCCCTCCTCCTAACATACACATAAATCAATCATAGTTTTCTTGTTTCTAAGCTAGATCTGGACACCTCGTCACCACTGTCCTCTTTCAACCAAACTATTTAAAATTGATTTCTCTTTATGACTTTTCATAGCTTTCTGATATTTTGAACTATAACTCCTTTTAGTAGAACAAGGAGACATTACGGCAAGGATCCCTCACTAGCCAGCATGTACAGTTCTGAAAGGCAATGATATCCATAGCTAGCCCTGTTTCATAAAACTTGTTATCAATGAAAAGTTTCAATAACTGTTATAAGCTACTGAAATGTGGGCCTCTGATTGGCTGGGAGCTACTATGTCATAGAATATTATCATTTTTTATTGACAACAGGTTTTATAAAACAGGGTCCTGATACATGACATCCCTTTGATGAATGGGCATCAATGTGAACTACAGGGATGCTAGTTATAGAATTGATCTGAGGGCCTGAAAATCACCTGGAATATTTGTATACAAAAAAGCCTAAACTATGGCCTGAAAACAAATTGCCAGGGCCTGAATTCAGGCCTTTGCCTGAAAATTGGCATCCCTGGAACAAGAGTCCTAACATGACACATCTTCTCAAGCCCCTGACACCCATCTAATCTTTCCCTCGTTTGAATTTGAATTTGTATCTTTGAACTTGTATCTTTTTGAACGCAGAAATAAAACCAAACAAACCTTTCTGATCCCTCAGGATCTCCATTAGCTTATCTCGCTTGTCGAACTGCCCGACCGAGAACACCCTCTGCTCGATGTCAGAGGCAGCTCCTCCTACCCTCCCTACCGTCAGGAAGAGATAGTCGTTGAGGTACTCCCCTGCCTTCTCCTGGACCTCGTTGGGGAAGGTCGCACTGAACATCAGGGTCTGACGATCACCCTTGGCAGGCATGTGAGGGTGCTCGATCAGTCTCTGGATATCAGGACCGAAACCCATGTCCAACATACGGTCGGCTTCGTCAAGGATCAGGAACTTCAGCTTGCCTAGGCCGATCTAGATTGGAGAAGAACACAGAGTTGAAGTCATGGTGGCTAACAGATAATGGAAATGTTTAATGAGGGTATCATGCATACAACGTAATTGCTCTATATTACAATTCATAATCTAAATAATAAGTAAATCCACATATTTTCTGATTTGCATTTAAACAGGGTTCCCAGCATTTCAAGAAAACAAAATTCCATATTTTCCCCTGCTGGGGATCAAATACAAGGATCCTAAAAATAGTGCTTTTACACTAAAAAGCCATGATGGTCAATTGTCTAGTGTATGTCCTGTTTGTACACAAGAAAAATATAAGTACTTAACTTTGTTTGACGACTGCTGCAATTTCCTGTTACTTTTTTTCTTCCTGATTTCAATGATTTGTTTTCCCCACGAAAAGGTCCCTGACCATTCTCAGGTGGCAAAGAAAGGTAAATAATTTCTAAATGATTTCAAGGATTTCCTGATTGCGAAGATAGCTGGGAACCCTGCAAGAAGTCCTAGTAGATTCTGTCATATGGGGGAGAATTTAGCTCATGTCTCAAAACTTCGACCTGAATAGAGAACTGAGAATCCCTATTCAGTCTAATGAAGAGATTTTTGATCTGCCTCTGTTAGATTGTCAGATGAAGAACAGTAATTGGCTTCTCTGAATTCAAACAAAGAGGCTTTGAAGGACTAATATCATGTCATCATGGAATTAACTTTGTTTTGTTTCATGATTAAATTCAATATAATTTTTACTTCAATTTGTTATGGAACTATAGTACTTTGTTCAGAATTAAGACCTGAACACCTGGTTCTATGAATCAGGAGATCCAAGTTAAGTCAGATTCACTTACATATCCTCTGGTTACGAAGTCATGCATACGTCCGGGCGTGGCCACCAGGATGGAGCATCCCTTCTGACACTCTCTCATCTGATGACTGACGCTGGTGCCTCCGTACACCACCACAGGTCGTATGGTGGTGCCGCGGCAGAACTTGCGTGCCTCGTTGTAGATCTGGATGGCCAGCTCGCGGGTTGGCGAGACAATGAGGGCCAGAGGTTCCTGGATCACGTTGAAGGTGCTGATGCAGCCTCCGTGGGTGATCATGTTGGTGATGATGGGTAGGAGGAATGCCGCCTGATCACAAATAAAAAAGAATGGTTTTAAACGTGTCATGAATAGTCACACAAATAAAACATGAGGTTTACAATAATAAGGCTCAAATCTGTTATACATGTACACAGAGCCATAAAATCGGGTTTTAGGATACCCATACTCTGGAAACGATTGCCCCATGGTTAATATTCAAAGCATTGCTTCTAATACAGTGTGGTCACTTAAAAACTCTATGTTAGGATTCTCCTACTGACAAAGGTATTCTCATGATCAAACATGTGCTCAGTTGCTTGCTTCCCTACAGCACTTGAGGTCAAATGACAACAAATTCCTCCCAAACTTACCGTCTTTCCTGATCCTGTTTGTGCACAGGCCATCAGATCACGTCCACAAGAAATGATGGGCATACCATACTTCTGCACAGGTGTTGGCTTAGCGTAGTGAGCCTTACGCACATTGGACAACACTGTCTCATCTAGCTCGGCCTCCTCAAAAGCTCGTATATTTTTGGGCCTGTCTCGACCTGTATGAAGCAAAGACAGAATGAATGAAGGATTCATGTAACACAAGAAAAGATGTGCAAGCTACTTCAGTTCATACATCAAATATACAGCCTCAGGTATATCCAGAATGCCAAAAAAAAATGATTCAAAACCATGCGTTAATGACAGGCAACCGGTGACCCACTGCGCAACAAAGAGCCCCCGGTTGCCATTCATTCACACATAAAATAGTTTTGATCCTCACCGTCGTATTTGTGTGTTATAAGGTATAGAGTGAATGGCACTATGCCTATGCCATTCTATTTCGCCACGGCATATTTTTCTAAAAAGACATGCAACATTAATCTTTCACAACTTGTTGCGGACAGCCATTTTCATGATAAGAAACTCTTGTAAATTTAGCGGTGTATCCATTGTGCTTGATCATTTCGCGTCATGAAACTTACGGGAATCTGAGCATCTTGCTAAAAATTGTGTATCATTAATACTCACCACTGACTTCTACGGGTATATCATCATACTTGTTGAAGTTGATTCCTTGTTCAGTGCTTATGTAGATCTGTGATTCTTCCTCGGATGGGTCGGGAGGAACGTAGGTGGATGCTGGCGGCTTGGCTGGAATTAAACACAACCATAGATAATACCATTAGTCAATTATGCTTTTATGTATCATATTGCTGGAGGTGTCGTGGTGTAGTGGATAAGCCCCTGGAGTAGGAAGCACAAGGTATTTGGATTGAAGCTGTCACCCCACCAACGTCATTCGGCAAGACATTAAGCTACATTTGCCACATTCCACTTAGGTGGGGTAAATGGGTAACTGGCAGAAATTAACTCCTCAAAATGCTCAGCACCGTAATAGCAGCCACGCTAATAATAACAGTGAGGCGGGAGTGTCAAGTGCGACAGATACTTGGTACTTGGTTGGGTAATCTCTTTGGCAGCTCACTCAGGAAGCTATATTGGGATGGGGGAGCACTATACCAAAAATACTACTATTATCATTATTACTCAAATATTGTACAAATATTTATTCTAAAACATAATTAATCATAATTCTTTAGAAAGCCATAAAAAAAAGGAAGCTCACCTTCACCACCTTCGCCTTCATCTATAGAAATACAGAGACAAAAACAAAATGTCAGACAAAAAATTAGACCTGGACATCACTATTTGCCATCATCATAATCATCATTTTTGCCCTTGAAAAAAATAATTTTTTTTCAGTTTACATGTTGAATAATAATTAGTAATTCTGCTTGTATCATTCGTTTAGCACTTTCAATATAAGTATTTTAAAAAAAAGAACATACAAACGAGTTAACAAGTTATGACATTAATTTCTTAGATACTGGTGAACCGAACAGGCGGCCTGTGAAGAAATAGGTCAACAAAATCCATACAAAGTATACAGAATATCGAATGAATCCAAAAACTTAATTTCTCACAAAAAGAAAGTCTCTAACCTATACCTAAATACATCAAACAAGAGATGGGTATGCGATCTAAACTTACTTCTTGTATCTGGATTGGGGCATTCCTTGGCAAAGTGGCCTTCTTCTTGACATCTAAAGCACTTTCCACCACCTCCACCTCCTCCACCTGTTACAGAATGAATGACACATGAACAGTAACCCATTTCCTGAAAGTGACCCAGACATGGGCATAGACACTGGTACCAATGGAAGGAGGGTTGTTTCACATGAGAAATGGTACCGGTTTGTTAGCTCAGTCAGTAGAGCGCCCGCCTCACAACTGGGAGGTCGTGTGTTCGAACCCCGGCCGCGTCATACCAAAAGACGTTAAAAGACGGGAGTTGATGCTACCTTGTTTGGCGTTCAACAATAAGGGATAGAGCAACGTCAATTTGCGCTGCTCAGTGGCTGCCGGGCTCACAATCAATTGGGCAAAAAGAATTTCAGTTTAACTTAATAAAATTTAGAGTGGACTTTAAATATTATTATTATTATTGTAGTAATTTGAGATAGTTGCCTCCTGTGGCTGGGCATGGATTTTGGGCGGGCTTTTGTTCGATGTGCACTCTGGCCTCTCTTGCAATGGCTCGAGTGCATGCTGGACAATGGCCTGGGCTTGGGTTCGGTTGCAAGATGTGACAGCTTTCACATTACTGGAGAGAAGTCACAAGTGGTGCATGTGCATATAGTGGGCAATTGAGTTACATGTGAGTTAATCATTCAATTTTTCTTATAAATGTTACATTTATTTATTGTTATATATCGTCGGTGGGGTGACAAAACCTCGTTTCTCAAAAATCATGAATTTTCAGGAGAGCGAAAAAACATTTCCTGTCTCAACAGATTTAGTGCTGTGACACCGTCCTTTGTGTGGAATTTGTGAAAAAACCGAGACAGGAGGCGTTCCATGGATTTATCAGGTGGTGTCGTAGGCCATTAGGTACACAATTATGCACAAAAATCAAAATCTCAAAAAATTGAGATACAAGGTTTTGTCACCCCACCGACGATATGTACATGTACATGTACCTAATGTAACAACTTATTCACTGCAAGGTCAACTTCTTAAGCACAAATTCAAGCAAGGAATTTTTCTAAAATCATAAAGATAAGTCTCGTACGAAATCAAAGTTCATCAGACTAAAGATAAGGGTGAGTTCTGGTCATCCGATTATATTGTGAAAGAACAGGTGTGGAGTGGATCAGAAAATGTTGATCATGTAGCATGTAAGTATTGGTGTGTACCGCAAAGTTCTGGAGTCATCAAACTCATAATAAATTTGGCCCAGTCTTGGTAAAGTAACAAGCACTGTACACAGACAGATGTATATGGGACTACACAAATGGTGTCGGGGCTACTAACATTGATTTCCTAATCTTTCTATGCTATGCTCATTACTCAGCCAGTAAACATTTTCTACCAAAATTGTTTTGAACATTCAGTGTAATTTTTTTCTTTTCTTGTCTCCCTTGAATGGTCTATATATATACAGGTTTCCCTATTAATATCAAAACTTAGGATTACATAAACTCACAATAAAACAGAGAAATGACAAGTTTTTAAATCGTCCTACAACAACTGGAACAGCTATGAATTCTGTTACTTGCCCAGTTAATTCAAAATAGAAATGATACTCACCCGAAGAGTCTTTTGTTGGACACTCTCGTGACATGTGTCCGGTCTCGCCGCAATTGTAGCAACTTCTATCGCCACCACCACCACCACGTCCTCCTCCTGTGTACCAGACAAATAAGTAATATGTTGTCAGTAACAAATAATAATAATAATAATTCTACATTTATATTGCGCACAACTCTGCCAACATAATGGCACTCTTGGCGCACAGATCAACAAATCAAATACATTACAAGAATATGGTCAAAGGGGCAGTATAAAGAAATTTAATTGATGTAAATAATGTTAACATTATCCCTCACCCTCAGCCTTTCTTATACAGTCATATAAAGATAGCAAATTCTTCATATGGGCATTAACATGAGAATCAGATTAATCTCGTTACTTCATTCTACCTACCAAAAAATAGGGGGAAATTTTTTTAAACTAAGGACTTCAAGGGAAATCTTTCCCTGAAAGATTGAATTTCGAATGAACAAGCTCTATGTGCCAAAGCATGTAAGTGAGTGAATGGCAAGTTCATTTTTTTTCAAACGAGCCTCTCTTATGAGGTACTTAGAATTCATACTAACCTGACGAGTCCTTTGTGGGACATTCTCTTGACATGTGACCTGTTTCACCGCAGTTATAACAGGATCTATCTCCACCTCCACGTCCTCCTCCTGATAAAAGCAATTTGTAAACAAACATTTATCTTACCATATCTACACATATCAATGCAAGATTTCTTGGATTGATAAAATGAAAGGGTATACAACTGAATTTTGTGTAGATTGATAAGAGATATATTCTATCCTTTTATCATTATTCAAATATAGCACAGTTTGGATATTCACTAAGGCGAATAAGGGTTTACAAACATTATCTTATGAGATTTTGAGGTGTTTAGAGGCTTGTGCAGAAATAGATGGTTTGTGTAAATAGCTACATGAAAGATGCTTCAGTAAGTGTCTATTTTAAGGAATTTCTAAATCAATTTAGCACAAGAAAACATGTTCATACTATTTTGCGCAGAAAAGCAAACCTTTGCCATAACATGGCGCTATTCACAGAGGACTAATCAGGCATATCTCTAATACACAAGTAAACACAATACCACTTGCACACAGAAGTTACAGAAATCAAGCTTTGGAGTATGTAGCATTCAGCAACGAATATGAAGTACCATTTACGTGTATGGAAAGACTGGGGATTCCCACAATGGATGAAGTGGGGAATCCCCCACCTACATTGTATGAGGGGAAACAAACCTGAGGAATCTCCATTGGGGCAATCTCTGGCCATGTGCCCTTCTTCTTGGCACTTGTAACATGCACCCCCACCACCACCACCACCACCCTCACCTATATATAATATTGCATTGCAACATAACAAGATAGGGTGAACAAGAGAGAGAAGAGGCATGGGGGATAAAGGGTGAGGAGAGGAAATATAAGGATGCAAACTATAAACTGTAATACATTAAAGACAGACTGGGATAAATGTACACACAAAGCCAAAAAGGAGTTCACAGATAACCTCATTACCATCTAATAAATTTTGAAAATATGCAGAGAAAAGAAATAATATGAAAGAAAAACAAATAATGGCAGTATTCTACACTACTACTATGCAAAAATGAATGTAGCACAGCGATTTCAAAGATATAATCCATTATGTCCCTGTTTTAAAGATTTTGGATGAACAGATATTGCATTTCTAAAGCTCAATAGAAATAAATAAATGATTGTAGATAGGATGACTATACACAAATGAGTTGATATGATCAAGATAATCATATGACTACATGAGCATCAATTATGGAATGCAATGCATGAAAGAACGCATTTGAAAGTGAAGGAAAGATAGGATAAAAAAGAAGAGGCCTCACGTCTGCCGCCGAATCCTCCTCCTCCTCGTCCTCCTCCTGATTCAGCACCTCGGCCCCCTATTCAAAAGATAATATATATTTTTTTAATTAGACAGAGAAAGAGACATAAACAATGATCATATGGCTTCGAATCACAAGGCAGAAATGAGGAATACAGACAACCTCCCTGTAAATAGGGTTCACACATCTGTGTTTTGAAAAGGCCACAAAATTGTTTTTGCTAGCCTGGAGCTTCATGCCCCTTCTCCTTGGTTTCGTGCGTGACCTGAATTGAGCTTCTATGAGAATAAAGACAGTGCTTAAGGGGATTACCAACCAAATGTGATCATTGACACGATCCACCCAGTACAGCTCTACTAAAAGTATTCTGATTAAAACAAGAACAAGGGAAACGCTCTCGGCGGTCTCGCCTGCATAACGCAATTCAATATGATAAACCAGAACGTCAATGACGTAGCGCTCATCCGCATCTCACAACAACAAATATCGTAAATTTTATGTGGTACACTTTTGAACTGGTCAAAAAATAGAAATTTGATGCCCTGGAAGGGACATAATTTCATTTCATTTGCATAAAGTACCATAAATAATCAATGGAGCAAAATCTCACAATTCTGTGTAGAAGTTTATTGTTCCAAATTTAGCTCTACCAGATAAGGCAAAATCGGTCAAGAAATGAGGGAAAAGAAGCAATTTTTGTTATTTTTGGAATAAATTTGCATAAATTACCATAATTAATTAATGGAGAACAATTTCAAAATTCTGTGTAGATGTTTAGTGTACCAAAGTTAGCTCTACGATATAAAGCAAACCAAATCAAAATCGGTCGAGAAATGAAGGAGAAGAAGCCTTTTTTGTGATTTCGAATAAATTTGCATAAATTAGCATAGATAATGAATTTCACGATTCTGTGTAGAAATTTTAAATTCCCTCCTAGCCCTATCATATGAAACAATCAGAATCAAAATCAGTTGAAAAATAACGAAGAAGAAGCATTTTGAAAATCTTAATGTTGATGCCACAACAAAGTCTAAGTTTTTTTACCTTAAATGGCTTTTGACCTTAACTTAGTGACCTGAAATTCTACTCACATGATTGGGGAGACTTGATAACCCTATAGTCCAAGTTTCATTGACTAAGAACTTATACTTTCAAAATTATATCAAAAATTCAAAAACTTAACCTTAGGTTAAGTTTTCGATGATGATGCTACAACATAGTCCAAGTCTGTTGACCTGAAATGACCTTTGACCTTGACTTTGTGATCTGAAATTCTACTCACATGATTGGGGATACTTGATTACCCTATAGTCAAAGTTTAATTGACTAAGAACTTATACTTTAAAAATTATACCAAAAATTCAAAAACTTAACCTTAGGTTAAGTTTTTGATGTTGACGCCGTCGCCGTCGCCGTCGCCGTCGCCGTCGCCGTCACCGGAAAAGCGGCGCCTACAGTATTGCTCGAAATAAAGTAGACACCGTACCGCCGTGTACCGCGTGGGAGCAAATTACCACGGTAATTTATTGAGTACCGCCACCCAACTGGTTACCGCGGTACTCCCACCTACCATAATGTCCCGCGGTAATGTACCACATTTGGGAGTCCGCAGTCTCGTAGAACACGAGATTCTTGTATGTTTAGTCTATCCTCAAAACATAAATAAAAATGTGTGTGTTAATGTGAGTGAGAGATGTATGGGGATTTCAATTTTTTGATCTGTAATGAATGGAAATTGCCGATTGACTGACTTGATTCCACAAGTTCGCACGTACTGCACATGATGGTTGTTAGCCAACTAGGCATCGTTTGTAATTAGCTGGAAAAAATGTTCATCGATAATGAGAATAAACGAGTTTGGGTAGGATTTCACCATACCATCATTATTTCAGAACAATTGTTGAATATTTGAATAACGAAGAGCCTTTATTTCAAGAGGTAAAAGCAGCCAAAAATACATTGAACATTATAATGGTCTGATAAACTTAAACTACCCCAGCGTGTAACCTAGTAACCAAACACAATGAAACAAAGGGATGAATGTAGGTCAATTCATTCATCGATACGCGAGGCACGCAAGTTTGATAACTACATAGGACACGAGTTATAAAGTATTCCCACATCGCTTTGCTCATTCTGGTTTGAAAATACAAACGACTTAACTAAGCATAATCACGCAGCTGCAATTTGTTTAGCTACAGATTGATCAATGATTGCATACTTACCTGATTCTATGACGTGTCCCACTTTTAAAATATCCATGTTTAACTATAAATCCGAAAATCAGATGAAAGTTATCCCAGGGACATCCATTGTTATCCGAAAGATTAATTCCCTTACACACGTTGTTGGAACCACCGATGGTATAAAAGCTAAGTCTAGTTTCGGACACAATAATTCCATTTTTAAAACCACTACAACAACGATTCGTACAATCTCGTTCTATCTCTAAATGGTAATTTTCAGATGAAAAGTTAACTCTTCTCATTGGCTAAATAATAATTTGCAACTTTATTTTTTAAAAGCAAATAATTATTTGCTCGTTTTCAGTTGTCATTTATGGTATGGAGTCTGAATTGGCAGACTATGCAAGCCCTTTCAGTTTCAGCTGGCTGGGGCGTGTCATATTTCTTAGATAAGAACTGTCAAAACATGTCTGGGAAATGTAATCACGTGCAGGAGGGAGAGAGAGATAGAGAGAGAGAGAGAGAGGAGGAGAGGGCAGAGAGGGAAGTAGAAAGACGGGGTTAGGTAGAGGTGTGGAGGACAGTGACCTCGTGTCATTTACTTGTTAATCAATCAATGTTTGACCATAGACGTACGTCTATGGTTTGACGGGACTTGTAAACATCCATGAAGGGTGATGTCTTCAGATGACGAATCAAAGAATAAAGGATAAAAGGAAGGGAAATACATGTAGATATTAAAGATTAAATGATATCAGAGATAGGAAATATATGGAACGAAGAGGCGACTGTAAAGGAATAAAGTATACAAGGAAATAGATGGGAAGAATCAGAAACTGGATAAGAATAAAGGATTCGTGGGAGAGGAAATCTACATGGGAGGAAGAGGAGACTTGATATGAATAAAAGGGTTATAGGACGAACACCCCCGGCCAAGGCAATTATCCCCTCCCCCTCGGAAAATTACCCCCTCTGATTTTCACCCCCCCCCCCCCCGAAAAAAATGCAAATTATCATCAGGGTGGACTTCCCCTTCAATGAACGGGGGGGGGGGGGGGGGGGGGGGGGCGTCCTTGGGGCATATTTGTCCTAGGGGAGCTAATTCTCCTCCGTGGATATTCGTTCCGGGGGGGGGGGGGGGGGGGGGGGGGGATATTTGTCCTCGGATGTTAAAGCCCACGGGGGTTATCGTTCCTGGGGGGGGGGGGGGTGGTGGTTGTCGGAAGGTTCGTATTTCCGAAAAATGCAATAGGGTTCATAATCCGAAAATGAAATAGGGTCCATAATTCCGAAACTGGAAAAAGGTACCTAAAAAGAAACGAACATTAAAATGAATTCAGGAGGCCGAGACGCCCCCCCCCCCCCCATAAGACTTAAGAGATCCTAAATAACTGTAGAGAGAGACATAGACGGGGAGAAATAGTAGAAGACAACAAAAGATAATAGAAAAGTATAAAGGACAAATAAAAAAAGGAAAGGAAGGAATGAAGGAAGAGAGGAATATTAGAAAAGGAGGGATAAGAGCGCAATCGGTGATATAGAGTGAAAGATAGAAGGGGGTATCATTATTGATTGATTAATAAGGTGATAATTGGAGGTCCGAGGCCATCTCACCGATTTCGTAATATTTTCTGATTCATTTATTGTTTGTTCGTTTGTTGCTATTTATTTGGTATTTGTTATTGGCTCCCCTCCAACCTCTTTCTTGTATTCATGGGATTAACCGTCTCCCGTTATTATGGGAACAAAATGTACATCATATTAACCCCCCCCCCCCCCTCCCGCTGGATCTAGTGTTTACAAATAAACTTGATTAATTTTAAAACAAACAAAACGGAACAGGTCAATATATTTCACGAGTTGTATAAACAAAAATAGTTACAATAGAGGATCTCCTTCCCCCTTTCTTTCTTCTTCCTCTCTTCTTTATTTCCCTTATTATCATTCTCTCTTTCTCTTTTATTTTGGCGGGGAGGGGAGGGGGCCAAGCACGCTCCTTCCCCTTGATCCGCGCCTGTATTTCAGGCTTTTCTTGAGCGTTTTTAAATAAACCACGTCCGCCTTCTAATGTCAGCTAGTGCTTTGAATCTTGCCTAAACATTGAAAATGGATAATTTTGTTAATATTTTCTCTTCATGTGTAGCCCGATAACCCAGGCAATACCTCATTTGCACTCAGCCATTAGAAAGAGAAGACGATAGAAATAAAGCAACATAACATATGGAAAGAATTATCTTGCGGCCGCCAAATAATCTAGCTATATTTCCTCACGTTATGATGCAGATAGAAAGAGACATAAAACAAAGAATAACATGAGAGATAGAAAGAGAAGATAGAAAGATAGAAACAAAGAATAATAACAGGAAAGAACAGAAGATAGAAAGGAAAACAAAGAATTTCAAAATGAAAATAGAAAGAGGAAATGATAGAAGTATAAAAGCAAAGAGTAACATACAGAAAATAGAAAGAGAAGAAGGTGGTAGGATAAAAACAAAGAATACCATAAGGAAAGGTAGAAAGTGAAGAAGATAGAAGGAAAATAACATAATCATGATAAGGAAAGATAGAATTATCTGGCGGCCGCCAGACAATTATGACTTGGTTCGTAAGTATATGTAAATTGTATTGGAATGGGAACAATACAGTTCAGTTCATCTGAAGAGAGAGAGAGAGAGAGAGAGAGAGAACCCCTTACACATCAAAATGTGAGCTGAGCCTGAAAGAAACCGGACTTCAAGAAATCTTTTATGAACAAATTCTAAAGGTCCCCTATTTCAAAGAGCCCGATGACGAGGGCGCTGGCTGGGAGATTAGAGAAACAATACACCTTTTATGAACCAATTCTAAAGGTCCCCTTAATGGTATTTAATGGCATTAACGGATTAAATACTGATTGCATATAGTGCTCGATAAAATCTTGGGTTTGGGCACATTTTCTGATGCAAGTTTCACGTCAATTATAGGACAGGAAGCAATGTGTTTGGACGTGTCGTATGTTTATCATGACGCCGAGAAAATATCGATTGGGAAATTGAGAGAAAACTTCATGTACATCGTTGATTTATCCTTTGTGTTACGATGTAAATCCTACTAACATCGTTTGCCATTATGGATTATTTCGGATTATGAGAGGTGGTGAAAAGAGTAGAAGAAAGATTGGGAAAGAATGAAGTAAACATTTTGCATGAAAAAGCGGGTGAAATAGATGATCAAAATTAGAGGAAGAAAGAGGATGCAAGAGAGAGATGGAGGCTGTTGAAAGATCAGAGGACTGAGTAAATGATACGTTAAGGTAGAATGAGAGAGGATATATGAGAATTGGTGAAAATAGTAAAGCAAGCAGTGGCGGATCCAGGGTTTTCCAATTGAATGAGAGAGGATATATGAGAGATGGTGAAAATAGTAAAGCAAGCAGTGGCGGATCCAGGGTTTTCCAATTGAGGTGGGGGGGGGGGGGGGGGGGGGGGGCGGAAATTTAAACATTTTGTTCTTGTTGCTCGAGGGGGGGGGGGTAGTGTGAGCACTACAACTATAATCATGTTTTTACTCAACAGCCCCTCCCTCCCCCTTCTTGAGAAAAAAAGTAACTTTGTGGTTACCATCTTATTTTAAAACTTGTTTGGGCAGGGGTGGGGGCCGTCAGTGTTTTTTGCCAGGGAGGAAAGGCCCCCGTTGCCCCACCCCTCTATTGGAAAATCCTGAATCCTTCAATGCTTCCTAAATTTTGTTAATTTCCAATCTAAATGGTCCGTACGCTCTAATAATTAAACAATGATGTTCTCATGCCACGTGGCATTACTCTGTATCGTTATCCAGTCACAACAACGGCTTGCAAAATAATGACATATTTATTACATTCCCGCCATGTCCCGAGTCGGCGCTCTCGGAACGAAGGTGCGTAACACTTCGCGGTGTTTTAGAACTTTGGTGTTGATTGACATGACACCACATTTAAGATACGCAATCGGCCTATACAGTGCCTCCCAGGAAAAAAAAACGAAACCGACAATTGTCAATGTTTTATCATAACTTAATCACAATTATAAGAGGAGAATGGGTATGAATAAAGGACACTATAGAGAGAGGAAAAAGATGGATAGAAGAAGAGACTGGATAAAGGATACTAAATAGAAGGAAATAGATGGAGAGAAGAAGAGACTGGGTAAGAATATAGGATACTAAAGAGAGAGGAAATACATGGAGAGAAGAAGAGACTGGGTAGGAATAAAGGATACTAGAGAGAAGGAAATAGATCGGGATGAGAAGAGACTGGGTAGGAATAAATGATACTATAGAGAGGGGAAATAGATGGGGAGAAGAGGAGACTCGTTAAGAATAAAAGATACTAGAGGAAATAGATGGGGAGAAGAGGAGACTCGCTAAGAGTAAAGGATAATAGAGAGAGGAAGTAGATGGGGGGAAGAGGAGACATTGACGTTGTTATTTTTATGCTTCTACTTCTTTCTCTTGTTTCTCACACTGCAACTACAGTATTTTTAGTATGTTTGAATATTTACACACATTCGATCTCATGATTTACCCTTGACATCACTTGGAAATCGATAAAAAAAACCTATGATTTCAGCTCTGCATAGCAGTTTTTTCAGCATGTCCGTACTCATCAATATTCATGAGCGCATCATCACGCACGCTGTTATGTTGGCAAGGCTCCAAGAAGTCATGTCATATCGTGGGAACCAAAACTTTCTCCCTGCCTGGGTACGTAGAGACCGTACATTGCGTAACATACACTTTCTCTGTCATCAAGTCACACAGAAGAGATTGAGATAAGAGTCGAGTTGTTAAATGATTTAATTATGTCAAGAAGATAAGAGATAAATTTGTTTCTCTGGGGACTTGCTGGTTGAAGACTGGTGGAATGTGACATGGGCAACGCGAGCATAGTAAATCAAGTTTAGGGTGAATTATATCTGCGATCTTTTCTTAGTCTTGCTAATATATTACTTAATCCCGAATTCTTGGTCTTGCTATTTATATTAGTCAATCCCGAACCGAACCAAAGTTCGGGTAAAATAGTGCTGAACTCTACCGAACATGGCGCCTGACTAACGGCACTATTGAGGAAACCAATATTTTGTATTCTTTTCTTTTTATTAGAGAGGTTTAAAGAAACCCAACCCAAACACCCGCCTGGTTTGAATGTAAACATCCCATAGCTGTCTATCTCTGTACCCCCTACCCTCTTTCTTTCTCTCTCCCTCCCCATCTCTCTCCACCTCGTCTCCCCTCCCTCGCCTTTATCTTAGTTATACATTTCTCTTCCTCTCTCTCTCTCCGTCCTTTTCACCTTTCCTGAAAATCTCACATCATGCTCGTCATTTTCACTGAAATAACAGCCATATTTATCCATACTTTAATTTCATAAACCCATATTAGATGTGATATAACTTTGAAATAATCTTATTAATAACTCTTTTGCAATAAATTTCGGAGTGCGATCATGTTATGACCTACGGACGGTTATGCTTCTCCAACTCCAACAATAGTAACTGAGCTGATCGAGGCGATTGGAGACGCCGCCCGCCGGCGAGCATCAACTGGTCAGCTAATTTTTATAAGCCCACGTTTTCGCGCGGCGCGATCACAACCTTAGCCGTCGACAGAAATATAAGGAATGAAAGCATTTCTCCCGGCGTCATTCATCGTTTAAGTGATTAAACAATTATGGCAAAGCGACGTGCGAATCCTTTCCGTTTGATACATGACAAAGGGAGTGACGTACGTGATGGTTCATTACGAGATTTTCTTGAAAATCTCGTGGTACATTTTGGTGGTAATTACCGCCATTTGTGTACCGCACAGGGAAGAGTTACCGCGGGAGTACCGCGGGACTCAATCTTGGATTGATTCCCGCGAGACCCGGCGGTAATCTGTCTACTTTATTTCGAGCAATACTGTATGTCTCGCTTTTTGCTACGCAGGCGAGACAAAAACGTAACTTCGGTACAGGCAATACCAAAAGAGCTGTAAGTTTTCTAAGCAGAACTTGACTGCAGATTCACATATTTTAAACATATTATTTCAGTAGCATTTCAGTAGCATTTCAGTATTTTTGCTCATACATAAAAAAGAGATAAGAAAAACCACTCACCACCACCACCACCTCCTCCTCCTCCACCGAACGATTTGCTACCAAAGCTACTCTTGCCGAACCCATTATCACCATCACCGCCCCATGGACTGCTACTTGAGCCACTCTTAGATGGGCTCTCATCCCACCCACCGCTACTCTCTCCTCCTCCATTGGTAGTCCCATTGGTCATACCACCGACACCACCGTTTGAAGCAAAGGGGCTAAACCCGCGACCCCTTCCTCGACCTCGACCGACTCCAACGCCAAATCCATCCTGAAATGATAGATTTAATTCATCTCAAATGCTTAGGAAAGTGCTTATGTACATGTAGGTAGTTGCTATTTTGTCAAGTTTGATGTTACTTAGTTCTTTCTTTCAATTATTAACAGATAACTATTTATTGCATTGCTATACAACCACTAACTGAAACAAGTTGTCATTTCGTTTACTTCAACCAGCTTTTAAGATTAGAATGCGCATATTGTGAAATCCCAAATATATATTTGGAGAAGGAAAATTCTTAAGTGATGCAAAGGGGCATCTGAATCACACATACAAATATTGATCACCACTTCATACAGTATTTTGTAGGGTTCTTGATTACAATTTCTGAAAATTAAAGAAAATTGTGGTACAATAAATAATTGAATATCCTTGAGTCTGCGACTGTAGCTCAAGAGACTAAAATATACAGTATTTGCAAAATTAAAATCATTCTTGATATGTTTCAGACATCACAACTGTTATGCTCTAGTATAAATGCATTCATCAAATTTTAGTATCTACATGTAGGGCCTACATGTACATGTAAATGGGTACCAAGTACATTACATGCTCAAATTATGTGCGGATGATTGGACTATACAATAAGCTAGACCATGAAGCTGTTAGATCTTTTGCCTCGGGGAAAGTACACAATCCATATTCCATGCAGTCAAGTATGTCAATCTGTGTATTGTATGAGGTTATTTTCATGTTTTCTCAATAGTATGTTCAACCAACCAACTACTAGCAAATACAAATTTTACAAAAGGCAATCACCAAAAGCAGCGGGAAATGTCTCTTCACAGTGGGTGCAGATACTAGCAATCCATTTATCAATCGATATTGGGTACATTGCAAAAGGTGATAATTCTGACTTGTTATGAAATAACAATGCCTCTTTATGGGGCTTCCCACTGACTTTTTCTCAGATGTTCATAGTCCATTCTGAGGGTTGGATAGTGATCAAAATTACTTTGAGAGACAGAGCCCTTGGAAACTTGCATTTTGTGCTATATCAATTCAGCTGGGTGTGGGTCAGGTTTCATCAGCAAATATGAGCGGTTAGCTTAAAGTTACTAACTGATACTCCCCCACCCCCCCCCCCCCCCCCCCCCAAAAAAAAAAAAATCCTTTCTTTTATCATGTACATGATGTACATCATATCTTGATACAATATAAAATTGTTTAATACTTACGTCTTTGACCCCACCACTTGATCCACCTGAAATAAAAGCAATAAAATTATGCTCATAGAATTATTCATCTTATCATAATTATCTTTTTTTTATTGGGGGGGGGGGGGGGGGGGGGGGGGGACTAAGTAAATTACTTTGAACAGCCTGAAGGGAAAATGAGCATTTGTCAATAACCCAATTCTTTTAATGACCAAAATCATACTGATTGAATCTTTGCGCACCACAAAACATACAAACATTCGGTACAAGGGTCTGAAAATCAGAATATGAATTTAGTGATTGCAATCACTTAAGTCGATTCGGCAACGAATGGTTGTTATTTCCCACTTAAATTACTGGTAGTATCATCTTTCAAATGCTGTTGGAATTTAACCTTTCATTTGTTTGGCCTGCAAATGGACATTGTACCTTAAACCAGGCACACTGATGACTCAAGACATAATGATATAAATTTCAAGATGGTATTTTTATCGAAGATAATACTAATAAGATGAGGTGGTTAAATTGGATTGGTTAAATGAGATAAAAATAGTTATGAGCAGCCACTCATCTGCCGTCCGCCTTCAATAGACATGGACATTCACTCTTGAATCCTCACCTGAAGGTGGTGAGGACCTGAAGATGGTGAGGACCAGAAAACAAACTCTGATTTCATGTTTTCACAACTATATACATGTATATATTTCTGGGAGTGTGTCTGGTGAAGACCACTGTGTAGAAAGAGGAAGAGAGAACTAAAGACGAATAGGGATGTGTTGTGAAGGATGGTCATGTCCAAGGAATAAGCCTTGGTTAAGTAAGAAGGAGTGTGCACAAGAAGTAAAGAATCTCCTCTTAGGTTATTAGACCATGGGGATGCAGGGTTAAATACATTACACATGACTAGAAATTATGAGGGATATTATTTATTATTTACAGAAGCAACACTTCCAAGAGAATTCTTACCAAAACTACTCTTTCCAAAGCTGGATCCACCCTGTATAAAAAGAAGAAACAAAGCATTATTACAAGAGCCAACTTAAGCAATTGAAGTGTTACTTTATTGCATTGTGAATCCTTCCATGATTTGAGCAGCCAATGCTTCCCAGAAAAGTCTTGAGGAAGCGTCTTTTCTACTTCTTTTAAAGCCCCACTGCACCACTTATAGCTACTTGCGCCCTCTATACAACCAACAATGCCTAAGCGGTACCCGTTGATTCCCCCATGGTGCCCTTTTTTCTTATGTTAATTTAGAGCTGATTTGATGAGATAACCACCTGTCAATGACCATACAGGGTGGTCTAATCCCTCATGGCTAAGCTAGTGCAGAGGGGCTTTAACACACACCAGTTCAACATTGTAAAGTGTCTTCCCCGAAACAAATTTACCTACAGAACTTAGCAATGATACACAGAATTACAACTCACTTTTCTTTTACATTTGACTCATGATAATAATCATAATTGTTCATAAACTAACAAGTTGTTATTGAAAATTGTCAACATTTATTTAGGAAAAAATTGTTCGTAAACTAACAATTGTCACTATCCTAATCCTACCCTTCTCAATCTCTGCTCCATCCCCTTTACCAAAACTGAGCCCACAACTTAAATCACCTTGCAAACTAATTGCAAACAGATAATCATCAAACCTTTTTGAAAACTGTAATTTGTTACTCAAAATAACTCTTTGTTCTGTGAGTGTTGTACTCCCCAGTTATTAACCCCCTCCCTCCCCCCCCCCCCCCCTCTCTCTTTTTTTTGTTGTTGTTGGTTGAATTTATTTGTTTTGTATTTTCCTTTACCAGAAAATCAGAAAGATGCTGATACACCATTTAATGAGAAAATAACCAACTCTCATCATTTCCCTTGTCTACCTGGTAAGTGGTTAGGGTAAAAACGTTCAGCTTGGCTCTATAATGCATTGCAGAGTAAATAAACACCTATTCAGCAGGGATTACAGTAATTACTGATTACATTGTTTATCAACAAAGGATAACATGGTGGTCTGTACAGCTATTAGCCTGGATAACTGTAACCTCTTTTAAGAGGGATAAAAATAAAGAAAGACCATGGGATCACAAACAACTTTGGTTTTTCACTACTTCATAACTTCCACCTGAATTTTTTAAATCTCTCTATAACTACAATCTCAAGTCCTTCTCATTTTGAAGTAGATTTTTCCCACTGTACTACTCCAAATCACATGTTGTGTAGCATTTTTGCTTGACTTATCCCTTTTCTTTTCTTTTTTTTTCTTCTCCTCCTCCTTCTTTTCATTTTTCCTCTTATCATTCTTTTCCTTCTTTCCTACTCCTCCTTCTTCATCTTTAGCTCCGTCTCCTTCTGATTTGAGAATACTGATCACTTTTAGCATCCAAATAAAGAGGAACTTTAATGACTTTATGGCTGATCATTCTTTTAATGATCATCCTTGGTCTTCTGTTTTACTTGTTCCCCCAGGACCAGGCATAGCTTTAGCTACTTTCTTGACAAAGTCTGGTCCATAAGGCCTTTAAGTTCAGATTCATTGGTAGACCATGAGGCTTTTACTAAACACTTGGGTCGCGGCTGTTGGAAAACACTTGGGTCAAGGCTTGCTGGGCCAATTTTTTGTTAACGGTGTCTTCAATCGGCTTCATAAGGGGGGAAACTTATTGAAGAGCTTGAAATTATTTACAATCTTCATTTTATTCTATTGTTTTTCGTCCTTACATGTACATCAATGAATCTTAAGTCTATTTAACGTTCATCATTTTAAAGATAAACTTGAGTACTGGTAATGTGATTGCATTGTGAAAGAAAAGGTGTGGAATGGATCAGAAAAGTTGATCATATAGCATGTAGTAATGGTGTGTACTGCAAGGTTCTAGAGTCATCAAAATCATCATAAATTTGGCAGAGCCTTGGTAAAGTAACAATCACTTACACAGATAGATGTATATGGGACAACACACATGGTGTCGGGGCTAGTACTACCCTGATTTCCTAATCTTTCTATGCTCATTACTCAGCCAGTATACATTTTCTTCCAAAATTGTTTGGCACATGACATTTATTTGTAATCTTGAACATTCAGTGTAAGTTTCGTTAGATTCTGTGAGAATTCATATTCTTTTTTTACCAGAACTCAAGTTTATCTTTAATGTCACATTTTTGTCCTCCTTTCACCTCTTCATCATCCTTTCTTCATGTATATCACTATCTTGGATTCTTCTACCATTCTTTTCTTGAATTCCTTCTGCTATAACTTCTTATCATGTTTCTGCTCTATCGTACTGTAGTTTTTCTGTTTTTATTGATTTTTGACTTTTTGTCCTTTCATTCCCTTTTCATTTTTTTTGTTGTATATTCCATCATTGTAAGGCCAAATAAAAAAAAAAAAACATGTTTAGTGTCCTGTTTTTTAGAAAAATAGAAAGGAGGAGGCCCTTTTTTTTTTTTTTTTTCTTTCAAAATTCCCCATTCAAAATGGCCGCTCGGTACATTTTCACTGACATTCGGGCTATTTTTCAAGATGGCCGCAGACGTTTTTTGTTTTTTAAAATCAGAAATAGATCCATTTTAGCAGTGTTTTTCTTCTTTGAAAAAAATAAAAAAAAAAAAAAAAAAAAAAAAAATAGGAGGCAGCCCCAAAAAGGAAGCGGGCGGGGAAGCTTAAGGGCCATTCCATGAGAAGAAGGACATGACATCAAAAAAAGAAATGTACCTCTTATGTTAATTCTTTGATTTATCACTAACCTTATGCCATGGATGTTCATAAAACATTACGGCCTTTCAAATTCAATACAATTTATTTTTCATTTTTGTTGATTTCCTAAGATCTCAAACCATCATCAAAAACGTACATGTGGGACTGTAGATGAAAAAAAAAACAATTTATTGCGGATTACACAGGATTCTTGTAATATTTTTTCCTAAAAATTTCGCTAAATGGAAAAAGATGAATATATTTCCATATTCTAAGGGGTCCTGTGATATTTAATCTATAACATAGGGGTGAAAATGGCCTACGGACAAAATGTAACGCGAGTTACCGACATATTTGCTTCCTGCATTTTACTAGTCCATTGTTTCTTATCTTTAATATTGTGATCTTAGTAAGTCACAACCTACTATCAAATTAAAATAGGAAAGATTTTGTCAAGATTGTCTAGTATGAGGAGACTTTGCCAAAAGAGGGTCTCATAGAATTGACCATGTCCTTTTTTTGTAACGCGAGTTACCGAAATTCAATAATCCAAGAATCTAAAAATGTTTGTTCTTCAATTTTCTTTTTTGTTTCATTCAGTTGTTCTATATCTACCCTGTCCATGTTTGAAAAAATTATCTTGTAGATCCTAGCAGTTCTAAAGATATAGGCACATTATCGTGTCAATGTACCCATTAGGTGTAATGCGAGTTACCATGGAATGGCCCTAAACATGTATATTTTTTTACATGACCTAATCATTACAATATTCTTTGTTGGTTTTCTCTATCAATTTATGTTTTCTTATGCCAATTTAAAAAAATCATTTTCTCTCCCTTCATTCCCCCCCTTCCTTCCTTCCTCTCTTCCTCTACTAGGCCTACCAGGCCTCTCGCCAAGAAATTAAAAACGCGTGGCGCGACCCGAGGGAAAATTTGACCCCCCCCCAAAAAAAAGTAAAAATTTGATTTTTTTTTTTTTTTTTTTTTAAATTTTAATTTATATTTTACAAGTATTACAAGTAATGAATTTTTAATACCATACCTGCCAACCCTTACGAATAATTCAGAATATTCTGTTTTGGGGGATTTCTAGGACCAGAAAATCCGGAATTTTCTGATTTTTCAACAATTTTTTTTTTTTTTTTTTAAGAACGCGTGGCGCTAGGTCGGGCCCATCAGGAACGCGTGGCGCGCGCGCCACGCGTTATCTGTGTACGCGAGGGCCATGAGGCCTACAATGTAATTCTTTATTTTCTGCAATACACCAGTTTACAGTTGTATCAGTGCGCATGCGCAGACATGGGCGCCATTTTAAATGGTGAGTAAACAAAGCCAATGACCTAGAGGTCATGTATTTATGCGTAAGTTAAGATTGCGCGGCTTTGCGCCCATGCAAATGATGATGATATCACTGCCTGCGCGCTGCGTTGTGCGCGCATATCATCATTTGCATGGGCGCAATCTTAATTTACGCATAAATACCACTGACCTCTAGGTCATTGGCTTTGTTTACTCACCATTTAAAACGGCGCACACAACTGTAAACTGGTGTATTCAACTTCCCATCCTTATGTCAATTGTTATTTCTTCTGGTGCATTCTACCACAATTTCCCATTAGGCCTATAATTATACTCTTGTCTCAGTATTCTCTATTTACCCTTTTCTTCTTTAATATGTTCTATATTTAAATCTATCCATTGATTTCCCTTTTTTCTATTATGTAATTCTTGATTTTTTTTTCCACCCTTTTCTTTCATCTTTATCACTGTTAATTCTGTCAAATCAATTCTTTCAATTCCTTTAAAAAAAATATATTTTGTCCTTAATTTGTATTCCTCTCTTGGTACATGTGGCTCTTAAAGCCAAGCCCCACTGTCCTACTTGTAGCTACTTGCTCCCTCTATAAAGAAAACTTCCCAATCGGTGCCTGTTAGTCCCCCATGATTCTCTTCTTCTTATGTTAGTTGAGAGTAACCCTGTAAGTTGGGGCTCTGGTCGGATCAGAAGATCGGAGCGACACCCTCGCACCTTTGATCGGTAGGGGATCGGAAGAACGACCAAAAATATCGGCTGATTTTATTTAATTTTTTTTTAATGACGAAAATTTTTGGCTATCAAAATGCTCTAAAAAAATTCATGGCTGGGATTATTTTGTCATTTGGAGTTGTTGTAGACCATGTTTGTTGATATTTAGTGCCTTTTCATGACTTTGAAATTAATAATATTGGTCGAAGAGCAGAGGCAAAACATGCGGGACGCTATCTTGGATTATAATGAAGATCTAAGGTTGTTTTGTTTTTTTTAATGACAAAAATTTTCAAGTTTTTGGCTTTCAAATGCTCAAAAAAAAATTCATGGCTGGAATTATTTTGTCATTTGGAGTTGTTGTAGACCATGTATGTTGATATTTAGTGCCTTTTCATGACTTTGAAATTAATAATATTGGTCTAAGAGCAGAGGCAAAACATGCGGGCCGCCATCTTGGATTATAATTTTCAGCATTTAAAAAAAAAAAAAAAAAAAAATTCTGCCTATTTTTTTCCCTATCATTTTGATTGATCGGCGATCGGAAACTATTATCTGATGATTCCGATCACCCCTGATCAGATGGGAATCGGCGTCCGATCCGATGTTCGTTTACAGGGTTAGTTGAGAGCTGAGTTAATGAGATAACCACCTGTCAGTGACCTTGCTGTGTGGTCTAATCCCTTCTGGCCCAGTAGTATTAAGGCCATGTAAAAAAATATACATGTTTAACGTCCCCGCCCGCTTCCTTTTTGGGGGCTAACCCTGCAAAATAGCAGGGCTAACTCCGCAATTGTGGTGCTAACTCCTGCTAACCCCGCAATTGCAGTGCCAAGCAAATGAATGAGAACAGAAATGAAAAATAGTCCGGTACTATGCAATGGAGCGTATCGCAGCTAGCCAGATGCGAAGTATGCCCAATCATAACATTCACGATATCTGGGGTTAACGAATTGCAGTGAGAACAGCGTGAATTTTCTTTTTCCGGAATAGGCGCTAGTACGGGACTAAAAACAGCGTGTGTGAAAAGCCAAAAAAATAGTCCAGGGTAAAGGATAGTACGGGGCTAAGCAAAGTACGGGGTTAAGCAAAACCAGTGTGAAAAGAGTATCAGTAGTTAGCTCTCAGACTCATGGGGAATTCCACATCGTTCGGGTGTTTACCCAATAACAGGTGTTGTCAATCACCAGGGTTAGCCTTCAGTTTTATGACTTTTCCCTCTCCCGATCCGAAGCTACACTCTCCGAGAGATAAGGGGGCAATTCTTGACCACTGGCCAAAGTGTTTGCTGTGTTCAGATTAGTACTCCCATTAATGGCTTCTCCACCAAGTCTGGTGTCAGCAAATTATGGCCTTCTTCTGCACATGGAAACTGACGAGTGACTTACTTTAAAGTAAAGTTCCCCACGATCCCCCATTGAAATATGGTTAAAAACAGTCGCTATTAAATTTAAGATAAGATTTTCCCAGCTAAAGGGTTGATTTGAAGACACCATTCAAACAAAATTGAATTGGCCCTGCGACAGTGCGAGCCGTGAACCTGAAATGAAAATCAACGACTAGAAAACTTTCGCATAGCTAGGGCATGCTCCATTTCGTCACATGCACGGGTCTAGCGTATGTCGAGTCCATGGTCTGGAGCAGGAATGAGGAAACCAATAAAGTAATGTGGAGAGATGAAGCATGACCAGTGCCAGTGGCAGTGCAAAAGTGCCTAGGCCTCAATCTAGTTAGCGCTCACCATGTGCTCCACTACATTGCTCACATGAAACTCAGGTGCGAATTTTTAACTTGCACTGCTTTCAATTTGTTGCATAACTATTTCATCCTTGCCATGCCAGCTCTCGCTACACTCAATCCTGCACTTGCGTCACTAAACATGATAAAACGGCAATAATATTAACTTTAAAACATTATCAAATTCGGTTCAACTGTCAGTGTTTGGCAGATCTGTACCAGTCCATCATATCCCCATCTCACAGACTCACACACAAGCCCCTCAAAAAGAGAACAGCCAACATGCAACAAGTGACAATCACGTGTGAAAACTCACCGACACCGAAGAGGCCCCCCAGTCTTCTGACATCTTGTCCTTTTATGCTTTACTGAGCAGAAATCTAGTTCAGAGAATTAAGGGCTCACTTGCAACGAGGACGTTTCTGTTTCTGTTTTATTTGTTCAGAATTCTCACAATCTTAGCTGACAGCCACCTCAGTAATCGTCGATGTCAGTATAAGCGCAGTGCGTACCTTGTGCATTGCGAAATAGATGACGGACCTACAAAATTTTGTGTACAGATTGCGTACATAGAATTGCGGATCACCGAAACATGTGGTTCACTATTTACATGCGCTCTGCTTATCCAAACGGCTTCGTCCAGCGAAGACTCACTTTTATTATTCGACCCAGATATATGCCCTATTTTATTGCTACATCCTGAATCAAAGAACTTTCCGGGATGCAGGAGATTTATTCCAGGGAGTAATTTTCTTCCACTTAACTTTAGAGTCATCGCAGCAGGCCTACAGTGACTGCGATGGTCGAATTCTGCAAAGGCATCTGCATCATGCACCTAATATTAATAGAAACATTTTATTCTTCAAGATTGGTTATCAGGGGCGGCGGAGCGACTAGTGGGGGGGGGGGAGCACTTACGAAAAAGGGCACCTACAAAGGGAAATATTTGAATGTACCCGTACATTGTTTACATTATCAGGGATGATTTCAATGTTTAAGCATCATACTTTGCAGTTGGGTGAGATGGCCTAAAAATTCATTTGTCAACGACGGAAAAAAATTGAGAGGTCGCAGTGCGAAAAATTAAATCTTATATAAAGAGGGGAAAAAACAATCCGGATGGGCCATTTTCACAACGGAAGACTAAAAAGGCCTGTGATAAGTAACATAATTATATCATCTATAAATGTGAGCGTGCATAGCGATCGAGTTTTCAGGCCTGAGATTGCTCTTAGTCGCTTGAAATTAGGGGCGCGCGTTTTAATCGAAAGGGATAACACACTAATTATTAGAAAAGAAAAGGAGCACGTGTCAAAGTACAAAGGATAATTGCCAAAGATGGAAATGGGGCACTTGCCGCACTTCTTACACCTACAAAAGAAGCACTGACCAGGGATGGAAAAATGCATTTATGAACTTATGGGAAATGGGTATTTGTCGACGGAATAGCCGGGACGCCCATAATATTTTGATAGGGGCATTTATGAATAGGGGAATGGTCCCTTATTAGAAAGAAATAGAGGCACATAATTGTGAAAAGGGAAATTATCAGAGGTGAACAGGGGCAGTCAGTATCGGCTTATAATTATCGCACCTGAAAAGGGGCACTGACCAGATATGAAAAGAGGCACTTATGAGAATGAAAAAGGGGCATTTATAATAAATGATAATGTGCATTACCAGTCAGGACTGTTACCGGTAGTTGACGGAAAAGGGAAACCGATCAGATTTTAATAGAGGCATTTATCGGAGTTTAAAAGGGCTTTTTGAAAGGGGGAAGTGGTTCTTAATAAAAAGTAAAGCGGCACATGCTAAAATATACGGGACACTTATCAGAAATTAAAAGTAAATTGTGAGAAGGGGAGGGGTAATTATATGAAGAAAAGGGGGCACTTGTCCAAATAAAAGGGGCAGTTAGTAAAGGTGAAAAGGGACAGTTATGAGAAAGGAAAAGTGGCACATGTGAACATATACAGCGTGCGCGTAGCCGAATTAAAAGGGGTAGTGAATGGGAAAGGGCACTTCTTACAAAGGAAAAGGGGCATTTGTCAAATTTAAAGGGGCACCTCTCAGATTTTAATGCATTAATTTTTAGAGGTGTAGGGGCACGTATCAAAATTAAAAGGGGGCACTCTTACTAGAGATTAAAAAAGGCACTTAGTGAGAATGGAAAATGGACACTAATTGCAAATTAGGAAAATGGGAACTTGTCGAAGGAAAAGGGGCACGAGCCAAAGATGAAAAGGGGAAGAGGCAATTTTACAAATTATTAGAACTTAAAGGGGAACTTTTGGGGTACTTGAAAATGAGTGAGAGCTCTATGGGGGCCGCCTCTGTGGGTAATATACCACGGTAATTTAATAATAGTAGATAAGGGGTCACTTTTCAAATTTCAGGTACAAAATAAAGGAAAAATCTAGGTGTCAACAAAATTTTCGGATTCCTTCTAATAGTGATGGATCACTGGCTGAAGTTGGGTATAAAAAGCCCGCTCAGTTTGTAAATGATTAGAAATGTAATTGTCAGCATCACATTCTTGCTGTGCTGTAACTCACCTTTGCCAAGTGCTGTGGCACAGTCCAGTCAATATTAATTTAACATTAAAGGCTAAGTCAACTCCAAAAATAACTTGCTTCTCATAAATGCAGGAAACAAGAGAAATAGAGCCAGAGTAATTGAATAAAATTGAATAACTAATAAGGAAGCTAAGAATTTTTGAAAAATTATGGAACAATGGAAATCACTCGAAAAATTGCCAATTTGGTTATCAGTTTGTGACGTCGACTGCCTTACATAATTTCCCCCCATTAATTTCCCCTTTTATCAAAAATTTGATTTCCCCGTGCCTTTGACCAGGTTATGTGATTTTTATCATATTGCGTGCATGATCGAGATTTATCTATTATGAACTTTGAAGAATTGATACTTTTTTCTGAATATTGTATATTCATAATCATTGATTTTTATTCAAATAGTTTATAAAAATTAACATTTTCATGATTTATCTGAACAAAATTTACTCTACATTAGTGCATCCATACAAAACCATATTACTATCAATAACTTGGATGCTGGTGTAAGGAAATAAGATTCTTCGGGGAAATGGGAAATTTATATTGATAGTTATATGGCGTCACAGACTCATGAGTAAGGTTGCCAATTGTCTCGTGATTTTCAAAGTTATCTTCTTCATCTTCAAGATGCCTTCTTCAATACTGAAGATTCTTTTTCATGTCATTAAAAATTCATAACTTTCTTTTTAGTTATCCGAATTTGGTCAAACCTTTTTTGATTGGTTTATCTGTACCGGTAAGTTTTTGGAGTGGACTTGCCCTTTAAAAGTCCCATCATGCAAGACGTAGACTTTGAATATAATCAGGGGACAGAAAGCTAAGAGAAAGAAAGGGAGTGGGGAGGCGAGGGAGGAAGAGAGAAGGGGGAGAGAGAGAGAGAGAGAGAGAGCTAGGTAGGGGGAGAGAAAGGGAGGAGAGAGAACCTAAAAAACTAAAAAATGTCGGTAATGAGATTGTTAATAGTCAAATTTAGGGAAAAACAAAAAACCATGATAGCTATAACTAGCATATCAAACTTCTCTCGATTTAAAAAAAAAAAAATATATATATATATAATTTTTACTTTGGGGGGGGGGGGGGTAGAGCGGATTGTCTCATTCCTCGACTTGCTCCTCCAACCTGTTGGTGGTCTGGAGTTTCCATCGTACCTGTGGATGGCTTATTTTTACTCCTTTTTCTTCATTTTTGGCCCAACGAAATTTTCAGTTTCTGATGCAATGCTATCTCGAGGTTCTCGCTTTTGTACTTGTAATTGTTATAAGTCTGATTATTTCTATTACGTGCACTCTGCCTTTTTTTTCTTCCCCCAGATCATCTCAATCGTTTGTAAATATCTTAATTTGTCATTAATTTCTTTTGTAACACAGCATTTGTATTTTTGGGGAAAGTTTGTATATGTTATGATTTGATTTCTTAATAAACACATAATAAAAAAAAAAAAAAAATGTATATATATATATATATATATATATATATATATATATATATATATTTATTTATTGGCACAAAAATAATAATTTGGCAACATAATGATTGGTACATTGTAAAATTGGGAACGAATGTATGGTGGGCCGATTCAATTACATGGCATGATGGGGAGATAGGAGCGTGACCCCGTGTGCTTATTTATGCACGAAAAGTGAAAAACCCTCGCATGCGCTGCGCTTGCGAATTGCATGCATGCAGAGCAGATCCATCTCTGAGCAGATAACATGACAGCACGCGGCTCACATGGATATGGACAAGAGGTATGGGTTACGTAGGTGTCATCAGCCTATAAACTTGAAACCAATGGCGATCGAGAGAAGAACCGAACATTCATTTCCTTTTATTGTCTATTTTTATCTGTTATGTTTGCCTAGAGGTATATTGTAATTTAAATTCATTTATCTTATTTCATTTATTCCTTCTTTTCCAATACTTAGTGATTTAATTTTCTTTTCATTTCTTTATAGTCTTCACCCTTTCTTCTTCTTTTTTCATTAACAATTTGTTTATTCTTTTGTACTTTCTTGCATACATGATCATCTGTTTGGCTTGTGAAGTACGCTTCCCCCTGGATCTCTCCTCTCTCTCTCTCTCTCTCCACCCTCTCTCTTTCTCTCTGTATCATTTATCTGTTTTAAGACACCACTAAAATATATACTTCCTTTATTGTATATCCTACACTCCATTGAATGACAACCGAAGATATAGTTGTTTAATATGATTAAAGAGAAGGTTGAGTTCTGGGAAGAGGTGAAAAATAGTTTGTGAACGTTATCATTCTTATTATGCAAGTGTGGAAGAACAGCAGATAAGACATGTTCCCTGAAAAGCATGGCTCTTCAAATGCCTTCATATTCTAAATATGTCATGTACATCGTAAAACTCGGGGGGGGGGGGGGGTAGGTTTTTTAGTCCGATATACATCTTTCTGTGTACAGTGTTTGTAAATTAACCAAGACTTAGCCAATTTCTAATCATTTTGATGATTCCAGAACCTTGCAATACACACAAATTCTTATACGCTAGATGATCAACCTTTTCTGGTCGATTCCACACCGTTTCTTTCACAATGCAATCGCATGACCAGAACACAACTTCATCTTTAATTCATAGACACCTGTTCTATATACATCTCAAAAAATAATACAGCAGACAGTGGAATGTGTAGGTTCATTATTTTTAATCACTAATCACTTTAAAACATACCACCCAAACAACACCTTTACAAAAAATAAACATTTAGGATAGGTGGATAACAGAGAAAAATTGAAGAGTATCAATAATGACAGGGATTTTCTTTTACTGCAACGATGCTTTGAAAATACTTGCTCTTGTGACTGCCGATAAAGTTTTTTTTAAATACAACCAATATTCAATAATTTTAACCTATAACTCATCAATAAGTCATCTTTAAAATAGTAGATTTAAACTGTCAAAACAATGTATTCTGAGTCAATTTGACTAGATTCCTGTTAGTGTGTTCAAATAAATGGACTTGGTTTGGCCAAGACAAATTCCACAACATTTCTTCGCCTGTACTGTACTGTAAATTAACCTGGAATGTTCATATTGATTATTTGTGTAATTTTTTTTCAAGAAATACAGGTATTATACATACACTAAAACGTCATTTTCCTTCTCATGTATTATATGCTTCATCATTATCACCTATCTTAATTATGGTCTATTAGGATGGGGGGGAACTGTTCGAAAGTAAATTTTGATAACATATTCATTAATAAAAAAGATTAATACGTACAACTAACTTTGCTGATTTTCGCTCACATACTGATAGATATTTTCGTACTGACAACATGCTGAAAATATTTTATTTGTACTATGATTGTCTTGGAATCTTCATGTACCAGCTAAACAATTGTGATCTACCAGTTCTTTACTCCCATGTTCATAAAAAATAACGTTGTCCATCATATCCCACAAGACAAAATGATTATTTTCACCTTTACTGTACTGTATTTGCACTTAAAACAAGAATCCAAGCAGGACCCACACTTTGGAAAGCGCCGATAAGGAGATAACAGATACTCCATCATTGAAATGTGTCAAGCGTCAACGTAGACATTGATTTTTGAATTCATATGACCCACATTGTAAATAAAGTACTTATGTTATTCTACATTCGATGAATATTGTCACCTCTGTACGACCTACACACGATAATAATGTTCTGATTGATGCATGCCTGTTCCTGTCGGGCCTTTGGGGACCAAACTGTCCATGGTCCTTGTTTGTCTTATTGGGGTCATTTGCAAACATCAGTTGTTGCTAGGTCGGACAAGCCATGTAGCTTGTCCAGCCTGGTAAACTAATTTATGCGAAATGACACTGCAGGGGAGGCATGGGTGTGGCACAGGTGAATGTGCTTGCATGCCTTGGGGCTCTCTGGGAGCAGGTATGCATGGGTTTGACTTTGAATGCATGTTGGAAATGGTATATTGGGTCTAGGCTACAGTCTACTGATTATTGTACATTATCACGATTGTTCTTTTTCACTGCCTCGGTTGATCACAATATTTTAAAGTGACAAACTTGACATTCACTCTGGTACAAATTAATTTCTTTGCCGTTGCCATTTTTGCTAGTTTCACTTTGTATATTTACGTTAAGGCTTTTTTGCCCACCTACTTCACCATTCTAACAACTTCAATCAAATATTAGTTGTTATTTAGGAGGACCTATCATCACATTTCGCCCTGTATAACTTACCATTTAATTCAATTGATTTTGAAGTCTTTACAAAGACTTGATTATATAATGTCATATTTTGAGTATATTTCATATTATGTTCTAATTTTGTCATTTATGTGATTTCTGTGAAATGTGAAATGTGAAACATATAAATTTGAAACTTGAACATCATGTTCCTTATGTAATTTCTTATTTTGTTGATCTTGTGGGAACCTGGTCTTGTAGGCTATCGGCCTGTGGGGGCTGCCACTGAAAAAGAAAAAAAAGAAAAATATATTTATATATAAATTCAGAGAAGCCAAAGGAAAACAAAATAAATAAAACAATACAAAAGTAACTAACAGAAAAGCCTGATCATAGATAAGGTAAGCCAATCAAACAGAATATCAAGTAAATACAATACATAACTTCTTACAAAATTAAGTCTCAAAGCTATGCCTTAATAAGACCTGCCAACCTCTTGAATTCAAAAACTGTATTCTTTAATACCAAAAGTTGTATTTTCATGACAAAAATTGGATTTAAAAAAAAAATGGACTGACACGCGGATTAATGCCTCTTATATTCAGGTGGAGCTGCCAACCCCAAGTGAACACGATCCTCTCCTTTTCTCCACCAAAAAAAAAATCCTATTTTTGATTGATAAGTACTTTCTCACCTCGAACATGCATGTTTGTGGTTGTTGTTTTTTTTTGTTTTTTTTTGGGGGGGGGGGGGTTGCCAATTTGCATAAGTTCCTACATACAGGAAGATTTTTTAATTTTTTTTTTATCATTGGTTGAATATGCATGATTTTCTAATCGATGAACATATGAATATCCCTAAATTGCCGATGTGAGATGCGCTTTTAGGACACTTTATGCTACGGTCACAAAGGTTCGTACAAATCTCCGTTTTTCCATTGTCTGAAAATCGTTCGTACGGCATCCGTAGCAGTTCGTAATGGCATTTGTGACCGAGGCTTTACATGAGAGAATGGGCAATTTGCCATTGAAAATGGTACACACACAAACATTCAAAAAATCCACACAAAGAGAAATAGTACCATCGTATTTACTTCTAAAAATCGTACTGGTTGGCAGCTCTGCTTAATATATCAAACAAAAGATGGGTATGGGATAAGCCTGAGTCATTACGGTTTTTGCGCTAAACGTTTAACCGTTAAAAGTATACGGGCGGTTTCGTTTAACCGTTTAATAATAATCTGAAAAAGTGAAAATACAGTATTTGTAATAGCGATGTAACTCGGAACGCCTGATGGTCTTCAGACTGTCGGGCTGAGTATTCCGAGCCGGACTATGGCACAAATTGGGTCATCCTGATAAACAGAGACCAGTAATAAACAACATAAAAAATGTCTTATTATTCCTCATCTGAATCTGATATCATGATTAACCTTGCAAATTTTTCTGGTCGGATTCAACGTGTCATCTTCATGGGCTCTACCTCTGAATGGACCGACGTCCAATCAGGGGTATCCCAAGGGAGTGTCATTGGACCAAAGCTGTTCAACTTATTTGTCAACGACTTGCCTCTCTCAGTTCTTTCCCAATGTGTTCTCTTTGCTGACGATGTACTTTTGTTCAGAGAGATCACATCTCCGACGGACGAAGTCCAACTCCAAGATGATCTAAATGCTCTGCATTTGTGGGCCCTTAGGAACAACATGATATTCCAGAGATGCCAACCCTATAGGATGGCTGTCAGTAACATTTACCACATTTGTCCGTAACAAATGGGGGTCTTTCCGTAACGCAAGACACCGCAGCATAATTTTCGCGGAAAACGTACACAAACACCCAATCACTCTTACTGCATTTCGCACCTACCATTTTTAAGTCCAAAATAAAGATGTGCATAAATTTTTTTTTAATAACTGTTTGCAGTCAAAGGATCTCCTCCTTTGGTACTTGCTCTTTTGAGTGAATCCATGATAATATTCAGGAAGAAAACACCTCGTTCAAGCGTCTAACAGCAAATTCAAATCCACAGTCAAATGGCAGAACTCGTATCCTACACACGCACACGTACACTCACCACTACCACAGACACACCAGCCCAGGCCGCTAGGCCCGGCGTTCATGAACAACAACACACCGTATACCGCACTTGCAATGCGCCCGCTGAATCACCGAAGTCTTCGCTACTATACTTTGAATGGGTATTGCGGGCGGGCGCCGCGCACACAATCATCCATTACCATGCTCCCCCACAAAATGCACGACCGCCCGTATACCAGAATCAAAACAGTAATGACGCGGCCGTGTTGTTTCGGAATTAAACAAGATGGCGGCGGACGGACCATGTGCGTGAAAAATGCCTATCCAGTGTAGTCAAATTCAGTGAACTTATGAGTAATTGCGTGCAACATGCAGCGCTGTGTACGGAGACTATGTGATAAGGCGGCATTCGCTATAATGTACTTTTATTTATCGTTTCCCGTAACCTTTTGATTGTTTACCGTAACGCCGTAACAAGAGCATTAAAACCGTAACAAATACGGCGAAACCGTAATGGTTGGCATCTCTGGATATTCAACGCAGCAAAGACCAAGATTATGCATGTGACACTAAAAAAGCGGATTGAACCTCCTATTTATCTTTTAGGTGCTACCCACATAGATCCCATTTCCACATTTAGATACCTTGGCGTAGTTATAAGCTCCGACCTGACATGGAATTCGCACGTGGATGCGATTGTGTCTCGGGCGAATCGCCTCCTTGGCTTCATAAGACTTGTTGCACGTGGCGCTTCATCCAACTCTATATTTTGTCTTTACAAAGCACTAGTACTCCCGTTACTAGAGTATGGCATTCCGGCTTGGCACCCAATGACATGTTCCCAGGAAAACAAACTTGAACGGATCCAGAGAACCGCCACGCGCATTGCACTGAAGCAAGCTCGTGGAGTGATGCCGTACAACGAGAGACTCCGCTCTCTCAATTGGTATACACTAGCTTCTCGTAGAGACTACCTTTTGTGTTCTTTTGCCATGAAATGTCTATACGGTCTATGTAATTGTTCAGCTCTCCTTGATAACATGCTCATCAATCCCCGTTGTCCCCACACTCTGTCCTTTCGCCATCTTCCTTCTCGTACAAATACTCTGTTCTTTTCTCCTTCAAGGCGACTTCCAAGACTTTGGGACACTCTTCCCATAAGTGTCAAAGATGAGGCAGTGATATCCTCTCTGTCTTCTTTTCTTCGCGTTTCAAAAACAGCAATATTAGATAGTTCGTAGTTGTAGTTTTATCTCATCCGGTTATACATGTAATTACTTCACTTTATACCCTCTTATTAGTTTCCGTTTATTCTTCTTATTATATACCATGCATGATGCTGGATTATTTGTATTGTACTTAATTAATCTTACTTTTTTATTACATATTAATATGATTACTGATATATTGACATGCTTTCTTCAGGCCTATATATTAAACACTGAGCTAGGTACTATATTTTATTATCGTTAAACTTGTATCTTACATCATTTATACACTTGCATGTTAATACTGTTTAGGGCATTGTATACTCTAAGCTTTATATCCTGCGTCTTTTATAACTAATACGCTATGTCTGATTTCAATGATTTTTCTCAACCCTGTTGAAGATACCAGCCTCCATTACTCTTTATCTTGAATTCCTTATTATTTTAATATAATGCCGCTTGTATCATAATGATTATAATTTCCTTGGTACATCTAAGTGATATCCATCTTTGTAGGAGTATGCGATGTAATACATTTGTCATTTTTGTTTTAATTTTTGGAAGGAGGGGGAGGGGGAGGGGGAGGGGGGAGGGGGAGGGGGAGGGGGGGGGGGGGGGGGGAGTTAAGATGTATTTTTTTCTTCAAACAATGTGCAATATTGTATGTAAGTCAATGTTATGTTTATAATATATATAAGTTGATTTGGGAGCAACATGTGAGGGCTCACATGCCTCCGGGTAATAGTGTTGAATTTCACTTTTGTGAGCCCTGGCCCACACGTTGCTCCCTCCCTTTTCCTCTTGTATTGTTTATGTATTGCATGATCTGTCAAAATGTATTTGTATTGTGCTTTTATGATTGGCCTAATAAATAATAATAATAATAAAAATAAAGTTACGCTGTGAAGATAGCTTGATCTGTGACGTGTTTATATATGCCTTTGCAATGCAATGTTTGCATGTGGTCAGGGAGAGAGCTCCCTTCATGCAAGGACATGTCTAGCAGGTCCCTGCTGCATGTATCATTGCCATATGAAATGATGTGGAAGTGTGTAACAAGACACACCCTGCAATGAGCTGATCCAAGTTAGTGACCAATCAGGAAGGTTCTCTAGCTATGTGGGTGGAGTTTGATACCAGCATAAATTACAGGTTGGTGACCGCACGTGCTTTCACAGTTCAGTGGGAGTCAAGAAGCCATGTGCTCTCCATCTGTGTGTATGCACATGTAAAGTGTGTGGGGCGCCGATGTTTGAGGGTGGTGTGTACGATGTTTGAGGTTTGTGTGTACGTGTGTGTGTGTGTGTGAAAGAGAGCTGCATGGACCAGGCAGAGACATGAGAGAATGAAGAAGTAAGACAAGTGAGACTAGATAGAAAGGGTGGCTGTGTGTGATCAAAAACTTAAATTACTCACAACGTCCAAGACTTTGTTGATTGATATTTCTAAAACTTAAATTATTATTGTTATCATTATTTTTGTATTTTATTTATATATGAACATTATTTTAGGGGGGCGAGTCGGCAAGGGATTGATATTAATATTGAGAGAGAGAGAGAGAGAGAGAGACTCGGGGAGAAAGGATGTGAGAGGAACTGACCATCGAATGTGTAAACATTTAGAACTTTGCTTGTCTGAGAGTGCAGTAATAAGAAAAGGTACATGAACACATTGCAGAGAGAAGGGAATAGAGAGGGTGAGAAAATAGGGAAGAGGGCATGGTTGTTTTATTGTTTACAAATTCATTCATGGAGATTACTGCTGCCAGAAAGCTGGCGCGCAGCGGACAGGGTGTAACATTACATTGCGGTTTCTTTGATTATCTTTATCATCGGCTATTAGCACATTCCAAACTGTATGCAAATAACGGTTAAACGGAGCAAGAAATGCTAAACGGTTTTGATGAATGCGGTCGGATAACCGTCGGTTAAACGGTTTGACTCAGGCCTAGTATGGGATCCACACTTACTTCTTGTATCTGGGTTATTTAGAGCATTCCTTGGCAAAGTGGCCCGAATCTCCGCATTTGTAGCACTTATCAGAATAACCTGTTAGTAAATGAATGACATTAACTTGTATTCTCAAAATTACCTAAAATGGGCATATACAGCCCCCCCCCCAACAACAAAATCTGATTAGCATACTTCCAATAATCCCTTACCGAAAACGCAGGCTTTGAACCTGCGTCTGGCCTGCATTCTTAAATACATGCTAATTACTCTATTGCATGTTAAATTTTAGCCTGTATTTTGCAAAATCAGTCTTACATGTTTTAGCAGATTAAATTTTAGCCTGTTATTAGCATGCATTTTGCAAAACACAGTCTTACAGTTTAAGCAGGCTAAATCTCAGCCTGCAGTTTAAAAATTAGCATGCGTTTTGCAAAATACAGTTTAAGCAGGTTAAATCTTTAGCATGCCAGATGAGATACAGTTTAATCTTTAGCATGTAAATTTCTATCATAATTTGTTAAACCTGCAATCTGAAGAAATGTCCTCTGAGCAGGTTTAGAACACAAATTTAACCTGTTATTGCTTTTTACATGTAGCATGCAGATTATTTTTCACAAGCATGTTTAATATTATATATCAGGGGTGATTCGAGAGTTTAAACAAAAATAGGTTCATAGAAAGCCAAGTAAGCGAGGTTTTGAGCGCTTGGGAAGGCATCCCAAGACAAAAATCCAATTGAAACCAATTGAACACCAATTTAATTTTCATTTTTTCAATTGGTTTTAATTGGTCTCAATGGGACTTTAATAGGACTTCAGTTGGTTTCAATTGGTACAGATTGGCCCTATTGGACCAATTGGCCTAGGCCCCATTGGCCTATACCCCATTAGACTTTAATGGGAACTCAATTGGTTTCAATTGGACCAATTGGCCCTATTTTGGACTTCAATTGGTCCAATTCAGTTTCAATTTCAGTTTATTTTCATATTTCACATGTTTATTTCATTACATTTGGGATGTTACATTTTTTGTAATCATTTTTTGGGGGGATGCATTTATACAAACGAACAGAATAATACATAAGACTAAGTTAAATAAAGGAAGAAATATGATGGAGCCTAAAGAGAGAGCAATGCTTTTAGGTCATAGTTATAACATTGATATAGTCTTGTGTTTATCGTAATTGGAGTAAATTCCAACTTATATGAAGAAAAGATATATTTGAAACCAATTGAAAACCTTACAGTCTATGGGGCTGATTGGTCCAATTGAAGTCCCATTTAAGTCTAATGGGGCCAATTGGTCCAATTGAAACCAATAAGACTAATTGAACCCAATGGGACCAATAGAAACCAATAGAAACAATAAGACCAATAGAAACAATAGGACCAATAGGACCAATATAAATTGAACCCAATGGGACCAATAGAAACCAATAGAAACCTTCATTTATATTAGCCTGCCTTTTCGATTAGCATGCTAAAATTAACCTGCAATACGTATCTCATGAATATTCATTATTACTTTACACGTCTCACAGAAAAATACATTTATCATGATTAATTGTTAAGCAAATTATGACAATTAATGCACATATCAATTTTGTGATATTTTCTTTGGCAATTATTGACCAATAGATTATTTGTCTGATCACACTTACATTCACGTTTTAGCGATAGATAAATTGATTATACGATTACTAACCAATTAGAAATAGCATGTATGTTTTCTATATATACGTGTATGAGCCTGTACTTTTACAAAAGTCAATCTTGGATTAACTTCAAATGATCTTTGTGATGGAGTCAGTCTAATGCAATTGAGATTAGAATATTCCTATCGGTGGACACTTGCAAATATTGATTATGATGTATCAATTTATCCCTCGTTCCTCTACCCAAGTCGATATACCAATAGAAGTCTTGTACTGATAGTGATGGCAATCGAATATCTTCATTTTTGTTAGCCTGCGTTTTAGATTAGCATGCTAAAATTAACCTGCATAACTTACATATTTCAGCGTTTTTGCAGGCTAACAAAGCAGGTTAATTTGCATGCTAAAAAAGCAGGGCAATTTTGCAGGCTAATTAAGCAGGTTAAAATGATTTTGCAGGCTAAAATAAGCCTGCTTTTAAAATGTACAGGCTAAATTAAGCCTGCCTAATTTGCATATTTCGGCGTTTTTGCAGGTCAGTGCTTGCTAAGGAATTAGCCTGCCTTTAAGCAGCTATGCAGGCTTGATGCAGGCTATAAGCAGGCCTGCCTTTTCGGTAAGGATATACCTGCCAACATTTGAAAATGAGAATTAAGAATTTTTAGCACGGTATGTCTTCGCAAATAAGAAATCTGCAGTGTAACTGGCAATACGCGGTAAATCTGTGCAATCTAAATACAACTTCGCTGCTCAATCATGCAGCCCTACAACGCACGCAATACGTGAACTCTCACACCGCGTCAAATGATAAAACAAGCTTAATTTGGCTTACGCAACACCAATAAACAAAAAAAAAATAATAATAATTAGACCTATTATAAAAATTAAAAAAAATTTAAAAAAAAAAAAAAAAAAAAAAAAAAAAAAAAAAAAAAAAAAAAAAAAAAAAAAAAAAATCGAAATTTTGAAAAAAAAGAATATTCCGGATTTTGGGGTCCTAAAAATCCAGAAAAACAGAATATTCCGGCACAAATACGCTGCAAAGCCGTCATTACAAGCCAAATAAGCTTTCGCTGCCATCAACACACACACAGTATACTATACGAGAGCTCTCACACAAATGGCGGCAAAAACAAGCCCAATTTGGCATAAATTTCCAAAATGCGGAATCTCCCGCATTTTAAGGTCCTAAAATTCCAGAAATGCGGAATATTCCGGAAAATGCGGGAGGGTTGGCAGGTATGATAATACAGGAAAATTTCACTGGTACCAATGGAGGGTGGATCTTCACATGAACACATGATACCAAGATTGACAAATTTAGTATATTGGTTTTTGTTCTAGGGAGCATTTTGTGATGCAAGGTAGGAGTTCAAATTTAGGCAGTATCAATGAAACTGTGTTTTCATGTCTACTTTTAACAAGTCATTAAAAACACCTGAAGAAAAAAATATATGGCTGGAATATGAGGTTTGTGTTCAATCTGACATTTATCACAACTTGCCAAAAGCTCAGGTATAATATCATTTCGGAAACTACACAGAGATGATTAATTGTCTGCAAGGAGCAGTGTCTGTGGGTGTCTACAACAAAAATGCATCTAGAACTAGATGGAACTTCAACTGCGCGCAGTCGAAAATGATGCCTCCGTCATAGAGCAATTTTACAAACCAAAACAGAAGAAATTTTTTCGAAGTCAAGTTCAATTGTAATCCATTAACAGGTTCTCAGAATATTGTGATTACAAGCTATTTTTGCATACATAATGAGCCCATGACCTTTGACCTTATGAACCAAGAATCTACTCAGTTCATTGGCGCTGCAAGAAACATACATGACCTAAGTTGGCAGGAATCCATCAATCGGTTCTTGAGATAACGCGATCACGAGCTGTTTTTGCATACATAATGTGCCCTGTGGCCTTTGACCTTGTGACCCCTACATCTAATCAGTTCATCGGCTCTGCAAGTAACATACATGACCTAAGTTTGGCAGCAATCCATCAATCGGTTCTTCAGATAACGCGATCACAAGCTTGTTTTGCATACATAATGAGCCCTGTGGCCTTTGACCTTTGACCTCGTGACCCCAAAATCTAATCAGTTCATCGGCTCTACAAGATACATACATGACCTAAGTTTGGCAGCAATCCATCAATCGGTTCTTCAGATAACGCGATCACGAGCTCGTTTTGCATACATAATGAGCCCTGTGACCTTTGACCTTTGACCTCGCGACCTCAAAATCTATTCAGTTTTTCAGCTTTGCAAGTAACATACATGACCTAAGTTTGGCAGCAATCCATCAATCGGTTCTTCAGATAACGCGATCACGAGCTCGTTTTGCATACATAATGAGCCCTGTGACCTTTGACCTTTGACCTCGTGACCCCAAAATCTAATCAGTTCATCGGCTCTACAAGATACATACATGACCAAAGTTTGGCAGAAATCCATCAACCAGTTCTTCAGATAACGCGATCACGAGCTCGTTTTGCATACATAATGAGCCCTGTGACCTTTGACCTTTGACCTCGTAACCCCAAAATCTAATCAGTTCATCGGCCCTACAAGATACATACATGACCGAAGTTTGGCAGGAATCCATCAACCAGTTCTTCAGATAACGCGATCACGAGCTCGTTTTGCATACATAATGAGCCCTGTGACCTTTGACCTTTGACCTCGTAACCCCAAAATCTAATCAGTTCATCGGCTCTACAAGATACATATATGACCAAAGTTTGGCAGGAATCCATCAACCAGTTCTTCAGATAACGCGATCACGACAACGGGACGTATGTACGTACAGACGTACGTACGTACGTACGTACGTACGGACGTACGGACGTACGGACGGACGGACAACCCGAAAACATAATGCCTCCGGCTACTTCGTAACGGAGGCATAAAAATAAACAAATTTGTAACCCATGTTTCATCCAAGGGATTTATATTATTTGGTATAGCAGTCTCTCTCAAATGAAAGTTCACGCACAAGAACCTTTTCAAAACAAAATTGAATAATGAAACTTTTCCCCATGATAAATTTGAATGACTGAACAAGTCCTTACACAAGCTTTGAAATTGTTACCAATTCTTATACTGGATAAGAAATGAATTTCAACAACTCCCACACTTACTTGAGTCTCCACCATTAGAGCAATCGCGAGAAATGTGACCGGTTATGCCACATTTGTAACAAGTCCTGTCACCACCACCACGTCCTCCTCCTCCTCCTCCTAAAACAGAATAAACAAAATAATTAACAAGGCTACATTTCAAGTTACTTTTGAAATATACAAATGTAACATAAGGTACATACATATACATTGAAACATCTACTTTTACAATAGTGATAGTCCTTTCGCCGCCGCCACCACCACGTCCTCCTCCCACTAAGACAGAATAATAAAAAAGATAACATTTTATTTTCTAAACAAGGCTACGTTTCAATTTACTAGTAAAATGCACAAATGAAACATACACGCATGCATGTACATTGAAACTGATATCCATTACAACTTTCACTACAACTTTTATTTTTTTTTTAAATGCTATAGGGTCAAAGAAGGATGTTGTCTCTTCCTGCAACATACCAACCCAATGTAACAACTTATTCACTGCAAGGTCAGCTTTTTAAGCACAAATTCAAGCAAGGAATTTACCCAAAATCATAAAGATAAATCTCATATGAAATCAAAGTTCATCGGACTAACAATTGAGGATAAAATAACAAACTAGATGGATGCCATAGAGCGATTTTACAGCCAAAAACAGATACAATTTTTTAAAATTCAAATTTGATTGTAATCCATTAACAGTTTCTCAGAATATCATGATTACAAACAATTTTTGCATAACATAATGAGCCCAATGAACTTTGACCCCACGACCCTAAAATCTTATCAGTTCATTGGCTCTGCAGTATCAATGAAACTGCATTTTCATGTCTACTTTTAACATGTCATTAAAAACACCTGAAAAAAAGAAAAATATGGGTGGAATATGACATTTGTTTTTTAAAAGAAAATTGAACAAACTTGCTCTTTTCCCATGAATTTGCATGACTGAACAAGTCTTTACACAAGCTTTGAAATTGTTACCATTTCTTATAACGGATGAGAAAAGATGTCAAAAACTCCCACACTTACTTGAGTCTCCTTGTGGGCAATCGCGAGAAATGTGACCAGGTTGGCCACAGTTGTAACAAGTCCTGTCACCACCACCACGTCCTCCTCCTCCTAAAACAGAATAAACAAAATAATTAACAAGGCTACATTTCAAGTTACTTTCGAAATATACAAATTAGGCCTGAGTCATGTCGGGATTTTCATAAACCGGGTCCCGACGGCCTTGCACCGATCGGGACCCGGTGTCCCGAAATCAGCTCGCAGGATTTGTCACTTGCCTCTATAAAAAGCGCATATCATCAGTATGTCCCTTAAAAGTGACCTTTTTTTATCAGTCAAATAAATCGACACATGCATACCTCGGCACAGATCGGTATATTCTTCCATTTGACATTATTTTTATCCATGATTGGCGATGTTTAGTGCCATTATCGTGCCTCTAAAAGTAAAAAAACTGGAGCAAAAATAGAAAGACAACGATCGAGCCGCCATTTTGATTCACGCAGGTTGAATAAATCGGGTCAAAAAACATTAATGTTTGAATAATAAAACGGATTTCTAAAAAGTACTCCTTTACAACATACCGATCGAATAATTTTTAAAAACAAAATAGATATTTCTTCTTTGATTTTGAACACCGCATGCTTCTTTTAAAAGCTGAAAATTACTTGGTAATCACAAGAAGTTTCGATACGGATAGCAGTTGCAAGGCAAGTTCAGACTAGTCTCGGAAAAATGCGCAGTGCTCCTTGTAAGCTGTAATGCGTGCCAGAACGAACCCAAACAAAGACGTGATCGTAGCGAGAAAAAAATCATTAAAAACTACGAGAGCACAATTGGAAAGACAACTACTGCTCAAAATTACGATAATCAGATAAATAACTTGGACAAAGAATTCAATAATCGCCCAAGAAATGCCAAAGAAATTGTGATAATCGAGGAGTAACTGGGTACATTTTTATCGCAAGGGGCTTGCTGCAAATACTCGAATCCTTTGTTATACTGCTTTTTACCGTAGAGGGCGTTATTTGGTTTCTAGCCTCGTGTTAGAACACGAGGCTAGAAACCAAATAACGTGTAATTCGGACATATCAGCAGGCCCATTCCGATAGTGATTGTACCTATAGTAACTCCTTAAATATCACTATTTATGTGGCTTTTCTTGGACAACTATTGTATTATTCCTCCAAGTTATGTATCTGTTTACGATAAGTTTGAGTAGTTGTCTTTCCAATTGTGCTCTCGTAGTTTTTAATGATTTTTTTCTCGTTACGATCACGTCTTTGTTTGGGTTCGTTCTGGCACGGATTACAGCTAACTACGAGGAGCACTGCGCATTTTTCCGAGACTAGTCTGAACTTGCCTTGCAACAGCTATCCGTATCGAAACTTCTTGTGATTACCAAGTAATTTTCAGCTTTTAAAAGAAACATGCGGTGTTCAAAATCAAAGAAATAATATCCATTTTGTCTTTTAAAAATTATTCGATCGGTATGTTGTAAAGAAATACTTTTTAGAAAGGCGTTTTATTATTCAAACATTAATGTTTCTTTCAACCTGATTTATTAATCCTGCCGAGAGACCCGGCCAGTACAGTAGCTAGCTAGCAGCTGGCAACAACAACCCCATGGGGCGAACTGCTTTGCAACCCATATTTATATCAGCAGTTCGGATTGATTCAGGATGAGCTAGAATATGATTGGTAACAATTAAATACTTAAGTTTCAAGGTGGAATGATTTTAGTGGTGTGCAAAACTGCAATTTCTTACATATTTCATTATTTTTTTCGGAGCGTCGGTTCTCAAAAAACGAAACCGGGACCCGACGGCAACGGTCGGGTCCCGGTGTGATCGACCGTACCGACTCAAGCCTAATACAAATGTAACATAAGGTACACACATATACATTGAAACATCTACTTTTACAATAAAAAAGAAAAATGCTATGGGGGTCGAATCACGAGCCATGTGACCTCTTTCGCCACATCCGTAAGCCCTGTCACCACCTCCTCCTACAACAGAATAAAAAAAAGCATTCCATTTTACAAGGCTATGTTTCAATTTACTATTGATGGTAATCTGTCTATTGGTTCTTATGATAATGCAATCACAAGTTATTTTTGCATATAATGACACCCATGACATTTGACCTCTTGACCCCAAATTCTAATCAATTCATTGAATCTGCAGTTAAATTAGTGCAGTATCAATGAACCTGTGTTTGCATGTCTACTTCTAATGAGTCATTAAAAACTGAAAATGAAAAGTACGGATGGAATATGACGATTGTTTTCAAAAGAAAATTGAGTAAATTTGCTCTTTTCCCATGATGAATTTGCATGACTGAACAAGTCTTTACACAAGCTTTGAAATTGTTACTAATTCTTATACTGGATGAAAAATGAGTTTCGAAAACTCCCACACTTACTTGAGTCTCCTTTGGAATTGGGGCATTCACGAGCCATGTGATCGGTCGCACCACATCCGTAACAAGCCCTATCACTACCACCACGTCCTCCTCCTCCTCCTCCTAAAACAGAATAAACAAAATAATAGCATTCTGTTTCTTAACAAGGCTACGTTTCAATTTACTTTTGAAATACACATATATGAAACATACATACATGTACATTGAAACTGATCTCTATTTCAACTTTCACTACAATGTGTTCTTTAAAGAATGCTATAGGGTCAAAGAGAGGCGTTGTCTCCTCCTGCAACATACCAAAATAATGTAACAACTTATTCACTGCAAGTTCAGCTTCTTAAGCACAAATTCAAGCAAGGAATTTACCTAAAATCATTAATATAAATCTCATATGAAATCAAAGTTCATCAGAATTACGATTGAGGAAAAAAATAACAAACCTAGATGGATCTTCGACAGGCGAAAATGATGCCTCTTTCATAGAGCGATTTTACTAACTAAAACAGAAGCAATTTTTTTTTTAATTCAAGCTTGATTGTAATCCATTAACAGGTTCTCAGAATATTGAGATTACAAGCTATTTTTCATTTTCATTTGATCTCTGACCCCATGATCCTAAAATTAATCAAATCAGTTCATTGGCTCTGCAAGATACATGTCGAGTTGGATGGTAATCTGACCATCGCTTCTAATGATAATGGGATCACAAGCTATTTTTGCATACATAATGAGCCCCATGACCTTGAACCTTTGGCATCAGGGGAGCGTTTCACTAAGCCTTTTTTCAATGACAAATTACAACAAATTAATGACAATGCTACTGATAACCAATCAGAAGCAAGGATTTCAGTAGCTTATAACAAAGACTGTCATTTGTCACTGACAAAAAGTTTTGTGAAACGGGTCCCAGGACCCCAAAATCTAATCGGTTCATTAGCTCTGCTGTTCAAATTTGGGTGGAATTTGACATTTATTTTCAAGAGAAAATTGAACAAACTTGCTCTTTTCCCATGATGAATTAGCATGACTGAACAAGTCTTTACACAAGCTTTGAAATTGTTACCATTTCTTATAATGGATGAAAAATGAATTTCAATAACTTCCACGCTTACTTCCACCAGAAGAGCAATCACGAGCTATGTGACCAGGTTCGCCACAGTTGTAACAAGACCTGTCACCACCACCACGTCCTCCTCCTCCTAAAACAGAATAAACAAAATAATTAACAAGGCTACGTTTCAAGTTACTTTTGAAATACACAAATGTAACATAAGGTACATACATAAAAATGGCAGCTGAGTATTCGAGTATGAGAAATCGTACTCGAGTAGTTGTCAACAGTGCAAGTACTCTTACTCCTCGCAGCCTTACTGCAAGATCAGCATTTTAAGCACAAATTTGAGCAAGTAATTTACCTCAAATTATAAAGATAAATCTCATATGAAATCAAAGTTCATCAGACCATAGACCAAATTACAGATGGACATTCGTCGTTTAGTTAACAAATTCATTGTGATTCTCTCTCCTTCAATGTCGTCTCAATATTCCATACAATTTTCTTTCGCTTTGATCTCATGATGGTCACCGCCAATAAGCCGGGACAGAATCAAGATAGTGATTTTACTTAATCTACATGCACAGAAGATAATCAATCGCTTGAATCATGGGAAATCAATGTGTAGTTCTGGTTTATAATCATTGTTGTTCTGTGTACTGTATTTTATTTTGAAAAACATGTTGATATTACCAGATAGAGGTTATATTTGGATTGGTTGTGAATTAAAATCTGTTTCCCCCAATTTCCAAATAATATTCCAAAGTTACAACGCACAGGGCTTATAAGGTCATGGGTGTGTGCGAATCAGTAATAATACATTTCAAATCACCAAAATCGTCTGCTTTTAAACTTTGCTGCTCCCATTGGTGATGTTTTTATTTAAGACACACTCTTACAGAGCACACCATCCAAACAAAACCCAAGAGAGGGAAACTGCTCCTTTGTCAATGACCAAAAATGCTTGAGCAATCGTTATTGTTAAAACAGTTGAATGTTCTCATTAAGATGCACATAATCAGAAGGCGGTAACTCTCATTGGATCAAAGAAAGAATCACGTTGAATGTCCATCCATAATAGGTCTATGATCAGACTTACGATTGAGGAAAAATAGATGGATCTTCGACTGCATGCAGTCGAAAATGATGCCTCTCTCTCATGGAACGATTTTACAAACCGAAATAGAAGCAATTTTTAAAATTCAACATTGATTGTAATCCATTAACAGGTTCTCAGAATATTGAGATTACAAGCTATTTTTCATTTTCATTTGATCTCTGACCCCATGATCCTAAAATCTAATCAGTTCATTGGCTCTGCAAGATATATATACATGTCTTGAGTTGGATGGTAATCTGAGTATCGGTTCTAATGATAATGGGATCACAAGCTATTTTTGCATACATAATGAGCCCCATGACCTTTAACCTTTGACACAATGACCCCATGATCCTAAAATCTAATCAGTTCATTGGCTCTGCCAGATATATACATGTCTTGAGTTGGATGGTAATCTGACCATCGGTTCTAATGATAATGGGATCACAAGCTATTTTTGCATACATAATGAGCCCCATGACCTTTAACCTTTGACACAATGACCCCAGAATCTAATCAGTTCATTACCTCTACAGTTCAAATTTGAGTGGAATTTGACATTGGTTTTCATAATGGATGAGAAATGAATTTCAATAACTCCCACACTTACTTGAGTCACCTTGTGGGCAATCGCGAGAAATGTGACCAGGTTGGCCACAGTTGTAACAAGTCCTGTCACCACCACCACGTCCTCCTCCTCCTCCTCCTAAAACAGAATAAACAAAATAATTAACAAGGCTACATTTCAAGTTACTTTCAAAATATACAAATGTAACATAAGGTACACACGTATACATTGAAACATCAACTTTTACAATAAAAAAGAAGAATGCTATGGGGGTCGAAGAGGGGCGTTGTCTCTTCCTGCAATATACCAACCTAATGTAACAACTTATTCACTGCAAGGTCAGCTTCTTAAACACAAATTCAAGCAAGGAATTTACCAAAAATTAAGATAAATCAAGATTTTTTTTAAATTGAAGATAGTCGTGATAAGATGAGATGGTTAAGTTGGATTGGTTATAATCTAATACAAAAATAGTTAAAAGCAGCTACCCATCTGCCATCCGCCTTTAGACCTGGACATTCAGTGTTGAATCCTCACCTGAAGGTGGTGAGGACCAGAAAACAAATTCTGATTTCTTATTTTCACAACTATATTTCTGGGAGTGTGTCTGGTGAAGACCACTGGGTAGAAAGAGGAAGAGAGAACTAAAGACGAATAGGGATGTGTTATGAAGGATGGTCATGTGGTTACCTAGTTAAGAAGGAGTGTGCACAAGAGGTAAAGAATCTCCTCTTAGGTTATTGAACCGTCAGGATGCAGGGTTAAATACATTACAAATGACTAGAAATTATGAGGGATATTTCATCTCTTGCAGTGACATTTTTAGTTTCTTACCATAACTGCGGTTTCCATAGCTGGATCCACCCTGTATAAAAAGAAGAAACAAGGCATTATTTATTGTGATTTCTAAAAAAAAAAGAAGATATTTAATTGCATTGTGATCCTTTCCAATGATTTGAGCGGACCTGAATTTTTTCTTTTCTCTAAAAAATCTCAAGTCTTTCTCATTTTTAAGTTGATTTTTCTTACTGTAATACGGTACTCCAAATCAAATATGCCCCATTTTTTTTTCTTTCTTGATTTCTCTTCTTTTCCTTGTAATTTTTCTTCCAATCGTTCGTTCTTTAAATTGATTTTTCTTTCTTCTTCTTCTCTTTCTGATTTGAGAATACTAGCCCAGTAATTTAGTAGGACATAGAGGGCGTTATAGTTAATTGTGGACATCGTGAGATGTCAGTCAGTCAGCGTTCAGCTGTCCTTGGGACAGGTTCTGTATAGTTGTGATCTGTGAGTCAGCGTTGACCTGTCGTTGCGACAGGTCCGTTACCAGGAACGAGTAAAGTTACTTGAACTGCAGATACTGTGCAAGTGTTGTTTCTTGAGTTCCTGTCAGACATTCAGTGATTACGGGAGTGCGTAAAATGAGAGCTAGTCCACGTTATTCTTACACGATATACTTTTGTGAGAGCCCACAGAGATATAGTTGATGAATGATTGTCGAGAGCGTGAACCGGGTTTTGAGAGACTGCAAGGAGAACGCTACCCCGGCAGAGCCCGGTTACGCCACAATACTATCATCCAAGTACATATGACCCAGGACCAGGCATTGTTTTAGCTACTTTCTCGACAAAGTCTGGTCCATAAGGCATCAAGTTCATATTCATAGGTAGACCATATGAGGTTTGTTTGAAGTGTCAAAGACTCAACAACTCGAGAGTCAAGGCTAAAGCACTTTGCATCCGGCATTCTCTTTTTCGTCACATGCACTAGCGTCCACACCTACACACTACGAACATGCCAGACAATGAAAGCGGACAAAATATACAGTTCCTCAGGTAGACAAAGGAACATCCCTTCACTGCTATTATGTAAAAATGTGTAGAACAGGTGAATATGCATGTGACACCTGTTCTACACATTTTTACATAATAGCAGTGAAGGGATGTCCCTTTGTCTACCTGAGGAACTGTATATTTTGTCCGCTTTCATTGTCTGTCATGTTCATAGTGACATGTACTTGGGTGGAGTTTATGGTCTGGAGTAGGAATGAGGAAACCAAGGAGTGTGACGATGAGAAGCATGCCTGCACGTAGAACTTTACGCACTGAGCGCTGTACAGCGAGTTAACACTCTCCCATTGGCTGACCCACTTATAAAAGCATAGAGCGCAATGGTAATGCCAATAGTAAAAATCATACCAAACACACCGACATGTCATGCATTGTACAGGTGACGCACTTCACACATACATTGTATTGGATAGGGTGTCTGATTGCGCACCCGATGTTGTGTGCTAAAATCCTCCCCATAGAGATGCACGCATCCCTATGTGGTCTACGTGCATTGCGCAACCATGCAAAATTGGTCAATGAATTTATGAAAAAATTTGAAATTCAAACCTTAATTCCTCGTGATCCTGAAGGTGAAACTCAATAAATGAGGTGTCATATGAAAGTGCAGTTTTTCTCCATATTTCCCAAGGGGGCACACCCCCAAAATCCAAAAAATATCTTGGTTAAAACAGTGATTGAAATGTTGTTTGCATCCTAGCTCCAAAATTTGCCACTTTCCTGATGCGCGGCTAAAGTAGGGCTAGACGTAGGCCTAAGGATAATATCCAGGTGCTTTTTTCCCCGCTAGCCCCAAGGGATCATTCGGCACAACAGTTTGAAAATACCCTTCCCACATTTTTTGAATCGGCTAATTAGGGAGGCGTGAACTTCGCTCAGTACAAACCATGGTTACATCGCGCACATAAATATGCATTCGGACCGCGTACGCTTCCAACCGAGAAGTGAGTACATGTTATAAGTGAATGGCGATATATTGCCGAGACAACGTGGTCAGGTTTTGCGCGTTCAGTTAGCAGATGCTCCATCGCGCAATATGCATGCGTATGTATGGCGTACTCATGATATACCAAAATGATATGAATATTGTAGAGTTTTAGAGGGGCTGTATGTTTGGATAGAAACATCGGTGAGTCTTGAAATTTGAAATATATTATCATTATTACATTTTTCATTCACATATTTCAAAAAATGGTGAAAAACATACATGTAGATTCTAGGTCTAAAATGAATCAAAATAAGACCCTTCTCAACCTCGTGCATATTCAGCAATTTTGAATGATGGCACTCTATGGCACCGTTATTCATATTTGCCGCGCCGCTACCGCGCATGCCTACGTTCTCTCCGCCATGTTAAATCGACGATACAACATGGATGGATGAATCGTCGAGTTCGAACGAAAAATCACCCTTTTTCTTCTCAAAACTTCTTCAAAATATAATTTCAAGTGGTTGGACGGATACTCAGAGCAGTCGAAAAACATATTAAGTCAAAGGCCTAGGATCTACTACCTCTTCTTAAGGGAAACCAAAACCTTCATACTAAGTTACTTTTATTGTAAAGTTTAAAAGATTTGAATAAAATCAGTGAAAATTTAAACAAAATCGGGCAAAGAATAAGAAAGTTAGAGCCTTTTGAAATGACTAGTCACTAGAGGGCGGTATTCAATTTGATGACATCAGCTGTGAACAACTCTCCATGCCTTTTGTACATAAATTTCACAATTTTTTTGTTTTTTCCGTATTTATTTGTGTTCTTGATCCGACTTCATAACATGTGAAGTAGAATATCATTTTAGAATATCATTTTGCGTGCATTTTTTTGTTTTTTTCGTATTTATTTGTGTTCTTGATCTGACTTCATAACATGTGAAGTAGAAAACTAGAATATCATTTTGCATTCTAACAAAAGTTATATCCTGCTTTCAGGGGAGTACATTATCTCAATCACAAGAAAGAAGAAAAAAACATGAAATTTGATGTACAAAAGGCATGGAGAGTTGTCCACAGATGATGTCATCAAATTGAATACCGCCCTCTAGAGACTAGTCATTTCAAAAAGCTCTTAGTCTAGAGTAGTGGCTCCGGTCTGCGGCCGATCGGCGGGAGCTGCCGATTCTATTTTTATTGGAATACTCACAGAATACTTCAATACCCTCAATAAAGAGTCCATATACTTACTTATTAAATAGAAGTCACAAATAACCAAACTGACCCACAGCGTGGTCAGCATTGACCATGTTTCGAAATGCTTCGAGTTCCCCGGTTTGCGGGCACGCAGTACCGGTTTGCGGCACGCGTACGTCACAAAGCTTTATGCGCTACGTCACGATGAAAGCATGTACCAAATAACTACGGGTAACCCAAATTCTCATGTTTATCTGTTGCTACGGTAAATTTGTGAAGTTTTAAACAATTTCACCTTTTCCTCGAATGGATCATCCCATACGGGGGTACGTACTACTAGAAACTATCGGGTCATAGGGGGTACACACATCAGCACACATACCATCATACACGATCCCGCATGTTATGTGTGTATTAACACCCCCCGCCGCAAACCAGAAAAACACGTAATTACGTGCCGGTTTGCGGTCACCCCATGCAACTAGCCATGCGGTGGCACAATCAAAATATCTGCGATAGGAGACAGACCACAGCCATCATACTTCCACAAAAACATCAAATTTCACCTCCAATCGGACAAATATCGGACAAATAGAGCTACAATATTGATCTAGTCATGCCTCGATCTCTTAACTTAAAAGTTAGCACCTGCTGGAATTGTCATCGGCGACTGGTGCCGTAGATTTCCGACATCGCTGACGGATACTCCGTACCGATAGGAGCACCTGCTACGGACATTTTCGGCAAAGCAGAACTTACCGTGGAATCCACGGTAGGTTTCAATGATTATTATCGAGTCATATTCATTTTATTTTTGAAACAAATACCCCTGGCCGCAAACCGGGCGATGCCGCAAACCGGAGACTCACTCTACTTCCTTATTCCTTGCCCGATTTCGTTCAAATTTTCACTGATATTTTTCAAATATCTTAAACTTTACAATAAAAGTAACTTAGTATGAAGGTTCATTTTGAAAAAAAATTTGACCTAACCCGCTGATTGAATCGTTCTCAGATTCAGAAGGCTCTGGTCTGGAGACTGGAGCTCAGCGTCAGACTCGGAGCTTCCTGAAGTTATTGCTACACATGATCCTGCACTTGCATCACTCACTTAACATGCTGAAAGCATTAATCATCTAAACTTTAACACATCATCAAATTTGAATTTACAGTCAGCATCGTATGTGTTTGGCAGATCTGTATCACTGCACTGTCACTCAGCCAAGTTCAAGTTCATCATGATCATGTTCATCTCGCACACAACCCCAAAAATAGAAAAGCGAACAAGTGAAAATCAACTGTGAAAACTCACCCCACCCGAAGGAGAACGCCAGTCGTCCGACATCTTGTCCTTTGGCTTTACTTAGTTCAGAGAATTAAGGGCTCACTTGGAACGAGGACGTTTCTGTTACTGTTTTATTTTGTTTTAACAATCTTAGCTAACGGCCACCTAATTGTCGAAGACAAGCGTAGTGTATGTGTAGGCTACGTGTAGTGTGCAAAATATCGTGGAAACATGTGGTTTAATATTTTACATGCGCTTTGCTTATCCGAGCGGCTTCGTCTTACAAAGACTCAGTACAATATTCTATTCGACCCAGATATTATGTCCTATGTTTTTCCTACATCCTGAATCAAAGATCTTCCCTATCTTATTGAGTTTATAGTTTTACTTAAGTTTGTTGTTGTTGTTGTTGTTGTCTTTTTGTTGAATTGTTGCCTTATATTTACTGCGTGTTGATTGCTGCCAACGAACCTTTCTTTAGTAAGATACTTCATAATGTTTTTGTTTTCTTCTTCAATGTCTTAGTTGTAAATTATCTTCGTACTATATTTACTGCAATATTCTCCCATGCCCAGGTTGGGCCAAGAGGTGCCGTTTAAGAAATAAAACCAGAGGCGGCGCTCCGCCTCCACTTTTTCAAGTACCCCAAAAGTGCCCCTTTGACATTGTAAAAAGTGCCCCTTTAATGTGACAAGTGCCCCTATTAATTATTTAAAGTGCCCCTTCCCCTTTCCACCTCTGATAAAAGTGCCCCTTTTTATTTTTCAATAAGTGTCCATTTTCCATTCTCATATGTGCCCTTTTTAATCTCTAGTAAGTACCCCCTTTCAGGTACGAAAAGCGCCCCTTTTCACTTTTGATAAGCGCCCCCTTCATCTCTGATCATTGGCCTATTCAAATCTAACTGAAAGTCCCCCTTCCCCTTTTAATAGCTACCTCTTTTTAACTGGGATAACTTTTTAACTTTGCCTTTATTATTAGTGCCCCTTTTTCATTCTCATAAGTGCCTCTTTTCATAATGGTCAGTGCCCCTTTTCACCTCGTATAATTACCCGCTTAACAATGATACTTGCCCCTTTTCCTTCTAATAAGGAACCTGTCCCCTTTTCATAAATCCCCCCTTTCACTTCTTCAATGCCCCTATCAAAATCTGATGGGTGCCTCTTTTCTAGTCGTCAAGTGCCTAATTCACATTCTCATAAGTGCCTTGTAGCCCTTGTTCATCCCTATAGTGAGTGCCTTTTTTTAAAGGTTTTTTTTAGGTGTAAGAAGTGTCCCAATTTCACCTCTGATAAGTACCCTTTGTACCTTGCCCCGTGCTTCTCTCCTCTGTTAATAAGTGTCTCATCCATTCCGGTAAGTGTCCCCTTGTCCTCTCATTAAACGCGGCCTTTAATTTCAAGCGACTCGGGGCGTGTTTATGCTCAACTTTTTCTGGCCAGAATCAGGCATCTGTTACGCGTTTAGTTTAAAACACGGTTGCGTCCTTTCTCACTTTTGTAGAATCACCGAAAAACGGCGATCACGATCGCCGATCGTAAACTCACAAAAATGCGTTTACAATTTGTAAACGCGTTTAAATGGGGTCAACGCACTGACCTCTAGTGGGTCTACGTAGCATGCACAGTGCAGGTTTGCGAATCCAGCTGCAAGGCCAATTAAGGCCACCCAGTGAGAATTGCCTGGAGGAGCCAGAGAAGTAAGCATAAACACTACACCGTGGAACTGCGATTACGATGAGCGTTTACGATGTGCGTTTCAAATCGCTCATTCTGCATAAGTTGCTCGCGTATATATGAAGAGTTTCATTCAAAAACTGGGGCTAAATCCACTTTGGGTACTTTTGAGTAAATCGCCTTTTTTTTTATTTCTCCACTTTCCCTTTATCCATGTACCTTAATTTTGTTATATATGTTAAAGGTGTCACCCTGGACCAATAATATATGATAAGAAAAAATCTACCAGTTTTTCCTGATTTTTACTAAATTTTTAGATTTTTTTTCTCGTGGATTTAGCTCCTTTGAAATGAAACATGATATGGTACCTGCAATTTTTTCATATTTTCTCAATAAAATCACTGAAATTTAATCAAATTTAGTAGCGAACCTTTCCTTTTAAATAATGAAAGTGAAATCACAAAAAAAAACCTTTTGAAAAGAAAGTAAACAACATATCACAGTTTCATTCCAAAAGGAGCTAAATCCACAAAATCTAAAAAAAAAAATAGTATAAATCAGAAATAACTGGTAGATTTTTTTTTCTTATCATATATTATTGGTCCATGGCGACACCACATAACAAGATGAAGGTACATGGCTAAAGGGAAAGCGGAGAAATAAAAAGGTGATTTACTGGGCCCAAAAAATGAGTGCCAGGGATTTAGCTCCTTTTGGAATGAAACCGATTTGGATTTAGCTCCTTTTGGAATGAAACATGATATTGTACCTAAATTTTGTCATACTTCCTAATGAAATTTTTGAATGTGATATAGTGCATTTTGTCCCCGTGTAAGAAATCATTTTAAGACAGCTAACTCAATTTTTTATAAAAAAGTGGATTTAGCTCCTTTTGGAATCATGCTCTCAAATGTTGAAAGGTATTTTCAGTCTTTCATTATGAGAATTTGCCAACCCCATCAGGATTGGATTTTTCATCTAATTTTTTGCACTGCGACCTCACCTTAGAATTTTCCTCGCTCGCAAATGAATTTTCAGACTCACATGCACCCACTGCAAAGTTTATGATTAAGCAATATCGTATACGATGTATAAAGAGAAATACATATTGAAATCATCCCTGATAATGTAATCACAATAATTATAGGGGTATATACCTAGCCTATGTCTAAACAAATTGTATATTTTGGCTTTAAAATTTCCCTTTGAAGGTGCCCTTTTTGTGCCCCATTATGGAAGCCGCCCGCCTCTGAATATAACAAACCTTTCTCCGGGATGCAGGAGAATTATTCTTCATATTATTTCTTTCACTTTACCGAGAATCTCATCGGAATCTTTGAGACAAACTTGGCAATGCGATCAAAAATTGTGATGTCATCCCTTTGATGGAAGACGTAGACTTGGACTATATCACGGAGGACAGAAAAGCAAGGAAAAGAAGGGAGTGGGGAAGCAAGGGAGGAAGAGAGAGAGAGAGAGAGAGAGAGAGAGAGAGAAGGGGGGGGGGGGGGGGGGGGGGGGGGGGGGGGGGGGGGGGGGGGGGGAAGAGAGATAGAGAGAAAGAGGGAGAGCCTAACAGCTGATCGAGTGTTGGGAGAGAGTTTGTAAATAATCACATTTGAGTGAAATACACAAACAAAAAACGATGGCAGCTACTGAGCTAGTAACTAAAAAATCAAAAATCTCTCGATTAAAGATAAACTTGAGTTCTGGTAAAAAAGAAAATGAATTCTCACAGAATTTAACGAAACTTACACTGAATGTTCAAGATTACAAATAAAAATGTCATGTGCCAAACAATTTTGAAAGAAAATGTATACTGGCTGAGTAATGAGCATAGAAAGACAAGGAAATCAGGTAGTACTAGCCCCGACACCATGCGTGTTGTCCCATATACATCTTTCTGTGTAAGTGATTGTTACTTTACCAAATTTATGACGATCTTGATGACTCCAGAACCTTGCATTACACACCATTACTTACATGCTATATGATCAACTTTTCTGATCCATTCCACACCTTTTCTTTCACAATGCAATCGCATTACCAGAACTCAAGTTTATCTTTAAAACACAAGTTGATATTGGCACAAATTTGGCAACGTATACAAATTGGTTCGGGAACGAATGACTGTTGCGCCGATTCAACTGCAAGGCATGATGTAGTCTAGAATCTGGCCGGTACTTGATTCAAGCCGCCGAAGATGGCGGGCATCCTAATTTAAGGACCACGCATAGAGATTAAGTATATATCTCTATGGGACCACGCCATCTTCGGCGGTCGGCAGCAAGTAGTGGGGAGGTTCGCATTCATAGAGATATCGCATTGCACTCTCTACGAGATCAGTGGCATTGCACGATCAAAATTAAATAGGACGAATTCTGCACTAGCTAGCTTACCATGACCATATGCGCTTATATGCACGACAAGTGAAAAAGCCTCGCCCGCAAACTTATTTTTCTTTATGTGGCCTCGCCTGCAAACTTGCAGAGCACAGGAGTACGAGTCAAGTGTCCATCGTTAAAGGCTTATAAACTTCTAGCCAATGGCGATTGAGTCTAAGAATCGAATACTCATTTTCTTTCAATGTCTGTTCATTTTTTTTCCTCACTAATTGTCACTTAATTTAATTTATCTTATTTTAGTTTTTCTTCGATCTTCATCCTCCTTTTCCATTCCTTTCCCCTATCTTTCCTTTCCCATACATTAGTGTTTTTTTTTGTCAAGAGCCTCTTTTTTGTACGCCCCCTCCGATTTAGGGGTGTTTGCTACAAAAAAAAATAATAAAAAAAAAAAAAAAACCCTCTGAATTAAGTACTGTGTATTATGATAAAACCTTTAAAATGAACAATGTGTGCTTAGTTTATGTGGAAGAGGACGGCAACTCAAAAGCTAAGCATTTTTCTTTCATTTCTAGTCTTGCCTCTTCTTTTCTTTCTTGCCTAAATTTTTCTGTTGTTTTAATTTCCTTTTCTTTCAATTTCTTTTCTTAAGTATAGGCCTATTCATTTTCCCCCCCTTTTTTTACAAAGTTAAAATCAATTACAATTTAGATAATAAAATGTATTCGGCCTGTCAAGTACACCTTCCCCCTCGATCTTTCTTTGCTCACTCACCACCCACCCCCCCCCCCCCCTCTCTCTCTCTCTCCTTCTCTTGCTTTCTGTATCATTTATCTGTTTAAAAGCACCACTAAAATATATATTTTCTTTAACTTCTGTATTTATATTCTCTCTCTCCTTCTCTTGCTGTCTGTGTCATTTATCTGTTTAAAAGCACCACTAAAATAGAGATTTTCTTTAACTTCTGTATTTATATTCTACATTCCATTGAATGACAACCAAAGATATAGTTGTATAATATGATTAATTCATAGACATCTTTTCTATGTACACATCAATAAAATATACATCTCAAAAACTAATACATCAGACAGTGGAATGTATAGGTTCCTTATTTCTAATCACTAATCACTTTAAAAGATACCATCCATACAATTCCTTTACAAAAATAAACATTTAGGATAAATGGATCACAATAGAGAATAGTTGAAGAATACCAATATTGACAGGAATAATCTTTTACTTCAACCATGCTGTGAAAATGCTTACACTCTCTTTTTTTGAAAATAGAACCACTGTTCAATAGTTTTAACCCAAAACTAATCAATGTGAATAGAATCCAAGTCATCCTTGATATTGCAGATTCAAACTGTCAAAAATAGCTTTTCAAATATGAAAACAATCTATCCCGAGTCAATTTTGACTACCGGTAGATTCCTGTAAGTTTGTGTTGTATGAGTTATTCTATTCAAATTTGACTACACTCTTTTCATATTAGAAGATATATTTTAAACAGTTTGAATCTAGGATATTAAACATCACTTACATGCTATGCACATTGATGAGTTTTTTTGGTTTTGTGTATAATTTCTGATCACTGCCCCCCCCCCCCCCCCCCCCCCCCCCCCCCCCCCCCCCCCCGCCGTGAAGGCAAGTGGAGTTCATACATCTCCATGAAATGCTCTCAAAGGATAGACCTAGGCCGTTAAGAAAAAACCTCTTTTGAACACTGAACATAGGGCTTCTTGATTGTAAACCTGTGTGTTAATTGGCTCAGTCAGTAGAGCGTCCGCCTCACAATCGGGAGGTCGTGGGTGCGAACCCTGGCCGCGTCATACCAAAAGACGTTTAAAGATGGGAGTTGCTGCTACCTTGTTTGGCGTTCAACAATAAGGGATAGAGCAATGTCGATCTGGCGCTGCTCAGTGGCTGCCGGGCTCACAATCAATTGGGCAAAAGAATTTTCATTTTCAGTTTAACTTAATAAAATTTGGAGTGGACTTTAAAAGATTATTATTATTATTATTATTAAACCTAAAGCCTCGGTCACAAATGCCATTACGAACTGCTACGAACGCCGTACGAACGATTTTCAGACAATGGAAATTCGGGGAGACAATGGAAAAACAGGGAGATTCGTACGAAATTATCGTTCGTACGAACCTTTGTGACCGTAGCATTACTGGAAATTATACAAATAGGATGTTTACAATCTTGATTCTCAATTTTTAAAGTTAAAAGATCAAGTGTTGCATAATAATCTTGCATGATATCTCAACGTTTATCCGCTAAATAGGGGAATATACAGTCAAACTCGTCTATCAAAGTACCCAAGAAAATGGAAAAAGCAGCCACTGTAGGCAGGTGGCCTTTTTAGACAAACCACAAACAATCTTCCTAGAGAGACAAAGTACATGGCCACTATACACAGGTGACCTTGATTGAAAGGTGGTCGCTATCAAAGTCAGGTTTGACTAAATTTTGACATTCTTGAACAGGCATTTGAAACACACCTTCACGACACACAGTACGTATCTAAGAGAGCACCTAAATGTTGATAATATGTGGTAAATAGTTGGAAGACATATATGCATTCTTAACTCACTATTCTCAAACTCAAACATAAAACTTAAACGTAAAATTAATAAATATATAAAATCAATCACAACCAAATGATGTGTGACATTGACCCAACATCCTACAAGAAATGATATATCACTTGGAAATTGTTTCTTCCTCTCAATACAATGAGTTGTGAGTCTCCATTTCTGCATGCATAAAGATAGAGCTTGATACATGGACTTTAGGAGCAATTTTAATACTTAAAGAGATGGTTGAGTTCTGGGAAGAGGTAAAAAATAATTTGTGAGCGTTGTATTATGCAAGTGTGGAAGAACATCAGATAACAAAATGTTCCCTGAAAAGCAAGGCTCTTTAAAAAGACTTAATATTCTTAATATGGCATGCAACATCATAAAAATCGGGACAGATTTTTATGCCACATGTTCGTTTAGTCCCGTACATCTTTCTGTGTAGAGTGCTTGTAACTTCACCAAGATTGGGCCAAATAACTTATCATTTTGATGATTCCAGAACCTTGCAGTACACACCAAACTTATATGCTAGATGATCAACCTTTTCTGATGGATTCCACGTTTCTTTCACAATGCAATCGCATGACCAGAACTCAACTTTATCATTAAAGCGATACTGAACTGATGAACTTTCTGCCCTAGCGCACTATTTATTGGACAGCACCATCTCAATGTCAACATGCCAAAAGTGTGTAACCCAATATCTAATAAGCGAGTTCGTAATTAGGATTTGCGCATGGGCAGATAAAGGCCATTCGGACCAAAATTGTAAAACCATTGAGACAAATACTTGTATCGTGCTCATGAAAGTTATGTAATTAGTATTCATTTATGTACCGACAGTACATTTATCTGATACACAGGTGGAAGTATTCTTCTCAAGAGGCAAACAAAAGGTATTCATGAAGCACCTCCATCACTTTGGCAGTGATTATTCTAAAATGCACAGGTGGGAAGTATCCATCGTGTCTAAGATCTGTGGATATTTTGGGGTCATGCGGTCCAGAGCTATTTACGAACTCGCTTATTCCCACTTCGCTGAGGGCTCGATGTAAGAACCAATAGAGCAGGGAAGTGGCAGGTTACGGGACCATACTGCTACAGCTGACCCGAGATGGCGATAGAGGGCATTTTCGCGGTAGTGCTTCTAGTATAGTATGGCTTTAACGGTCACAACCAATGAGACTCTTTGGTCTCATGGGCCTTCTAACAACCTCTCAGGGCGTTTTCTAGACCAAGGGAAGGCCAACACAAGACCTGTATCAACATCAGGTTCCTTATGTAACTTGTTGTTTTGTTGGTCTCATGGGAACCCGGTTTTGTAGGCTGTCAGTCTGTGGGCCATCGATCAGTCTATTGCCGGTACTCTGTTTTGTATAAACTAGCTATCTTTTGATCTGCCTCTGTTCCCCTCTGTATCTGTTTATTCTTTTCTAATCCCATGGGCTGTCTGTCTACTTGAAGATACGACGCGATCATAAACCATCTCAAAACAAAATCTGCAGTGGTTTTATTACATGTAAATGAATGGCAATACTCTGCACAACAAAGGGCCTACCGTAGACTTATTCACTAGGCTCTGTGTTATAAAGATACAGAAATATGAAGCCTATAAATTACACGCAACGTCATAAAAAACGCCAGTTTTGCAGTGTCATTTTTAAATTGGGCATCACTGAACAAAGATGGAGTTCCGTAATGGCTGATCTAGGAATGCCTCAGCGTTATGCTACAAACTATTTAGTTCAATCTCGTAATGACCATATGTAGTTTGGTAGTGACAAAGATGTATACTTTGCACACAAATATATCCTCACTTTAAAAGTATTGACTAAATTTACACTTGCAGACATACCTGTATTGAAACTACATTTTTATACAATAGCTCATTGATATACATCTAGCAGTACAGATCAGAATACAGATATATTTTTAAAAAATCATTAATGATGATCAAAAACAATATATACATATAATTCCTGATTTTAGATTAATTATATTGAACTGACTTGAAGTTGAAACTAATGTTTTACAGATATATTTTAAAATCTGATATTGTTTGAAATTACAGGGCATATGAAGTTAAACAGATATATTTCAGTGAAAAACAAATATAGTATTTGAATAGAATTTTGAAAAAAAAACTTAAAATTAATAGACTAAAAAATTGCTTTTATAATGCTCTATATATATGTAAGTTTATACACAAAATATGGTTTAGTGTAATCACAGTTACATGCCATTTAGTTTCGAGTAATATTTCATGTAAGAACCAGAGAACCCATTACACAATATTCATAACCATTTCAGCAATATCACCCAAGTATCTATAGACCGTGGTATTGGTTTTTCCCACTTTTTTTTAGACTGCACAATCCCAAAATCAAATAACATCGACAATAAAATGCACATTTCATCATCAGCAATACAAGCACTCTTAAAACAATTCAATATACATGTACATATAAGATAGTACACAATCTAATTTTGGATAAGCAATGATATATTATAAAAAAATAAAATAAAACAGTCCTCACTATGATAAAATGATATAAAGAAATATGTCTACCAGTAATACAGGTTCTATATCAGAACATCCCATTAGAAGGGAAATACAATGTAATAAGATAAGTACACATTTAAGATTTAACACTTAGTCACCCCCTCCCCTGCCCCCCTGCTCCAGTCTAATGTACTGCAATCAAATTGATAAAAATGCACATGTACATGTGTATCTGTACATCCATGTAGCTTACAGAAATATAACCAAAATATATCAAATTTGAATTTTTCATAGATGCTTGCTTCATACATGTATCTACAAAATTTACAAATTAATGCCTGAAATATACATAATTTGTGAGGGAGAGCCCGGGAGCTACATTCAAAGCAAGTACATGACATTATTTTGACTTATATCAATGCTACATCCAATAAACCAATACACCAATTTAAAAACTGTATCTCTGTAGATGAGCTACCAAATATTTCAGTGATTCTATTTTGCACAAAAAATGTATCCATAAATGTGCATAAATTTAGGTGTCAACTAATTAGGATAACATGATTGCAATGTGTACAGCTTTCATCATCTGAGAGCAAATACAGAGGTGATCTGTGTTAATGCCCATCTGTACTAGTGTACAGGAGGGATTAGACCACCCTGCAAGGTCACATGACAGGTAGTTATCCCATCAAATCAGCTCTCAATTAACATAAGAAAAGGAGGATCATGGACCAGTGGTCACCGATTAGGCATTGTTTGCTGTATAGAGGGCGCAAGTAGCTATAAGTAGTGCAGTGGGCCTTTAAACTGTCTTAAACGGATAAGAGTTAGAGCGTTTCTGTTTATAAAGATGATGGTAAGTAAATCTCTGAAGTGTCTTCTGTCTCTACGTAGGAGGTTTAACGGACACTTACTCCTGAGAAACAGCAAGATAACGATGATTGGTATGATAATGAAATAAGTACTTTGTCAAATTCATATAACACAACAAATTTTTCTACAAACAATGAATAAAAGATAATACAGAAGTTTAAAAAAAAAATGTATATGTGATAATCAGAAGTTCATAATAAGTACAGAGCGGGGCAGTGTAAAATGAGGCAGCTATATATGCCTAAGATCCATACATTCCTTCAATTGAAATTCTGTCATCTCAGGCAAGTTTTGGACAGTCTGACACTGTCCAAATATCCTGAAGAACAATGTTTTCAAATCCCTTAATGGGCTTAAAGCCTATCTGCACTAGTTTGGCCAGGGGGAATTAGACCTCACTGCATGGTCACTGACAGGTGGTTATTTTGCCATTACCATACCATGAGGTATGTCGCAAGTCTTTTGGTGTGGTTGTTCTTATTCTGCAAGTCCCTCTGATGTCCATTCTTCATGATCTCAGATGTATCCTCTAGCTATCCAAAAGGACAAAGTCTTCAGATTCCTTGACGGGGGCAATGAGTCTTCCGTTCTCATCGACATGACGCACCCTGAGATACCTCTCAGGTCTGTTGGTGTTGGTGTTCTTATTCTGCCAGTCCCCGCATCGTCCGTCCCTCACAATGAACATGGGATAGTCACTGGAATGGGAACCAAGGGGGGACACAACCTAGGGAAAATAAATAGAGAATTGGGAATTTTATTGACGAGTAATTCATGTCAGAAGAAGAAGAAGAAGAAGAAGAAGAAGAAGAAGAAGAAGAAGAAGAAGAAGAAGAAGAAGAAGAAGAAGAAGAAGAAGAAGAAGAAGAAGAAGAAGAAGAAGAAGAAGAAGAAGAAGAAGAAGAAGAAGAAGAAGAAGAAGAAGAAGAAGAAGAAGAAGAAGAAGAAGAAGAAGAAGAAGAAGAAGAAGAAGAAGAAGAAGAAGAAGAAGAAGAAGAAGAAGAAGAAGAAGAAGAAGAAGAAGAAGAAAGAAGAAGAAGAAGAAGAAGAAGAAGAAGAAGAAGAAGAAGAAGAAGAAGAAGAAGAAGAAGAAGAAGAAGAAGAAGAGAAGAAGAAGAAGAAGAAGAAGAAGAAGAAGAAGAGAAGAAGAAGAAGAAGAAGAAGAAGAAGAAGAAGAAGAAGAAGAAGAAGAAGAAGAAGAAGAAGAACGACGAGAGAGAGAGAGAGAGAGAGAGAGAGAGAGAGATGAGAATGGCAGAGATAGGGTGACAGAAAGATACAAAAAGAGAGACATGTTTCAGTTAGCAAAAGAAAATAGAGACAGTGAGAGAAGGGAAAAGAAATGTATGGAAAGAGACAGAGAGGTGGGGAGGCTGAAAAGGCTGAGAAAGAAAGGGAGAGAGAGAATTAAAGTTCATTAGCAAAATGAGATAGGGAATGAGGCAGAGAAAAGTAGAGAGAGACATAGAAAATAGAATTAAGGGAGCGGTGTCCTAGATGAATTGAACACAACTATTTGCTCAAAATAAGGAATTCCCCTTCAGTTACCAATCACATGTGATGCGACCATTTATTTAATGATGTAATTTATTACCAGTTTCCTTCCTCCCACTTACAGTGTTGTTTAATTCTGTTCTCTTCCAAGAAAATACAGGTACACAATGCCATTGATTCTCTAGCACAATCCTCACTTCCCTTAGTTTTGAGTTCTATTCAGAGGTTTCAGTCTCACAAGTCCTAGAGTCACTTAAAATGCAACAATTGATCTGTGGCTTTCGAACACTTTCACAGATTATACACATTGGTCCTACATATATGAGAGGGCTAAGTGTTATACTTTCCTGCCATTTTAAGGGTTGTGTGTCACCTTGCTTCTCTGATGCATAATATTTTGTAAATAGGACAATTTCTGATCATTGCAGATGGTTAATATTACCCTTCAAAGGTTATTTTTTCTAAGCTTTCTCCAAGCTTGAAATACAAAACACTCCAAACTATATAGTAAACTCGGTACATGAAAGCAAGAAACTAAATTTCTGGCATTATAAGCAATCATTCAAAGTAACATATATTTGCAGATCCTTTTTCCAATTTAAGCATTTAATCATAGTGCTGACCCGTCCCAAACACAATGTTTGCAAATCTTACAAATTGACTACATCTTCCAATTTCAATACCCTATGCCAAGGAAGAGACTTCAGAATGGAGACATTATGTGTACAAATCCAAATTTTCAATCATTACTTTTTGATGATAATAGTCATCATTAAAAAAATGAGTCTTTTTCTTCACAATGCACGAACATGTATATGTGACATTTCTGTGTGGAAACGACCAGTGTGGATCTTGATACCCAACCAAATTTATAATAGGACATACTGTTGGAAGTTCTTTGCATAGCTGCTCAAACTGTTCCTCTGTCCTGATGTAGAAGCCTATGGTACAACTAGGATCCATCTTAGAGATACTCATCTTTCGAGGTGACATGCAGTGGAATGACTGGAGGAAATGTGAAAGAAAGATGATAATAATATTAACAACGAGAAGGTTCATAACGCTCAAAAGGTTCATATTTAATGTCCATTTAACAATGACAGTTATAAATATATCAACAATAATAATAACAATAATAATAACAACAATTAGTAATAAAAATAATAACACAACAAATAACAATAGAAATAATAATAATAGTAATATCAATAATAATAATAATAGTCACATTTGTCTATTTGCATGATATTAAAGTAGCATATAATAATAATAATAATAATAATAAAAACGTTACTTATAAAGCGCTTACCACCGAAGTCTCTAAGCACTATCTTCATGAGGAATATTTTTTAAAGAATACTTGATAAAAGAAACAGGATAGAAAAATCTACAGTATATTCCACATTGCAATGTGTTTGCAAATCATTAATGCAGAGGAATGACATGTGTTTCTCCTTCAATGCATGAAACAAGAAGGCCATGAAATATAGGGCATGTTTTAGGGTAAGAAGACATGACGGTAATGATTACAAAAGATGCTTCCACAATCAATGAATCATTGCATCCTCTGGAAATTGCCTTCTTAAAATGACTTACTCACAGGGAGAGGACTTCACTTAAGACTGGTAAAAACATGGGCCATGTTAAAGAGGGTGCATGTGACAAAGTACGTTTAAGGGTGTTTACGCATTAAATGTAATCACATTCTACGACCTACAATGAACGGTAGAATATGACCTATGATTTATGGCAAAGCCTACACTGTATGTCATTGAAAAACAACTGGAAGCACTCCTATACACATGCCAAACAACATGATCTGAATGAAAACTCAACATATACATCACATGTATATCCAAATTTACCTATTATATATAGAGTAACATGTTCATATTTATCATAAGATCATCTGGACATTAACATAGCAGCAGTACTTGAAAATGTAAGTATACTGTGTTTGTATCCAACTTGGTGAAATGTGTTCACATTTGAAATACATGTATAATGTTAGTATGATACGACATCATGATGACAATATGTAACATGTTCAAGTGAGAACACAACTTTGTGGTGCACTGGAAGTTCCGGAACATATAAATCCACTGCTCAGAGCCAGAAGGATGGTAACTGAACATAAAATGATGATTTAAAGCCCTTCCGACTCTCTGCGGATTAAATATGATGCAATTTGCGTTATCACTGTAATGCATGCAGATTTGCATACGGTAATGACATCATATCATGACCATCGATCATTATCTGTTTAGAGTCAGAAAGGCGTTAACTCATATACATTCAAACCTGCTTTAGTGACCACCTGTCTACAAAGACCACCTGTCTATAAAGGCCACATTTTTGGTTTCCCTTGAAAATGGTTTCTCATTGAAACATGTACTAAAGGAACCTGTCTACAAAGACCACCTGTCTATAAAGGCCACATTTTTGGTTTCCCTTGAAAATGGTTTCTCATTGAAACATGTACTAAAGGAACCTGTCTACAAAGACCACCTGTCTATAAAGGCCACATTTTTGGTTTCCCTTGAAAATGGTTTCTCATTGAAACATGTGCTAAAGGAACCTGTCTACAAAGACCACCTGTCTATAAAGGCCACATTTTTTTTGTTTCCCTTGAAAATGGTTTCTCATTGAAACATGTACTAAAGGAACCTGTCTACAAAGACCACCTGTCTATAACGGCCACATTTTTTTGTTTTCCTTGAAAATGGTTTCTCATTGAAACATGTACTAAAGGAACCTGTCTACATGCAAAGATCACCTGTCAAGAAGGACCACTTTTTATGTTTCCCTTGGGCGATAGCTATAGACAGGTTTGACTGTACTTTAAAAAGAGAGTTAACCCTATTTAGCTCGGGCTATTTTGAAACTGATCTCCAACGGGAAACGACCGATCGCCGCGAAAATTTGCATACATGTCAAGTGAAGTGTATAGAATACTATGGTAATTTCAATTTTTTGAAAAATTCACTCATTTGCATATTTATGGTAATTTATGCAAATAAGGTCATCAAATTCACATTTTTGCCCATAAATCGGACATTATTCATATTTAAGCATTCTTTCTCGCTACATATATTTGTTAGACCATTTGGAACTAGATGGAATTTTGACTGTGCGCAGTCGAAAATGATGCCTCCGCCATAGAGCAATTTAAACAAGTTTGGAGTTTAAATCTCCAGTGGTTCTTGAGATATCATGATAACAATCTCAATGTATGGAATTTCATAAGTTGACCTCTGTGACCCTTGACCTTTGACCTACGTGCTCCAAAATCTAATCAGATTGTCTTCCTATGGTGATACACACTATCATTAAGTTTGAAGTTTAAATCTCCAGTGGTTCTTGAGATATTATGATATGGTGATACATACTATCATTAAGTTTGAAGTGAAAATTCTCCAGTGGTTCTTGAGATATCGCGATAATGATCTCAATGTATGGAATTTCATAAGTTGACCTCTGTGACCCTTGACCTTTGACCTACGTGCTCCAAAATCTAATCAGATTGTCTTCCTATGGTTATACACACTATCATTAAGTTTGAAGTATAAATCTCCAGTGGTTCTTGAGATATTATGATAACAATCTCAATGTATGGAATTTCATAAGTTGACCTCTGTGACCCTTGACCTTTGACCTACGTGCTCCAAAATCTAATCAGATCGTCTTCCTATGGTGATACATACTATCCTTAAGTTTGAAGTTTTTACATCTCCAGTGGTTCTTGAGATATCATGATAACAATCTCAATGTATGGAATTTCATAAGTTGACCTCTATGAACCTTGACCTTTGACCTACGTGCTCCAAAATGTAATCAGATTGTTTTCCTATAGTGATACACACTATCACTAAGTTTGAAGTTTAAATCTCCAGTGGTTCTTGAGATATCATGATAACAATCTCAATGTATGGAATTTCATAAGTTGACCTCTGTGACACTTGACCTTTGACATACGTGCTCCAAAATCTAATCAGATCGTCTTCCTATGGTGATACATACTATCCTTAAGTTTGAAGTTTAAATCTCAAATGGTTCTTGAGATATCGCGCTAACAAACTCAATACAAGGAATTTCATAAGTTGACCTCTGTGACCTGTGACCTTTGACCTACGTACTCCAAAATCTAATCAGATCGTCTTCCTATGGTGATAAATACTATTCCCGAGTCTTAAGTTTAAATCTTAAATGGTTCTTGAGATATTGTGATAACGGTCAAACGGGACGGACGTACGGACGTACGGACGGACAACCCGAAAACATGATGCCTCCGGCACCACCTTCGGTGGCGGAGGCATAAAAATAGTACAACACAAAAAACTGAAAAACCAGGGTTATTCTCTATGTTATCTATTGTTTTGATAATTTCTTATGTATTTTTTTTGTTTTTTTAACTTATGTATTTTATCGTTTTATTTCATTTCCAACTATAATTCAACTATTTTGACCCAAAAATAAACACCTTAACTATGAACAAGACCAAATAACCAATGTTTTATCTCTTTATTTGAAAAATGAGATTTCCATATGTTTTGTACACAAATCACAAAAATGAGCGATTTTCGGGCCGACATGCAAAGACAAAAGGACACATGACTTTGTAATGGTAGGTTCAATTTTCAAAAAAATTCTTTCAAAAGATGCGCAAGACTCGAAAGAAAAAAGTCACAAAATTTCAGTGCAAGATTATCTTGCGTTAAAAAATTATCGCGAAAAATGTTGCGGGGTAATTTCTTATGTATTTTTTTTGTTTTTTTAACTTATGTATTTTATCGTTTTATTTCATTTCCAACTATAATTCAACTATTTTGACCCAAAAATAAACACCTTAACTATGAACAAGACCAAATAACCAATGTTTTATCTCTTTATTTGAAAAATGAGATTTCCATATGTTTTGTACACAAATCACAAAAATGAGCGATTTTCGGGCCGACATGCAAAGACAAAAGGACACATGACTTTGTAATGGTAGGTTCAATTTTCAAAAAAATTCTTTCAAAAGATGCGCAAGACTCGAAAGAAAAAAGTCACAAAATTTCAGTGCAAGATTATCTTGCGTTAAAAAATTATCGCGAAAAATGTTGCGGGGGGGGGGGGCTTCTAAAGCCCCCCCCCCCCCCCCCCCCCCCCCCCCCCCCGGGCTAAATAAAGTTAATGCCCTTCTGGCTCTCAACAGACAATATACAAACATTTCAACTGAGTTGAACTCTCTACATTCAGTTCGTACCGCAGCAGGAACACAACAGCATGATTCAAAAGAACTGACATAAAGTACACATCAGTCATAGCAAGACTGGGTTCATACATACTACGCTGCATCATACCATGACATCCTCAAGTAATTTCCTCTTTGAATAAACACATGCAGGAAAAGCGTCGGACATACATGTAGGAGAAACTGATTGACTCATACACTGTACAACCTCCTCATAGACCCCCACTTCTTCATGTGTAGGTCTAGTGTAGGTAAGGGCACAGGGCAGCAGTATACAAGTCATGTCTTCTTCTTTTTTCAGTTCACTTTATTTGACCATTTAAAGCCCCACTGCACTACTTACAGCTACTTGTGCCCTCTATATAGCAAACAATGCCTAATCGGTGCCTGTTGGTCCCCCCCCCCCCCCATGATCCACTTTTTCTTATGTTAATTGAGAGCTGATCTGATGAGATAACCACCTGTCAGTGACCTTGCAGGTAGGTCTAATCCCCCCCTGGCCAAAATAGTGCAGACGGGATTTAAAATCAAATACAAAGCATGTAATACAAAATGAGAATAGTAAATAAATGGTTTGGATGCCCCTAAAAGCCAAGGCCAAAGTACTTATTAAAAGTGAGTTGATAACTGCATTCTTGAAAAGTGTATTTACAGTTTATGAGTGGTGTTTGTAAAAACAAATACATGTACAATACCTATGTCTCCCTTTTGCTCTGAAGGCAAGACAAAAAATGGTATGCAAAGATGACTGACTCCTGATTACAGCAGAGCTCATATGATTTGGTCATGAACCACAACTTTTATGTCTTACTTTGCAGTCACTTGAGTGTGCTATTAATGGGTGGATTCTCTATTAAAACCACAGTATTGCTCTAGACTGTTATTTTGGATCATTATCAGACGACGATGATCATGTATCACTTTTGGTTGTCTGATTTTATCTCTCGCTCGTTGCATCTTTCTCTACCCTTCTCTGTCTCTGGCTCACTCCCTCTCTCTTGCCTCTCTCCATCTTTCTCTGTCTCTGTCTGTCTGTCTCCCTCCCTCTCTCTGGTTCTGTCTTCACTCCCTGGTTGACCATCCCTTCCCTCTCTCTCTCTCTCTTCCTCCACATATTTTTTGCACCTCTCCATCGTTCTCTTAACCCCCCCCCCCCTCCTCTTTCTTTTTTTCTCTTTTTCTCTCTCTTTCTCTCTCTCTTTCCCTCCCTCTCTTTCCCTCCCTCTCTCCCCTTCTCTTCTCTTTCTCTCTCTCACCACCTCTACATCTGTATCCCTCTTTCTTCCTCTGTCCCATGCAACTCATCCCATACTGTCACATGAGATTAGCTGGATGCCAGCTAATACCAAGCATCCTGATCCATAATCCTACACAAAAACAAACACATGGTGCTACTGTGTGCATGACCTTCTTTTGTGTACACTGAATGAGAAAGACACCAAGCTTATACTCATTCCTCATCCCATTACATGAGATATGCAATTGTTTGGCGGAAAACTGATGGCAAGGCATTAATGGTGGTAGTATTAATTTGAAAGAAACAAAAATAGAAATGAATGAATGGAGTTAATAGTGCATACCATAGGATGATACCTACCCATAAGGGGAAGTCCCGGGTCTTCATATCCACGACCTGCTGACAGTAATGAGGATCCAGATGAATCAACTTCTCCTCTATAACAAAAAAATAGGTAAAGGATTTCATCATCAAACAGAAAAAAGGTAGGTTTCAGCTTCCTTTTCAAACTTGAATAATTCTCTGAATCACAACATGAAGATAGTTTAATGTTTCATTTATGAAATGAAATTTGTGAAATTAAAATGTTCGAACTGAAAATCATTTGATGAAGTGTGATAATGAACACCTTTTCAACAAAAAAAAGCAGAATGGGGATAACTATCCCTCCCAATCAACCACAGTGTTGGAAGTCGAGGGCTGTGATATTCACAGATAATAGGCCTACAGATATGAGAGAAAGCAGGGCCCTCTTTCATAATATTGTTATCAATTACAAGTGCCAAAGATCTATGACAATTCTACTTGTAGCCAATCAAATGTAAGGATGTCAGTGGCTTATAACAATTATCATATGGTGTAATTGAAAACAAGTTTTATGGTCCAGGGGATAAAGGAGGTTAATGTAAGGTGTATAATGGGGAGGAATGGAAAGATTGATACCAGATGAGAAATAAAGTAAAAAGCTGAAAGCTAATGATTGTCTATTTTGTTTGTTTGTTTGTTTTTGCATTTTAAAGAAAGACAGCAAGTTCATCCTCACCTTGAAAACCGACAAAAAACAGGGAGTGTTTTGGTTTTCCACCGATGATACCAAGGCAGCTTTCAAGTGTGAACAGTGACTGGATGGGTCTGATGTAAACAGGGTTCACTTCATCTCCACCTAACCTGACCGGAATCATGATAACAACTGCACACCAAGGCTTGCCGCCCTCTGTTGATGTGCTAGTCCTCGAGCGAGACGGGTCGATAGGCGGTTCTCCCGCATCTGTGGTGAATACATCACCAGGGCTACCCCCAATGTTATTCTCAGAGTCTAGAACTGCAGGACTGTGGTGCGGGTGGGGATGAGAGGAACTGTTTGTGACAAGATCGTCAGGAGAAGCTTCCGACCTCGAGGAACTCTCTGATGTTGATTGGTGCGAGAGAGGAGAGTTTGTATAAAGATAACTCGGATTTCTAGTCCTAACTTCCTCCTCGCTTGAACCAAACACATCCTCATCCTCGTCCTCAATATTGGACATTTCTGACACATCCTTCATATCAACACTGCCTTGAGCAGAATCTTTTGTCCTCTCATTATCCCTCTCGTTCAGGTCACCACCAGTACAGCTATCAAGAGCTAATCCATCTTCCATATTAAATCTCTCTTCTCTACTAGTATCTGGCGATTCTGAATAAAGACCGACATCAGTCCTCACTGGCAAGCTAGTGCTGTATTGTTGGCCACTTGAACCGTCTCTGGAACCTGGTCTATGCATGTTTGAGTCATGAGGACTTGGACCATCCTTTAGACCACTAGTACTTGTGACATTGTTCTGTGAACCATTGGTGCTGGACCTTGAGGATGCCTCACTCCTACCTGATCCAGAGTACATGCTCAGAATCCTCTCATGACTTTGCGCCAACCTGGACCCAACCCTGGTCCCACTGTCCAGACTGGAAGTACTCTGCCTTTGATCTTTGGTGACAATGGGACTGCTCCTTTGTAAGTGTTCATGTTGTACCCCAGGGAGGTATGCTGGGCCCTTGTTGGGGTTGGTAGTACATTTGACAGGTGAATTATCCTCAGAGGATGGTATGTCCCTATAAACAGGTTGCAGCCTCTTTTTGGATTTACTTCTGCACAGATCAATTACATCCTGCTTGTACACTGTGAATGAAAAGAGATAGGTTTCAGAAACAGATTAAACATACTGATCCACATTAAGACATGACTCTAAAGGTCAGTATAGTCTTTACTAAACATTATGCAAGATAATTTTTTTTTAAATAAATATTTTTAACTTTTCAAGACATTTGGTAAAGGAAAATGACAATTTATTTCAATATGAATGATAGGTTTATATTTATGTGCAACGGCTGTTCACATGGAACCCTTCTCCACACTCGGCCCTCAAGGATCTCGCTTGAGTATGCACATTGCACATGGGTCAGTCGATCCTAAGCCCAAGGGCAGTAACTAAAAAACAAAAATCAAAACCAAAGTTTAATACATATGCTGAAAGTATAAGGTCACTCCACACGAAGGCCATGATTAAACCCACAAATTGTTGGTGTCCAGAGATAACATTGCATTGAAAGACGGGCGGAGGGAGCCACATGTTTGGCAAACCTCATAAGGGTTAAATAAATGAGTACAGACCTGTGCAGTCCTGTGCCACATAGATGCAGACTTCACCTAGAAGTGGATTCAGCTCATGAGCAGAGTCCATTGCTTCCCTGAAAGAATAAAAGAAGAGATAAAAGATAAATCAGTGGTTGAAATAAATCTCCTAACTGCTTTATTTTATCACAAATATTGAGCAAGGATAGGGATGCTGTAGAATTTTGGGTTAGGCAAGGTTTAAAGTAAGGATCAGGGTTAGGTAGTAGTGATGGTCCCAAGATTAATGTGAAGAATTAATTAGTACAACAACCATTGTAGAGCAACTGTTTCCAGACAATGTGGAGTATGATCCCCCCCCCCCCCCCACTCCGGGGTCGGACCAAAAATCTCTGGTAAAGGGATACTTTTCATGCAACAAAATCTGACCTGTATTTGATGTATACACTGTACACACCATAGATAGGGGGTGCTTTAAAAATCTGGCCCGTATTGACTTTACACACCGGAGGTACCCTTAATAACATTGAGGTGGGGGGGGGGGGGGGGAGGGGGGAGTATGATCACCAAGAGATCATGTATTCAAAAGGGAGGCAGTGGAAAATCATCTTCATGTTGACTCTGAGAAGCGAGTTACATTTAGCAACTACAGTTGCTCTCTATATGTATGAGGGTGCCATGTACAGTAGTTACCATCAATGATAAATTTTGTGCAACGGGCCCAGCTCAAATATACCGTGACAGTTGACCACCAACAGCAAATTAAGTGCTGGGGGGGGGGGGGAACCAATCACCTAATAATCATTCCTACATGTACATGTTGTTTAAATCATCTGGGGGTGTTTCACAAAGATCCTAAGTTGAACTTATCTCTAAGTTGGACTTCAAAATTATGGAAAGCTGTTAGCATCTTTGAAAATATTTTGTAAAAGTTTTTTTAAGAGTTATAAAATGTTGATTTAAATCAATCATAATATTCTATTATCAAGGTGATTTCATGTTCTTGATCTGGAATTTATAAAAAGTCTAAAATACTTGAATTTTCGCTTTGAACATATTTTATTTTAAGGCTACAAATGGCTCTCCATAATATTTAAGTCCAACTTAGAGTTAAGTTCGACTTGGGATCTTTGTGAAACACCCCCCTGGGGTAGAAGAAGCGGAAAGAACTACGGTTTGTATCTACTGCTTTACAGGAGATCAGCTACATGTATATCATGTGTTTCTAATAACTGCACTTCCCTATAAAACAAACAGCCTTAATCCTGCAAATAAAACACAGAGAAATCAGGTAAACTAAATGAGACCGGATACTGTATTTAACATCTCCTTGAACTATCACTAATTGAATTTCATCAAAGAATATTATCAATTGATAAAAGATATACATGTGTAATGTACTGGAATAACATATGTTTACGAGCCCTGAGAAGTAATTCATATTCAGCACTAAACATTATGAAAATCCAGATTGCATATTGAAGAGGAAATGGACTTGATTGAATTTATGTCCTGTCATATGATTCAAGTATTTCTACTGAAAGAATACTTGAAAGAACACTTAACTATAATTTACATTGTAGGACGATCTTTGACAAATCTACTAGACAATCACTTATAAAGTGGGAATCAATTGAAGTCACATGCAACTCCTTGAACACAAAACAATCTTTTTGATTGAAAAAAACCCCACAAACTTAAGGAAGCAGATACTCTGATTTCTCATTTCCTCTGACCACTGAATGCATTGTGAACAGGTAAAGCTCTTCTAAATCTTGTTATATCATCACGTAAGCCCAACTATTTCCCCCAATCTTCAGACATGCTCTTCCTGTATTTGTTTTGATTGATTCTACAGTGGCTTAATCCAAGAAGGTGATTCTTCACTTGACATGATAGATATAACACATAAATAATTATCATAGATATTTTTTGCATTGCTCAAGCACACAATGTATGTATATGATACCTACTGTATACCTTGTATATATTTTTTATTTTATGAGTTGCATCTTTCTTAAGTTATGTAAATGTACACTGTACATGTTTTTATTTATGCATAGACTTGCAGAAGAACAGCAATAGACCAGTTCATAGTTAGGACATGGGTCTTATGACCCCAAATATCCACATATCTTTTAAACATAGATAAATCCAACTTGTGCCTTTTGGAATAATCACAGCTAAAGTCATGGAGGTGATTCTTTGTTTGCCCTCTTAAAAAGATTATCAGGTACTTCCACCTGTGTCCAATAGAATACATCACAGGTGCATGCATGAATATTGATTACATTACTTTCGTGAGCATGTATCCAGTATTAGTCTCAGTGGGTTTTACAATTTTGTACAAGTGACCTTTATCTGCGCATGCGCAGACTGTATCTACAAATTGGTATATTGGCTAAAGCAAGTGTCTACATAAATGTTCTGAAATATAATAAATTAAAATCAAACTGAAGCACATGTAAACTTGTACAGTTTCACAAAAGTGTGTAAACCCTTCACCCCCCAAAAAATCAACATTGAAGTTCAATTTTTCACTAAATTTGATCTCCATGTATCTAAAACAAATGATGTACCTGTACAAAATACCCACTTGCTCATGTACAATTTTATTCTGTTAGAAACTTAAAGCTTCTGCTTCAACTAACTGTCATCTTCAATGCTTTTCTAATGTAGGGTTACTGTACATAAATTAGATATGAAGCACAGCAAATTATGATGCAAGATAAAGAACTTTTCCATTCTGTAACCAACTTCTCAGAAAATACTTTCGCTTTTCAACTTTGAACATCATCTGCTGTGGTACACATAAAACTGAAATAGTTTCATAGAAAGTCAATCATAATGTCTCAACTGCAATTTGTTCTGTATGGGAAGTTCAAATTGTTTATTTTTGCAATGACGAGATATGAAAAGGAAAGCTTACGGCGAGTTGAGACTTTTTTTCATTGTTTCACAATAAACAAAGGTTATGTAAATAGTAATGTGATGTAATGTTAATATTTAAATTAAAAATACCCCTCAATTAAAAAAAATATCAGCAGTTACAGCATCATATAAAATTGTGCTTGGGGATTTTCTCTACATAATTTACATACAAGATATGGGTAATGCTTCTATCCACAATACTGTAAGAGGAAGCGCAATGGCTTAGTTAGCGCTAGTGCTGTTTGGTAAGGCATTAAACCTCATTACCAAGTCCATTGCAGAGAGCTTAAAGTCGTTGTTCCCCTGGTTGCTTACTTACAATATACATTTATATGTAAATCTGTAAAGGCATCGTCAATGTATTAAGCCCACAAATATCAAAACTGAATATTATCATCAAGCATAAAAATGCTTTCTTAGCAGCCAGGTAAAATGAACAATCAAACTTTGGATTGACTTCACATCCAATCTCACCCCCCCCCCCCCAAAAAAAAAGTTTAAACAAATTTGGAGCACTTTTGATATACAGTCAAACCTGTCTATAGCGACCGCCCAAGGGAAACACAAAAAGTGGCCTTTATAGACAGGTGGTCTTTGCAGACAGGCTCCTTTAGTACATGATTCAATGAGAAACCGTTTTCAAGGGAAACCACAAATGTGGCCTTTGTAGACAGGTGGTCTTTGTAGACAGGTTCCTTTAGTACATGTTTCAATGAGAAACCGTTTTCAAGGGAAACCACAAATGTGGCCTTTGTAGACAGGTGGTCACTAAAGCAGTTTTGACTGTACTATAACTACTGGGTAGAGCCAGAAGGGGGCAGAGTACACCGTTTCCTGAGCACCACATCAATCAGTGGGTCAGTCAGTATAGACCCTGGCCTGGGAAGGACTTCCCTTCTCTACTCAATATCAATATCAATATCCAGAGGACAAAACAAGGTCAAGGTTTCACTGCACTCTTAGAAGTACTGATAATCCAAAGATGAAGTTTAATAGATTTTCCACTTGTTTCATCGAATGCTGATGTTGTTCTGCAAATTGCAATTTCTTCTAAAAGTAGATCGCAGTGGGGTCACATAGCTTTGTACTGAGCTCTATAATAAAGCAGAGTACAGAATACATGCAAAACCTGTCTACAATGACCACATTTTTGTTTCCCTTGTAAATGGTTTTTCATTGAAATATGTACTGAAGGAACCTGTCTACAAAGACCACTTTTTGTGTTTCCATTAGGCGGTCGCTATAGACAGGTTTGACTGTTCATGCAAAACCTTGCTTAAACTTCTCTCTAGATCTACTTACTTCAAGATGTGTGCAACTGACGAGGGACCGTACCAGTCACCGACCTTCTTGCCATTGTTCTGACCGATACCGACCAACCGATGAACAGAGAAAGGACTCATGTCCAGGGGCTGGTCACCAAACCATCGCACAATCTGACGATGGAATTGGAGCATCTCTTGGGTCTGAGGCTTGTATATATTCCATTCTGAAGAAAAAAAATGAATAACAGCATTTTCAGTGGGTGTACAAAGTAATAGTACGTTTAATGTACATGTACATGTACATAATATGGCTTCAATTCAAAATTACATTCAGCAGGTTATATGTGTTTAAAAACTAATGTCCTCTCAAAGACACCCACATACAATTACTGGAAATAATCTGCATTCAAGCAAAGTAAATTGAAGAAAACAAAAAATTCCTCATGTGTCGACAAGAAATACACAAAGAATAAGAATTCCTTTAAAGGGAAAGTCCACCCCCAAAATAAGTTTGTTTCGATAGAGGCAGAATAATAAGAAAATCAGGGGAGTGAAAGTTTGAGCAAATTCTGAATGAAAATAAGAAAGTTATGAATTATTGAAGTTGTGATCAATCAAATACAAATTGGCAACTCTGTGACTTATTATACGAGCTCTCCTTCATTTGCTTTGTGCATAATATTCCATAAAATCATGTTTTCTTCGTTATTGATGACGAAATATATATTTGTTCCTTGCAGGGGGAGTATAGTTCAATTATTATATTTAGGGTGCATGTATGGTTGAAATTTTTCTTGAGGGAAAATGAAAATTTTAGATTTTTTTAGTACTGAGCAAATGGAAGTTGAGCTCGCATGATACGTCATAGAGTTGCCAATTTGTGTATGATTGATCACAACTTCAAAAATCCTAACTTCCTTATTTTTAATCGGAATTTGCTCAAACTTTCACTGACTTGTTTTTTTCATTTTTCTACTCCTATTAAAACTAACTTAATTTCAGGGTGGACTTCCCCTTTAACAGTTTCCATGGGAAGTGGTAAAGAAGCTCCGCCTCCCCATTCCTTCCTCCTATCAATAGACACCTCTTGATACACCTGTGAAGCTGCATGTACAACTCTGGGCAAATAAAGATGGTTACAGAGAGGTAATACCGGTGTGTAAGGGTAATGGATCTTATGGAGGAAGGGGGAGGTGTGATGATACCCCTCTCCTGATTACCCACTTCTACTTTTATTTGAACCTAACCTGTTGGGTTACTACAATTAGACTGGAATATGTGGTAAGAGGGAGAAAGATAGGTAGGTACATGTATGGGGACAAGGATATCAGGATCTAATGAATTAAAGAGGAAGGGTGTAATGATACCCCTCCCCCCCCCCCCCTCCCCACCCTACCTTTATCTTCACACACCTGTGCTGCTACATGTACACTAGCTGCACTAAGTGTATTTAAGTGCAGGTGGGCTGAGGGACGTGTATACATGCAGGCAGGAACGGACATTGGAAACTAATCAAGGAAAGAGCCTTCCCACACACTATTAACATCAATAGCTTCCTGAATTGAGGAAGTGCGAGCATGATTCATAATGTTTTCGTTACGCATTTCCAGGGAAAGATAGCAGGATCTTGCCCTCTAAGGCCGTGTTCAAATAAGGTGCTGATTTTCCCAAGAGACAGAACTTGTGAAGTGAACACTCAGCATAATTTGTATTGAAAAATGAATCCCCCCAAATAGGTGAATGCTACATGATTAGGAGGATATCCTTGTTGAGTGGTTCGAATCACTTAACTGGGCATTTACATGTAGAGGTTGTGGATTAGAGCCATATGGCTCTACACCTACAGTACATGTATGTCCTGATGTGAGGCATTTTACTAACATTGCCTCTCTATACCCAGGGGTTTTATATGGGTACCCAGTAGGATGCAAACGTCATTGTAGTTGGATTAGCACAGTGCATCCCTGTACAATGCTGCCTTGTCCAGTGGAAAGTGTGTACTACGAGTGCGGGATTCCAAATAAATACCTGTCGCAACACTAATGTCCTTTGGCAAGACATTAATCTACTTTGCAAGGTAAATGGGTGCCGGACAGGAATGAATTCTTTTAAACGCTTGAATGCTGTGATGGCATCCGTGATAAAGCCAGGGTAATAATAATGGAGTGCCAGGAGTGGCAATACATGTACCAGACACAGCTATATACAGTACAAGACTCCACTATTATTGTTATTGTTATTAATGAATAGCAAATGGGGGATTGTTAAACTGTAAAGCAGTTTTAATTCAGCAGTTACTCAGAACTATTAAAGATGTGGTCATTATCAGTACTGATACCAAACCCATGTGATGTATTAATAATACTACTAATAATAGGTATTTCTAAAGTGCCATCTATCTAGAAATTCTATTCCTAGGCGCATTTATTATTACCCTAGCTTTAACCTAGCTGCCATTACAGTGTTAACTCACCCCTGCCCAAGAAGTGGAGTATGAGGCTGTGTGCTAACATCATCTGTCCGCTCCTCAGCATACACCCCCACCCACAGTCGCTGGTGAAGTTGGATCCCGCCAGGGTGGGGAACTCCCTGCGGTACGTCATCCAGAGACGGGAGCTGAAGTCTTGCTTGAACATCTCAATCACCATGGAGCGAACTGAATCCATCCCGGGTGGCCGCTCAGGGTCCGGATCTGGAAGGGAGAGGGAATGATATTATCAACCGAGATGCTTCACTTGAAATAGTAATAATAACAGTGGTAATTATAGTAATAGTGGTAATTTTTACTACAAAGATATCGTCAATAATAACAACATTAATGATGATAAGAATTATAATAATGATGACCAAAATCAACATTGTATTCAGCATAAAGAGAAGCATCATTATGATTCAAGAAGGAAAATTCCCCAAGGGCCTTGGTTTTTCTTTTTGGTGGGGTGGTAATCCTCCATCTGTAATTATCTGACACATAAAATGAAGATAAAAACATTTCAGATATGTTTTGTAGATCAAGTGAAATGCTTAAAAATGTTTTTAATTTGTTTTAAATTTGGCTGTTTCCCCTCATGTACATAATGTTCACATTTTATACAATTTTATATGTATTTTTTAAAAAGTTTGTTTACAAAAGCCTAGATATAAAAAAAAAATCATACATGTAGAGTCAAACTTGCTTTTGATAGCAAACCCCTACATGCATATATGTACAGTGTACATGTAGAAAGACTACGCGTCTACAAAGACCACTGTTTTTTTGTTTCCCCTGAATATACATGTAGCTTCTCATTTGAACCTGTACTAAGGAATCTGTACATAAAGACCACCTGCCTATTATTTGTACATTGTACATACATGTATGTGCACAATGTAGGACGCACCTGTATCCATACCGTGTTACCCTTCTTGCATAAAGGGCTCAAGGCCTACCCAATTGGCAACACCGTATTGGTGTAACACTGTAAGGTGTTAAGGTGAACGTGTCAATGGCCTGGATGCATGGTAGGAAGTTTAGATGAGTAACTAAGCCTACTCATCCACCCTGAAGAGAAAAGGAAATGATCACCCAGCCTTGGACTAACAAAACAATTCTCATGATATGTGGAAGCCAACTGCTATAGCAAGTGACGTGTAGGATATGTGTTGCCCGTTGCTACCATGCAGTGTTATGACCTCCCCACAGAATGACCTTTACACGAAACACCCCCCCCCCCCTTTTATACTACACTTTTGATTTATTTCTGTCCCATAGTACACACAAAAAAGTCCATAATTTTATGAATAGAAATATAAACAAGAAAATTAAGCACTACATAAATATGTAGTAGAAAAAGAAAATGATGGAAACTTATGATTTTTAATTTCTCTTCAATGTCATATTAATTGAAATGTTTGATAGATTTCAATTTAATTCTTCAAGTATTTAAACAATAAAAGTGCAAACAATAAAGTGCATTTATAATACTGATGTAATGTATTTTCAAGCATACAATTTCTTCCATTTTCAGTACAACTTCATTTTCTACAAAATTTTCTTTTTACAAAACGCAAAAGTTTCATGTCTGTTTCAATGTTCTATGTCTGTTTCGAATGTTTTATGTCTGTTTGGAATGTTCTATGTCTGTTTGGAATGTTCTATGTCTGTTTGGAATGTTCTATGTCTGTTTGGAATGTTTTATGTCTGTTTGGAATGTTTTATGTCTGTTTGGAATGTTCTATGTCTGTTTCGAATGTTCTATGTCTGTTTCAATGTAGTCTCTTTAACCCCGACTCTTGGTGACCAGCAGAGGGTTTCCACAAAATGTCTGCCAACTACCGTCAGCTTCCATCCATACCATATGAGTCAAAGCTATCCCTGTAATACATCGGAGTCTCAGTCATTCAGCATGTCGAGAGGAAATGAGTAAACCTCCAACATCTGGTTCTCATGATAGAGCTGGCTCTACAATACTACGTACGTTCACCAATATGACATAAGAAGTGTACAGGATTCAAGCGTGCTTGAACTTGTACAGGAGGAGAAGGGGGCTACCAGAACCCTGTTTCATAAAACTTGGTATCAATAACAAGTGGCAAAAACTGTTATAAGCTACTGTAATCGTGGCATTTGATTGGCTGAGAGCAAATTTAGCATTGTTATAGATAACAAGTTTTGTGAAACAGGGCCCAAATACCCCGATTACTTGCAAGACGATCTAAATATTTCTGCCAAATCAACTCAAGACAATTTCAATAGCTTTGTTCATACCCTTTAGCTTTGTTGTTTTTTAAAAATAGTCACCTTTTGAAACATCTCACGAACATTAATTACATTACAATGACCCATTACGTAATCCGAAGATGTTTCTATGAGTTCATTTATCTAAAGTAAATGCTATTATGTTTCGCCCCATTGGTGCAAGACCCATACTAAAATTCACACTTGCCTGCATGTAAGGAACAAAACAAAACAAAAACAAATCATATACAATATATATGTTGTATATTACACATGAACAGTGATTGATTTCAATATGAATCACTCTAAAAAAGAAAATTTCATACATTTTATTTTACTAAATTAAAGTGCAAACAGAATGTTGCAAGGTAATATCACTTTGCCTTTTCTTTAGCAATGTTAGCATTCATCCAAAACTGGTCTAGCAAACAAAATATTTTTACACTGTAGGAAACCAATAGAAATTTGGCCAATGTGCAACATGAATGCAAGCAAATTTATCTTAATTCCTTTTCTGACTAGTTTCAGGTTGGACTATATACTGGTGGTTTGTGGTTCTATAGCAAGATTACAGATACCAACTTGCCCACAAATGCCCAATTAACCATGGCAACAATTTACAGGCATGATAAGTATTATCTCCATATAAATAGTAATGTACATGTAGAACTGATGGAAATCTATGGTATAATATGTGTGCATTGTTTCACTACTCAATTTTTCATTAGTGTATATTCTAACAAGTTAATATATTAAACAATAACCAGAGCTGCCAACCTTGTGCAACCAAAAAAAGGAACCATAATGGCAAAAGTAAAGGTATGTCAAGCAAAATATAATCTCTATTGAAGTAATGATCGATACTTTAGGGCATTTAGGTTGACGCGCAGTACGTGCTAAAAAAAAAAGAAGAAACATATTACCGTAATTTTGAGAGAAAAACAGAATAATTCAAGGAAAATCTTTAAAGTTGGCAGCTCTGAATAACACTACTAATTTTTAAATATGTATACATGTACATGTATATTCCTATAACAGTGTTTTATCAAACAAATCATGAATTTTCAAGGAATTTATCAATTTCCAACATCCAGATTTGGTCATATAAAAAATATAAGAAATTGTATTTTTAGTTTTAAAAATCCTCTTCAAACTCTCAATTTTTTTAAAATTTTCCCATCCTACAGGTAAGTAACCTTTATGTTTTAGTTGTTTCAGTGCTTTGGACGACTTAATAAGCTATATGTTCTGCATTTGCCTTTTCCATAGCAAATAACAAATCAGTACACACTGTACAGCTGTGCCTTTGAATGAATACCTACTATCAGGCAGCCTGCCAAAGCAAGCTGTCAAATAAAGTTACACGTCACAAATATATCTGCAGCTCACATATTACAGAGCTACAAATAGAAGTGGTGAGGAAGCAGTTTTGAGGTTCGCTTTTACGTCATCAGTGGTCTTAAAAATAAACATGAAAAACTATATATGTCCATGCAAAAAAGCAATGTACATTATACCATACTGGTACATGCATGCTGCCGATTGCTGAAACACACTCATTTAAATGTGTATTTGCTAGATTTTTGTTGGGGGGTGGGGGGGGGGGGGGGGGTCGAGGGGCACTACACATACATGTACATTGAAAATACATTGTGTGCCAAGGTGAAGGGTCTCATTCAATGTCACTATGTACATGTACATGTACATTGGAAGTCAAATCTATCAGTCAACGAACTCAAGAGTTTTAGACCAATTTCAAACATCCCCTGCCTGTCGAAGGTAACAGAAAGGGTTGTCATGGGGCAATTTCTAGAATATCTTGAAGAAAATACCTTACTTCCGAAAAAATAGTCAGCTAATACCGATAGCACCATAGTGTCGAAACAGCCTTAGCCTTAGCCACCCATAAAGAAGTGATCCTTGTACTCCTGGATTTTATGGCCGCATTTGATACTCAAGACCATTCAGTACTCCTGGAGAGACTTTCTGAGGATTTTGGAGCTTCAGGAAATGCAATGAAATCGTTCCACTCTGTACCTTGCAGGAAGAAATCACGTGGTAAGAGTAAGCCTTGCTTCTTCAGGACCAGTAGAGGACACGTGCGGCGTACCCCAAGGTTCGGTACTTGGACCGCTACTTTTTACCCTGTACACTGCCCCAATCCGTGACATCATATCTGCATGAGCATGGAATTCAGTCAATGTTGTATGCTGACGACACTCAGATCTACCTGTCTTTCGACCCATCGGAGAGAGCATCTGCTGTTCTTCGAGTAGACATCCGCTCCTAGGCAGGCATGAACAAGTTAACAATTAATGGTGGCAAGACGGAAGTTCTTCACTTTTCCTCCAGATTCCTCACAAGAAATCCATCTGTTACGGTAACAGTCGGTGAGATAGTCCTTGAAGCCAAGGCCGAGAGTAGGAAATTTGGAATTATATTTGATAAGCACGCTACTAGAAAATCTCATGTTGCAGGGGTGTGTCGCTCTGCAATGTCATCCATCAAAAAGAAAGTCGAATTTGTAAGGTTTTAGACCGGAAGACAACTCTCACTCTCATCCATGCATTGACACATGCAATGCACTTCTTCCTAATCTTCATGCCAACTAACTTGTGAAGCTTCAAAGAATTCAAAATCCAGAATCACAGAGAGAGCAACTGGTCTCACTTCTACCACATCCCTTCTCCGTAACATCCACTGGCTCCCAAGTGGATTCACTTTATGATCCTCTTTCTCACCTACAAGTCCTTCTCTAACTCTACCCCTTCTTATCTGCCTGATCTCATTCATACCTACACACCTTTCCTCGCTCTCAGATCTCAGAACAAATTTCTTCTTCAAGGTTCCTCGTTTTAAGTACTATTAGGCTGTATGTAGCTCCTTCACCTTCAACGCTCCTATCCTCTGGAACTCTCTCCCACTCACCATTAGAACTTTACCTACCATCCAGACCTTCAAAACTGCACTTAAGAACTACCTTTTTAAGAATTAATTATTTTCATGCTTTGTTATCTATAACTTTAATTGAAATTGTATATGTTCATAACTTGTAATAAAAATTTGCACCATAATAGTTGTATCATTATTTAAGAATGAATTATAATGTTGTTCTATTTAGTTATTTAGGTAAGATTTTGTCAGAATTTTTGTTGATAATTCAACATTAGATAATTAATTTGGCTTTTACATAATACAATGTAAAGCGCATAGATGGTTGATTTGATTTTGAAAGCTAATTCACTTAGATTATCTTGGATATATAAGTTTTTTAATGCAGATGATGCAATGTGGAAGACATTATTTTCATTTTGGACTGAAAGAGTTGGCGGGATGCCGTTATGTTTACAGTATAATTGTCATATTAAACACATGAAAATGATATGTAAAAAAAGAAATTTACCAATGTTTTATATGGATTTGCTTTGCACATGGTCAGAAATTCGATATGTAAATAAATTTGAAGTAAAAGATATTCCCAATGAAATACTGTGGAATAATAGTAATATTGTAATTGATAATAAACCTCTGTATTTCCCGTCGTGGATAAAAAAAGGAATTTGTCTAATCAAACATGTTATAAATCAAGGTACATGGATAGATAACTCTCTATTCAATAACCATTTTGATGTAAAGAATCTGTTGTTTTTATTTAAAATGTCAAAATTAAAAAAAGCATTCCCAAAATATTGGTCACAAAATTTACGTTTAAACAAAGCTCCAAGTCTCAATGAAACAATGTGCATTGAGACAACTTTAGATGTTATAAACGTTGAATTTACTATGGCGAAAAGTTATTATAATTTAATGCTAGAAAGGAAAAAAGAAAAAATTGGTTTCTATTTTTGGCAAAATATTTTAGGCCTACCAGAAACATTTGTTTGGAAAGATGTATTTCAGTTCAAATTTAATAACATAAGAGACAATAAGATCAAACAATATAATTTTAAATTAATTCATAGAATATTGCCATCTAAAGACAATCTCTTTATATGGAAAATCGTACAGTCTAACGAATGTGAAATTTGTCGTGAAAAAGAAACTATTGAACATTTTATATTTCGTTGCAAGAAATTAAGAGTTTTCTGGAAAATTATCTCAAGAATTATATATTTCATTTTTAAAATAGAAATTGAAATTGATATGAAAATGTTATTGATTGGATATAAAATAGATAACAGAAAATATACTTTACTTAATTTTTGGATAAATTATGCTCAACTAGTTATATACAAAGACTACGTAAAGCGGAACTTTGGAGAAGTACCAACCAATCCAAAGAGGTTAATAAATAATTTTATTTCATCATTAAAATGTTATTTGAAATACAAAGAAAATATAAAATACTTCGATATTGAGGAAGTTAAGAAAGTATTAGAAATGTTAAAATGATCATTTTAAGATATTATGTTGATCTTGTATATAATTCATGTTTCATTTTACTTGTTTTGTAAATAATGTATATGTATTTTGAAATGGAACAATAAAGTCCCTCTGAAGAGGTAAAGAGAAGAAAAAAAAGCGCATAGAGACATATTTTGTATAATGCGCTATAGAAATATAATTCATTATTATTATTATTGGTATGTAACTTTGTAGAAAAAAAAGAATATAGCAATATACCACATGTGCATGGAAGTGTGAAGTGTCGTATGATGTATGGGAGGATGCCAAATGTTATCTTTATTTCATGTTTATTTACATGTGTATATGTAAATGGTTTTGTTGACAAAGTTTGAATTATTTTCTTTCAGAAAATATGTATTTCTTTGTTGTTCAGTTGTTCTTTGTCTCTTTCACAATTCACATAACATAAAATTGGTTAAATAGGACAAACTTATGACCCTTTCCCAAAAATCATTCCACATCTTGTGGTTTCGCTCTATTACCTTTGATTTACAGCACTAAAAAAAATACAAGTTGCATTTATAAGCAAACAGAGCAAAACGTTCTGCACACACTGCATCCACTTTAGTTCCATGACTACATGTACATTGTACATGTATATTGCATTTGATACCAGAAATTTTAAAAAAGGAATATAAGCTTTAAAATCCTCAAATTGGGGGCATGTTGAGAGATTCAAAACCATGGTCTTTTAAAGCCCCACTGTCCTACTTGTAGCTACTTGCTCCCTCTATATAGAAAACTTCCACAATCAGTGCCTGTTGGTCCCCCATGATCCTCTTTTTCTAAAGTTGATGAGATAGCCACCTGTCAGTGACCTGGCTGGGTGGTCTAATCCCTTCTAGCTCAGTACTTTTGACGGTCTTTAATTAAAAAAATTGCCATTTTTTTCAACATTTAGATAACATATTGTTGTCTATGTTTATATCAGAAACTTTATTTGTGCCAATTTGGAGAAAAATGAGTCATCAATTTAGCCATAATATAAACACCGTCCTGAAAGGGTTAAAGGACATGCCACAGACCTACATGTGGTATTACTGGTAGTCCTAAAAAAGTTATTAAAAAGTTCTCAGCATTTAAGCCTTCATCTTGTAGTATATAGATTTGACCCATGTACATGTACAATGTATAAGTACACAATTCAGTTTACAATCCAGGTCTCTACTGTTTGTCAAGTCAGAATAAACTGCTGGCCTTGTCTATTCATGACCTGAAGAGATAAAGCGAAACTCGCATTCAACAGCAGTTCGTGGAACTAGTATAGTTGTTAATCTAAATTACCAGACAGCCTGATAGTTCAAAGTCCTGTAGGCATTGTTAAACCTTTGGATAGGCCTACGTACTGCCTTCATAACAATATAAATCTAGGTCTCTATAATGGCACCCCTCTCCCCACAAAAAAAAGAAAAAGAAAAAGAAAAAGAAAGATGTGTGACTTGGGATTTCAAAACGTGTGTTAACAACAAACTGTAGATCTACAATGTAAAATCAGTGTAGTTTTAACAAGATCACCTCACACTTCCGTACACTGATGCTGATGCTGATTTATGAAAGTGAAAATTGTATGATTTGATGATTGTTGCTAGGACTTTCTACATTTGATGGATATTGGGGAGATTGGTTGTAAATGCATTTAACTGCATATCAAAAGGGAGAATGAGTAAGAGAATACCTCCTGACAGTATTCTGTGAACCAATTTAGAAAGAGCCATAACGCATACAAAATGCCATCCAAACCTATGATCTACTACCATTTCATGATTTGCGGCACAATCCACATTACAAAACATGAGCAAAAAGTGTGAACATATTGCGTGAATCATACAAACCTTCAGGTCTCTGATGGTAGCACTTCCCAAGGAACCAGATTGGTTTGTGGATGCTGAAATTGGTCTTGGTCTTCACTGTCCATCCTGTAAATAGTTGGGAAATAACAAAAATTAGATATAAATGTTTATGTAGATCTACATGTATGTACAGTCAAATCAACCCATGTACAGGAATACTGTACGTAATGTACACTGTTCATGAACCTGTAATGGCAATTATTATGCAGGTGCATTATTAGGTATGAATAAGTCTAATGCATGCCACATTTTGCCTTTCCACGCAATTTAAGCAAACACTTTTAAATCAAATTTATTATTTCAAACAAATATTAAAAGATGTGTATTTGAAGTTGAACCAACATCTCTAAAGACCACAGTGTACATACTACACGAACGTGATGTATGAATCAGGAGCATGTCACCTAAGATCATCATGAATGACTTGAAAACAATTTTACTTGAAAGGTTTACTGAAATCTGGTACATGTAGCAATCATCATGAGGTACTTCCAGTCATTTACGGTATGATTATTCAATTTTTTTTCACTTTTCAAATTTATACCTTTCACATGAATATGAAGCTTTTTGGCGGAAAAATACTTTTGAAAATAACACAAGTAAAAGTACATGTACTACAGTGTAGTATACAATCTCAATATTTGCATCAATTTCATTTCTCCTCAGGCTCAGAGTGAACCTCACAATACATAGTTTTCACAACAATGGATTCTTGATTGACATTGATGTAATGGAAGAGGAAGCCACAAACATTAGGTCCCTAAAAAAAGTCCCTATTGCTCACTTAATCAACAACCAATCAACAATACCCTACCATAGAACCCAGAATGGGGGAATGCCTCCAATCTCATGGTGTATCGATGATTCATACAGCATGGCTGAACTGGATTTAATAAGACAGGTTCTTTTTAAAATCTAGGACTATAGGTTTCATCACTATTATCCTATTTGCCAGTCACAGCTAGTCATAATGGCTCAATCATTACTGCAGGAGCTGTAAAGATCTCTCTCCGGCTACCTGACTACACCTACATGTACAATCTAGATACATGTGAGCTACAGTATGTTGTACCATGTACAGTTGTATGTACTGGTAAACATCTATGATGAATGCACATACCGGTACTGTAATCAGGTACGTCGTCAAAAAAATGTCCATATATATATATATATATATATGCCCGCCAGTGGAGAGAAGTATTGTAATGGGTGTGCAGTGGTACAGTGGTTTAATCATGCAGCTTTCAATGAAGAAGTTGAGGGTCCAAAATAGTTGCCTAATGAATATCATGCATGCATTTTATCCACTGACCTTAACTAAAAACCAGTACTTACATGTAGATAAAATGTACATGTATACCTACAGTACATCAAAACCCCACCAAAGCTTGAATCATAACATACACTGTACATGTATCAATCCCCCCCCCCCCCCCCCTCCAAAAAAAAAAAAAAAAAGTTATTACAAAATAAATAAATACATGTACTGTATACAGTATACAAGTACAGTACAGTATATTTATCTTTCATTTTTATTTTTTATATTGACCTTATCATTGCTCCGTACTAATAGTAGACACTACCTTGGACTTAATTGCTACAGTACCAGGTAGTCCCTGCAATCTTCTAATTTTAGTGTTATCATCACATATAATAACTGGTATAATTTCAATTCAGAGATTACCATGTGTCGTAGTTCTCAGCAGGAAAGGATTATTTTCTACAGGTCATTTATTGATTACTCTAGATCTAAATCTCAAGGTAAAATACTCTAGATCATTAAAAAAAAAAAAAAATCAATTTGCTTTGAGGTAGAACTGATTACGCTATTTATTATAATGAGAACAGGGTCACATTCACTGGCTTGGCTGGGCCTGCAATAATTGAATTCATGAAGTGTACTACAGTAAAAGTACACTTCACAGTTCACAATATGTGACAAACAATGTTTACACACATACATGTACTTCCCTGTGCCATGCAACATCCCATTGTTGATTATAGTGTCCATATATGTTAATGTGATATTCCAAAGGTGAAACCATGTTAATTTATTCAAATAAAACAGGGCTCATGAACATACATGTACATGTACATGTACCCGTGCTGTTTAAAGTACAATAAGGGGCACCGCTACTTTACAGGGACGTCTACGCTCAAAACATTATTAGCAATTTTGCCATTTTTGTGTGTTTACAAACATTTTGATGATGGTACACACATGTCGACCTTCAAGCCCCAAATAGGGCTCATATGGAACAACAGCCAACGTACAACTGGCCTGTCATAATCCCATTGTATCTATTGTTGTATAGTTGAAGCTTTTCATTCAATACCAAAGGTACTGTACATGTACAGGTACAATGAGGCATATTTACATGCATCAATAAACAGCATGGGCCAAGTACAGTGTACATGAGCCAGCATAATATGTACATGTGCTGTACATGTTTGTAAAGCAGAACCACAAAGGAAGGGGGTGCGGTCAGCCACACCCCCTTTAGAAACCAAAAGGTCCATGTATACAAACATTTGAAGGTACATGTACACCTACCCGCCACCTACAGTTCATGTGCAGTATGGGTACAGTACAGGACCATGGACTAGAGCATGTTCTTACAGTATGCAAAGCCCCTTCAGCCCACCCCCCCCCCTCCCCCCTCCCCCCCCCCCCCCCCCCCCCATCATGACAACCCTGAATCTAGATTCTTTATACGCACTGTACCAACCAGTAATGCCATTGATAAATAATTAAAAAAGAATCAAGTCCACTGACAATGCCAATTTGGATTGATACTATATGTAGGCCTGGACAGGTTGTTGTTGTTTTTTTGTTTTTTTTTACAGCCGAATATTCGGGTACGAGAAATCGTACCCGAGTAGTTGTCAACCGTGCGGGTACTCGAGCATTCGGCTACCTGTCGCAGCCTTAATATATTTAAGCCAACCTATACTGGTACATGTACATGTATAAGAATTTCATGAACATCTGCACATATACCTTCAAAATAATACTATAATTACATGTACATGTAAATGTGTTCTACTTGGAAGCTGTCTTTTTCATTTTATTCGACTCTGCCCTAAAAAAAAATAATTGAATGACAAAGGCTCAGATCTCAAAAAGATACAACACAAGTACAGAAGATGTACAGTATATACACAATATATGTACAATGTACATGGTGTATGCTCCAAAGTATTCAAACCAAAGGTACTAGTAGTGCCAAGCCCAAATCACTAGTACAGGTGTACATGAACATGTTAGTAAACTACCCACAGGACAAAACTCAAAGCACAATACTTCCTATAGCAAAACTAAAGAGGGAACATCCTGAAAAACCTGAATGTCTTTACATCACAGAGCAATAGTACTGTAGTATTATAAAAAATTCACATGACTGATTAATATCCTGTCACTATGGCAACAGTAGTAGTTAAGAAAAAACCCAAAGATGTCTGGAAATCTTGTCGATTGCACTGATAAAGTGATGTCACCATAGCAACTTAATGGTTATGATGGAATTCATAAAATTCCATCCTGTTGCGGTAGTGTGACTTTTGGCTCTGTCCCATGTATGTACATCATGTACATGTACATGTACATGTACTTGTACTTTTGTATAAAGGAGGCTTATAGCCTATACATGAACATGTTCATATCTACATACATGCAGGCTACATGTACAAGTGTTTCAATTTGTCTCTTGAATCAATACAAATATTGTTTTTAAATTTTAAAAAATTATAAAAAGTCAAATTTCAAGAAATTGTATAAACACTGTTCACTTTTAGTATTCAATCTTGCTGCAATACCTGTGAATTTTCTGAATGACTTATTCTTCACTTAATGTATCAAGCAAGAATGAATTCCTCATATACAGGAGACTCTTCAGATTTGAAGCAAGTACATGTAGCAACATTGAAAGTATCGCATTTGATCTTGGGAAATGGGAAGTTTAAATCAACTCCTAAATTAAACTCAAGGACCCAATACCCTTTCCTGCAAATAAAGACATATATTCTGTGGTATAATATTTGACTCAACCCCCACTAAAAATTCTCTGAAGTTGTTGACAAGCATTAATAGGTAGCATCTCGTTGAGGGGTGAACTGAAGAGGGCAAGTCAAGGTCAAACTAGCCCAGAATAGGTCTGTATCGGAAGGATCTCCATCAGGCTAGTCATGGGGTAGAACCTCTTCTATGACTCACATGCTGACAGTACATCTTACAGGAGACTGTAGTGGGCGGTGAGCTCTCAGGGAAACCAATGATCAGAATGGTTTCACAAGAAGCTTTCTCTATATTTTTCAACATCTTGATCTTAGCAAAGAGTAGCAGTAAAAATGAAATTCTTTAAAAAACTGGAATCCTGTAAAAATACTGAAATCAAGTAAATTTGCACTTTTGCAAACAGGGAAATTTAATTCTAGAACAAACTGACAGCTTTGATTTACTGGTAACCTGAATCTTTCCCAATATTTTGTGCGAAATAGTTTTCAAGATGAGAAGAAAAAAAGCATAAGTAAACATTAAAGGGATAGTTGTCTTTTGTTGCAGAGGGCGCTATACAAAATAATTTTTATGTGAGATTATGAAAAACTGAGTGTCAAATTTGAAAGAACATGCAATTTATTGACAATTTCATCTTTGTTTGATCGAAATCGGTTCAGAGACGACTGAAATATCCATAAATATATTTATTTCTAATATTTGTGTACAGTGTACCACCACAAATATTCGATAATTTGAAAAAGCCGTTGAAAAAAGGAAATAGAGCCTTTTACGATGTATTTCAGCCAATGCCGATGTTGACTTTTTTGTTGGTTACATTACGCACAACCAGCCGGCCCATGTATTGTTATTGTTAATTAATTAATCAATTAACGGCCACTGTATTTTTTTTTAAAGTGGAGCTGTATAGGTATGAACTTATTGTCTAAATTTCACAGATTTGGGGGCTATAACAACCTTCATAGCAATTCTAGGTCCTAAAAGGGAACTAGAAATATCATAGATAAGAATAAGAGCAATAACCATGCACTAAAGGCATTTGCGGGCTGAAAACAGAACTCAACTATCCCTTTAATCACAGGGGGGGGGGGGGGGGGGGGAGAAGGGGATGTTTTATTCCACTTTGTTGGCTTAAATGGAACTTTTGGTATTCTTTGTCATGTACCTGTATGTAAGGATTGTTGCATCCCATATACAATGTACTATCAAGTGACAATGAAAAAAAAATCTTTGTAGTTAAAACATTTCTTCAAATGTCAGCAGCTCATTACAGAAAAAGGTGTAACATCAGTCTGTGGCAAGGTCAAAACAAGTGGAGCAAATCATTGTATTCAAGTTGATTGTTTATTATAATGTATGTAATGGTGAAAACCCACTATATCACAATGAAAACTAATGTCTGATTTGTTTCTAAAACTTAATAATCATTTTCAACCATGCAAATTGGCAACCATACATGTAGATACATGTACATACCGGTACATATATTTGATGCATAGAAAAAAAGCTATACCTACCATATTTAACATTATTCCACATGGACAGCAGCTTGCTCTTAACCTTTTCTGATTGGTCCTCATCTCCGGCTTCATCACTGGCAGTATTCGTCTCATCCTCTACCTCGTCATTTGCATCAAACGACGTCGATCTGGTATACGATGACCGTCTCGTCCTTTCCCTCTCCTCCCGCTCCCTCCGTCTCATCGTCGCACGGTCGCTGGAGTTGCTGCGGAAGCGGGAACGGAAGTCAAAACCCTTGAGGTTGATTTCCCCGCGAGATCTTCTAGAAGCCCTACTGGCTGATTTGGTCTTTCCTGGACTGCCAACACCGCTGCTGTTCGTGCTAATGTAGGCAGGAGAGGATTTGTCCATAAGTGATGGCAAAATGGGCGACTTATCTGCACCACCCCTCTCGCTATCATCCACCTCAGTTGAATTGGAGGTCTTACCCAGGTACCCTAACCTGAACTTGGTCCAAGCGGTCTTGGTCCTCTCCCTGTCAGAGCTTTGCTTGTCCTTGCCTTTGATCTTGGGCATCACTGGCTGTGGAGGACTTGTCTGGACCTCTGCAAAGTCCAAGGAGTCATTGGATGCATTACGTTGACCACTGCCAATTTCTGTTCTCATCCCCTCGTTGCAATCCATAGGTCTATTCTCCCGTTCAGTGACCTGGTTGTCCATGTTGAGGTTGCTCTCCGAAGAACGGTGGCGACCTTTAACGTGAGCAAAACTTGACCGTGACTTTCTGCTCGTGCTTGGCGACTGTGATGATGAGCCAGATGGTTCGGAGTCCCTCTTCAGTTCCTGGTCATATGTGCTCCTTTGGGTTGAGGTTCCAGGACTCCTAACACCTTCATTGCTGTCCATTATCTCTGCCAGAGTCCTTTTGGTTGCTTTCCACACCTCTGAAACAGGCTTATTCAAGAAGTCCATCTGGGCATCTGCAACAATTCCACACACACAAAAAAGCAATAGGAATGTGTAATCTGTAATCATTAATACATGTACATGTGAAAAATTACATTTACGGTATATGCAACATTTTGGAACAATTGACAAGAAAAAATATCAAGCAGATCTACATACATACATCTAAATTGATGGGTCAATAAAAAAGTTGTTGGCACTGACTAGAGCTAGACTTACTCTAGTCTCTACTATCAAGGGCATCATTTCATGGAATGGTCATATAAGTACAAGTCAGACCAAGATCCATTGTAATACAGGTTAATTACAACCAAACATATGCGCTACAATGTATTATGCTAATGCCATGGGATGTTTGTGAAATCATACTTTCGCTGCCCTGGGCAGCTACATTTTGTAATGGTAACAGGTCATTTTCTCAATCGAGTCAATATGTTCAACATGGACAAGAGTGAAGAGGCAACTATACACAAGCCAGGTCAAGATCAAGAATATGAAATAGAGCCTTAAACTAATAGAGGCAGAGCCTTAGTTAGAACTTAGTAACTTAGAAGTATCTTAGAAGTTAGAGCCACCTAGTGAAGTACTCAGTGCAGCATGCAGTAACTACTGGTAGTGAAAAATAAAAGAAATTTTGCCAAAAGAATCACTCGAATTAGAGTCTATACTTTATTTGAAAACAGAGTGAGTGAACTCTCAGACGTCACATAAGTTTGCTCTTTAAATGTTTGGTTCCAACACGTGAGGCGAAGCTAAGCCAACTGCAAACCGATGACCTAGTAGAGGTCAATACATCTGAGTAACTTAGTATTGATGCTTTGCCGAAGTGGGTAGTGAGTAGCAAGCCTTAGATTAGGCAGCCAGGAGCAAGGGGCAATTTATTTTTAAAAGTTGCCCCTTGCCCACAGGGATTTACCAGAGCAAGGGGCAATTCCTTAAGAACCAGGGGCAATTTTCCAAAAACAGATAATGACAACTAATTATACAAGTTAAATAAGTTCAAAGATACAATGTTAATTTCATAATGTGAATGCGATCAATTTAACAACATTTTAATCTTAACCCATAGCCTGCCATGAGGCTGCATGCACGCTACCTATTGAGTGCCATGTGCGTGCAAGGGCGCATTCGTAGTAGCAGTTATTGTTCATGCTCATTGGGCTGTGCTGTGTGTTTTGCACTCGCCATTCATAGAACCATCGCGTTAATCAGATTATCTCCAAAACAACCTGGCACAGTGGGGATTAGCCCTGTGGCACGATAAGAGTTAACAAGATCAACAGGAAAGATTGATTAAGAACATCAACTTGCACATAGTTAAACAGTATTTTAAAGAACTAAAAATATTGATGAGCAAATGAATAAATATATTGTCAATTTCACAAACATCGAAAGTCATAAGGACTTGGGAAGTTTATCCCAAATCGAAATCACACCTCACACACAAACCTTCCACCACACTCTCGGCAGTAGGAGCAAATTTGAAGAATTAACATTTTAATTGTTGTATAACCAAAGAAATACCAAAAATTGTACATGTAAAAATGTCCTTAGACATTCGACAGCTAAAGTTGAAACCAAAATCGTTCCTCGCACACACACTCTTGCCATACCGCGAAAGTCCTTGGTGGCGCTGCTTGTTGGGAAGCTAGCAGGATGGGAGTTTGCCAACGAGACCAATGCACCTTCGGAGATTCGCAACGCGCAAATTTATAGGGACTCGAAAGGTTTGTGGTGGGAAGCTGGCCGGCTAGCTTTTTTGGCAAAACAAGGCTATGTCGGCTGCTGGCAAAATGAGAGTAACTACGATCGAGAACATCGAAGGTGCTCTTAACTTATCAATAAGAAACTTCTAATTTCTATTTGAGATGAAATAATAAACTAGACCTACAAACAAACCTCAACAGATCTCTAATGACAATTTGAATGCTTGTTTATTTCTCCATTTGACGATTTGTTTTCTTGATCCTTCGATACATTTGTACATAATGAACGTGCATGCGCCACAGCACCATCTAGCGATCGCATGATCTGAACGTACGTACGTGCGCTAGCCTATAGACTCTAGTAACAAAGGGCGCATTTTCATGGAGACACTTGCGCCTTATTAAAGCACTAAATACGAAGCTAGTAGAGAGCTCGTGCGCGGCAAACTGTTCATGATTCGTGTATTTTTTCTGTTCTAATAAGTTATGGGCGCATTTTCACGGCAAACACTTGCACCTTGCCATCTAGTTTTAGATGATTATGGGCGCAATTGGTGGGTTTGTGAGCGCAAATTTGCGCCCTGCGTCCGCTTTATCAAAGGCTCGGTGAGTAGTACATGTACTACTAGACACTACAGTAGTACTACAGTACACTAGCGCTTTACTACGTACTGAGAGGCAGCAATTACACACAGTACACACACTGCACACTAACGCACACAATAAATACGAAGTGGCTGACAGACAGTAGATTCACGATTTGAATTTTCAAAATATTCTTTGTAACAGAGTAACAAACTAACTTAGACTAGTTCTAGACCCTCATACATAAGTTGAAAAGATTGTATTTTAGGGTAGAATGCCCAGTATTCGGTCACTTAAGGGGAAATCGCTAATATTTTGAAATATTACCTCTTTTATTTTGGCAATCTACCCATCAAAAGAAAAGAAATTTATTCCTCTAACAGGATTTTATAGTCACTTAAAATATAGAATAATGATAAGCAAAATACTTCCGAAAGAAGACGGAGCATTTTTCTGCCCAGAATTCGGTCGCGCACTATTTTCACACAATTGCGCGATAAAGCACTGAATGTCAATGCGTTGACCGAATACTGGCCGAGCGATACCGCAAGGCAAGGGTATCGTATAAATACCTCTCGCACATCGGCAAGTGCGTCATTTGCAAATTCACTGTGATGGAGTGAACACGGAAGTGATTCTCTTCACACACATATTAAATTCATTGCGACAGCACACGTAGTTGTTTCGAAATAGACTTCTACATATGGCTATGCATGTTAGCGCATGTGCTAAGAGAACGCGGAAGTGCAGGAAGTTGTGCGACACTGACCAATTTCGAGCTAAGTTGGAGATCTTTCCGGGCCCTAAATCTAATTTAATTTTGAGAGTTAAGAAAAGTTGTTCAGCTGCCTGATTTGTGCAAGTTTCGTGGCTCTTAAATTATTTTTTTAATTGTTACAGCTGTTGAAACAGCTGTCTGACCGAATACTGGGTGCGCTACCATTTAGTCTAGATCTAGAGTCTACTAGTACTAGAATTTAGATCTAGGTGTCATTAATACTAATAATAGTCGCTAAACTACCGATTTAGGGTGAAATCAGTTGAGTTTTGTACAGTGGTGTTTGAAATGTTGAGAATCAGCAGCTATGTTATGTCTAACTAGAGCTACCTATACTACGGAGCTCCCTGGAGTTACTGTACCGTACCTAATGTACCAACCTGACATATCGTGTACATCCCGGTGAACTACCCGTTCATTACCAATGGCACCAGCGCCAGCAGGCTCGGCTGCCGACAGAGTCAGAGCAACGCAAAGGTCAAGCGAAAAAAAAGCCATCTTTACACTAAGATTCTCCCCCAATATAAAAGATAACACATCAGTACATCAACTCACAACTAGTAGAAAAACAAGTATATAGGATGATAAGAGACAAACTTACGTAATGTGATAATTTTCTTCTCAAAGTCGCGTGACACAACGTAAATATTTACACGGAAAACATTCATGGGCGTGTGATTGTAATTTTACCCAAGTGTAACTTATGGGGCGCCACGCGCGCCCGTCCCACAAGTACAAGGCTAGAAGGTTGTACGCAAATCCATCAACCTAGATTATAATAATTATGAAGAATGATTTTCATTAAAATATCAGTTATAATATAAATGACATATCTCACGCAATCGGAGGTCTCAAGGCAAAAAAACAAACAATTTATGTGTGCCGATTTCAGATTTTCTCCAGAAATCATACGTTGATAATAATTGGATCATGCATGCTATAAACGAGATTCATATTAATTAATCAATAACTAAATATTCGTTAATTTTTTCCTTTCAGTCATCTATTAATTAATTCACTTACATATTTGTTTATTTATCTATTTATTCATTTATTTAATTATTTATGTGCTTGCATTATTTTATTTATTCATTCTACATTTCTAATATGTTGTTTGTTTATTCGTTTACCTATTCATTTATAATCTTTTTATTAATTATGCGTGTATGTATTTATTTATTTATGTGTCATAATAAACAAGACATAAAAAGGATAGGTTTAGGATTTTGTAGGTTTTGTTGATTGATTGATTGATTGGTTGATTGATTTTTATTCGCCAAGCTTCCAACATACAACAATAATATCGGATTCAGCTTGTCACAGGATAACCCAGCTCGAGAGCTTTCCAATGGGCGCCCCGACCGTGGAGCCTTTGTGTACAAAATTATAAAATAGTAAAAATTTACAGACCGATAAGAATTTTTTTATTAAAGATAATAATGATGATAATAATCACATTATAGACTTATGATAGAAATGATAATAAGTACAAGAAGAAAAGAAGAAGGAGAAGAAGAAAAAGAGCTAGGAGGAGGAGGAAGAGGAAAATAATGATGATATGGTAGAATTTCTAACGTACAAAAACACAAGTATATACAAAATGAAAAAGTATGAACCGGCAGAAGAATACAAATTTCAATCATTATAACATGTCATTCGCTTCTCTTCTCTGACTCTGACATATTAGGTATTCCTTTTATTTCCTGTTTTAATTAAAATGAGCAAAGTTTTCTATTTCCTTCACTTCTTTTATGAAGGGAATTCCAATGTTTTATGCCATTAAAACGAATTACCAATACCTACTCTTTCAATCTTTCTGGTATTTCTTGTCTTATAATTAAAAACAAAATCATAGGTATTTATTCTCTTCTTTCATAAATAAAATCGTACATAAATTATAACAATGTATACAAAATTACAAAATAATCTTCACAAAGGTCTAAATTCTGAATCAATTTGCAAGTGAACTTTTACATTTCCATACAAGGTTACAATCATGTCAGCCAGTAACAAGATCGAAGTTGGATATACATGTACATAATTTATATGTATACATATATATATATATATATATATATTATATATATTCCCTACACACTTGATTCAAGCCGCCGAAGATGGCGTTATCAACAATCTCATCATTATGCTTGGAAACCGTCTAACCTTGCCACGCTGCCCTGCATATTAATATTTAAATTTATGAATATTTGCGGTGGGACGGTGTGTTGGAGATCAAAAATTAAATCGGCCCGATTCTCGACTTAACCAGTATGTCGCAATAATAATGGATAATTCATGACCTGGGTACTCATTCGTTTACGGTAAGCCACCCGATTTTCTCGTAATGTCGTTCATTAGCTTTGCACTTGTATTTTTTGTATGAAATCTCCTCCTCTTTTGATAATATATCGCATCGGATCCCCAGCCCCCCCCCCCCCCACTCAAGTGCTATTTAGGGTACGCGTATGCATGTTCCCTCCCTTTGAAAAAAAAAACCCTAAGTCCGGTGTGGGAAAGTCAATACGGGCCGATTTTTTGAGTGTATTACGAGCCGGACTTTGTTGCGTGAAAAGTTATCCTTTATACCGGACATTTTGGGAACATGAATGCGGTCCCTCCGTTTCCGGATTGGGGGGGGGGGGGGGGGGGATAACGGTTAGGGACGAGGACATAGACGATTGGAGAATAAAACTGTGGGGGCATCGGTCAAACGAAGTGTTAAAGCTACATGGATAGCAGTGGCGGATCCAGGGGGGCCGAAACGGCCGCGGCCCCCCCCCCCCTATTGGCGGCGCAAAAAAAGGAAGAAAAAAAAAGAGGAAGAAAAGAAGAGAAAAAAAGAAAGGAGAAGAGGAGAAAAAAAAGGAGAAGAGAAAAGAAAGGAGAAGAGAAAGGAAAAAAGAAGAGAAAAGAAAAGAGAAGAGAAAAAGATAAAGAAGATAAACCCCCCCCCCCCCTTTCTCCCTCCCACTCCGGGGTCGGAGGGACCGAATTTGTGTTCCCAAAATTTCCGATAAAGAGTTACTTTTCACGCAACAAAGTCCGGCCCGTAATACACAAAAATCCGGCCCGTACTGACTTTACACACCAGATATAGAGGGGTGCATTCAAAGAGAGGGAACATACATGTGCGTACCTTAGATAACACTGAGTGTGGGGGGGGGGGGGGGGGGGGGGGGGTGAGAAAGGTGGAAAGGGGGAAAGACAAGGAAATGGCGCTAAGTGACAGTAACGACGAACAAGGGAAAACTGTAATCGGGAGATTTGGGGTCATTCCAGAAGGCTTGGCAAACGTTATTGAATAGAGGGGGGCCGGGCCGGCCGCATAAAATCTCGAGCCGCGGATTCAAATTTAAACGTTAAGATCAGCCCCTGCGGTCATCACTCTTTAGTGAGAAATTTGAAAAGGGCACAATAATTTGGATGTCTTTTAAATAGAAGTTATATACTCAACAGTCAAATTTTAAATTAACGGTAGGGCCGCTTCACAACTCTTATTTTGCCCTTCATTTGGATTCAGCTCATACCAACTCGCTTGTGCTTGTATTTAAACTCATGTTGGTAGTAATCATGGGCAGGGGCGGCAATCCTGGGCCCGTCCCCCAGGAAATTTAGAAATATGGCTAGAAAGAAATATAGCGGAAAGAACGTACATATTGGGCTTAGGGATTTTTTAGAATGCATAATTTCAGCATTCAACATTGCAAAATCTCGCTTGGTCGCTACAACCAGGCCCTCGCCCGATAACACAAACCTTTGAAGCTCCCGGCCGTGATTTATCCATGGTTGGTGTAATATATCTTTTTTCCCTTTCATTTCTACTAACCTAATTGTGTGCTATCACAATCATGATTGTTTCATTTTCGCTTTAAAGCAGTTGCGTAGCCAGGGGCGGTGGGGACAGTAAGAGGATATAGGACGAAAAAGGAGCAGACAAAGAAACATTTTTGAAAATTCTGACAAGTCGAGAACGGTACAACGAATCGTCTTCTTTTTTAATAATTTAATGAAACGTCAACGTTTCCGCGCTTCGCGCGGGAGGGGGAAAACTGAATTCAAACAACGATTAAGAGACGAGAATGGTAAAACGATTGGTCTTCTTTCTTTAATAATTTAATGAACCGTCAAAGCTTACGCGCTACGCGCGGGCAGGGGAAAATGGAATTCAGACAAGGACTAAGAGTCAAGAATGGTACAAAGAATCGTCTCCTTTCCCTTATAATTTAATGAAACGTCAAAGCTTCCGCGCTTCACGCGGGAGGGGGGACGGGAACTCAATTCAGACAAGGATTAAGAGTCGAGAACGGTACAACGAATCGTCTTCCTTCTCTAATAATTTAATGAAACGTCAAAGCTTCCGCGCTTTGCGCGGGAGAGGGGGGGGGGGGGGGAAGGGGGGCTGAATTCAGTCAAGTAATAAGAGTCGAGAATGGTACAACAAATTTTCTTTCTCTAATAATTAATGAAAGGGCAAAGCTTCCGCGCTTCGCGCGGGCTGGATGAAACTGAATTCAGACAAGGATTAAGAGTCGAGAATGGTACAACTAATCGTCTTCTTTCTCGAATAATTTAATGAAAGGTCAAAGCTTTCACGCTTCGCGCGAGAGGGGGTGAAACTGCGTTAACACAAGGATTAAGAGTCGAGAATGTTACAACGAATCGTCTTCTTTCTCTAATAATTTAATGAAACGTCAAAGCTTCCGCGCTTCGCGCGGGAGGGGGAAAACTGAATTCAGACAAGGAATACGAGTCGAGAATGGTTAAACGATTCGTCTTCTTCCTCTAATAATTTAATGAACCGTCAGAGCTTACGCGCTACGCGCAGGCAGGGAAAAACTGAATTCAGACAAGGACTAAGAGTCAAGAATGGTACAAAGAATCGTCTCCTTTCCCTTATAATTTAATGAAACGTCAAAGCTTCCGCGCTTCACGCGGGAGGGGGGACGGGAACTCAATTCAGACAAGGATTAAGAGTCGAGAACGGTACAACGAATCGTCTTCCTTCTCTAATAATTTAATGAAACGTCAAAGCTTCCGCGCTTTGCACGGGAGAGGGGGGGGAAGGGGGGCTGAATTCAGTCAAGTAATAAGAGTCGAGAATGGTACAACAAATTTTCTTTCTCTAATAATTAATGAAAGGGCAAAGCTTCCGCGCTTCGCGCGGGCGGGATGAAACTGAATTCAGACAAGGATTAAGAGTCGAGAATGGTACAACTAATCGTCTTCTTTCTCGAATAATTTAATGAAAGGTCAAAGCTTTCACGCTTCGCGCGAGAGGGGGTGAAACTGCGTTAACACAAGGATTAAGAGTCGAGAATGTTACAACGAATCGTCTTCTTTCTCTAATAATTTAATGAACTTCAAAGCTTCCGCGCTTCGCGCGGGAGGGGGAAAACTGAATTCAGACAAGGAATACGAGTCGAGAATGGTTAAACGATTCGTCTTCTTCCTCTAATAATTTAATGAACCGTCAGAGCTTACACGCTACGCGCAGGCAGGGAAAAACTGAATTCAGACAAGGACTAAGAGTCAAGAATGGTACAAAGAATCGTCTTCTTTCCCTTATAATTTAATGAAACGTCAAAGCTTCCGCGCTTTACGCGGGAGGGGGGGGGACGGGAACTCAATTCAGACAAGGATTAAGAGTCGAGAACGGTACAACGAATCGCCTTCCTTCTCTAATAATTTAATGAAACGTCAAAGCTTCCGCGCTTTGCACGGGAGAGGGGGGGGGGAAGGGGGGCTGAATTCAGTCAAGTAATAAGAGTCGAGAATGGTACAACAAATTTTCTTTCTCTAATAATTAATGAAAGGGCAAAGCTTCCGCGCTTCGCGCGGGCGGGATGAAACTGATTCAGACAAGGATTAAGAGTCGAGAATGGTACAACTAATCGTCTTCTTTCTCGAATAATTTAATGAAAGGTCAAAGCTTCCACGCTTCGCGCGAGAGGGGGTGAAACTGCGTTAACACAAGGATTAAGAGTCGAGAATGTTACAACGAATCGTCTTCTTTCTCTAATAATTTAATGAAACGTCAAAGCTTCCGCGCTTCGCGCGGGAGGGGGAAAACTGAATTCAGACAAGGAATACGAGTCGAGAATGGTTAAACGATTCGTCTTCTTCCTCTAATAATTTAATGAACCGTCAGAGCTTACGCGCTACGCGCAGGCAGGGAAAAACTGAATTCAGACAAGGATTAAGAGTCAAGAATGGTACAAAGAATCGTCTTCTTTCCCTTATAATTTAATGAAACGTCAAAGCTTCCGCGCTTTACGCGGGAGGGGGGACGGGAACTCAATTCAGACAAGGATTAAGAGTCGAGAACGGTACAACGAATCGCCTTCCTTCTCTAATAATTTAATGAAACGTCAAAGCTTCCGCGCTTTGCGCGGGAGGGGGGGAGGGGGCTGAATTCAGTCAAGTAATAAGAGTCGAGAATGGTACAACAAATCTTCTTTCTCTAATAATTAATGAAAGGGCAAAGCTTCCGCGCTTCGCGCGTAATGGGGGGGGGGGGGGGGACAGCGAGCTGCCCGAATATGAGTTTTTGATACCTTTTCTCGTTTATTTTGGTGATAAATAACACTTTCACAAAATACATATTATGCTCAAATTGTTGCTAGCTCACTAGCCGAATTGTGAAACCAGAAAATTACTTTTTCGGGCAAGACGCTCTAGCCCCCCCCCCCCGATGAAGATGTCAAAAATTGTACCGGTATGGTGCTTCTAATATGACCTTGACAAACACGGTCTGCGCAATTTTCAAATTTCCGCCCCCCCCCCCCCCCCTATTGGAAAATCCTGGATCCGCGCCTGGATAGTTAGCTTGCTCACATGTAAAATAAAGGCTCAGACATTATGTGCCCCCAATCGTATCTCTCTCTTTCTTCCCACTCTCTCTCTCTCCCTCTCTCTCCATCTCTCTCTCTCTCTCTCTCTCTCTCTCTCCCTGTCGTCCATCAGATTTTATCGAGAATTAACAAACTGTTTGGAAAACTAAAAAATCTAAGAGAGTGGTATTCCAAATGATACAAACATCAAACTTGCATGAAAATATGGGTAACTAATAGGGAGTTATCATTGGAATGTGTGACATGCGTTACGAGTACGTGTGACACCGCATTTAAATGCCAGTTGGAGATTCCCCATCTTATTACATGTATTGATCTCGATAAAAACAAATATATAACTTTCTCATCAATTCTATTTCTGATTTTTCTAATACTTACACTCATTTCCAATTTTAAAAAAAAGAGAGAAAGAAGATAGGTAGGGGAGTTTAGTTGCGATTTTCCCCGCCAACAAGGTATAGATCGGGGGGGGGGGCAATGGCGTACTGATTGGGGGGGGGCAGATACCCCCCCAAATACAATTCAAACGTGGTTTATTTCTAATTCGATACCGGTGATTTACAAATGTTGATGAAATGACATAATTTTCCAAGATTTTTTGTCACTTTTTAATAAATTATACTTTTTTATACGTTTGTTGGAAAATTACAAATTTCTAAATTTACAGTCAGGCAAGAAATATGCTTATTTAGAAGCCTACATGGCAGGGCCCGCACAACGACGGGGCTCCGGGTCCTCGAGCTCCGCCCTCACTTTTTTCGAAAAAAGTATACTAAAGAGAAATAGAAAGAAAGAAAGAAAAAAAGAATAGTGACCTGCAAGTGTCACAAAATAATGAGGTATCAAAATATACTCATCTGACCGTGATTAAATGCCTAAATCCCCTGAGCTTCCGGGGGCTCCGCAACTGGACCCCACGCCGATAGTGACCTGCCAGTGTCATGAATAAGGTATACAAATATGCTCATCTGACCGTTATAAAATGCCCCCAAAACCCTGAGCTTCTGGGGGCTCCGCCCCTGGACCCCACGCCAATTAGTGTCCTGCCAGTGTTACGAATAAGGAATCAAAATATATTCATCTAACCGTAATTAAGTGCTTAAAACCCCTGTGCTTCCGGGGCTCCGCCCCCTCGACCCCACCAGGGGGCCTAAGGCGGGCCCCTTGAATGCTCAATGACCGTTATAAAATGCCTCAAATCCCTGAGTTTCAGGGGGCTCAGCTCCCTAGACCCCACGCCAATAAGTGACCAGCCAGTGTCATGAATAAGGTATCAAAATATGCTCATCTGACCGTAATTAAATGCCCATACCCCCTGAGCTTCCGGGGACTCTTGACCCCTGCCTGGGCTTTGACCCTAGACCCCACGCCAATTTACACTACACTCTACCTGATCGTAAATACTTTAGCCTCCCCCCCCCACCCACTTTGAAAAACGTTCAGCGGGGCCTGCATGTTGTTGTTGTTGTAAGTAATAGTTTAATGGCGTTCATTCGATCAGTATACGCCATATCTTTAATTTTATAAGAAAATCAATTATACATAAGAAAACTGAGGATAAAGATTTGTAATGATATAATTAATTAATCAGTAACGCAATTTATTAGGAGTCTCTAGATGGTTTGCAACTTCGTGTTTCTGCTTTTTTTAAGTTTAATCTGGTCAGCCCGGTTTCGATTGCATGGAAACTAGCTTTGCTCGATTTGAAACAGGCTTCTCGGCTACTCGGCGTGCGTGCGCAGTGATCTTTTAATTTTGTAACGCACGGTGCCTAGACCACTCAGAAACACAGAAACACTAAATAATTTAGTGTTTCTGTGTTTCTGTGTTATTGAGACACATCGTACAGGGGCCTGCATGTAAAAGTGGGGTGATGCGGATTTTTTTTCTGCCAGCCCCCCCCCCCCCGGCCCCCCCCCCAAAAAAAAAACTTTTTTGTTCATTACGCCACTGAGTAGATGTCAGTAGATGCCAGGAAAACATCACTAACGGGGGTTCAAAATAGCACCAAAAAAAAAAAATTCCCTCGCCGCTTTGCGGCTCGTGGACGATGCTCCGCATGTTAGTAGATGCCAGGAAACATCACTCACGAGGGTTCAAAATAGCAACAACAAAAATAGCATCGCCGCTACGCGGCTCGTGGGCGATGCTCCAATCGTATTTGGGTTCCCCCCCCCCCCCACCCTTAGCAAAAAGCTAGATCTGCCCCTGTGTTTTGGAAGGATATGGTAAAGACTAAAAGTAAAGAAAGAATGTAAATAAGGTTGCTCCGAATAATATGAGGAGGAGAACATTATGTGCAGAACGGGAAGAAATGGAGAAAATGTCATCACGGGAAAAAAGTCAATATTTCTAAGAGGGAAAATGCCGACTTAAATAAATGATAATGATAAAATACCAAGGAATTTAAGAGTTTCATGGGTACAGATTCAATGGAAATTTGTATTAAAATAAGAGCCCCCGTCAGCACTTAAAGAGCCCCCGTGAGCCTTCTCACGGGGGCTCTTTTTGGGGGGAAGAGCCCCCGTGGACAAAAAATTAATTTGAGCCCTGATTGTAAGATATCTTCTTTTTTTTAATAAATAAGCAGCATGACATGTGATATTTATTTCCAACGGAGTGTTATTGCGATTAGTTTTGTGTGTTTTAATGGGTTCTTGAGAGTGATAGGCCTACATACATACACACACCGACCCACACCCACGCACATCCTTGCACACATATTTTTGTTAAGCTCGTATCACTGTGTTGCACCTGCATATGCCTATACATGTTTACAATAGTGTACAAGACACACTTGCGATATTCCAAGTTTGAAATTTTAGATCCTGAAGATATCTCCTTACATGTGTAGTTATAGCCTATGATTATGTTACTATTGTGTTCAGGAATTATCCACCATCACCAACAACCTACCCACCGCCAACCCACCAAATGTTATATTCTTTTTTTAAACAAATGTAAGTTACAATTTCTTAATATGGAAACCAGTTAACCATAAAGAGGCTATGTATTCCTTAGATCTCACAGGGGTAAACTCTAGACCATGGAGTAATGAAATAATTATGTGACTGTGGAAATGGATAACTCATCTAACTAAATATGGAATGCTTAATTTCTTACGTGTATATCTTTGAATATTTGATTTAAGACTAAGGAAATTGAGAAATACTGAAACATAAACATAAAATAATGAAAACGAATAAAGTTTACTCTCTTCCATTGAAACGTAAATTTATTAGAAGGATAATACAGTATCAGAAATCCATATGGAGTATATACGCCATTTACCCTCCACAATAGAATATTACATAAGAGAAAAAATGATAAAAACATTACAGAGACTAGTTTAGCTCATGCCTCTTATTGTGAGGTAGGTTTGATGCTACTAAAAATGTGACAAAATGTTAGTAACATCAATAATATTTGGCCATGTCTGTCAATTTGTCATATCATTATTTAAAAAGCTGTAAACACCAACATCAAAATCAAAAAAAATAATTCATTCACTTTAAACTGCCTATTATTGGGTGTACATCATATTTCTTACATACATGTATTATAAATAAGACCTACATTTATATTATGGTCACATATTGAATTCACAAGATATATATGATCTGTGAAAATGCTTATAATTATGTACGTTTTTTTTTCTATGTTCACAAGGACCCGATCATTCCCCTATACAATCTAGACATTTATATACGGACACAGATCTATTTAATGTACTTTAATGACTAACTTTAGAGAAATGGCATAACAGTTGCATACTGGAAAAAATACATATCCCCATAAAAACCTTAAATAATTTCAATTTCAGTTATATATATGTGAATAATCAAACACGCGACATAAATCTGGAGAATAATTTCATCATATTTCAACGTTATTGATGTACATGTAATATTTTGATAGCAATTAATTAGGTAAATGAAAACCCCGGTATAAAACATAGAACTTAAAATAAGTTATATCGTAATTTTATGGAGAGACAACGTATTATATCATTGAATTTGTGAGTTTCCTAATGTCATAATGTACTTAATTTCTATATTGGCGTTACATTCGCACGTGCCTCTCTTTTCTTTATTTTTAATTTTCAATTTTGTTTATCCTTGATTTGTTACCCCCTTTATTTGTCCTTATGCTATATTTTTTACCATTTTTTTAACCATAAATAAGCTATGTATTCCTAAGATCTCACAGGGATAATGTGGAAGTGTATATCTCATCTTACTGAAGTTGACATGTTTAATATATTATGTGTATGTTTGATTAAAGAGTAAGGAATTAAAGTACTGAAACAAATGAAAACGGATAAAGTCTGCTCTCTTACATTGAAACGTAAATTTATTAGAAGGATAATACAATATCAGGAATCCATATGGAGTATATACGCCATTTACCCTCCACAATAGAATATTACATAAGATAAAAAATGATAAAAACATTACAGAGATTAGCTCATGCCCCCAATTGTGAGGTAGGTTTGATGCTGCTAAAAATGTGACAAAATGTTAGTAACATCAATAATATTTGGCCATGTCTGTCAACTTGGCATATCATTATTTTAAAAGCTGTAAACACCAACATCAAAATCAAAAAAATAATTCATTCACTTTAAACTGCCTATTATTGGGTGTACATCATATCTCTTACATACATGTATTTTAAATTAGACCGATATTTATATCATTGTCACATATTGAATTCACAAGAAATATATGATCTGTGAATATGCTTATACGTAAGCTTTTTTCTTTATGTTCACTAGGACCCGATCATTCCCCTATAAGATCTAGTCATCAATATAAGGACACGGATCTCATTAATGTACTACTAACTTTAAAGAAATGACATAGCAATTACAAGCCGGAAGACAGTAAATATCCCCATTAAACCCTTGAAAAAATAAATTAAAGTACAGTAAAATGTCAACATCTTGCTGTATCCATTATATTAATGAATGAAATTGCTAATGATATCCATCGTCAGGTATATTTCCATCAATCAAATCTTCTGATCAGGCCTGCTATGTTGACCATTCACACTGAAAAATAAACAGACATTTACCATCTTAAAATGTTTATGTATAGAGGAATGATAAATTAATGTACTAGATTGACAACAAACTGTCTGGAATGCAAAAAGGAGTCTTTATTATAGTTAAACTACAAAGAAGAATACGGCTATGATTGGCAGTATATCAATTTTTTTGGAGATGATAGTTCTACATTCACACAAGAACCCCTCCAACTACCATCCACTGACAACCTATGCACCCTTGGACATGAATACCCAACTCTGCCACTCCCCCGCCCCCCCCCCCACTCAGTGTTATTTAGGGTACGCATTCCAACCGACCCCCCCCCCCCTTTCAGCAAAAGTCCGGTGTGTAAAGTCAATACGGCTCGACCTTTTTCTTTTGTATACGAGCCTTTTTCAGCACCCCCCCCCCTTTTCAGCAAAAGTCCGGTGTGTAAAGTCAATACGGGTCGACCTTTTTCTTTTGTTACGAAAAGGACATTTTGGCAACACGCATGGGGTCCGTCCGTTCTCGGAGTGGGGGGGGGGGGGGGGGGGGGGCCGGGGCCACTCCTAAGTTAATATCCCTAGAACTTTTTCCCCTGGACATCTATCTCTTTAGGATTTCTACCTCCCAGGACAATGAACCCCTACCCCCACCCCATCACATATCTGGGACAATAGACCCTGGGTGAACTTGACCTTAAAGTGACTCGGTAACATTGTTGAAGGTTGACGAAAAAATTGTGTAATTTGTGTATGGATCCGCCACTGTGGAATGGTATATACAGCCAATTCATTGGTTTGTGACGATTTGCAATCGCCTAAAATGGGGGGAGGGGGGGGGGGAGGGGGGGGGGGGGTAGTGAGCACTATTTTTGTTTTGGCCCTCGAAAATTTGAAAAATTGCACCCCCCCCCCCCCCCTTGAGCGCCAGGGGGGGGGGCCATCTCAAAAAAAAGTAAAATCAAATTTTCCGGGGGGGGGGGACCTAGAATGGTATATAGAGCCAATTCATTGCTTTGTGACGATTTGCAATCGCCTAAAATGTAATTAAGTTGTAGTAAATTGTTATTCTAATATTTTTGTTTGTTATTATAATTACTCTTTTATACATGTATTATCTTGTGTTTACTATGTCATTATTTCTGTAAAGCGCTTCGAGCAATTCGTTGGATGTTGCGCTATATAAAAGACAATTGTATGTATGTATGTATGTATGTAGTAATATAGTTAGGAGAATTAAGGAATTGATCAGATCTGTTTTCCCCAATTACTATCATTGATAATCGTCCATTGTCACTTAAACTTTCAGATAATCTTTTATTGTACCTCAAGCATTAAAGTCGTTACCTTAGCACCATTTTCTCCAATCTGAACAATGTTACCGAGCGTCTTTAACAGGTGTCTAGTTGCACACAGTCACAAAATGTCAACTCTGGACAACTACATTTTAGAAATTTACCCCGGGGAACCGGGTACATGCAAAGAGATCCTTCAAATTTCAAACCCAACCCTCTCTAAAAAGAATAATTGCCTTCTATACAACTATTGTTTTGTACACCAACCCTCCACACCAAATGCCTCATATTATATGCTAACCGGAATCTTAGTGTCAATCCTTGAACAAGGACTATTAAACCCTAACTCCGAACCTAACTTAAAACCCAAACATAACCATAGCACGTTGTCTACATCATTGGTGAAAAAATTCCAGAGCAATTGTCGTCGGAAAAATTGAAGATGGAGCAAAAAAGTTGGAGTATCACTAGTTTTTAAACTGACCTGTGACAAGGCCTTCACCATATATCTCCATACGAACACTAATGTGTTTATACCAGCTGACAGGCATCAAGCGGAAATAGCGGCAAACCTGGGACACAGGCAGAGTGTTGGTCATGATGGTGTTGCGGTCAACATTACCGATGAAGATCTTTAATAATAAAGGAAAACCGATCCACTTTTTAAATAATTATGTTTCAAATGATTCTGCATTTAATTGCGATCGGACCTAAAAGAATCTGATGTAGCATTAAATTTTTTTTCTTTTTCATTTCAATCTTTATTCCAATTCATAAAAATACAACAACATCAAATATAAAACACAATAGCATTATATACAACATTTAGTAAAAATGGTACAAAAAATAAATACATAAGTTTCATAATAATATTGTAAAAATGAATGGAAAAGGAGGCGTACGTAAAAGGCCAAGGGTAGGCTTGTAAGAGTGTACGACCCTACAATTTAAATAATGTATGAATATATATTGCAAAAAAATAACAAGTACCAACAATACTGTATCATCATGTACCAAAACACAAAATAAAAAATCAACAAAAACAACAACAACAAAAAAAATCAATAATTTCCAATCAAATATTTTTTATATTGCCTTTTAAATGAGTTATTAAATTGAATATTAAAGTTACTTAAATTTAGACTATTCCAAAGGATTGGGCCTGTGTGGCGTAATGAGTATTTTGATTTATTATTTAAATACGTCCAACGGTGAAAATGATTGCAAGATCTTGTATTATAATTATGGATATTTCTATTTTTTACAAACATATTCATTAAATATGGGGAGAGTGTTTGAGAGTGAAAACGTTGCATAAACGAAGCAATTTGGATCTTATTTATATCTTGTAATTTGAGAGTATATAATAATTTAAATAATGTGGAAGTAGAAGCAGTATACTCGGACTTCGTACATACTCGTATGGCTTTCTTTTGTAATATTATTAGTTTATGTAAATGGGTCGAATATGTGTTACCCCATATTGAGTTACAATACGACAAGTGTGACAAAACATAAGCATTATAAAGAAGAAATAATATGTTACTAGGCAATTCATACTTCAATCGACTTAAAATCCCTATGAATCGTGAAATCTTCAAGCGTACTAAATCAATGTGATCCTTCCAAGACAAACTACTATTTAATACTACACCTAAAAACTTAACAGAATCATAGAATTTCAAAGGAACTGCATCTATTTTCAACAATATATCATCGACATTAAATTGCACACCACCCTTTTTAAACAGAACACATTGGGTTTTACTAGTATTTAAAGAGAGCTTATTACATTTAAACCATGCTGATATGTGGGCAAGACTTGTATTCAAAGATTCAACTAAAGCTTCAATATCATTATGAGAGGCAAGGAGTGAGGTGTCATCCGCATACAAAATACAGTCACATTCATGGCAAGAATTCACAATATCATTAATATAAATTAAAAATAGTAATGGTCCAAGAATTGACCCTTGAGGGACACCTGTGTTTATATTACCGAAAGACGAATTATGTGAGTTATAAACTGTAAATTGTTGTCGATGTAATAAATAAGATTGAAACCATTTTAAGGAAAGACCTTTAATGCCATAATGCTGCATTTTTTGTAATAAAATATCGTGTGAAAGGGAGTCAAAGGCCTTGGATAGGTCCATGAATACGCCAATAACACTTTTACCTTCATTAAGTTCTTTAACTATTCTATCATGAATTTCAATGACTGCCATGTCTGTTGAGTAATTTTGTCGGAAGCCATACTGACTATCATATAAAAAGTTATGCTGCAATAAATAGTCATATAATCTATTAAAAACTAACTTTTCCAAAATTTTAGAAAAACAAGGTAAAATTGAAATTGGTCGATAATTTGTAAAAAGACTCGGGTCATCCTTTTTAAAAATTGGCACAACCTTAGATATCTTCATCTTAGAAGGAACACAACCAGTGCGTAATGATGAATTACAAATATAAAGTAGTGGTTCAACAATAAAAGGTAGTATATGTTTCACAACTATTGAATCAATTTCATCAAAACCACAACTTTTACCAGATTTAAGATTTGACTTTACAATATCTATTATTTCTTCTTTTGTAACTGGTTTAAAAAATAATATATGTGGCGATGGTTGGCCCATATAAACATTAAATGTATCAATTGCATTTTCATCCTCCGCAATACAATTAGCAATATTTGATCCAATGTTCACAAAATATTCATTAAAGTTTTCCGCAATGTCATCCGGATTACTAATGTAAGAACCATTGTGGCAAAAAGATTTTCCTTCTTCCACAGCACTCTTTTGCTTTCCTAAAATTTCATTAATAAGTGTCCATGTTTTTTTAGAGTTATTTTTTACAGAGTCAAACTTTTTAAAATAATAATCCCTTTTTGCTCTGCGTAAACGAGTTGTGACCATATTACGGAGCTTTTTGTATTTATCATAGTTTGCTTGAATCGATCTTTTCAAGTAATTCTTATACAATTTATTTTTCGTTTTAATAAGTTTTAACATATCAAGAGATACCCACGGTTTTCTATTTCGTTTGCGTTTTTTAATATGTTTAGTTTGTACAGGAAAATGTTCATTATAATAGCCAATAAACTTTTCATAAAATACATCATAGGCCCTTTCAGTATCATTCTACTGGTATACTTCAGACCAATCAGCATTTGCAAGATCAACACTCAGCCTATTACAATTTTCAATAGTGACTTTTCTAAATGAGAATGACTTTGATTTACTGTTATTTACCCTGTCTAAAAAGTGTGAAATATAGAAAATAGGAAAGTGGTCTGTTATGTCTGTTACAAAAATACCGGAAATAATGGAGCTACAAAAGACGTTCGTATAAATATTATCAATATTTGTTGCTGACCTTGAATTAACACGGGTTGGTCTATTTATTATAGGATAAAAACCAGATGATGCGACTGTATTGATAAAATCGAATATTTGCGAGTTTGTGTATTTCTTCATCAAATCAATATTCAAGTCGCCCATTAAATATGCACGTTTATTTTTTATTTCATTATAATTCATTAATTTATCAAAGAAAGAAGAAAACTGAATAACGTTTGATTTAGGTTGACGATAAATAATCGCTACAACAATATTTTTAGATGTTTTGCAATCTATTTCTATACATAAACAATCAACACCTTCGCATTGTTCAGAGAACTGGACAAGTTTATAATTCAAGTCCTTTCGAATAAATAGACCAACTCCACCACCACGTCCGGACGGACGGTCAACATGCACAAATGTATAACCTTCTATTACAAAAGGAACATGTGAATTGGAATTAATCCATGTCTCTGATATTCCTATGACTGAGAATTGATATTGAAGATTAGAAAGATAGGCATGTATTTCTTCAAAATTACGAAACATACTTCGGGCATTAAAATGAATTATGCTAAAGTTTTGATTAACTGAATTATCTATAATTTCATTAAATTCAGATGATAAATAATACTTTACAGGAGGATTTGAATGTGTGTCTTCTTCATTTTCATTCAAACTTTCATCTTCAAAGTAAAGCCATTTAGAGAGACATCATATTGATTTACAGGTGAGAATAATCGTTCAAAATCTTCATTATTAACTTCTTGAAAGGGGAGACAATTTACAAAATTTAAATCATCTATATTTGAGTTTAATTCGTTGGCAATACAACTGTATACATTAAAGTCAGATGTATCACAGTATTTAACGGGCATGCAAAACTAACTAAAACTAAAATAAATAACAAAGAAAAAACCAAACAACAGAACAACAAATACAACAAAATCAAAGTTCAACGTCAAAGTAGAAATGTTCAGGAGTGGAATGTATCAGCATGATACATGTGATCACTCAGTACTGCTATAACTTGTCCAAATCACGCCCATCAAAGAATTGTTTTGCATCTGCAGTGCCCCTTTCCTTGTTTCTATTTGGATTCATGTTCTGATGACATCAATTTCTAGTTTTAGAGACGTATGAATAGGAAAGAAAACAAATGAAATGCATTGAATCTTTTCATTTCAAGTACATTTCTTGCTCTAATATATTTAGAAATATAGACAGTTTTTTAATACTACCTAATAATTTGCTCCTCTTATACTTTGTGTAAAAAATAGGAAAAAAAAGAAGAATAATCAGAGAAAAAACTTACCTTGTCAGCTTCAGGCACGGAAATGTCCTGCACTGTGCGAAAGGTCGTGCCATCAGTACTCCAAGCAAGCTTGTAGCTATTAACCCACTGGTCAAAATCTTGTCGCCCTTGAGTCGCAACTGAAATGATACGGTAAAGGTCCAGAAGATCCACCTTGGAGAAATACAAGAATCGGAGGAAGAATTCTTGATGTTCATCCTTATAATCATCTCATACTGTTATCTCCATGATAAAACTTTTACAAAACTTTTAACCAATGAGCAGGGTCCAAAATGTGTCAAATCTGTATGATTTAAAAAAATGATAATAACGGCTATACTTTCTTTGGACATATTAATGGTATAACCTCGCCTTCATACGGCTCTGCTCCTCCAAGGTCAATATTTAAATTAGAAATTCATCATACTGTTGCTGTAATTAACGGTCTCATTTCTGAGTAATATCGAACAATAATATTAACGTCCTTAAAAAGGAAACAGGTGCTCACATGAATGTGAATAATCATTTAACTCTAGCAATCTTATAACTAAAGACAGGAGACAAAAATCCACGAGCCCATAGGTCACCTCAAAAATGGCTAATAAAATCAATTTTAGTACTGTAAGTGTTAGTGAATGGGGGCCATAGAAATGACTGGTGACTCTTTCATTACTAACATGGTGGCAGTGGTTCGATATAAACCCATATGCAATAGAACTGACTGTTGACTCTTATTACAGGCATTGTGGCAGTGTATGGATACAAATTAAACTATGGCCTAAAAAAATGACTATTGACCTTTTCATTACTGATACGGTGGCAGCAGTGGGAAATGAACCCATGCCATAGAACTAAAGTTTTCCTATATGTTTTGTGTCTGAAGTGACCTTAAGAAATATTTTCTTACCTGGATCCACGGGTTTGCATCGTTGTCCATTGGATTCCAGCCTCCACGTAGATTTCCGACTCTGGCCAGGTTAAGACGACCTCTCTTTGCACCATGGTCAACATTAAAATCACTGGAAGCTGTCAGACTTGAATCTGGGATGACACTACTCTCAAGGCCCAAGGCTGAGAGTTAATGCGTGACAATGTAAAGCAAAATGTAAGATTTGGTGGTCAAATGGGCAATTTTATTATTCAACCGTTGAATGGGAAATGTGGTTTAATTAATTAATGGATTATAAGTTTTCCAAAGTATATTTTGACTTTTTTTAAAATCTAACGTTCTATTCATCAGTTGACAATGTTCCGATAATAGACCAGCTTACAGTGGATGACAACCATCTTGTGTTTTTTATGGGGGTGGGGCGGGTGGTCACATCTAGGACTTTGGCAGGTTTGACAATTATTAGGAAGTTTTCGCGAGCTCAACGCGGACGGAAAATCTGCGGTTCGTGTGCAAAATCGAGAAGCTACTATAGTAACAGTGGGGTGACCGCTGAGGTACTGAAATCCAGAACGGTTTTTGGCCAAACCTACAGGCGTTCTCTATTAGTGAGTTTACAGATACAATCTGCGCATGGGCAGATAAAGGTCATTTGTACCAAAAATGTAAAAAACACCAGAGATGAATACTGGATATGCGCTCATGAAAGTTATGTAACATTATTCATTTATGCACCAACGGTACATTCAAAGATACCGAGGTGGAAGTAATCTTTTCAAGAGGGCAAACAAAAGGTATGATGAAGCACATCTAGGACTTTGGCAGTTCAAATGGAACATCTCCATGTGTAAAAGATCTGTGGATATTTGGGGTCATTAGTACCATGTGCTATTTGTAAACTCTCTTATGGCGCCCCAAGTAAATAAACAGCCAATCAGCGAGCTTGTACCAAGGATGGTATGTCGTCGTTTTATAACGAAGGATGACAAATTACTACGCGAACGGCTCTTCAGTGAGTTTTTTCCCGATTATTGTTTCTGAACTATATAACAACATGAATATGGAAATAACATGATTGTTTTAAAAAGTGATGATAAAATGTTGAAATATGATAAAACGCCGTTTTGTGGCTTAGGCGAGACCAGTAATTGTGCTAGTCGTGTAGTCCCGACTCGTCTGTACTGTATTGCGTGGCAGGGCATAGGCCATTTTCGTAATGTAAGCACATTTAATACATAAGTCTTATAGTGAAGTTCCGCAATACAAATTCTTTCATTCACCCGATATAATGAATAATAGTATTTCAAAAGCCTGAATGCAAACTGCATGTATTAAGTGTAGCAACAACTAATGTATGCAGATTAATGGATTCTGTCTATTGAAATACTATTATTCTTTTCAGGTGAAGAAATAGTTTGTATCGAAGCACTTGATTCACTTGGGGCGTCATTGAGAACGCCCGTAGATTTGGCCATAACCCGTTCTGGATTTTAGTACCTCAGCGGTCGCCCCGCTGTTACTATAGATTCTCGATTTTGCATGCGTAGAATACGGCTATGATTGACAGTAGTTCAATTTTTTATCTCGGAAATGATAGTTCTACATTCACACAAGAACCACTCCAACTACCATCCACTGGAAACCTACCCACTAGGAGAATGCACCCTTGGACATGAATACCCGATTCTGCCACCCCCTAAGTCAATATCCCTAGGACTAATTCCCCTGGACATCTATCTCTATAGGATTTATACCTCCTAGGACATTGTACCCCTACCCCCACCCCATCACATGTCTAGGATAATAGACCCTGTGTTAACCTGAACTCAAAGTGACTCTGTAACATTGTTGAAGGTTGACGAAAAAATTGCGTAGTTTTTATATGAAATATTACGTATTATATTTCTTCTACTGTACTTACCCTCTAACATGCAAAGAAATCCTGAAGAAAAAAAATTCACAACCCCAAAGATGTGTATGGTTTTCTTTGAAGTTGTCACTGCCGCTGTGCGATACCCTCTAATAGTAAATTCTCCAAACTATTTTTGAATTTTATCAACTATTTTTCCATGAAATTAAGACATAAGACGGGCTTTAAAAAGTCTTTCAACACTTGAATGTCTGGAATGGTATATTGAGCCAATTCATTGCTTTGTGACGATTTGCAATCGCCTAAAATGTATTTAAGTTGTAGTAATATAGTTGGGAGAATTAAAGAATTGATCAGATCTGTTTTCCCCAATTACTATCATTGATAATCGTCCATTGTCACTTAAACTTTCAGATAATCTTTTATTGTAAATCAAGCATTAAAGTCGCTACCTTAGCACCATTTTCTCCAATCTGAACAATGTTACCGAGTCCCTTTAACAAGTGTCTAGTTGCACACTGTCACAAAATGTCAACTCTGGACAACTACATTTTAGAAATTTACCCCGGGGAACCGGGTACATGCAAAGAGATCCTTCAAAGTTCAAACCCAACCCTCTCTTAAAAGAATAATAGCCTTCTATACAACTATTGTTTTTTACAACAACCCTCCACACCAAATGCCTCATATTATATGCTTACCGAAATTTTAATGTCAATCCTTGAACAAGGACTATACCTAACCCTAACTCCGAACCTAACTTAAAACCCAATCATAACCATAGCACTATGCCTACATCATTGGTGAAAAAATCCCAGAGCAATTGTCGCCGGAAAAATTGAAGATGGAGCAAAAAAGTTGGAGTATCACTAGTTTTCAACTGACCTGTGACAGGGCCTTCACCATATATCTCCATACGAACACTAATGTGTTTATACCAGCTAACAGGCATCAAGCGGAAATAGCGGCAAACCTGGGACACAGGCAGAGTGTTGGTCGTGATGGTGTTGCGGTCAACATTACCGATGAAGATCTTTAATAATAAAGGAAAACCGATCCACTTTTTAAATAATTATGTTTCAAATGATTCTGCATTTAATTGCGATCGGACCTAAAAGAATCTGATGTAGCATGCTCATCAAAGAATAGTTTTGCATCTGCAGTGCCCCTTCCTTTGTTTCTATTTGGATTTATGTTCTAATGTTCCCAATTTCTAGTTTGAGAGACCTATGAATAGGAAAGAAAACAAATGAAATGCATTGAATCTTTTCATTTCAAGTGTATTTCTTGCTCTAATATATATTTAGAAATATAGAGAGTTCCTTAATCTTACCTAATAATTTTCTCCTCTTATACTTTGTGTAAAAAATAGGAAAAAAAGAAAATAATAAGAGAAAAAACTTACCTTGTCAGCTCCTGGCCCGGGAATGTCCTGCACTGTGCGAAACGTCGTGCCATCAGTACTCCAAGCAAGCTTGTAGCTATTAACCCACTGGTCAAAATCTTGTCGCCCTTGAGTCGCAACTGAAATGATACGGTAAAGGTCCAGAAGATCCACCTTGGAGAAATACAAGAATCGGAGGAAGAATTCTTGAAGTTCATCCTTATAATCATCTCATATTGTTATCTCCATGATAAAACTTTTACAAAACTTTTAACCAATGAGCAGGGTCCAAAATGTGTCAAATCTTTATGATTATACAAAAATGATAATAACGGCTATACTTTCTTTGGACATATTAATGGTATAACCTCGCCTTCATACGGCTCTGCTCCTCCAAGGTCAATATTTAAATTAGAAATTCATCATACTGTTGCTGTAATTAACGGTCTCATTTCTGAGTAATATCGAACAATAATATTAATGTCCTTAAAAAGGAAACAGGTGCTCACATGAATGTGAATAATCATTTAACTCTAGCAATCTTATAACTAAAGACAGGAGACAAAAATCCACGAGCCCATAAGTCACCTCAAAAAATGGCTAATAAAAACAATTTTAGTACTGTAAGTGTTAGTGAATGGGGGCCATAGAAATGACTGGTGACTCTTTCATTACTAACATGGTGGCAGTGGTTGGATATAAACCAATATGCAATAGAACTGACAGTTGACTCTTATTACAGGCATTGTGGCAGTGTATGAATACAAATTAAACTATGGCCTAAAAAAAATGACTATTGACCTTTTCATTACTGATACGGTGGCAGCAGTGGGAAATAAACCCATGCCATAGAACTAAGGTTTTCCTAAATGTTTTGTGTCTGAATTGACATTAAGAAATATTTTCTTACCTGGATCCACGGGTTTGCATCGTTGTCCATTGGATTCCAGCCTCCACGCAGATTTCCGACTCTGGCCAGGTTAAGACGACCTCTCTTTGCACCATGGTCAGCATTAAATTCACTGGAAGCTGTCAGACTTGAATCTGGGATGACATAACTCTCAAGGCCCAAGGCTGAGAGTTAATGCGTGACAATGTAAAGCAAAATGTAAGATTTGGTCGTCAAATGGGCAATTTTATTATTCAACCGTTGAATGGGAAATGCGGTTTAATTGATCAATGGATTATAAGTTTTCCAAAGTATATTTTGACTTTTTTAAAAATCTAACGTTCTATTCATCAGTTGACAATGTTCCGATAATAGACCAGCTTACAGTGGATGACAATCATCTTGTGTTTTTTATGGGGGTGGGGCGGGTGGTCACAAATGGCAGGTGTCTTCCTTTGGAACCAAAATGTCATACCCTAAGTACCTGTGTTTCATTTTCTCTGCATTGTGCCCCCTTGACAATTTCCTGAGTCTGTCCTGATTAAGCAATAGGTAATTATCGTATATGTAACCAAATTTAAAGCATATGTCTTTGTGAATAAGTGCCTCGATACAAACTATTTCATTCACCTGATAAGAATAATAGTATTTCAATAGACGAATACAAACTGCATACATTAGTTGTTGCCAGGTTTGACAAACATTAGGAAGTTTTCGCGAGCTCAACGCGGACGGAAAATCTGCGGTTCGTGTGCAAAATCGAGAAGCTTCTATAGTAACAGTGGGGTGACCGCTGAGGTACTGAAATCCAGAACGGTTTTTGGCCAAATCTACAGGCGTTCTCAATGGCGCCCCAAGTAAATAAACAGCCAATCAGCAAGCTTGTACCAAGGACGGTACCTCGCCGTCTTATAACGAAGGATGACGAATTACAACGCGAACAGCTCTTCAGTGAGTTTTTTCCCGATTATTGTTTCTGAACTATATAACAACATGAATATGGAAATAACATGATTGTTTTAAAACGTAATGATAAAATGCTGAAATATGATAAAACGCCGTTTCGTGGCTTGGTCGAGACCAGTTGTACTAGTCGTGTAGTCCCGTCTCGTTTGTACTGTATTGCGTGGCAGGGCATAGGCCATTTTCGTAATGTAAGCACATTTAATACTGTAACGGACCAGCCCGTTACAGGTAGTTATCTTGCAGAAAACGTAGAGGGCAGTAAGCTTTTGGGGCGTAAGGGCTCAGAGCGCGATTACGGACGCACCATGCGTAAAGCAGCTCTCAGAGCGTCTCAGATGCTATAAATTGCAGTAACCAGCTAATATTTCGTCAATTCGACGCTGGCTCTCGTCTTGGACAGATAGCGAACTCTCCGCTTTGCTCCAGCTGAGCTAAAGTAAGGAAAAGGACTGGAAGCGAGAAATAGAGTTCCTACAAAAGGCAATACCTGCCTTTACTACTTGTTGAGATTAATCCAGGTAATTGGTGTCGGTGTTAACTATGATAACGTGTTGGAGAAGTTGACTTATGTTTGTATTAATAAAGTATACAGTTAAACAATCCATCGTTTCATAACGTGTAATAAGCTGAGTCTCCATAGACTGATGTAATACAACCCTCTCATAGAGAATACACATCCACCTATCCAAAACACCTCTCATCTCCACACTCATATACTTTGGGAAAACGGAGCCACGTCAGGGCCTTTAAACTACAAGCCAAATAGAAACCGCTCGCATTATTCAGGATGGCAAATTCTTCGTCAGATGACGGTGATAGAGGCAAGGGACAGGCCAGCCCTCCAGCATCCAGGACCCGTTCTAGGATGGAGGGCCGTAACCACTGGCGTACCTATGGGGGGGGGCAGGGGGGGCAGAGTGCCCCCCCTGACGGGCTCCAGGGGAAAAAAAGAAAAAGGGGAAAGAAAAGAAAAAAAGGAAAGGAAAGAAAAAGAAAAAAAGAAAAGGGAAGAAAAAAAGGAAAGAAAGAGAAAAAAGGAAAAAAAGGAAAAGGAAAGAAAAAAGGAAGAAGAAGAGAAAAGGAAGAAAAAGGGAAAAGAAAAGGAAAGGAAAAAAATGGGGAAATTAAAAAAAAAAAAAAAAAACCATGGCCGTACGCACCAGGGGGGGGGGGGGGCAGTTGACCCCAGATATTTTGAAAACGTACAGTTTTTTTTCCTGTAAATGTAGTGTAGGCCTATACCAAATCCTTCAATTCTACTTTTGAAAATGCAAAAGTACCCTCATGACCAGTTCGGTCGCTCGAACTCCCTTCACTCCTTTTGCTTTTGAGATTCTTCGAAAACTTTTAACGCATCTTTCCCCCTCCCCCACCAGAAAAATATTCCGCATACGGCCCTGAAAAATTTAGACAAATGAAAATAGGAAAATATAAGTGATATAACAAATTCGAAACTCTTCGCTGGCGCGAACTGCTTGCTAGCCTATTTTGTATTAAATGTTTTCACTTGCTCGTCCCCCTGAAAAAAGAAAAGGATTAGCATTGCCTAGAATACAATTGTGCCTGCCCCGACGGGCCCCTACCTGCAACCATGGCAACAATAACACACAGTGTGTGTACCAAATGTTACTAAAAGAGAGTAATTCATTTTTCTCGCTCGCTACACTTGCTCGCGAATAAAATGAATAGATATTGCTTTGGAAACAATTGTGCCCACCCTTGACCTGCAACAATATCATTAAAAATGGAAGAGTTTTTACGCCCTCTCGCCAAAAAGGAATTGAATCGCGTTAAACACGATTGCGTCCATTCTGACCTGCACCAATAAAAACTATTTTATTCATTCATTTCTATTAAAAGAGAATTTTTTTTTTGCTTGCTCGCTATGCTCGCTCGCCAAAATGGAATTGACACCGCTAACGTGCCCGCCCCAACCTGCAACAACCAGTTAATAATTATGTACCAAACGTTATTCAAAGAAGTTTTGGTGTGCTCGTGCTCGCCAAAACGGAATTAACATCACCTTAGACATGATTGTGTAAGCCCTGCCCTGCAACAAAAAAAATCTGAAATTTATGAACCAATTATCATTACAAAAATTTTGCTCGCTCGCTACGCTCGCTCGCCAAAACAGAAATAACACCGCTTTTAATAATCACGTCCGTGACATGGAACAATGAACCAAAGTTTATGTACCATATTTTCCCTATAAAAGAGAAGTGATTTTTTTGCTCGCTCGCTACGCTCGCTCGCCAAAATAGAAATAACACCGATTTTAATAATCACGTCCCTGACATGGAACAATGAACCCAAGTTTATGTTCCATAATTTCCCTACAAAAGAGAAGTGATTTTTTTGCTCGCTCGCTACGCTCGCTCGCCAAAATAGAAATAACACCGCTTTTAATAATCACGTCCCTGACATGGAACAATGAACCTAAGTTTTATGTACCATATTTTCCCTATAAACGAGAAGTGATTTTTTTCGCTCGCTCGCTACGCTCGCTAGCTCGTGGAATTATGTGCCCACCACTAACCTGCTACAATATCATTAAAAAGAGAAATGTAGGGGGTTGCCTGCCCGCCAAAATGGGATTGACATTGCCTTAAACACGATTGTGCCCGCCCCCGACCTGCAACAATGAAACAAATTTTATATAGCAATTCATTGAGAGAAAGATGTATTTAGGCTCGCTAGCTAAAATGGGTATGAAATCACCCTAAACACAATATTGTTCCCGCACCCTGCATGGGACAATTGAACCAAATTTAAGTGGCAATTATTAAAAAAGGAGTGATTTTTTTCTTGCTCGCTACGCTCGTTTGCAAGAAAATGAAATTAACGTCGCTAACAAGTAAATGTTCCCACCCCAACTTGCAACAATACCAGTTTATATATATTTATATTTTTTTTTGCTCGCTCGCTCGCCAGAAGTGAAAATTAGCATCGCCTTTTTTGTTTGTTTCGGTCGCTTGCCCCCCCTGACGGAGTACCCCAGGTACGCCACTGGCCGTAACAATACATTAAGTCTTATAGTGAAGTTCCGCAATACAAATTCTTTCATTCACCTGATATAATGAATAATAGTCTTTCAATAGTCAGAATGCAAACTGCAGGTTTTAAGTGTAGCAACAACTAATGTATGCAGATTGGATTCTGTCTATTGAAAATACTATTATTCTTATCGGGGTAATTGAATTGGTTTGTATCGAAGCACTTGATTCCTTGGGGGCGTCATTGAGAGCGCCCGTAGATTCGGCCAAAACCCGTTCTGGATTTCAGTACCTCAGCGGTTGCCCCGCTGTTACTATAGTAGATTCTCGATTTTGCACGCGTAGAATACGGCTATGATTGACAGTAGTTCAATTTTTTATCTTGGAAATGATAGTTCTACATTCACACAAGAACCACTCCAACTACCATCCACTGGAAACCTACCCACTAAGAGAATGCACCCTTGGACATGAATACCCCACTCTGCCAACCCCTAAGTCAATATCCCTAGGACTATTCCCCCCTGGACATCTATCTCCATAGGATTTATACCTCCTAGGACATTGTACCCCTACCCCCACCCCATCACATGTCTAGGATAATAGACCCTGTGTTAACCTGAACTCAAAGTGACTCTGTAACATTGTTGAAGGTTGACGAAAAAATTGCGTAGTTTTTACATGAAATATTACGTATTATATTTCTTCTACTGTATTTACCCTCTAACATGCAAACAAATCCTGATAAAAATTCTCAAACCCCAAAGATATTTATGTTTGTTTGTTTTTAAGTTGTCACTGCCGCTGTGCGATACCCACTAAAAGTAAATTCTCCAAACTATTTTTGAATTTTATCAACTATTTTTCCATGAAATGAAGACATAGGACGGGCTTTAAAAAATCTTTCAACACTTGAATGTCTGGAATGGTATATAAAGCCAATTCATTGCTTTGCGACGATTTGCATTCGGCTAAAGAGTAATTAAAGATAAACTCCAGTTCTGGTTAAAAAAAGAAAATCAATTCTCACAGAATCTAATGAAACTTACACTGAATGTTCAAAATTACAAATAAATGTCATGTGCCAAACAATTTTGGAAGAAAATGTATACTGGTTGAGTAATGAGCATAGAAAGATAAAGAAATCAAGTAGTACTAGCCCCGACACCATTTGTGTTGTCTTATATACATCTTTCTGTGTAGTGTGCTTGTTACTTTACCAAGACTGAGCCAAATTTGTTATGAATTTGATGACTCCAGAACCTTGGAGTACACATCAATACTTACATGCTACGTGATCAACTTTTTCTGACGCATTCCACACCTTTTCTTTCACAATGCAATCGCATGACCAGAACTCACCTTTATCTTTAAGTTGTAATAATATAGTTGGGAGAATTAAGGAATCGATCAGATCAATTTTCCCCAATTATTATCATTAATAATGCTCCATTGTCACTCAAGCTTTCAGATAATCTTTAATTGTACATCTAGCATTAAAGTCGCTACCTTAGCACCATTTCTCCCATCTGAACAATGTTACCAAATCCCTTTAGCAGGTGTCTAGTTGCACACTGTCACAAAATGTCAACTCTGGACAACTACATTCTAGATATTTACCCCGGGGGACCGGGTACATGCAAAGAGATCCTTCAAAGATCAAACCCAACCCTCTCTAAAAAGAATAATTGCCTTCTATACAACTATTGTTTTGTACAACAACCCTCCACACCAAATGCCTCATATTATATGCTTACCGAAATTTTAATGTCAATCCTTGACCAAGGACTATACCTAACCCTAACTCCGAACCTAACTTAAAACCCAATCATAACCATAGCACGTTGCCTACATCATTGGTTAAAAAAATCCCAGAGCAATTGTCGCCGGAAAAATTGAAGATGGAGCAAAACATGTTGGAGTATCACTAGTTTTCATACTGACCTGTGACAGGGCCTTCACCATATCCATATATCTCCATACGAACACTAATGTGTTTATACCAGCTGACAGGCATCAAGCGGAAATAGCGGCAAACCTGGGACACAGGCAGAGTGTTGGTCATGATGGTGTTGCGGTCAACATTACCGATGAAGATCTTTAATAATAAAGGAAAACCGATCCACGTTTTAAATAATTATGTTTCAAATGATTCTGTATTTAATTGCGATCGGACCAAAGAGAATCTGATGTAGCATGCTCATCAAAGAATAGTTTTGCATTTGCAGTCCCCTTCCTTTGTTTCTTTTTGGATTCATGTTCTGATGACATCAATTTCTAGTTTTAGAGACCTATGAATAGGAAAGAAAACAAATGAAATGCATTGAATCTTTTCATTTCTTGCTCTAATATATTTAGAAATATAGAAAAAAAATTAATCTTACCTAATAATTTTCTCCTCTTATACTTTGTGTAAAAAATAGGAAAAAAGAAGAATAATCAGAGAAAAAACTTACCTTGTCAGCTCCTGGCCCGGGAATGTCCTGCACTGTGCGAAAGGTCGTGCCATCAGTACTCCAAGCAAGCTTGTAGCTATTAACCCACTGGTCAAGATCTTGTCGCCCTTGAGTCGCAACTGAAATGATACGGTAAAGGTCCAGAAGATCCACCTTGGAGAAATACAAGAATCGGAGGAAGAATTCTTGATGTTCATCCTTATAATCATCTAATATTGTTATCTCCATGATAAAACTTTTACAAAACTTTTAACCAATGAGCAGGGTCCAAAATGTGTCAAATCTGTATGATTATACAAAAATGATAATAACGGCTATACTTTCTTTGTACATATTAATGGTATAACCTCGCTTTCATACGGCACTGCTCCTCCAAGGTCAATATTTAAATTAGAAATTCATCATACTGTTGCTGTAATTAACGGTCTCATTTCCGAGTAATATCGAACAATAATATTAACGTCCTTAAAATGAAACAAGTGCTCACTTGGATGTGAATAATCATTTAACTCTAGCAATCTTATAGCTAAAGACAGGAGACAAAAATCCACGAGCCCATAGGTCACCTCAAAAAATGGCTAATAAAAACAATTTTAGTACTGTAAGTGTTAGTGAATGGTGCCATAGAAATGACTGGTGACTCTTTCATTACTAACATGGTGGCAGCGGTTGGATATAAACCCATATGCAATAGAACTGACTGTTGACTCTTATTACAGGCATTGTGGCAGTGTATGGATACAAATTAAACTATGGCCTAAACTAGATGGAACTTCGACTGCGCGCAGTCAAAAATGATGCCTCCGTCATAGAGCAGGTTTACAAACCAAAACAGAAGAAATTTTTCAAATTCAAGTTTTATTGTAATCCATTAACAGGTTCTCAGAATATCGTGATTACAAGCAATTTCTCATATACATATATGACCCTTAAATCTTTGACCTCATGACCCTAAAATCTACTCAGTTCATTGGCTCTGCAAGATGTCCTGAGTTAAATAGTAATCCATCTGTCAGTTCTAATGAGAATGCTTTTACAAGCTAATTTTGCATACATAATGAGCCCATGACGTTTGACCTTTGTCCTGAATACCCAAGAATCTAATCAGTTCATCGGCTCTGCAATATACATACATGATCTAAGTTTGGCAGGAATCCATAAATCTGTTCTAATGATAATACGATCACAAGCTATTTTTGCATACAAAATGAGCCCGTGACCTTTGACCTTATGAACCAAGAATCTACTCAGTTCATCGGCTCTGCAAGATACATACATGATCTAAGTTTAGCAGGAATCCATCAATCTGTTCTAATGATAATACGATCACAAGCTATTTTTGCATACATAATGAGCCCGATGACGATTGACCTTGACCTCATGACCCCAAAATCTAATCAGTTCATCGGCTCTGCAAGTAACATACATGACCTAAGTTTGGCAGGAATCCAAAAATCGGTTCTTGAGATAACGCGATCACGAGCTGTTTTTGCATACATAATGAGCCCTGTGACCTTTGACCTTTGACTTTGTGACCCCAAAATCTAATCAGTTCATCGGCTCTGCAAGATACATACATGACCAAAGTTTGGCAGGAATCCATCAATCGGTTCTTCAGATAACGCGATCACGAAAACGGGACGTACGGACGGACGGACGGACAACCCGAAAACATAATGCCTCCGGCTACTTCGTAACGGAGGCATAAAAAGTGACTATTGATCTTTTCATTACTGATACGGTGGCAGCAGTGGGAAATAAACCCATGCCATAGAACTAAGGTTTTCCTATAAGTTTTGTGTCTGAATTAACCTTAAGAAATATTTTCTTACCTGGATCCACGGGTTTGCATCGTTGTCCATTGGATTCCAGCCTCCACGCAGATCCCCGACTCTGGCCAGGTTAAGACGACCTCTCTTTGCACCATGGTCAGCATTAAATTCACTGGAAGCTGTCAGACTTGAATCTGGGATGACATAACTCTCAAGGCCCAAGGCTGAGAGTTAATGCGTGACAATGTAAAGCAAAATGTAAGATTTGGTCGTCAAATGGACAATTTTATTTTTCAACCGTTGAATGGGAAATGCGGTTTAATTGATTAATGGATTATAAGTTTTCCAAAGTATATTTTGACTTTTTAAAAATCTAACGTTCTATTCATCAGTTGACAATGTTCCGATAATAGACCAGCTTACAGTGGATGACAATCATCTTGTGTTTTTTCATGGGGGTGGGGCGGGTGGTCACAAATGGCAGGTGTCTTTGAAACCAAAATGTCATACCCTAAGTACCTGTGTTTCATTTCCTCTGCATTGTGCCCCCTTTCAATTTCCTGGGTCTGTCCTGATTAAGCAATAGGCAATTTTCGTATATGTAACCAAATTTAAAGCATAATCTTTGTGAATTAGTGCCTCGATACAAACTCTTTAATTCACCTGATAAGAATAATAATATTTTAATAAACTGAATCCAAACTGCATACATTAGTTGTTGCCAGGTTTGACAAACATTAGGAAGTTTTCGCGAGCTCAACGCGGACGGAGAATCTGCGGTTCGTGTGCAACATCGAGAAGCTACTATAGTAACAGTGGGGTGACCGCCGAGGAACTGAAATCCAGAAAGGTTTCTGGCTAAATCTACAGGCGTTCTCAATCAGGCACGGATCCAGGATTTCTCAGGGGAGGGGGCCTAATTTTTTTTTTTTTGCTCCCGAAAATTTGAAAATCGCGCCGGCCGAAAAATCGTTCAGTGGGGGGGGGGGGGGGGGGGTAATGGCCCCCCCCCCCACCTGCATCTCAATGGCGCCCCAAGTAAATAAACAGCCAATCAGCGAGCTTGTACCAAGGACTGTATTTCGTCTTTTTATAACGAAGGAAGACGAATTACAACGCGAACAGCTTTTCAGTGGGGTTTTTTCCCTCCCGATTATTGTTTTTTAACTTTATATTAACATTATAACATGATTGATTGATTGTTTTAAAAAGTGATCATAAAATGTTGAAATATGATAAAAAGCCGTTTTGTGGCTTGGTCGAGACAAGTTGTGCTAGTTGTTAGGTCATACGTACGAAGTCTACGTATCACCTATTGATTTCGTCAAGATTTTCTTTATTAGGTGATACGTACGAAGTATACGTATAACCTATTGATTTCGTCAAGATTTTCTTTATTAGGTGATATGTACGAAGTATACGTATCAACTATTTTATTTCATCAAGATTTTCTTTCTTATTTTTTATTATTCTTCCGCGAATTTGTTCGCAAGAAATCTCAAGAATGGATAAACCCATTGTCATGAAACTTGCTATGATGATGGATCCCAGTCTAACTTAGAACTGCGTGACTTTTCAGTGACTTATGGTCATCATGAACGTCATCTAGGCGCCATTTTGTGAAAATCAACTCATGACCTTATCTTCATAATGGAAAGTTATTTCTCATTCATATTTATCGTGATCAAGGTCAATATCCGTCCGCCTCCGGTCAATTTCAGGTCAAAAAATGCGCGCGCATGCGTACGTCCGCGAGTTAGCGCGTGCGCAAAATTTCAAAATGCTCAAAATCGTTTCAAATTCATTTTGGATACGTTTCAGGCCATTTTAAGCTTTTTGCAAAAAAACGCGCACACAACCATATAAACTTTATTATTACCCTATTTTCACTTAATCCATTACTTTTTGCGTGTAATCCCTATATAGGAGATGACTTTTTCTCAAATCTGGATTCTACATTCCTGTCTTTTGCGAGCAATATCGTCGTTATTTCTGCTTGGATTTTGTTGATTTTTTTTAATATGTTGTAGCTGAGACTATATGCTATCTAAATCACCCCTCATTTTTTAAATAAGATACCAGGATCACGTCATGATCGTTATCATGATCATTATCATCATGATAATCATTTATCAATTACATTTTCATTTCTTTGAATAAGATAAAAAATCGTAAAAATGTGTTCTTCATGATATAAATTAGAGTCAAAGGTGTAACTTGTTACTGCACAGGGTCAATGATCATATTGTCTCAATCTATCTTCCCTAGATAAAAAAATGATCAAGGGGACACAATTTAAACTGGACATATGGATACATCATAATGGGAGAAGCATGTTACAAAATAATATGATATCGTGTAATGCATTCTTCGTTATGTAAACCATTAGCATACGTATCACCTAATTCGTCTAAGTGACGAATTAAAGTCTAGTTATTGTATATATCTATTTATTTTTTTTTTTTGTGGGGGCAGGGGTGGGGGGGGGGGGGGGGAGGGTTAATACCCCAGTATAATTTGACACCATATTTCTGTTTGCTTGTCAGCGTAATATTAATAATGTACGAGATGACCCTAACCACTACCCCAAATCTAAGAAAGCTTTAGCCGGGGGTGAAAAAATAAAAATGTCCCCTTTCTCCTCCCATTTTGGACGACTTTATCGAGGATTCTGCCATGTGGCATTATGTCTTCTCGTCCTAAACAGGTCCTTCTTGTCCTATAAACAAGTCAACTTGCCGAGTTCCAACAACTCGTCTTCTCGTCTTCTAAACTTTCCTAAATTATCTCGTTATCTCGCCGTAAAGATTCGGCAATCTACCATCTAATCATAGTGAGGTAAAACATTAGGGAGTGCTACCGGATTACCTGATATTTTCTCTCTGGTGTATGTTCCATGGAATCCTTTGTTGGTATTCGTTTCGTCAGAGTGGAAGCTTAATATGATCTCGTCAGCTATTATTTCTGGAGGCAGTGTATTCCCGCAAAAATCTGTTCCTTCATAATACAAATTACCGCCTGCTCTGATGTTAATGTAATCCAAGCACTTTTTAGACGAGGTGTCAAAAGGTTCCATGTCTAAGGCATCGAATTTCAAGCGGATTTGCTCATCTGGGTTTCCCTGTAATGGAAAGTATAAATATGAAAAAACAATGAATGGTGTGGGCTCTAGAAGCCATTCCAACACTGATTACTTAGACAGCAATATCACTGCAAAGAAATAGCATTAGGCGGGCATATTTTGTTAATGCATACACCTTTACACACACTAAAAGTAGAGTGGTCGCGGTCTATGTATACGTCAACGGACTTTTGGTCTCAGTCGCGGCATTAACGCGCAAAGAACACAATATACAAGGATACAATGTCACAGTCAGGGGCGTCTCCAAAGGGGGGGGGGGGGGATGGGATGCGACACCCCCCCCCCCACCTGTCAGGATATTGTCGGTAAAATAGCGCTGCCGTCGGGAAAAAAGAGAAAAGGGGGAGGGGGAAAAAGAGAGGGAAAGGGAAAGAAAAGAAGAAAAAAAAGGGAAAAAAAAAAAGGAAAAGAAAGGAAAGAAAGGAAAGGGAAGAAAAGAGAAGAAAGAAAGAGAAAAAAGAAAAAGAGGGAGGAGAGGAAAGAAAGGAAAAGAAAGAGAAGGAAAAAAGAAGAAAAAAGAGAAAAGGGAAAAAAGAAACGGGGGATGAAAGAGAGTAGAGAGAGGGTCGGTAAGAGCCGAAGAGAGGAGGAGTGGGAGTAAAAGAGAGAGGGGTTGGGTGGAGTCGTCTCGTCGAGGGAGCAAGAAAGACACGGGAAAATATGTTGCTGTGTCGGGTAAGCTGTGTCGGTATTCTTGCTCGATCCTCGTGTACTATATCAATGCAGAATTTTGAAGTCGATGAGATGTATATTGTCGGTCGGCCGACAAGTTTTTTTCCCTACGAACTGTGACTTTTTATCCGCTGCAACGACTTCGAGAGAGACTACTACTACAATACTTGTATTTTCTTTAAGTTTTACTTTCCTATAATATCAGCTAAAGAATTCGGAGGTTTAAAATTATCGGGGGAAACTGAATTCAAACAAGGATTAAGAGTCAACAACGGTACAACGAATCGTCTGCTTTCTCTATATTATAATGAAACGCCAAAAAATTCCGCGCTTTGCGCGGAAGGGGAAAACTTCATTTAGACGAGTCGCAAACGGTACAACGAATCGTCTGCTTTCTCTATATTTTAAGGAAACGTCAAAGCTTCCGCGCTTCGCGCAAGAGGGGGAAACTGAATGCAGATAAATAGGGCTTAATAAGAGTCGAAAACGGTGCAACGAATCGTCTTCTTTCAAACGTCTATGCTTTTCGCGCGGGAAGGGGGAAACTGAATTCAGACAAGGATTAAGAGTCGAAAACGGTACAACGAATCGTCTGCTTTCTCTAATAATTTAAGGAAACGTCAAAGCTTCCGCGCTTCGCGCTAAAGGGGGAAACTGAGTTCAGACAAATAAGGCTTATTAAGAGTCGAAAACGGTACAACGAATCGCCTACTTTCTCTTATAATTTAATGAAACGCCAAAACTTCCGCGCTTTGCGCTAAGGTGGGAATCTGGGTTCAGACAATTAGGGCTTATGAAGAGTCGAAAACGGTACAACGAATTGTCTTCTTTCTCTAATAATTTAAGGAAACGTCAAACTTCCGCGCTTCGCGCGGGAGGGGGAAACTTCATTCAGACAAGGATTAAGAGTCGAGCACGGTTCAACGAATCGTCTACTTTCTCTAATAATTTAATGAAAAGTCAAAACTTCCGGGAGGGATTGAACTGATTTCAGATAAAGATTAAAAGTCGAGAACAGTACACCGTATCGTCTGCTTTTTCTCATAATTTTTAAGTCGATGAGCTTTGCGTGGGAGGTAGAGAAACTGGATTCAGACAAGGATTAACAGTCGAGAACGGTACAGCAAATCGTCTTCTTTATATAATAATTTTATGAAACGTCAAAGCTTTCGCGCTTAGCGCGGGAGGGGGCGGGGTGGGGGAAAAATTCATTCGGACAAGGGTTTACAGTCGAGAACGGTACAATAAATCGTCTTCTTTTCCTAATAATTTAAAATATTCAATATTTGTGGTGGGTATACAAGTATTAGAAATCGTTATATTTTAGCCGTCTCTGAACCGATTTTGATCAAACAAACATAATTTTGTCTTTTAAATATTATGTTCTTACAAATTTGACACTCAGTTTTTCATTATCTCACAAAAAAAATATTTTGTGTAGCGCCCTCTGCAACAGAACTCAACTACCCCTTTAAGTAATTCGCTTGCACACTACCGCCCCTCCCTAAAATAAGATCCTAACTCTGCGCCTGCATTAAAATATATAGCTATGAATGATGCTGACTAATTTGACGAAATAATTCGTATATTTATGTCGTCATGGAAAATTACAATTTGCACATACGCATGTACTATAGATAGTCCATATGAAAAAAAAATTAGCCTTCGGCCACGGGTTTATAGGGTTAAATTTGTAGATATTGGGATATTTAATTTTGAGGGTAGTTGGTGGCTAGTTCTGTCGGTAATCGATGGCCTCTACATCCCCCCCCCCCCCACAATGAAAAAGGTCTAACGATGCCCCTGGTCACTGTTGGCATCTTATATGGTGTATCAAAGTCATCCAGACATTCCTCCGGGGCACATGAATATTGTCTTTTCCAATAACATCAACGAAAACAACGAAAACAATGACAACAACAATGGTTACTACTAGTATAGCTACTACTGCCGCTGATTTTAATATTGATAATAATTAAACAAAAACGAGTAAACTAATATAAATGATTTGTGTTAATACAGCGGGTGATATTATAGATACCAAACAGGTATATTATCACCCCGGCAATTGGATTCAGGCTCACCCGCACACAATGTATGCAAATCTCCAGGCACGGATCCAGGATTTCTGAGGGGGGGGGGCAAATTTGAAACTATGCGAGCCAAATATTGGTACGTTATGGTGACACCGGCAGTGGCAAACACTTTAGGGGGTAGACAAAAAAATTCCCCATCACATGCAGGCCCCGCTGAACGTTTCCGGGCGGGGGTCAAGGGGTGGAGCCCTAAGAAGCTCAGGGGGTATAGGCATTTAATTACTGTCAGATGAGCATATTTTGATACCTTATTTGTGACACTGGCAGGACACAAATTGGTGTGGGGTCCAGGGTGTGGGGTCCAGGGGACGGAGCCCCCCAGAATCTCAGGGGTTTTATATTTTAAATTATCGTCAGATGAGCATATTTTGATACCTTATTTGTGTCACTGTCAGGTCACGAATTGACGTGGGGTCCAGGGTGTGGGGTCCAGGGGACGGAGCCCCCCAGAATCTCAGGGGTTTTATATTTTAAATTATCGTCAGATGAGCATATTTTGATACCTTATTTGTGACACTGGCAGAACACAAATTGGTGTTGGGTCCAGGGGACAGAGCCCTCAGAAGCTCAGGGGTTTTTGGCAATAAATTAAGGGCAAATGAGCATATTTTGATACCTTATTTGTGACACTGGCAGAACACAAATTGGTGTTGGGTCCAAGGGCAGAGCCCTCAGAAGCTCAGGGGTGTTATACATCAAACTATCGTCAGATGAGCATAATCTTATACCTTATTTGTGACACTGGCAGGTCACGAATTGACGTGGGGTCCAGGGGCGGAGCCCCCAGATGCTCAGGGGTACAGGCATTTAATTACTGTCAGAAGTCCGGAAGTTCAGGGGTTTTTGGGCAATAAATTACGGTCAGATGAGCATATTTCTATACCTTATTTGTGACACTGGCAGGTCACGAATTGGAGGCAGAGACTCAGGGGTGTTAGGCAATAGATAACGGTCAGATGAGCATCCAGGGGCCCGCCTTAGGGCCGTTGGTTGGGTTCGGGGGCAGAGCCCCGGAAGTTCAGGGCTTTAGGCATTTAATTACGTCAGATGAGCATACGGTGACACTGGCAGGTCACTAGTTGGCGTGGGGTCTAGGGGCGGAGCCCCCTGAAGCTCAGGGGTTTTAGACCTTATATAGGGGTCAGACAAGTATGCAGGGGCCCGCCTTAGGGCCCTAGGTGGGGTACAAGGGGGTAGAGCCACCGGAAGTAAAGGGGTTTTAGGCATTTAATTACGGTCACATGAGCATATTTTGATACCTTATTTGCGACACTGGCAGGATACCAATTGGCGTGATTTTCAGGGGGCCTAGACCCCAGAAGCTCAGGGGTTTTAAGCATTAAATCACCGTCAGATTAGCATCCAGCCGTCCGCCTTAGGGCCCTAGGTGGGGTCCAAGGGGGTAGAGCCACCGGAAGTCAAGGGGTTTTAGGCATTTAATTACGGTCACATGAGCATATTTTGATACCTTTTTTGTGGCACTGGTAGGTAATTGGTGAGGGGTCCAGGGGTTTGAGGCATTAAATTACCGTCCGATGAGCATCCAGGTGCCTGACTTTTGAAATCCAGGGGCAGAGCCCCCGGCTCAGGGCTCAGGGGTTTTAAGGCATTTAATCACGGTCAGATGAGCGATCTTTCGTTCAGTGGCTTAGGAGGGGGGGGGGGACACTTCTTTGTGTGTTGCTATTTTTAGCACACACACACACACACACACAAATTTTCCCCCTTTTTTTTTCTTTCTTTTTTCCCTTCTTTTTCCCCTTCTTTTTTGTTGGCAGGGGGGGGGGGGAGGCCCGGGGCCCCGGCCCCGGCCCCCCCCCTGCATCCGCCACTGCACATCTCCATCCCGGGGAGCCTTCCAGCCAGGCGCCAAATTACATACGCAATAATTTTTAAAATGTGGTTAGAAGTGACACGACATGGTTGGACGGTAGATCTTAGAATGCCTTGTTCGTTTCCATTGTTCAATTTTGTTCTTGTTGATTAGTACACTTTTACAGTTTTTAATACATTGGGTTCTCACCTTGATATAAGTCATGAACGATGTATCAAGGGTGTAGTTAGTGCTTCCATCAAAGTTAGGAGAACTTACTTCACCATTTCGAGATGTCAAAGTGACGCGATCAGCTGTTAAGAAGACAATACAATGAAACTAATGACACTTATGTCACTGTTTGCACACATGGGGCCATTATTCCCATTATTACAAGAACGTAACATTCGTACGTTAACATAATCTTCGTAACTACTTTCGAAAACTCAACCAAAGGCGAATTAATCGGCCTTGTACGTCACTTAATTTGACGTCACCTTTCGAAATGTGCGCCCATTGCAAAGACGTATTAAGTAATCTGAACATGATTTCCATGGGATAAACAAAAAGGTATACACCAGTTCACGGATGTGTGCGCCATTTTAAACAAAGCCAATGACTTAAAGATCATGTATTTATGCGTAAATTAAGATTGCGCCCATGCAAATTATGATGACATCACTGCCTGCGCGCTGCGTTGTGCGCGCACATCATCATTTGCATGGGCGCAATATTAATTAACGCATAAATATTACTGACCTCGGGTCATACACCAGTTTACGGTGTGTGCGCCATTTTAAACAAAGCCAATGACCTAGAGGTCATGTATTTATGCGTAAATTAAGATTGCGCCCATGCAAATTATGATGATATCACTGCCTACGCGCTGCATTGTGCGCGCACATCATCATTTGCATGGGCGCAATGTTAATTTACGCATAAATACCACTGACCTCGGGTCATTGGCTTTGTTTGAAAGCCAATGACCTGAGGTCAACTGTCTGCGCATGCGCACTGATACAACCGTAAACTGGTGTATTGAAATTGCCCACGAGTTGATTGTTGGAAAGTAGTTGCGATCGTCTTCATTACAGTCCTGGAGACGGGGGCTGTAATCAGAGATTTAGGGTGAGGACTGAAAAGCTTATCCTGAAATATTGAAATATCTCATTGAACGTTTTTAAATTGTTTAAAAAGTTCGGCCAGTTTGACCAAGATGACCGACAGTGACCTTTATACACTGTTGGTCATAATGGTGGAATAATTATTTTTATCCCAATTTATTGAATGATTTTGACAATGATTTATTCCTAACAGATCTAGATAATAGTATACATTCTCAGATTTTATTGAATGACAATTGGGGAGTGTTTGTTTTTGCGTGACTGCTAAAGCATGTGTGTGCTACTATGCTAATCAACTAGGGAACCTACGTCCTTAAAGGGATCCGGTAACTTTGTCTTAGATCCTTTAGAAATAATCCTTGCTTTAGCTCATGCTGCAATGATAATTATAAACCTTTAGGTCAGTCAGGAACTCCATGACTTTTACAAGCCGATCGCCTGTCTGATTATCAAGATATTAATGACTGGAATAACAATTTTTGAGAACCGTTCGCCGGACGGTTTTCATAACACTACAGTCTATTGGGGAAAACGAGTATGATAAAACCGGTCACTCAAAGATTTTTTTGCTTTTTTGAGGCACTTCTTGATCATTTTGTAGCGCGATTTTTTTTGGTATAAATATAAATATTATAGTGTATAACAGACTCGAAATTATGAGCCGCAGGTTTGATTCGGGCTTTGATTTAAACATAAATTTTAGTAGGGAGGTTGTTTGAGATTATTTTGGGTAAAATTTTGACTTTGCGATGTTTTGGTAATCCTTAAAAGAATGTGATAAAAGAGATTATATACCTCACTTAATAAATCCAGCCATCTGATTGGTCGAAATTGCAGTCATGGTTTTAGCCATTCCCGTAAATAAACGAAAAATGCCACGCCCATGTGATAGTTCGAGGGTAAAATTCAAGTTACCAGGAATAGTTGAGTCTTGCTCAAAAACTGGTTTGAGCGATCGCGGATACCATACGTGTTGTACGTGTGCGAAGAATTGATCGCTAGCTTGATTTACCAATTTTTTAATACAGAGCGCAGCGCAGACGACCGTACGTCAATCTCGATCGTGCTGAATTCCAAACAAGGCAAAAATAGCTGAAGAAACTCTCCCAAGATTTCAACTTCTTGATGACGTCAAGACTTTATTAATTCTGAAGAACACCAAAAGGGTACGTGAAATTCTCCATAAAAATATTGTGCGCTAAAACCTTCCCATAGGGATTGCACACATCTCTTGCTTATTTCTGTAGCCCTCCTGCATCTAATGTATGTTAATTATGCATTCAATATATTTGTTTAAATTCAATATATTTGTTTAATATCGTTTATTATCTGTATAAAATTATATACACTTGAAATATTGTATCAAGCCATATTATGTTCATGAAAATGTATGATGAAAAAAAGAAAAAAGATGCGAAAAAAGATGCAGAAACCAATAAATCAAATCAAATGAGTGCATTGCGCACTCATGCTAAATTGGTCGATGTTTTAATTACCAAAATGAGATTCAAACCAATATTGCTCGTGATCCTGAAGGTGATACTCAATAAGTGAGGTGTCATAATTATGAAAGAGCAGGTTTTTCTCCATATTCCCCACAGGGGCCCACCCCCCCCCAAAAAAAAAAAAAAAAAAAATAAAAATAAAAATAAAAATAAAAATAAAAATATCTTGCTTAGACTAAAGTTAGAGTCAGACTAAAAATAAACTCTCAAAGATACACTCATAAAAAACAACCGTACAGATAAACTAGAGAAAGGCCAAGGTGGTGTCATAAGTTGACACTTTTTTTCGGCAAATAAAAGTATTAATGACTGCTTTAATATTCTTGAAATAGTTGTTTTTATACGCTCAAGGGAAGGTTACAATTGTGCTATTGCCCGAGGCGTAAAGCAGTTATTAATACTATATTATACATATATTATACATATTATGTATAATAGTCAAAATTCAGATCAAACCTTCCATTATACTGAAGTGTGGATTTTAACAGCGATATTCTATGTAAATCTTTTTACAAGTGATCAGGGTGAATTCTTAAATAGGGTAGGCGACCTATAGATCTAGATCCCCCCCCCTTATTTGCTGATATAAACGATTGTAAGAACACAATTCTCCTAAAGGATAATCCAACGTTTGTAATAAGTTCATTTGAAAGGAAGCAGAAAAAGGAGAGAAACATAATGGCGAAAGTTTGAAATAAATCGGACCAATAATAAGAGAGTTACGAATGTTTGTTCTATGCGAATGAGCGAATCTAGTATTGGCAATGTTGTTATATGGTTGGTACGTGAATTGTGTAGTAGTCACGGATAACGTTATAAGTTGTAGTGTAAAAAATGTCCTTAATTTCTATGATATGAAATATATTTTGGATAGCATATTGTATAGGTCATCTCCCCGCCCCCCACCGCGAGTCATAAATTTTGACATTTTTACCGATTCAGCCAATGTCAAGTGCCCCTTGTGAGGTTCACAAATTCACAACTCTCTTATGTTTTTCCGATTTCATTCAAACTTTCACCAGTCTGCTTTTCTTAGTTTTTCGAGCGTGTCCATTAAGGTTGGATTTTCATTTGGTTACCGTGAAGTTGAAGCGAATGAGGTAAGCTGTCCAGTAATACGTCGTAGTGACGTTACCGATTCAGCCAATGTCAAGTGCCCCTTGTGAGGTTCACAAATTCACAACTCTCTTATGTTTTTCCGATTTCATTCAAACTTTCACCAGTTTGCTTTTCTTAGTTTTTCGAGCGTCTCCATTAAGCTTGGAATTTCATTTGGTTACCAAATTACCTGGAAAATTCAAGGCAACAACTTCACAATAGTCCCCTTTGTGACTCTCTGGACATCGACATTTACAGTTCATGTCTCTGAAGCCGGAGTGACAGGAGCTTGCACCAGGGCAATGGGAGTCGCACTCGTACATGAAGTTAGCCAGTTTGACATCTAGATAGCTGAGACCGAGACGTTGGCCGATCTCTCCCATGCTTAAGGGATCCTTAGGGATAAGCGTTGGTACCTTCGCGTCTATGCCGAAACCCTGTCAACCAAGTTTGTTGACAGTGATCAAGTAATTTCAGATAATAGAAACAGGTCAAAGAAAAAGTGAAAATAGTCACTGATTTCATAGCTCTGTACTACAGCTCAGTCGAATAACCAAATCAATGAACTTTAATTTATCTCTAATCCTACTTTAATGCATGGTTTATCCCCATTGTTATACAGGTCATTTGCTTACGAAATATCTAATTATAGCATTTTAAATTCTATTCCATCATATTAGAATTGTTTCAGTTTTTATACATATACATTATATGAGCAATCCTGTTGGCTTTTGGAGAAAGCAATTTTCCAGGTTCATAATTTCTATACTCATCTTAGTACGATTTTGAGCACTTTACTCCTGGGTGACCAAGTCTAGTAGGCGTTCCAACAGTCAAAATCAAGCAAAATAGCAGGCATGAAATTATTCACCATGCAATAGAATTTATTCAAATCGAGGTATTTCCGTCATCATGGCCCCTTCCTAAACATAGAAAACGTTCTAAATTAATTTTGTCTCCGACTCGTCAGGAAACAATTTGCATAATTCGTTTTAATGTCAGAATTATTTCTGTTAGTGTTTTGTAGAGGACAGTACTGAATTACAATGACTGCTTTAGGCATAATTAATTTGTCAGAGTGTCAGATCAACCGACAAAGTTTGAGTTTGAGCTTGAGTTTGAGTTTGAGTTTGAGTTTATTGATTGTTAAAGTTGATATGTCTTTCCACGGGGTCCCAAAATAACTACAATAAACTTCGTGGTACTTCAAAACAAAAAGAATCAGGAAAATCAAGTGAAGTACCCCCAACTTACGTATGCGCCGTAGTGCATGACTGAATTGTAATCGTAAGGCACGTTGGTCATGACGTCATCGGTTGTATGCTTGCGAAATGCGTTCATCTTGTCTTGTATAATGTTGGCAAAGTTGACAGTGACGAATTCATCTCGGTCGGGTCGCGACTGCTCATGCCAGAAACCTAATGCATGGCCGATCTCATGGGAAACGGTCCCGAGCTTATGGATAGAAGTGATATGAAAGATCATGAACGTGATGGAGATTGGTAATTTAGAGATTCATAATTTTCTAATAATGCATTTTGGATACTATTTATATTTAGGAAGTACAGTGAAATCTTTACATAAAATAGTAATAAATGCTCAATGTGTATGTGCGTATGTTAAAGATGGATTTATATTATGACTCTTTCATATTAGGAAATATTCAAATTTGAGAGTAATGTAACTTTGCTTTCGTATTTTTCAACATTTCTTCACATATATTGTTCAAAATGATACATAATTAAAGAATAAAGGTACGAACAAACAAAATATAGCATTTTACGAGTAAAATAGGATCGCAAAGACTTTCTAGAAATCAACTCAAAGGCAATCTGTATAATCATGATAATACACTTTCACATAGAAATCATGTTCGGATTATGAAAGACGTCATTGTCATATTCGCAAATTTCGATAGGTGATGTAACAGGTTTTTTAAATATTGAACTCGCCTTAGGTTGATTTCTTAAAGTTTTTGCAATCGCAGTGATGCAAACGAATGGAAGTGGATTGACAAATCCCCCCCCCCCCCATACAAAATAGGACCCGAGGCTTACTCACTTACGTCTGTACCCGTTGAAAGACATGTTACGTTCACTTCACTTCACTATTTGCTTAATATGCAATTTCAGTTTGCCTTGGCGTTTTTTTAAAATATTATTATTATTTTATTTTTAATATGACAAGGTACTTTATCCGGGTATGTGTCAACAAGGCTTTTGTTTTAAATGTACTGTAGATCATTATATTTACCCGAGTACACCCTTTTCCGATAGAAACATCTTGGAAGCCAATTTTTGACTGCAGGCCAAGATATGAATAGCATCTACAGGGAAGAAGATAGTAATTCGAATTAAATTTCACAGGTGTTAATACCGGTATCTTATAGCAATGACTGAGCCTTCGTTCTCAGGTTTTCTCTGGAATCATATACTACGCAACTAAGGCGAATGGTACATCTCATAATATTGAACTGAATTATATTCTCTACATGTATGTCACTCTGTAAATATACTGTTTCCCCATTGCTGTCCTCCCTTTTGGAAAAGTTTGCAAAGGTTGAACAAAATATGTGTCCGCCCGGCACTTTGATTCAAGCGACGCAACCTTAATTCTCATATTTCGTCGCCTGCCCCCAACTAAGGGATTAATTAATTCAATGAAGATTGAAGATTTGTTAATCTGTCGGTCGACAGACCGGTTATACTAACATGACTAATGTATTTCAATTCATTGTTTTTTTCCTAACCCCTGCGTGATTACCAGCCATTTCATTCACCTGCTATAAATAATGGTATCTCTATGGATTAATTCAACTTTGCATACTTTGCATACTTAGTTGTTGCTATATCGGGCAAGTCTATGACAAGCTCTTCGGTTGACAATAGAAAATTTAGTTTTTATTTATTCATAAAATCAGCAAACAGGCCTTTTGAACTGAGCTGGTGACGCCGAAACCACAAGCCCATCTCATCGACCTAATCGTGGCGGGGATCAGGATTCGATGAGACATTTTTTGTTAACCTTTGCACAAATTTTCAAAAGGAGGATGAGGGGTTGGGAACTTTGATTTGAGCTACGCAACCATTATTCTCTCATTTCCTTTCACCTGTGTTTAATGTGTGTATCTATATGTGCATGAGGACACATATATTCAGAGGTAAAGCATTGCTTTGATTCTTTATTTTCTTTTGAGTCAAATCTGTATATTAATATGGCACAAATAAACACATGCCCAGACGTAAACATTTAGATGTGATTGGTACGCGTAAAAGCAAAATAACCCACCAGCACCACATGCACGTACACAAGCATACACATTTGCGGTGTCAATCGAGGACTCATAAGGCCCCCCCCCCCCCCCCCAAAAAAAAAAAAAAAAAAAAAAATCTTTTGGTTGTCCTCGATTGCTTTTCTGGAGTAGAGGTGGGCGGGCGGATATTTTATTTTTTTTAATTTTATTTCAAATTTCATATTTTGTGTCTTTCACCACCCCAATTTTTTTTTTTTTTTTTAATGAATATTTTTCCATTAAAAAAATTAAATCGTTGGGATGTCAAGCATTTAATAAAACAAACAAAGTCTATAAAACACTTTAATATGGGAAAAGACTAGTTTAATGTACAATGAATATCAAGACCAACACAGAAAGTATTTTTGGCTTTGAAATACAGCACCTTTTATAACCCCACTGTACTACTTGCGCCCTCTAAATAGCAAACAAATGCCTAATCGGTTACCATTGGTCCCCCACAGTGGCGTACGCAGGATTTTTTTTCAAGGGGGGGGGGGGGTTTCCAAAAAAACATACATAAAACATACACATAACAAAAACTGAGGGGGGTTTAACCCCAAAACCACCCCCCTGCGTACGCGCCTGGTCCCCCACGATCCTCTTTATCTTATTTTAACTGAGAGCTGATTTGATGAGATAACCACCCGTCCACTGACCTTGCAGGGTGGTCTAATCCCTGCTGTAAACTAGACGTATAGATGGGCGTTAAAATGAGTTTAAGAATGCTCAGAATCTGATTTAAAAAATGAACGGCATTTTGACATTGAAAAATAAAAATGGCAAGTTTAATAAATACAGAATTGCGTACTGAAAAGACCAAACTGGCAATAGGACGCATTTTGATCCTAGCAAAATGCATAAAATGGTATGTTTGGCATTTTAGATTGCAACAACAACAACAATCAAACAAATAAACAAAAACAAATAAACAAAGAAGAAGATGGAATTAAAAAAAGAAATAATAATGATACAAATTAAAAAAAATACGAGCGGCCCGAAAATGACGAGCGGGCGGTCGAGGACGACCAAATGATTGTTCTTTTGGCCTAGCTACGTACATCAGTATATTATAGCATATTCTAGGACAGACATTTGTATATTTTTACCAAGGACGATCTGGAAATTTACTTCATAACCGTGATAACCGATGACCTACTCTTTCTGTGCGATTAGACCACCTAAATAAACGTACCTCTCTCATGCCTTTATAAAAGGCCTCGAATTATAAACAATTTACAGGCTTCTCGAACCGAGGACGTCCTCGTTTTGGGGGTACAGTTATAATGAATGAACATCCACCCACCCATCCACCCACGCGCGCGAGCACAAACACACACACACACACACACACACGCCCACATGGTTGGATGAACTTACCCGTCGCTCTTTATGAATTTGAGCCTGTGTTGCCAAAGAGATGATACTGAGGGATCATGTATTTCAAATCTGACACATGTTTGATCCTGCCAATGAGCCATAGCAGCCTTGATGGCAGTTCTATCAACCCCTGCTCATCATGACGACATGAAAGTTAAAGGAAACCGTTGGGAATTCATGAAATGAGATGATGATCATGATGATGAATATTATTATTAATATTATTATCATCATTATTTATTCGGCAAAGACACAATCAAGAAAATAGTGAATACAATAAACACAGCCATAAGAACTTAATAGCTTTAAACCAGTGGGTCTTTTTTTTCCAATCGACGTGACTACGACTAAATAACAAAGAATAGCATGATACAACAAATAATGAATAGAAGAGAAGAGAAAAAATAAAAATAAATCAATTAAAATCGCATTATATACATTTTTGTCTCAACAACAACAAAAGAGAAGACCATAAAAAGGACAAATCATGAACACAACCAAAACATTATACTATGAACCAGAAGAGCGCGCTGTACAACTGAATACAATCTAGATAATGTTAATTAAATCCTAAACCACACTAGACTCATGATCAAAAGTCGACTTCTAACCAAAAAGAAAAAAAAGAAGCGACCATCGACAACCAATTTCCAAAAATGTACACTGGACAGTTGCTGGTGTTTTGTGACTTACACTTAATTTAAAAAGGAATAAACACGTGATCATGCATAATATCACGGAACAAAATGAAAGGTGTATCTATTGAAACCCAGCTAGGTCTATTCTTTACTGAGATCATAATTTTAATTTTGACCAATGAAGCATATGGACTTCAAAATAATTTCTGTAATATCCGTGGTATTCCCTTTGTCTCCTTTTGGGGGAACTGCACAGTTTCAAAATCCACTTGAGCATCAAATCAAAGCATAGTAAAATGTATGTGTCAGTGCAAATACAATTATCTCTCTGTCTCTACCCCATCCCACCCCCTACATCTCTCTGTCTCTCACATACACACATTGACAAAACCCATACACAAAATAAAGAATATAAAATCTGAATCCAGATTAGCTTCATCAAAAAACACTAAAGATCCCCCACCTCCACCAATTTCATGATGACTAATAATACGCTTATTGATAAAACCTCTGAATTACTAATCTTTTAAACATGATTGTAAGCCTTAAACAACCAATTTATTTCCTTCTGATTATAACAAAACACAGGTTGCCAAAAATAAGTCACAATCATGCTCTTAACTTAAAATCAAGGGGCTTATACTAACTGTAGGGTAACCCCATCCCTAAATAGTATCGTAAGACTGAAAACAGCGAGGAGTACAGGTGGACATTTCTTACCGAGTCCGAATTCATAGGGAACATTGATAACATGCTGGCTTGTTGCTTGGTCAATGATTTTCTTTGGCCAATATTTCGTGGTATCCTTACTGGCCTTTCGCTTGTTACGGGAGTTTTTAGGATCGCTCAAGGCTGCCTCCTGCTCTGGGTTAAGCATCATGTCTGTTTCGTAGGCATTGGGGGAATAGCCCTCATCTGCTGGGATCGGGCGATGGAAGGGGTCATCTTCTTCTACCGCGATCTCAAGGATTTCGCCATTGAACTCTACTTTCTTGATCTGAGGCTGTGGTTACATAAAACAGAGAGATTGAGAATGAGGGAAGGAGAGCGAGAGAGAGAGAGAGAGAGAGAGGGAGAGTAAATGTGGGGAGGGGGAGGGAGAGGGAGAGAGAAATGGATCATGATCGAAAAGCTGTAACAAATTTACGACGATTTTGTATTTGGCTCATTAACTTTCTTTCAGAGCCCCTTACATAATATTCCACATGGTTGACCAATATAATAGCAGCATTTCTGTCAAACTCTATTCAGTGATGTTGCATTAGCGATGATGTTAGATGCCACGAAGTTCAAATGGAAAATATGGAAAATAAACATTAAAATAACGTAGTGAAAATGATCACAATTTCAATATCACCGAAAATTGAACAGTTCACCATAGTGATTACAGTTTTGTATTTACAAATTGCCAAATTTCGTTACTTTTGACCGTATTTTTTTTTTCAGGCACAAAGTACTCTTCATGAGAAAACACCAACTCAATTACTTGTTGCATTCACTAAGAACACACGAACACAATACCAGTAGCGCTCAATTACCTGTGAAATCGCAGTTAAAGACAGAAAATCTTTTTTTTTTACCCATCGATTATCAACTTATTTTTTTTTACGGATCGTAGTTTCGTGAGAATGGTGCTACACTGTAAAAAAGAATTTGTTCATTGGTAATTTTTACATATTTTTTCCATGTAGAATTTACTTGAAAACATTAGTTTTGCCACTTACGCACTAAATTTAAGTCTTGCTAACTCAAACTTTCAATTTAGTAGAACATACGTGGAATATTTAAGTAAAATCAAATACATAAGAACTTTAAGTAATTTCAGCTTGTATTAATTTAGTAATTTTAACTCAAAATCAGAAATTATACGTATTACTCAAACAATTTATGTTGATTATTCTTATCTTTTTAAAGTAAGGACCGATGCAGTGCGTAATAGAAATATTTACATAATTTATTAATATTCATTAAGACCAAATTAAACTCTTTTTTAAATAAAACAATTCTTTTTTGTGGTTGAATGAAAATTTAAGGACTTTAAAACATTTACTAATTCATTTAACATCGCTAAGAAAAGACACGACAATTTTTAATTGTTACCCAGTTCAAAACAAATAAAAACTTGATATTTCAGGAAATTGTTAACCAATTTTCCTTTAAGATGCTACGATCAAGTATATATAAAATTTGGAGCCTTTCAATATGTGTCGAATTGAAGCGTATGTAATAGTTTGTGATGGTGGTAGATATATATATATATATATATACGGTTAGATCTTAAATAGAAGTAGTGAATGATTAGTGGATGTTACTTGTTAGATTAGATGGGTACCAAATCGTGCAATATGTAATCCTATCATAGCTTTTTTTTAATTATCTAAAATGATTACAATACTTAAATTATTTACGTTAATGTAACTCGATTTAACTGAGTAAAAATTTATTCAGCAAAATAAGTAAATTCTACTTAAGATGCCGTAGGTAATATTTACTTAATAAAAATAAGGCAATTCTTTTCCTCAATTTTATTGAGTTATTTCGACTATTATTTTTTTACAGTGTTGTCATCTAAGATACATGCAGAAATACGAAGCGCACTATTTGCTTATTTCACTTTGTTTTGTCGCGGCAGTTTTTTTTTAAAGAGGCTTAATTACCTTGTTACCTTCCTATAAAGAAGTTGAAACAAATATGATAACAATATCTATGAACTCAAACTCTTGCTTGTCCAGTAAATAAAAAATAGAACCCGTGGCTCAACAAGAATTTCTATTTTTACAGTCCCATAAAAAAGCTTGAAGCAGTTCCATAAATGTATCCAGTGAATAAAAAGGATGTATTTTCTTTGTAAATCAAATGTAACCTTTTCCCTTCTCTTTTGTAAATATTTTTTAAATTTTATCGCTCACTTTATCAACTAGATTTAGTCTGTTTATATTGGTTATGATTGTTTCACAATCTTGTATAAACTCTTGTAGCTCCGAGAATATATAAATTCACTAAATGGGAGTCACTCACCACTTTCGTTTTAGTGTAGCCCTTTTGTTTCCTCAGTGGTTTGGCAAGGGAGTAGGCCATAAGCATGGCTACTAAGCCAGATAAGAGCAGTGTTCTCGACATCATTTGGGTTTTGTTTCACCTCAACCACCTCAACCGAGAAAGCAATATTCAACGACTGATTATCCAGAGAATCGAGGATGTATTTATACAAACAGGATCTTCTGGGGTGGATCTAGGGGGCATATGGAAAAGTTTCAGGCCGAAATTCCACTTAAGTGGATCTGCGCGTGTCTTTCTTTGCTCAGCGCACACGTGTACGTCTCATGAATAATTCATATGGAAAGCCGTTGGTGAGTTTATTCACGTGCCCCAGACGTATGGAACGCGGCACACGTCTGCTAAATTGACCAATCAACGCCTGTTATTCAGCAGGCGCGTGCAAGGTGCGATAGCACACGCCTGTTACTTTGCCAGACGGATGCGCAGAACGCTCGTAAATTGATTTTGAAGGCAACCAATCAAGTCCGCTGTTACAAAGCTGCTCAGCTCGATCAGTACGTACGGGGCCATGTTCGCTATTACAAAACTGCTCAGGTCAGTACATATTGTATGGGGGACACACCCACGGCCAGGCACGGATCCAGGGGGAGGGCTGAAGTGGCGACTGAGGGCCTTGTCTCCAAGGCAGTTGCCCCCTCCCCCTCCCCAAAAAAGATAGAAGGAAGGAAAGGGAAATTAAAAAAGGAGAAGAGGAGTCAAAGGGAAGGGGTGGGGGAGGAATAAGAAAAGTAATGAAGGAGGATATCAGTTACGATTTTCTCGCCAACAATTTGTTGATCCTCAGGGGGGGGGACAAAAAAAAGAGAGTAGGAAGGGAAAAGGAAAGAGGAGAGCTAAAGGGAACAAAAAAAGGGAAAGAAGAAAAGAAACGGAAAAGAAAGGAAGGGGGGTCAGATGCAATTAATCCAGCCAACAACATGTCGTCGCCGTTTTCACGAACCGGCACAAGCCACCGAAATCCCTTCAAAATGTAGTTTTTATTTTTTTTTGCATTTTTAGCATAAGTTATCAACAATCTTTCATCTCACCAAATTTCAGCATCCAAAACGCTTTAGTTTTTGAGATATCCATGGTTACACAAATGACAAAAACGACACACGAGCCAAAAAGCACGATTCATATTTTCACGAACCGGCACGCGCCGTTATAAGTCAATGGGCTGTGCCGGTTCGTGAAAATATCTTTGCGCTTAACAAGACCTAGACGACGCGACACAGGCGATTGTGCCGGTTCGTGAAAATAAAATACGCGCTAAGACAGCGCGAGCGCTTTTGTCTTGCGCGTAAAGTTACATAGGAAAAACGACACAGTGGCTTGTGCCGGTTCGTGAAAATATTTTTGCTACGTAAACAGCAAAATAATATTTTCACGAACCGGCACGAGAGTCCAAAGCTTCGTAATATTAATAGTAATTGTCATTATGCTTAACAAATGGAATGTATAGAAAATACAGAATATTTTCCTTTCATTGATATGTATTTTGTGATATAAAATTTGACATAAGGCATGTTTCTGGCGAATTCAAAACGGGCTAAACGTAAAACGCGTTTTTCTCAGAATGTACTTATTTCGTTGCGCGTTGGGCTGTGCCGGTTCGTGAAAACGGCGACGATGTGGTTCGGGTAGGGGGTGAAAGGCCTTTGCTTCTCCCCAGCAAACTTTTAAAAGAGAGAAGGAAGGGAAGGGGAAGGGAAAGAGATGAGAAAGGCAAAGAAAAAAAAAGAGGAAGAAGAAAGGTAGGGGAGATCAGTTGCGATTTTTCCCGCCATCAAGGTGTGGATCGGGGGCGAAAGGCCCTTGTCTCCCCCTCCCCCCTCAGCAAAAGAGAGAGAGAGAGAGAGAGAGAGAGAGAGAGAGAGAGAAGAAGGGAGGGAGGGAATGGGAAAGAGGAGAGAAAGGGAAAGAATATAAAGAGTAAGAGGAAAAGAAAAGGGGGAAAAGATATGGTTTCGCGCTCATCTCGCCTCCCCCAAACGAGACCAAGCGCCAGATACGCCACTAGACACCACTGGCGTACTAATTCGAAGGGGGCAGGCTCCCCCTTAAGTGGTTCATTTCTAATTCGATTTCAGTGATTTACAAATGTTGTAAAATGACATAATTTTTAATAAATTATACTGTTTTATGAGTTTGTTGGAAAATGACGAATTCCGAAAGTTACAGTCAGGCGAGAAATATGCTTATTTTGAGGTCTGCACGTCAAGGCTCGCGGAACATAAATTGGTGTGGAGTCTAGGGGCGGGGCCCCCGGAAGCTCAGGGGCAATGGACATTCATTACGTTCAGATGAGCATATTTTGATACCTTATAAATGACACGGGTAGGTCACTAATTGGCGTGGGGTCCAGGGGCTGAGCCCCTGGAAACTCAGGGGCTATCGGTGCATTCATTACGTTCAGATGAGCATATTTTGATACCCCGGAAACTCAGGGATTTTTAGGCATTTTATAACGGTCAGATAAGCATTCAGGGGCACACCTTAGGGCCCTTGGTGGGGTCAAGAGGGTGAAGCCTCCGAAATTTCATTTAATGACGGTCAGTTGATCATATTTTGAGTCTTCATTATTTTGTGACACTGGCAGGTCACAATTTATTTTTCTTACTTTCTCCCTACTTCTCTTGAATATACTTTTTCAAAATAGTGGGGTCCAATGCCCCCGAGCAGGGGCGTAAATCCGTATCGAGGAGTGGGGGGGGGGTGATCGGCGATAGCCATCACATACTAGCACGAGCACACGCCCACACTAATTTACGCAAGCGCGCGCGATCGCGCACGCACATACACACAACAACAAACACACACATACCCAAACACATGTACATAAATTTATACATGCATACATACATGCACGCACATGCTAAATTTGACAACCATAAAGTAAAAGAATTGGACATATTTCGAAATACTGACAGCTGCAAACTGTAGTGTTTTATTATAATGAACTCCGAAATAAAACGACACACTTTCAAGTAGTAACATAAAGATTGAATATTTCGTCAGGAAGATGCGAACTCTTTATTTTGAGTCCCATCACTTAGAAAATGATGTATAATGGTACTACCACAGGAACATCAACACAAATGTTTCATTGGGGGAGGAAGCGCATTGTAAGTCATATTCCTTGTTTTCTCTTAAAGGAGAATTAACTTTAAAAAAAACATTGATCTATGACCAAATAGACAATTCTGAGTCCTTTCTGGAAAGCCTAGTACAGGCGCGGATCCAGGATTTCTTAGGGGGGGGGGGGCAAATTTGTAATTATGCGAGCCAAATATTGGTACGTAATGGTGACCAGCATTGGCGTAATGATGGGGGGGGGGAAGCTTTTACGTTTCATTAAATCATTAGAGAAAGAAGACGATTCGTTGTACCGTTCTCGACTCTTAATCCTCGTCTGAATTCAGTCCCCTCACGCTCGAAGCGCCGAAGCTTTTACGTTTCATTAAATCATTAGAGAAAGAAGACGATTCGTTGTACCGTTCTCGACTCTTAATCCTCGTCTAAATTCAGTTCCCCCCCCCTCCCCTCCCGCGCGAAGCGCGGAAGCTTCTACGTTTTATTAAATCATTCGAGAAAGAAGACGATTCGTTGTACCGTTCTCGACTCTTAATCCTCGTCTGAATTCAGTCCCCTTACGCTCGAAGCGCCGAAGCTTTTACGTTTCATTAAATCATTCGAGAAAGAAGACGATTCGTTGAACCGTTCTCGACACTTAATCCTCGTCTGAATTCAGTCCCCCCCCCCCCTCCCGCGCGAAGCGCGGAAGCTTTTACGTTTCATTTAATCATTAGAGAAAGAAGGCGATTCGTTGTACCGTTCTCGACTCTTAATCCTCGTCTGAATTCAGTCCCCTCACGTTCGAAGCGCGGAAGCTTTTACGTTTCATTAAATCATTAGAGAAAGAAGACGATTCGTTGTACCGTTCTCGACTCTTAATCCTCGTCTAAATTCAGTCCTCCCCCCTCCCCTCCCGCGCAAAGCGCGGAAGCTTCTACGTTTCATCAAATCATTCGAGAAAGAAGATGATTCGTTGTACCGTTCTCGACTCTTAATCCTCGTCTGAATTCAGTCCCCTCACGCTCGAAGCGCCGAAGCTTTTACGTTTCATTAAATCATTCGAGAAAGAAGACGATTCGTTGAACCGTTCTCGACACTTAATCCTCGTCTGAATTCAGTCCCCCCCCCCCCCCCCCCTCCCGCGCGAAGCGCGGAAGCTTTTACGTTTCATTTAATCATTAGAGAAAGAAGGCGATTCGTTGTACCGTTCTCGACTCTTAATCCTCGTCTGAATTCAGTCCCCTCCCGTTCGAAGCGCGGAAGCTTTTACGTTTCATTAAATCATTAGAGAAAGAAGACGATTCGTTGTACCGTTCTCGACTCTTAATCCTCATCTGAATTCAGTTTTTCCCTCTCCCCTCCCGCGCGAAGCGCGGAAGCTTATACGTTTCATTAAATCATTCGAGAAAGAAGACGATTCGTTGTACCGTTTTAGACTCTTAATTTCTTTAAAAAGGGGGTGGGATTTTTTTCTCTCTCTCTTTGGACTCCTGAGAAATGTAAAAAGGAGGTTATAAAATATCTTGAATATCATAAAAAAATTGATCAAATCCCGGAATCAAATTCCTGAAATTCCTGCTAGCTTTGAAAGCTCATTCAGGATTATTTCATTTTGAAAAGTAAAAACATTGGCCCCCAGTCCCCTTCGATCGACTAGAGCTCACCTGAAATTGGGGGGGGGGGGGGGGGGGGGGGGGTGTGGTACATTTAGTAGTGTTCCGGATTTGGGGGGGGGGGTCTCCAAGGCAGGACAAGACAGCGGAAAGCCGGCGAAAGGGGGATTCAGAAATGTTGGCAGTCCTGAGATAGGGTGGGGGTGCTTTCAAAGGGAGGGAACGAGCATACGCGTACCCTAAATAACACTGAGTGGGGGGAACCGGGCATCTACTGTACATGATTGCACTTTTTAAGCGCTCGCGCGTTGGCGCACTTTACGTCTGGGCTATAATAATACCTTGCAAAATAACGAAACTTTATTCCGAAGTTTATGAAGTGTTTTTCGCGCATGTCGCACAACTACTCTTAATGATCGTGGCATATTGTATACGTGTAGGCTAAACAGTTATACATTAAAAAAAAAAAAACTAATTTCTCATGCAT